AAAGATACTCCTATAGTATAAGCCATTTCTACTCTTAGAGATCAAATCTTATTATATATATCTAAAGTATAATATCCTAGATAGACTTTAGCTTTAAAGACCCTTATCGATAATGGTAGATATCCTAAGCAAAGTTAAAAAGATACTCTACTCCTGCCCTAGTTGCTGGGATTAATATAATATCCTAGGTAAGGCTTACAAATATAGGAAACTTGTATTTATAGTCTTTCTAAAAGACCTGAGGAAAGCCTTGTATAGTTACTAAAAGAAAGAGTTAGTATTATATAGTAAGAAGAGAAGAGAGTATATACAACTTTTAAGGTACCTCATAAGCTTATTCTGTTATAGAGGTAGTGACGTATATAAGTTTTCAAATAGTAGATTAGTATCTATTATTATTGTTATTAATAATATTATATCCGATTATAGCCTTTCTTCCGGATATTTCTCCTTATACAAGGTAAAGAGAGACTTAAGACTACTGTAATAGATCCTTTTATAGTCCTTCTCTAGATCATTAGACTTCTAGTCCTTAGTTAAGAAGAACTGGAGCTTGTTTACTAGTGCTAGGATTATACTAATTATATAGAGATCGCTTTCTATTCTATCTATTATAGTGTAGTATTTTAATAGCTTCTCTTATATAGCCTTAAGCAAGGAAAGTATTAACTGCTTCTAAGGTACCTTCTTTCATCAGAGTTGACGGATTGAATTTTTAAGATGATCAAAAAGCTTATTATAGAAACTAAAGACTAAATGAATACTTATATCTTTAGTTGTATAAACAATAGTTGTATATTTAAAGAAGGGCTATAGGATAAACAGTAGATAATTAATTTATCGCCACTCCTTGGTGTTTAGTACAAAATAAGGCTGATTATACTATAAGTAGAATATATTAAACGTCACTTAGAGTCTCTTAGCCCAGCAAAGCATAAGATACATTGAATTCCATTGTATTTATACATCCTGGATAGGCATAAGCTTTAGCTTGTTGGGTTAAAGATTATAGAAAGCGTCACAGCGTTGAGGGCTTGTGTTAATATATACAGCAAGACTACAAACCTTAAAAATATAGATATAAATATAGTTATTGTATAACTAGAAAATAAGAGAACTAACCTTATTTAGTATATTAATAATCTCTTACTTCTACTATCAAGCACGTAGGGCTTATATGTAATCCTCTTTCTACTTAAGCTCTATGGTATTATTCTTTAGTAAAGCCTTTATCTTCCTAAGTAGATCATTTAGACTAAGTTGAATTATATATATAATATAAGGGACTTAGATAATTATAGACTTATTATTAAGCTTTAGAGCCTATATTATATTATTAATAATAGCTATAAGTGTAGTATTATTAGATGTATTATCTATTATAATTGCAAACACTTGATTAAGGATTTAATACTATTATAGAGTCTATACAATAATCTTACTAAGGTTAATCCCTAAATATATATTAGAAAGCAGCTTAAACCTAAGAAGGACTTTACAATAGTCCTAGTTCTAATTAAAGAAATATACTATTATCGCTATAAATACTTACTAGAATAGTAACATCTAGTAATTAAGTACTAGGGATAGCTTTATATCTAGTAATAGGCTTTGGAGAGTAGTTGTTTAGTTTTTAGTAACAAATTTATAAAGCCTTATATAGATTATCTTCCTAGAAGGAATAGTTAGTATTATAGGGGCTAGTTATATATATAAGATAAGATTATAGAACTCTTGATACTTAAGGAATAGGAAAGGTAAATATAATACTATAACTAGATTTAGAAGCTTCTATTCCTAAGTACTCTATATGAATACTTAGATAGATATCCTCTAATCCTAATAGATTATCTATTAGTTAGTTCTAGATAGAGAGATATCTTAATTATATATATAGCTTATATAAGTAGTTTTTAGATACTTAGTTTACTTATTCCTTACTAGTATTATAGCCCTTTAAGATATTTATTTATTAATAAAATACTAGAATATACTAACGCTAGATATTTAAGAACTATACAGCATTATTTATATATTATACCTAGCTTTCTATCTTTTGTATTAGCCACTTAATCAAAACCTTCCTAACAGGTTATATAATATCTTCTATCCTAATTAATTCACCTTTTCCTCCTATAGTTAGTTTAAAGCTACTACTCCACAAATTCCTTACTTATATTTACTTTATATAATAGATATTTATTAATCTAGTTAGGTTTAATTTGCTAAAGGTTTTCTAGTACCTAGGATACTAGTAGTTAAGGAATAGAAGAATTATTAAGTATTATATTAAATAAAGGTTAACTAAATAAAAATAAACTTAAGAAAATAATATTGTCTAATATAAGGTATAAGAGATCTTCTAGTCTAATCTCTTTAGCTATTAAAGAGAGATATCTATCTGAGAGTTAAGATATACTTTATAGATAGTTTATATAGTTACTAAGAAAGAGGACTTATAAAAAGTAAATAAAAAAAAGCTATTATACAAGGGAAATTAGTTTACTCTAGTCGTAAGAGGATATAAAGTTAATAGATTATCTTTTTATCTACTTATACTAAGGTTATCTTATCCAATTAGCTAGTATAGAGGATATATACAAATAAAAAAGGTTACCCTAAGGATTGATAAGGATTACCCTAAAGGTTAGTAAGGGTTACCCTAAGGGTCGGTAAGGATCACTCTTATCGACCCTTAAGTTATATTATCTTTTTTCTAATAGAAAACATTAAAGTCCAATAATCTAGATTTTCAACCTTCTTTCGTACAAGATCTAAAGTAATTAGAGATAAGCCAAATTAGTAAAAAATAAAACAAGACTCTACTTAGTTAATTACCTAAGATAACTTTATATTTAATACTAAATAAGTATTAAAAATAAAAAGATATATTTCTTATTATACAAGTATACTACTATTAGTCTACTTTAGAAATATATTTTAACTACTATACTATAAGTATTCTATAATATCTATTAAAACTAACCTTTTACAAGATATTTCTAGTCAATACTAAAAAACCTAAGGTAATAATATATAAAATATTAACTTACAATTCAATTTCTTTATATTTTAAAAGCTTTTATAGTAAAAAATAAGAAGAATTTAGAGGTATACTAGAACAGCTGTAAATAACAGTATTTTAAGAAGCTAAATCATCAAATTTATACATCTGAAATAGGAAAGGCACGGAGAAATTATATATTTAAGGGTTAATAAGGGTCGATATAGGTGACCCTCAAGGAACCCTTAGAGGGTTAGGGTTAAGATCAGGGTTAGTGAGATTAGACCCTAACCCTCTAAGGTACGGATAGAGGTTCCTGATCTTAGACCCGTAGGGCAGATAAGTACTAGGTCTACTTCATTCCCCCACTACTAGTATCTACCCAGGATAGCGTCTAAAGAAGGCGACCGAGCAATTATTATTGCTCTGAAAGCTACAGGCACATCAACAGAGGAGATTGCCAATTTGACTCAAGTATCTATGCGAACTTTTGAAATAGACCTCCGTATAGAGTAATCCTTCTGAGGTCCTAACCTCCTTTACCTACCTTTCCTATTAACACTAATCTACACATATTTAAAAGATTATTCTCTTATATAGTATTGTGACAATTAATTTTCCTTCAATGGTCTTAAAAATTTACTCAGTAATCTTCTGATGTCCAAGCACGATTATTTACTTCGCATGCGGGTTATACTAATTAACTTGGGTACCCACCCGGATTAAATATATGTTCCAGATCCGTACCCACGATCAACATTCAATATTGATCGTGCACATGTGGGTACGATTTATACTACGGAGTATATGGATAACTAAATTATCCATTTTTATTATACCGGGGGTAGTCTTAATTATATAGATAGAACAGGCTAGATACAGCCTTAGTTAGTAGAGCCTTAGTATTATTTACCCTCCCCTTCTAAGGTTCTTTCTTCTCTATCTTCTCCCTTCTTTGATTAAATTTTGAACAATTTACAAAGAAAGTTTTTTTAAAAAAATATTAATATTTGTAATAAATCAGGACCTTTATTTTACTAAAGTTTTAATTAGACGCGACCGGTAGAAAAGAGGATAGAAGGTTTTAAAAGAAAAATGAGGAAAGAAATAAAGAAAAAAGGGGGAAAGGGGAAGGTTTTATTTGAAAAAGCTTCATTTTTCTTAGTGTCGGCTAGTAGCCCATCAAAAAAATAGATAGTAATGTATTATCTTGCTGATATAATATTGAATGAATGTTGACCGTGGGTACGGAGTCGGTGAGAATATTCCATGCTCAGCTTTTTTGTAGACGGCCAATTGGAATATATTTTTCCCTCGCCACTCTAGTACTAGCACGTTTTTCATCAAATATCGGTACGTTCAACTTCAAATGTTTCGTTCGCTTGCAGCAGAAGCACCTCGCACTCGGTACCTCATTTGTGCAGTGCTCCATATGTGCAGTGCTCCCTCTGCGCCACCTGTCTGGAGACCTCGCAATTGGAAGGGACGAAGGACTTTTATAGGACAGGATTCTCTTCCTGGGAGGGGAATCCTGTCCGAAGTGGTAGGCGTCTTGTTGAATGTAACATTCTGCAGGGGCAGCCCCGCTTGAAGCCAATCTAGAACCCGGAAACCGTCGGAGAGACGGATTTGTAGAATGCCAAGCTGATAGGGGTCATTGACGCAAATTGACGCAATGTGTCTTGCATTTCATACCGATAAACAATGTTATGATCTTGCCGATTAGGGGACTCATATTTGCCGTATATGTGGAGAATACTCTACTTCTTATATCAAGGGAGCCTCTAATACACAGAAGTTTCGATTATGGCTTCCTCATACAATAGTAAGAACATTCCACTCGCCGCAGTTGGTATGTTCGCCCAGAAAATGTGTCAAGCTCCGTCAGGGCGAAGAAGTGCTGGATGTAGCGGGTGCAGGTCGGTGTTAGTCAAAGCAATAAATGGACCAAGCGTTTTATTGACAAGGGCTCAGGCGCGCCAAGAAGGGATGCGATATGCAGTCTCCGGTCTGTGGGAGGTGTCTCCGGCTATCGCAGGCATGCTATAGGGGAGAACTTGGCAATCAATCTGGGGAAAGTATTGCTTACTACGACCAGCTTGGCAATGCTTCAAATTCAACCAACCAACATCCAAGACAATCCGTCACAAAGAAGTCCGACAAGACGAATCATGACCACCCGAGATCCCTGGGAGATTGGTCCGATATTCTACATTACTTTGTCGATCACGGGCTCATCCGGGGTCTAATTGCTGCCTGCAGGCTCCAAACATTCGTGCCACAACTGCCAGTGGATCCTAAGCAAGCTGCATGTACCTATGGAGCTGCCTTAACTTCGAGTCGCGAAGCGATACAGCGAGGCTGGCAGGTTGCGGACGATACAGTACTGGTAATCACATTGCTTCTCTATACATATGAGGTACGTAGTAGCGCATGTGCACAATATCGACAACGTAGTTCAGTCGCTGATGATTCGGATTAGCGGTACTATTGGGCAGAAGGGGGTTCAAGTCGCAGCTGGATGATCCATATCCAAGCAGCAATCAGTCTCGTACAGGCACGCAGTTTGAAACAGGTTCAGACGAAGGTTGGACGCGTGATATTTCGAAAAGCGAGAGAAATCATTGTGAGTGGATCTGTTAGACATCGTGTCTTGCAATACTGACTGATATCTAATCAGCTTGACGTCGCATTCTGTAACAGTGTGGTACCTCCTTACTTTCTCATTCTGGGCAGTCAGGCGATGGGCAGAGACGTCTTATACCATGCCCATGATCAGCTTGCAGTTCTTGAGACTAGAGTCATTGTCCTGTACCGGCAGTATCACCGCGGCGATCTTGACCAAGTCTTCCTCCAGACTGCTCATACCCTTCAGCAGGATCTCACATACAAGCAAAAGACCACCACCCGCCCAAGGTGGAATTCCCTTAGGTATGACCAAGATAGCATTCTGATCTATGCTGACGGACAAGAGAAAGATGATGAATACTTGACCGCGTTACAAGATTTATGGAACAGTGCTAAGCTACATATACTTCGGCTGGTTATTTGTCGCATTCAAAGTGCTGTTTTCCGAAAGCTTTGGAACACCTCTGAAGTTGGATTTGAAGAGCTTGTCCTCTGTTGCCATAACTGCCCAACTCGCACTTCTGAGGATATGTGTAGCAGCGCAGCGTATGTCATGAGCGTCATTGGGTCTATACCTTTATCAATGCATTTGCCATCCGCCACAATGGGAATGCACGGCGCTATGTTAGCAGCATCATCATGCCTGGAGAGCGAGCTCGAGGAGTTAACTTTAGCATCCTGCAGCGGGCAAAACGACGCCATGATCACCCCAACGCAGCTGCGTTCCATGAGTCAAAGCAGCAGATGGTTTACAGAATGGTCAAGAATGATTGCGTCAAATATTTATTTGCATGTTCTTCAAAGTCCAAACGAGTCCTGCGAGCATTCTTCTTTAGATTGAGCTTATTGATAGGTAAACGGTCCAGACTGAAAAAAAAAACATTATAAAGTATCTTGTTCATGTGCATCTTATCGGCTTCACTTTACCATAATTGTTTCCGTTGTTTTGTCTTGAACCTGTGCACGCCGTTGCCATTCGCAGCGTGAACACCATTGCCTACATCCAGTGGAGCACCGTATAACGCATGGTTCATCCTCCCATCAAGAATGGATTCATAAATCGTAGCAATCCAGTTGCCAATAATCTTTCTTGGTCTCACATTCTCGCCGTATATGACAGTATCTTCCGAACCCGGGTGTTCACCCAGGCCCTGATGAAATGGTACGGCGAGCTCTCTCCTGACCATGCGGTAGAGCGCTTGAGACCCGACTCCAAGATACTGTTCTGTGGTCTGTTTTGCACAGAACCGATGGAAGGTGGCCTTGTAGATGCTGGCCGCTTTGCTTTCAACATTCGATCTCCATGGTGGCAGCAAGCTTAACGCCCCTGACTCAGAAAGAACATGATCGGAGTCTTTTAAAACGTGCAGCAAAGAGAGGACAGCACCATCAGCGACTGCGTTGAAACGCTCGGCATCATCTAGACGGGAAGATGCTCGCCAACAAGATGTAAGATGCTTTCGAAGTTGCACCTTGTATGACTCGATTCCTTTCGATTCCAGGCTGGAGGCGAAGAAAGATCCCATATCATTTTGCAAGGTTGAGTACAGTTCATCAAGATATTCGATTTGCATGACTCGAAGATCCAACGCCTGGCAGCCGACGTAGAGACAAGTGGCGCCCATTAGGGACACTAGTTCCACAGCTTTCGTGGTCATGCGAGACGACAGTAGAGCAAGTGAATTGATCGATTGATTGCCCATCTCAGCGGATTGTACGTGGTTGCTCACTGGATTGGCTAGGAACCCTAGCTCGGACATGTAAGCTGCCATGTTGATGTCGACACCCTTCATAGTGAAGGAAAGACTGGGGTTGTCAGCGCAAAGATTTGCCGGCAGACCATTGTTCAGATTAGCATCGATGAGCTCGGTCGATTGAGCAAAGAAAAGCTTTCCGAGCATCTGTAATGCGAGGCGCGTCTTTTCCATGGCGGAAGTTACTGCTGCAGCCTGGAAGTTCGCACCGTAGTACACCTCCTGGGCATCGGCATCGACTATAGGATTGTCAGCCGACGAATTCAACTCAACGGTGATTTGTTGGTTGGCAGAGAGAAGATCCTCCAGTTGCGGTCCAATCCATTGAGGTGTACTCCTGAGCGCATATCGATCCTGGAAAAGTCCTTCCGGGGCATAGTCTTTACTGTTGCGAATGCCCTTTGCCAGATAGGAGCCCTGCAGCATCGCTAAGATATTACGGCTGACTTCGATTTGACCGGGGTGGGGTCGTGCCTCGCTAATAAATGGATGGAAGCTCTCCGAGTTTCCAAGCATTGCCTCCACTGCCATTGCCGTGAAGGCTTGTGATAGTGTAGCCACATGATGTGCCTCATACATAACTATTGCAGCCAGACCGGCCGACGAGGCCGTGCCATTGACAAGACCCAAAGCTTCTTTCGGACCAAAGTTCATTTTCGGGATTTGATGTTGCGCCAGAGCTGCTTCCGCAGAGAGGATCTTGAGAGATTCGCCTTGTCGCTGGCAAACCTTGATGTCTGGGTTGCCTTCAATAGCACCAGCTATGAATGCAAGGGGCATTAGATCGCCCGACGCAGAGACAGATCCTTTCAGCGGCACCATTGGAACAATGTCATGTCGAAGAAGTCTCAAGATGGCCTGTAGGACATTCATGGTGACTGCAGAATGGCCCCGAGCAGTTGCGTTGCATCTCACCAACATCGCTGCTCTGACCCAGGACATGGGCATCGATGTCAGCTCGGAACGATGTTCGGAGACTCCATCATTTACAACTTGGTCAGATGAAAGTATGACTCCGCTTTGCGTAAGCTGGAGTAGAGAAGTTTGCAGCTTGTGTACCTCTTTTGTTCTGGAATCGGCACTTCCACCGAATCCTGTAGTGACTCCTAATGAGTGTCAATATGTCTGTTCATCTTATGTCCCAGAACGCGAGGAATTCCTTACCATAGACGGTATGGCCTTTCTGGAGGTAATCGTTCAATTGTTTCACACTTTCGTGAATGCGTGCGCACGTGGGTTCGTCCTCGGTAAGAAAGGGCTGGCAACCTCCTTGTGAGACTGCAAAGACAGTGGCGATGTCGAGGTCCTTTCCGGTGATGGTCACATTGCTGCTACCTTTTAGACCCTGAGCTCTTTTCCACAAGTTCTTTGCGGTCAGGAAGTGTTCAGAGCTCTGAGACATGATGGGCGATGAATCTCGGCCCTCAGGACGTAGCTGGATTATGCTTCTATTGGCAAAAGGCTAACCAGAATGAGAAAGAATTGACACAGCGAGAACAAGTTCACTCATTATATGTTCCACTACATCCGTGTACATGTGTTATCGACAGATGAGTTGAATCCTGGATTTACCCTATGTATAGTTCAATACCACTATGCCTTATTTGGATTGATAAGGTAGCGCCAGTGGCTCCTTTGCGCTGTCGAATCCTTCTCGCTTTTGAATCCTGCATAACATGCAAGGGTCTTGAGACTAGTGGGGTAGACCACCTAGTTCTCCTTCTCACATAGTATCGCCTTCTCTCACTCCGAAACACCACACATTCAACACACCACGTCCTCCTGTACAGAGAAAGATAAGCCCATCATGTGAATAGGTGTAGATGATATCTGGAGTGATATGTATTACATTTTGCATTGATGTCTGCTAATTGACTAATCGGACGAACAGTTCCAATCATTCAATAAGTCCTCAAAGGCCGAAGCTCTCATATTGTTAGTTTCTAGTGACTCGTACCGTAATATGCGACAAAACCACTTGTCTTTACCAGTAGAATATGTGTTTATCACATCATAGGATGTGTGGGTCGCCGTGTACAATACCTACAACTTGAACATGCTAGTGCGTATGTCAATTTTGGACGCTTCGCCGACTTGAAGCTCTCAATAGCTAGCTAAAATATGTAAAATACGAGACAATAAGGTCCTTTGAATCCCCGTTCTTTCTGACGTCGAGGAAAGATTACGAATTTCCTACGAGTCACCGGGCTTCACATAACACATGTGCAGAGACAGCACCAACTTCTATTCTCAAGCATTGCATCATACCTCTGATCTGGCGTTCCCCTAGCAACCCGAGTCTAAATTGATAGCAGGTACAGAATCTCGCGGGTTTAATGCTGTGATGATGTGGTCCTACTACCAACAAGAATTACCACGACGTGGTGACTGACAAGTCCCTGGTGGATATCCACATACCGACAGGAAGTATGTTAAGCAATGCATGTAATTCTGTGACTGAAATGTAGCAGCAAATCCCATCAGAATCCCTAGCAACCTCGCGAAAAGCCGTGGTTTCGACGGTGACGAGAATCCTCATTTCTAGGGCGAGAGCACCTAGGAAGAGCTAACACACTAGTGGTAACTTTGCAGAATGAAATATTTCACGACATAGAACGATGAAGGTTTTGTCGATCAAGTGGGTATCTTCCGGTATTAGGAATGAAAAATGAAGGTGAGGACTTTATGTCGAGTATTAGTGGGTCCATCAATACCTTGTACAAGCTAGTGTCATTACCAGCTTGCTCGCTTCAAATGTTGCATGCCGCGATGACTTAGCTAATCACACATTTGTATATAAATTACCATACTAAGCTAGACTCGGGAATTCACTCTTTTATGATACTGTGCAATACGTTTGTGGGCCGTGCTTTCTCGAGTCTTTAGACAATACAAGGGGCAATGAAGGTATTCGAGGGGAAGGCAAACTGCGTTGATGGAGTCATACGACACTACGCTGATACTCACAAGACACTATTATTGCGCTGGTATGCATTCTCGTCTTGTCTTTTTCTCCTATCTGAGAGACTTTAGTGCCATCTTAGCCCATTGATAATGGCGATTCTGACCCATGATCGGGGTTAAGGCCGAATGCGGTACCACTGAGCTGTGCTGGATCCCGGATGTTACCCGTGCGGGATATCAATATAAAACAGCGTTTCTTTGCCATCAGGCTCCCAAAGATGTTATAAATGATGTTCTGCGCGGACGAATCCTTCGCGCGGACGGATCCTTCGCGATGCTCATGTTTCGTGCGAAGACATCGCCCCCTTTCCTAAGCCGTACTGTTTTTCATTGGACATAAAAATTCCAGATAGATAAAAGTACCGAAACTACTTCCTTGTAACAATTCACAATCAGACACGCACCATTCGAGCTCAAATGGGCTGACAAGCTTCGCGAGACTCGCTAGTGCGTTCTCGCACATATAGATGAATCATATTCAGCCATTGCTGTGACCTAAGGAATCTCTTGGCAGATTTTGTGTATGCGATTGTTTTCAATTCCTGTGAAAAATTCCGTGCAACCACGAGCGAATTCACATCTCAGAAATACATTCCAACCCAAGATGGCTTCTGACATTGAACTACCTATACTTGAGGCATACGATGTGTCTCCCAGAACCGGGTTTCTACCCGAAATTGTATCTGAAGAGACCAATTTGCACCCATCCTACCTGCCATGGATACAAGTTACCCAGCACTTACAGGATTTGATCATGCAAGATCAAATACGGAGCGTCGTTGACGGGCTTCCAGTCCTGAGTTGCCAGCATCTCGAGACAACATCGCAACGAAGAAAAGCATACTCGATACTGGGCTTTATTTGCCATGCGTACATTTGGGGAGGCGAAGAGCCGGCAGAGGTATGATGGAAATAATGTTATTTGAATCCTGCGACTGACTCTTACTCTAGATTATCCCGGAATCAGTATCGAGCCCGCTCTTGTTTCTCTGCGAGTCACTGGATATGCCTCCTGTTGCGACCTATGCCGGATTAGTTCTATGGAATTATAGAGTTGCACAGGATATGGAACCACTTTATCGTATCGATAATCTGGCAACTCAAATTACCTTCACAGGTGCGATTGACGAAAGCTGGTTCTACCTTGTCTCGGTAGCTATTGAGGCTCGAGGTGGTCCACTAGTCCGAGCCGTCTTGGATGCAGTCCGTTATGTGCGAGAAAATGAGATCAATGCCGTTGCTACCCAACTTCTCAGTATACTTGAGGGCATCCAAGATATATGCGCATTGACGCAACGCATTTATGAGAACTGCGATCCACACTTCTTCTACAACAAAATCCGTGTATTTCTTGCCGGTAGCAAAGGAAATCCAAAACTGCCTAGTGGGGTATATTTTAATAATGGAACACATCCAATACAACCGGCTCGTTTTTCTGGAGGATCGAATGCTCAGTCCAGTCTGATTCAACTCATTGACCTCGCTTTGGGTGTCAGACATCACCCCACCAGAATCCATGCACACGGGCTCAGGAACAGTGAAGTAAAAGGAATCTCTGATTCGGTCCCCGAGGAAGAGTCCGAATTCGTGGCAAGCATGCGGGACTACATGCCTGATCCTCATCGTCGATTCCTAATCCACTTTGCGAAAGTTGCCAATATTCGAGCCTTTGTTGAGATGAACCGAGATCACGAGCAGCTCATCAACTCATATAATGCTTGTATCGGTGCTCTGGTGAGATTCCGGGACGTGCATTTGAAGATAACAAATAGCTACATCCTTCAGCAGAACCCGAACAGCTATCGTAATGCGAGGAGACAACAGGGAGCTTACAAGCCAAGACAAATACATATCGACACGAATACTCAGTCTGGGGGCACCACCACCACAAATTTGAGCCATAAGAAGATTGAATTTGCTGTGCGTGGGACAGGGGGTACAGATCTCCTTCCGTTCCTCAAACAGATCCGCGATGAGACCTGCTCCTCGTACGCTTAGGGTTCCTTGCCGACTCATTTTTAGTATTGATGGATGTTATCATCTTTGTGGCTGAGCTTATGTTGATCGCTTATTTGTAGTTATGCTGTGGTAGCAACGAAAATGTTGGAATTTCTCCTTGATTGATTACAGGACGCTCTTAAAACACACCGGACATACAGTAAGACACATTGGGTGATTTTCTAAAGGTGCAGAATTATCTCGCCAGTCTAAGAATTGGGGATAGCAATACATGAATTTTAAATTCAATCGTTCTTCTCATCGTCCTTCTCGATTGGCCTCCACTCAAAGCCGAGAGCAGCTATCAGACCAACACTAACCAATCCAAGCGCGATGTACAATATGTCAATGATAGCAGAATTATAGGCCAGTATGATCTCCGGTTGATATTCAGCAGGCACGAAGCCCTGAAGTCCACTTGCACCATTTTGCTTGACAGTGGCCGCGTCCAAATTCGGGATGTTTTTCGTTAGAATGCTTGCCAGCTTGTCCAGGAATATATTTTGCGAGATGGATAAAAATATGATACCACCGAGCATCTGCACAAAGTTCAACAGCACCAAACCTGCAGGAACAAGTGATTGCTCAAGAACAATTTGCAGGGCGATGAATGGAGGCTGGAATGCCATTCCAACACCGGTACCGTAAATTATTTGGTAACCTATCCATCGTCCTGCAGACGTATGGGGTTCAAATGTGGTCATCAGAGCTGCTCCAGCCACACTCAGCACACTGCCAAGAAGTAACGCTGGATTGATATAGCTAAGTTTCGATGTAAAGGGTCCACTTGCCAGCGCGCAGATGGACATACTTAGCGTGGTCGGTAGATACATCAGACCTGAACCCAGGGTATCTGCTCCGCGCACTACTTGGAAATACAGTGGGAGCTACTGGTCCATTAGCAGCAAGCCCGCAGTGATAAGGTGGATAGTTCTCAATGAAACTTACATAGTTGTCGAGGATCCACAAAGCGGCAAAGTTGCAAAAGCCAACCACACAGCTGAAGGCGACATTTCGCTGTCGTAGTAGTGGCAAGGAGATCATGCTTGTTTTGCCCCCGATACGCTCAGCTACAAAGAACAGAATAGCAAGCACGCCGGTTAGGGCGAGTAAGACGATGATTCTCCAATTCGACCACTTGTATGTCGTACCAGCCCATTGTAGACACAGAATCAAGCAGATAGTCATAGGAAGCTGTGTGACTAGCCCATACCAGTCGAGGCCCTTCAACCTTTGACTGACACCAAGTTGTTTGTCGTCCGCATTCTGACTCAGACGACCTGAAGTGACGATCACGCCTAAAGCAACAGCGGTTCCCAGACCCACAATAATCCAGAAGTTGATCCTCCAACTGTCACCATAAGCAATTGATCCACTGATCAAGGGCCCAAAAGCGAGCGCCGCGCACTCTACGGCGCCGCATATGCCAAATATGGTGGGTCGAATCTTAAGTGGAACGGTACGCGCAAGAATACTGTGCTGTAAGTTAGCACTCGGTTCTTGAGAGCAGCCGAATCAGTTCATCGTGCTTAATACTAACATGTACATGCCAGCGTTTATTCCCGATGCACCGAGACCGCTAACCGCGCGACCTAAGATGAAGGCGGTAGATGTAGGTGAGGCAGCAGTAAGAATAGACCCGGCGACGAAGACGGTGAAGGAGAGAGCATAAAGCGTCTTCATGGAGTAGAAGGTGTAGAGTCGGCCCATGACCAAGATAGGCGCACATAAAGTCAATAAGCTTGTTGAGCAGAATTAGCCTAGCAGTCCGAGATTAAATGATGACGCTTTTGTGTTCAGTACTCACTATGTCGTTTGGTACCAACCGATATCTTCAAGAGCGTTAAAGTCATCGGTAAGAACCACAAGAAGGGTGCCAATGCAACTGCTGTCCTACAACAAGTCTTGTTAATTATATCCTTATTTTTTGATGGCTTGCGAGATGCAATTTTTCTTTCTGTACAACTAGAAGACCTACAAATCCAATAGTAAAGTTACCAAGAAACAGACATAATAATAGACCGATCAACTGGATGCCGTGGAGAGTCGGGGGTGTCTGAGAATTTGAGCTGGATGCAGTCTCCTTGTCAGGGCCAACCTCCTTTCCTGAATGCGCAACGTCAGCCTCTTGCGTCGGTTTCGACTCTGGCCGGGAGATCTCATCATCGGATCTATGAAGGTCCGCCAACTCCATTGTTGTAGCCGATCTGCCAAATTATGCTCGGTCGCAATGGAGGTTATTCAGTCACAAAGTCGGTATCACGCAGCTCGATTCGGATAAACAAGGACGTTCGGCGACTTCGTTGAGTATATTGGGCTGAGGTTGAGCGCTGCTTGCTCTCACAAGAGGAAGCGATACGCATGCAATATTGCGAGATGAAAAGATGGCTTGGGTAAAATCAGACGGGTGCACGCATGTCTGCCTCCAGGGCTGCGAGGCTCCCGGGGAGGTTACTAAATTGGCGACGCTTTTTCATTTGACTGAAATCCACTAGTCTGTAAAAAGGTTAGGGTTACAATACCAGTACAGAGTTACCATCAAAACAACCTCCAGCTCAGAAAATTCTAAGTCCAACACCTAACTAACCACCCTTTATTATAATCATTCTAATGGACCCTAATGGCCCTAATAACCCCCCTAATATCATGGGTAAGGAATGTAGGGTGTGAATTGTGGAACTAGTGTGCACTAGATAGTAAAATACGATGTTTTATCTGTGAAATTGTTTACTAGTGGAAAAACGGAAACTCTAAAAGCGTCGCCAATCTAGTAACCTCCCCGAGGCCCGGGGAGGAGAGAGCTCGGGACCCGTACGGACTCCGGGGCGATACTCCTTAAATAATCCACTCTGCAATACATACACGCATAAAGGAGCGTTCAGCGCAAAGGAATCACCGGCGCGAAGGAGCTATTAACAGAGTGCGCGATTGCTCATAAGCGAAATGTAACATCACGGACCAGTTATCACTAAATTCCTAAACGAAGAAGAATCCTCTCCGTGGCCAGGTTCCAAGGTTACCACTAGTATAATATTGCAATCCTTAATCAATTAGTACCAGTTCTTTATGCACGGTGGCACCTGAAGCCCCTGCACTTGTTCATCAATTAATGGTGCCATTTAATACACACGAGCCTTCAAGTTGGAAGCCGCGATCAACGTCCTACCAGTGGTGAGTAACTGTGGACGCACACCAATTGATTATCATGATCCTATGAATGGTCAATACTTCGGACTACGTAGAATAAAATAAAATACACACGCGAAAAAAAAAAGATACATGAACCAAGTTAACAGGAGCATGAACAATATCTGAAGATCCGCTAGATGAAATACAATAATGCATGACATCAATTCAGGTTAGCATATCGAATAATACTAAGTCCCACCTAGGCACCATACATGCCATTGACTGTTAGTCCCATACTAGATTAAGTACATTTGCATCATGATGTTTTAAGTAATCGAGAGCGATTCAAAAAGTTGACTCTAGTATCTGGTCCGGAGTGGATCCCAGGCTAGAGCACTTGGTTAGTATATCTATGACTGATCGGGACATCTAGTAGCTTGATCCTATGTTTATAGCTTCCTCCCAACCCCATAGGAAGCTTCTTGCCCTTGAAGATACATTACGTTCAAAATTCCCATTGCTTGCAGCAATATCACCATGATTCTCGATCATAATAAGTTCGATAATAGTCCTGGTACGCGAAGATTACTCATTTAGCGGAGAATAAACAAGCAAAGACAAAACACTAACATTTTGGACAAAGAGAAGCGACCGGGACATACCGACTCCGAGTCGGGTATGCAATATTGTGCTGATAGATTTTCCTTACTTGACAACCGCAACAAACTCAGCGTTGCCGACATATCCCAAAAGATAGCAGTTTCCTGTGGTGTACAGTCCTCGCAGATCGAAGACGCCTTTCCATGCACACCTCTTCAGGAGGGTCTCCTAGCTTTGAGCGCGCATCTGCCAGGCTACTATGTCGCACGATACAAGTTACTTTTGCGCCCAGAAGTCAGTGACCTCGCCCTCCGAACCACTTTGAGCCATGTTTATGCGTCGACGCCGATCTTAAGAACCCGGATAGTTGATCTTGCCGACGAGGGCCTGGTACAGGCCATAATAGACGAGCCATTCATGTGGGCGACAGCGAATGACCTCGATGAATATCTGCGCCATGACAAACAGCGAACTACAAGCACAGGGTCTCCTCTAGCTAGGTTCGCGCTTGTAGATGATCACAAACGCAAGCAGCGCTTTTTCGTCTGGACAATGCACCATGCGCTTTACGATTTCTGTTCGGTGCCACTGCTTTTGAAAAGGGTGAACGATGTTTATTTGGGAAAAGATCCAGCTGCTTCAGCTCCATTCCAGAATTTTGTGAAGCATATCAGAGAGATGGAAGTCTGTTCCGCAGAACAGATATGGAAAAAGCACCTGAGTGGCAACGAAGCACCAATGTACCCCCAACTTCCGAGCATCAAATATCGCCCAAAAGCGGATCAAACGGTATCTTGCCTTTTCAAAGACCTCCCATGGTCGCGTGAAGCTGGCACCCAGACAATGCCGATGGTCTGGGCGGCATGGGCTGTTCTCATGGGCCAGCACGCTGTTACAGATGAAGCAGTCTTTGGAGTGACTACTTTTGGGCGGCAAGCCAACTTCGTTGGTATTGAGAGCACGACTGGTCCTACTATGGCCACTATACCATTGAGAGTAGATATTGCCAAGGAAATCACTGTCACGGAGTTTGTATGCAGACTACAACAGTCAGCAGCAGAGCTAGCCACCGTGGAACATTACGGACTACAAAGAATTCGAAAGATCAGCACCGATGCGGAGAGGGCTTGCGGATTTCAGACTCTTGTCGAAGTTAATCTACAAGAAGAGTACTTGAATCCAACAGATGGACCATTCGACCCAAGCTCTCTAGAGGATTTCTCTGCCACTGACAATGCCCAAAATGCGCCACTATTCACAACTTTCGCTTTGAAGGTCCAAATCAGATTGCTAGCCTGTGGTCTGGATTGCATGCTCACATTCGACTCCCGCATAATCAGCCGCGATGAAGCGAGCTCTCTCCAACGTCAGCTCGAGCATGTCCTCCGACAACTTTGCGATCCAATTAATGCTGCTGTCAAGCTATCAGATATTGACTGGACAGGACCGAACGATTTGGAGCGCATTTGGACCTGGAATGAGACAGTCCCTCAGAGGGCCGACGACTGTGTACATGAATTAATATCACGAACAGCTCGTAGTCAGCCTGATGCTCCTGCTATCTGTGCTTGGGATGGCAAGCTTACATATGGAGAACTTGCCCAGATGTCTACTGACTTGGCTCACTACCTAGTCAGTCAGGGTGTTGAGCGAGGTACGATTGTGCCATTATGCTTCGAAAAATCCATGTGGACATCTGTTTCAATCCAAGGAGTAATGAAAGCAGGCGGAGTTTGTGTTACTATGGACACCACTCAGCCAGAAGCCCACTTACAGCGAATTGCTTGTCAAGTCTCAGGAAAGGTTCTTCTATCCTCGATCGCAAACAAATCGATAGCGGAACGGCTGGCAGGCGACCGTACGAACGTGATTATCCTCGAGACATACTTTTTACAGGCCAAGGGTATACGATTGAACACTCGTTTGCCTACGGTCGACCCATCGGACCTGGTCTACATAGTATTCACGTCTGGAAGTACCGGTACTCCAAAAGGCGCTATGATCAGACATTCTAATTTCAGTTCTGCCATTCTCCACCAACGCGGACCTCTCCGCGTGAAACCCGAAGACAGGGTCTTTGACTATGCGTCATATGCGTTCGACATTTCGTGGTTCAACGTACTATCTACACTGATTGTGGGAGCCTGTCTCTGTGTGCCGAGCGAAGAGGAGCGTCGTGGAGATATTGCAGCATCAATACGTCGCTACGGCGTGACATATGCCGATTTTACTTCATCTATCTCACGTTTGATTGAACCCAGTGAGGTGCCTTCACTTAGACACCTTGTATTTTGTGGCGAGCCAGTTCTTGCTCAGGATGCTATCCGCTGGGGTCATTTACAGGGGGCTATAAATACATATGGGCCTGCCGAGTGTACACCCAAGAGTCACATCTACGATTACGTCTCAGAACCATCCAAGCTGTCAAATGAAATTGGTTGGGGAAGAGGGCTGAATCCCTGGGTAACGCAGCCTGAGAATCCCGACAAGCTGGCAGTCATTGGCTCATTGGGTGAATTGTGGCTTGAAGGACCACTCGTTGGTGCTGGCTACTTTGGCGACTGTGAGAAGACGGCAGCTGCCTTCATTGAGAATCCTGCATGGCTGCTGAGTGGTGGGCCTGGTCATTCCGGCAGAACTGGGCGCCTCTACAAGACTGGTGATCTGGTGCGGTATAATCCAAACGGTTCATTGAAATACGTCAAGAGAAAGGATGCACAGGTGAAGGTGCGGGGGCAGCGCGTAGAGCTTGCTGATATTGAACATCATGTGCGGAATGCATTAAATGTCCAAGAGGGCGAGATAAGTGTCATTGTTGCGCTCATTTTGCCCAAAGGTGGTGAAAACAAAGTTTTGACAGCCTTCATCAGCACTTCCGTGACTGATGTCAACACTGTCCACGATAAACTTGATGCTCGTGTATCCCGGGCCACAGAAACACTGCAAGAGCGCGTTCCATCTTATATGATTCCTGCAGCTTATGTGGCTCTACCAAGTATGCCAATGGGTGCTACTGGTAAAACAGACCGAAAGAAGTTAAATGCAATTGGGTCTTTTATGACCTTGGAAGAACTTACCTCGCTTGGCAACAAGTTCGAAGAAGCTGGACGGAGAGCGCCTACAACGACGACTGAGCTTCGTCTGCAAGCAGCTTGGGCATACACCTTGCAGAAAAGCTCTGAGAGGCTGAACCTAGACGACAATTTTTTCAGGCTTGGTGGCGACTCTATCTCTGCTATACGGCTAGTCAGTGCTGCGCGACGTGAGGGCCTATCAATCACAGGTTCGGATATCTTCCAAAAGCCTACTATTGCTGGCCTTGCAACTCTAGCCACTGAGATTGCGACATCAGCATCAGACCTCCCGGGCACTACTCTCCCTTTCTCAATGTTTGGGCCAGGAATAAGCTCCGCAGACATACGTAGCCATGCCGTTGCTACGTGTGGCATTTCACACGATCTAATCCTAGATTGCTTCCCGTGTACACCTTTGCAAGAGGGACTCATGGCGCTGAGTACTCGCATGGAGGGAGACTACGTTGCACGATTTGTGCTGCGTTTGAGGAATTCAATCGACATCGGACGATTTCGCAACGCGTGGTCTCAAATGGTAGTGGCCACCCCAATTTTACGGACACGTATTGCGGATCTAGGAGATCACGGTCTCGTGCAAGTGGTGATTGATGAAGAAGTTGTTTGGGAGACCAGAGAGTCTGATCTGGATGAACATCTCAGAGCGAAGCAGGCCATTGGTGTCGGCCTGGGAACGCCACTCGTGCGATATGAATTGATCAGAGATAATAAAATCCAGCGGAATTTCTTCATTTGGACAATACACCATTCCTTATACGATGGCTGGTCCATTAATTTGATGATTCAAAGAGTACAGCAGCTTTATCGAGGTCAATCGCTGCCCGCAATCATCCCGTTCCAAAACTTTGTCAAGCGAGTCAGGATTGACATGGTGCACGACTCTGCAGAGCAGACGTGGAAAGAGTATTTACATGGGCTGGATGCACCGCCTTTTCCGTCAATTTCCTCGACAAACTCCCAATCCGACAGTAACAGCGTGATAACCCATAACATTTCAGGGGTAAAATGGCCACGCACGGGGATTACAGCTTCAACAACAATACGCGCGGCCCTATCTATTGCAATAATGCAGTACACGGGTCTCTGTGAGGCATTATTTGGATCCATTTCTTCGGGACGTCAGATGAATATGCCTGGGATCGAAGAAGTTGTTGGGCCAACGATAGCGACAGTTCCAGTCCGCGTCACTTCACAAGAAAAAGAAACCATAATCCGATTCCTGCAACGAGTCCAGGATCAAGCAATTCAGTTGACAGCTGTTGAACAGTTCGGCCTACACCGGATACGACTGCTTGGAGCTAGCGCTGAGCAAGCATGCCAGTTCCAAACATTGCTTGTCGTACAACCAAAGACACAAGCAAACGTTGAAGAAGCACTGTTTGAACCAGCCGGCAAGGACGGAACTTCCAAGAAACCATTCAGCGAAGCTGAAACGCTCCGTACTTACGCACTGATGATAGAATGTACACTGGCTGATGATGAGCTGCTCTGTCATGTGTCATACGACTCCGAAATCATATCATCCAACAAAGCTCAGAAGTTTTGCTATACGTTTGAGCAAGCAATTCGTCAGTTATGCGTCCCAGAGAATCACGAAAGGCGGCTTGCGGACCTCGACTTTTTAAGTCCCCAGGACTTAGAATACGTCTGGCGATGGAACGAAAAGATCCCTGAGACCGATTCAAGATGCATGCATGAGTTAATCTCTCATGTTGTCCTTGAACAGCCCGAAGCCGCTGCTGTCTGTGCTTGGGATGGCCAATTCACGTATACAGAGCTTGAGTGCCTTTCTACGAGACTGGCTTACCAATTAGTTGATCGAGGTCTTGGTGGCCAGGGAGGAAAATTTGTACCCCTGGCTTTTGAAAAGTCAAAGTGGACGCCTGTGGCTATGTTGGGTGTGATGAAGGCCGGCGGAGCCTCTGTTACTTTGGATTGTACTTTTCCAGAACAGCGGTTGCAATCCATCGTTTCTCAGCTATCCCCTCATCTTATCTTAGCCTCAGCAAGACAGAAGGAGCTTGCCGGTAGGCTTACCTCCGCACCCGTCCTGACTGTCGATGCATCTCTTGCAGAGCAGATCTCACCATCGCTGAAGCTCAGTACCCTACCCACAGTCAGCTCGTCAGACCCGATCTATATCGTTTTCACCTCTGGCAGTACAGGGACTCCAAAGGGGGCAGTGATGACACACAGAGGTTTCAGCAGCGCTATCCAGCACCAGGCAGGTCTACGCTATTCAGCTAGTGCGAGGACTTACAACTTTGTCTCTCACAGTTTTGATGTCTTTTGGCATGACGTACTCCGTACCTTCGCGGCTGGAGGTTGTTTATGTGTGCCCTCTGAGGATGATCGTATGAACGACTTGGCTGGTTCCTTCGAGAGTCTCCGATCTAATTCGCTGGCCATTACTCCTTCATCCGCTCGGCTGATCGATCCGGAACATGTCCCAGGTTTAAAGCATCTAGTCATGGGTGGAGAGCCAGTAACCGCTGCAGATGTGTCGAGGTGGAAGGGCCGAGTCGACCACATTATCAGCGTTTATGGGCCTGCAGAATGTGTTCCACCAATTGCGATAGCATCTTGCGATCCAAACTCCACCATCGCCCCCAGTCTTGGGCGTGGCGCAGGCGTCAACATATGGCTGGTTGATCCTCGGGATCACAACAAACTCTCATCTGTGGGCGCGATAGGCGAGGCTCTGATCGAAGGCCCTTTAGTTGGGGAAGGCTATTTTGGCAACAAGAAATTATCCGACACTGTCTTCATTGATCCTCCAAGTTGGCTTTTACGAAGAGATCCCGAACCGGAACGCTCGCATCACCGCTTGTACAAAACTGGCGATCTCTTGAGGTACAAAGAGGATGGAACGCTGGATTTTGTAGCACGGAAAGATGCTCAAGTCAAGCTCAACGGGCAGCGCTTTGAGCTCGTAGACGTCGAACAAAATCTGTACGATGTCATTGGTGCACACAGTGATGTTCAGCTCGCGTGTGAGATAATATCTCCTGCGAAAGAGGACAAGAAACTACTCGCCGCTTTTGTGACTTTGGCAAGCTTCTCTCGTACTGTTGGAGATGCTGTCAAGATAAAGGACGCCATGACTGCGTGGACTGCTGCTCTAAGAACAAAAGTGCCCGGGTACATGATACCGAGTGCATTCATCCCTCTAGAGGAAATTCCCAAAACACCGACAGGGAAGTTAGATCGACGGAAACTGCGCGACTTGGGTTCCTCTATGACCTTTGAGGAACTAAATTCACACAGCGCCTCAGACCACGAGCGACAGCCGCCAACTACAAAGATCGAGCGACAACTCCAGAAACTTTGGGCCGCTGTATTGAAAATTGACCCAATCCGAATTGGTGCCAATGACAGCTTTCTACAAGTCGGTGGAGATTCAATCTCTGCGATGCGACTTGTCACTTCTGCAAAGAAACAGGGGCTGTCGTTTTCAGTGGCCGATATATTCTCAAGGCCAGTGTTGTGTGACTTGGCTACGTCGGTCAATACAATGGCCCAAGAAGGCTCCAGCTCCAAGATCGAACCATTCTCGCTACTCACCACCAATGAAGATGTCATAGAGTTATCCAAGCGTGCAGCTATCTTATGCGACGTTCCGGCCTCGCAAATACAAGATGTGTTCCCTTGCACGTCGCTACAAGAAGCTTTACTAGCACAAACTGCAAAACGTGCCGGTGACTATACTGCATGTTTCACTTTAGAGTTGCGTTCGGACACCGAACTTTCTCGTTTCAAGAGTGCTTGGGAGTCTGTTTACGACAGTCATTCAATCTTAAGGACAAGGATCATTGAGCTTTCTGGCCATGGCCTCGTGCAAGTTACTCTCAAAAATTCCATTTGTTGGAGCCATTTCAAGACCTCAGATGAGGCTGAAAAGACCAAAGGAGTCAGGCACATTGGTCTCGGTAATCCACTCATCCATAACGATCTCGTGGAAGACGAAGAGTCAGGTCGCAAGTATTTTTTCTGGACCATTCACCACGCCCTTTACGACGGCTGGTCGATACCGCTTTTGATGGAAGACCTTGCTCAAGCCTACAATGGACATGTTCTTGTACCCTCTCCGCCTTTCCAAAACTTCATTTCATATTTACAGAAATCCGATGAAGTTACCACAATTGCCTTTTGGGAAGGCATGCTCCAAGGCTTGGAAGCACCATCATGGCCGGCAGTGACATGGCCCACACATCAGCTGCGTGCGGATACAAATCTCCCACACAATGTTACTGGCATAAATTGGCCCAGGGAAAGCAACATCACAGCTTCAACAATCTTGCGTGCAACCTTGACTATTCTCATCGGAGAATATAGCGCCGCTAGCGAGGTGGTCTTTGGTGCTACGGTTATTGGTCGACAAGCCCCTGTTGAGTCGATTGACCGTATAACAGGGCCAACGATTACGACTGTTCCAATCCGCACAAAGCTCAATATGGAGCAGAGCATCGATGAGCTCCTTCGCAGCATTCAGAAACAAGGGATTGACATTATGCCGTTCGAACAGATTGGTCTAAAGCGCCTTCGAAGAATAAGCAAAGACGCTGAACAAGCTTGTCAATTCCAAACTCTTTTGGTTGTTCAACCTGGACCATCTTCAAATGACCCGTCGCTCCAATTGTTTGAGCATTCCATACACGCCGAGGAGGCTCTCAACAAAGACAATGACAACACAGCCTTCAACACTTATGCCCTTCAAGTTGTCTGCAATATCATGGATGATGGTGTAACAGCAGAGTTTATTACCGACTCTACAATTATTGATCAGACTCAACTGCGTCGAATGGCTTTCCAGTTCGAACATATTCTTCGACAGATATGCTCGCTAGAGCGGGGCGGATCTAAAGTCGCGGATCTTGAGACTATCAGCGCTCATGATCGCGCTGAGATTGGAAGCTGGAATTCGAAGCCCTGGCCACCAGTGCATCAGTGCGTTCTGGAGCTTCTTGAACCGCAGTCACATTGGAACTCATCCGCAAAGGCCATTTGTGCCTGGGATGGGGACTTCACATACGCCGAATTGGAAACGCTATCCACTAAATTAGCTTATAATTTGGTTACTTTCGGTGTTAAACGAGGAGCCGCTGTTCCTATACTCTTTGAAAAGTCAAAATGGATGTCGATAACCATGCTTGCTGTTGTCAAGGCTGGTGGTACCGGTGTCACTTTGGATTCAAGTCTTCCCGCAAATAGATTACGGTCCATCATTGAGACAGTCCATCCCAAACTCCTCGTGTCTTCGTCGGGCTGTGGGGAGCTTGCAAGCAGCCTCACTACTGAGAAGGTAGTCTTGTTGGATGACAGCAGTCTGGCGGAATTGCCAAGCCCCCCGGAGAATTATCGACACCCAGCCATAACACCTGATGATGATTTGTACATTGCGTTCACGTCAGGCAGTACCGGTCGGCCAAAGGGAGTGGTAGTATCCCACCGTCAGTTCAGCAGCGCAATTAAGTATCAGCCGCAACGGCTTGGCATCACAGAAACCTCCCGGGTTTACGAATTCGTTTCCAATGGTTGGGATGGCATCTGGTTGGAACTTCTGTTCACGCTAGCAGCTGGTGCCTGCCTGTGTGTTCCAAGTGAGGCAGACCGTCGGAACCGACTCGCAGAGTCGATTCGTACTTTGCAGGCAAACTATGTTCATCTTACACCCACGGTGGCACGAATGCTGGATCCATCTCAGGTGCCGAGCCTGGAATGCGTGGGACTGGTCGGAGAGCCAATGCTCAAATCTGACAAAGATCAATGGACGCGATTCGGAGTCAAAGTTCTGAACATGTACGGACCCACTGAATGTACACCGTTGAGTAGCTGTGCCGAAATCGTAAGCCTAGATGAAGGGCCATTGGTGATTGGCAAGGGCATGGGTGCAAATTTTTGGATTTTGCGACCACAACACTCTTCACAGGACCTTGCACCTATCGGAGCAGTTGGCGAACTTGTAATTGATGGACCGATCGTGAGTAAAGGATATCATTCGGACGCACTCAGTACCTCCAAAGCCTTTGTTTCCAACCCACCGTGGCTGAAACAGAATGCCCGACTTTATAAGACTGGCGATCTTGTCCGCTACACGTCGGACGGAAACATTCTTTTCGTTGGCCGGAAGGACTCGCAGGTCAAAATTCGTGGGCAGCGAGTCGAGCTTAACGAAATCGAGAGTCATATGCGCAAGGGCCTTGCCACGAATTCACAATCAACCACACCACAACAACATACAATTTCTGGCTTCGCAGACGTGCTGATACCGGCAGAAAGCAAGAATCCAACACTAGTTGCTTTCATTCACGTTGAATCTACAGACAATCTCTCGGAAAATGATCTACGCTCTGTGGCAAACCAGGTCGTTCCTGGGCTGTTGCAACAGCTTACGAGCTCACTACCCGCATACATGGTGCCGAATTTCTACGTTCCAGTGGCTCAAATTCCAACTACGGCAACCGGGAAGATCGACAGGAATTCCTTGCGTAGGATAGGTGAGCTCTATACTCTTGAGCAGCTTTCAGCACTTAGTCCCGAGCGAGATGTCAAGCGGCAACCAGTCGACAAAACACAGATCCGTTTTCAGCAGTTATGGTCACAAGTGCTCGATATCAACGCTCAAAGCATTGGATCTGATGACAGCTTCTTCCGAGTTGGAGGGGATTCTGTCAGCGCAATGAGTCTGGCTAGTATAGCGCGAGAGCATGGTCTGTCCGTCACAGTTTCCGACATCTTTAAAAACCCGAGGTTGGAGGATCTGGCTGCAATGGCAAGCGAAGTGGTGGTTGCCAGCTCCGAAATCTTACCATTTTCTTTATTATCACGCGGTATCTACGAGGAGAGTGTTCAAGCTCATGCAGCCCGACTCTGCAAGGTGGAACCCGAACATATCGAAGACATCTTCCCGTGTACACCGATGCAAGAAGGCCTAATAGCAATAACAGCAAAACGTGCTGGCGCCTTTACTGCTTGTTACACCCTCGAGCTGCAGACCTCCGTTGACTTGAATCACTTCCGTCAGGCATGGACTGAAGTGCTTCACGCTACACCCATCCTGAGAACTCGCATCATCGATTTACCCGGCCAGGGTCTCGTCCAGGTGATTACTAAAATTGCTGAAGAATGGACCAACAGCGATATTGTTGACCATCCTGAGGTGGAAATGGGACTTGGTCTACCCTTGAATTCGCAAGGTATAGTCATCGAAAAAGGAACCAAGCGCCGGTTCTTCATCTGGAGAGTGCATCATGCTCTCTATGATGGCTGGTCTCGGTCTCTTGTGATCAATCGATTGGAAAAGGTATACCGAGGGGAGCCACTTGGACACTCACCACCGTTTCAATTCTTTGCAAAACATCTTGCTGATCTCGACATGACACGATGTGAATCATTTTGGAAGGAGCTACTGTCAGGCGTTGAAGCAGCTTCATTCCCGTCACTACCCAATGCATCCTACGAGCCACTGGCGGACAAGAGCATCACAAGTGTGATCTCCAATATCAGTTGGCCCAGGGGCGACATTACCCCATCAACGATAGTTCGGGCAGCATGGTCGATACTGACTGCTGAGTACACTGGGGTGAACGAGGCATTGTTCGGAATCACGGTCATGGGTCGTCAAGTCGTCCAGGGTATCGAGCAAATGGTTGGCCCTACGATTGCAACAATTCCAGTCCGCGTAGTCCTCAAGAAGCAAGAGACAATTGGAGACTTACTCCGCAGAGTCCAAAAGCAAGCCGTGGAGTCAATGGAATTCGAGCAAATTGGTCTGCAAAAACTTCGTCGCATCAACAACTATACCGAGCGAGCCTGTCAATTCCAAACACTATTGCTGATCCAACCAAGGAGTTTGGCAGAAGATGCGAAACGAGATAGAGAGCTCTTCCAGTATTCTCTAGGTGACGAGAAGGTGGCAAACTCCGACGACATCAACGCTGCGTTCAGCAGTTATGCACTGCAACTTTCCTGTGACCTGGGTGAAGATGATTTAACTCTGAGTCTCGTCGCAGACACCCACGTCATTAAGGAACCGCAGTTGCAGCGTATTCAACGGCAATTTGAGCACATCATCCGCTCGCTATGCAAGTCGAAGCCCGCGGTCAAACTAGGTGACATTTGTACTACAGGTCCATCTGATCGACAAGAAATTTGGCAGTGGAATGCAAGCGTGCCCGAGACAGCAGCTACGTGTGTGCATGACTTGATTTGGAAGATCGTCAAATGTAGTGATCCGACAACATTGGCTATAAACGCTTGGAACGGCAGTCTCACGTACGTTGAACTTGATGACCTATCAACTCGCCTCGCCCATCGACTATGCAGCTTAGGCGTAGGCCAAGGTTCAATTGTTCCCCTCTGCTTTGAAAAGTCAGTTTGGACTCCAGTCGCACAACTTGCAGTCATGAAAGCGGGAGCTGCATCCGTGGTACTGGATACAACCATTCCTGAACAGCGACTACTGGCTATCACTCAGCAGGTTCAACCTCTAGTCATAGTATCGTCAACTGGGAACAAAGAGCTAGCTAGCCGAATTGCCGAAACAAAAGTGTTGGTTGTCGATGCGGATCAATTATCTCAGCTTCCGAACTTGCCTTCCACATTATTACCCATCGTCCAACCTTCTGATCTGTTGTACGTCGTATTCACCTCCGGCAGCACGGGTCTCCCCAAAGGAGCACTTATCACACATCAAAACTTCAGCAGCGCGATTCAACATCAACAGCCTTCCCTGGGGATCGTTCCCACTTCCCGGGTTTACGACTTTGTTTCGTATGCATTCGATGTCGCCTGGTCCAATTTTATCCAGACGCTTACAGCTGGAGCGTGTTTGTGCATCCCTAGCGAATCTGATCGGAGAGGAAATATCGCCCAATCGATACAAGATCTCGGGGCCAATTATGCTCACTTGACACCAACGGTGGCTCGGACTATTAACCCTGAGGCCGTTCCTGGACTTCGAACAATGAGTCTGATTGGCGAACCTGTCTCGCAAGCCGATGTAAAAAGATGGGCCGATCGACGAATCATGCTGAATACTTACGGCCCCGCTGAATGCACACCTGTGAGCACAATCCAAGAGCTTAAAATTACGGATAATGGTGAGCCTCGGATCGGTAAAGCGGTCGGTAGCAACACATGGATCGTACGTGCAGATGACAACCAAGATCTGTGTGCGATCGGTGCTGTTGGCGAGCTCGTGATCGAAGGGCCGATTGTCGGTTCTGGATACCTTTCAGATCCCGCCAAAACCGCCAGTGCATTCATTGAACGCCCTCCGTGGCTGCTCCAGCGCAAGAACGGACATGAAGGTCGCACCGGGCGGGTCTATAAGACCGGAGACCTGGTCCGTTATGATTGGGATGGCAGTCTGAGATTTGTTGGCCGCAGAGATACTCAACTCAAGATTCGCGGTCAGCGGGTCGAACTCAGAGACATCGAGAGTCATCTTCAGAAGCATCTCTCCGCATACGGCGATATAGAAGCTGTGGTCGACGTTGTGTGTCCAAGCGGAAACGAGAATCCCATTCTTCTTGCCTTCATCTGTCCTTCAGACGCAGCTACACTTTCCGAGTCAGATCTCATTGCCACCGTGCAGCGTATAACAATGGGAATTGAGTCGAGACTTCGACAAGATCTTCCTCTGTATATGATACCGAACGCTTATATTCCAATGCCAGTCATGCCGGCCACAGTCACAGGCAAACGCAACCGGACAGATCTGCGAAGATACGGTCAAAGCATGACACTTGAGCAATTGGTCGCGTTGAGCGCCGGGCAACATAATCGAAAGAAGCCTTCCACTCCGCTAGAACGGCAATTGCAAGAAGTCTGGGCCTCTATTCTCCACGTTGCTCCAGACTCAATTGGATCAGAGGACAGTTTCTTCCAGCTTGGTGGAGATTCCATCATCGCAATGCGTCTGGTTCGAGAAGCAAACAATATTGACCTACCATTGAAAATTCAGGATGTCTTCACGCATCCACGACTCTGTGACCTGGCAACACTCGTGGAAACGTCTGTAGCCGGAAAGGTAATCTCCGGGTGCAATGGAAACGCAGCACTTGATATCCGTGGTGAGGAAGCCAACTCTAGAGATGACCATGCAAAAGCCATGCTCGGGAGGCCGACCACTGCTTTCCAGACGAGGTGTATCGAAGGTGCATTACGGGAAGATAAACAGTGGTGGAATTATTGTTTATTGACTCTTCCTTCTCACATACCGACACCGCAAATTGTCAACATGTGCAAAGTCTTGTGGAATCAATTCGATATACTTCGCACTGTCTTCTTCCGGGATCAAGATCGATATCTGCAAAAGGTGCCGCGAGAGCAACAGCACAGCTACAGTATCGAGGAGCACGATGGAGATATCGAGGACATCACTAGAAACGTGTGCTTGGAGGACTTCAAAGAGCATGCGATACTTGGCACTTGCTTCACAAAATTCCTCATCATCGCCACGTCAGCAGGCGAGAGAAGATTGGCCTTACGACTTTCACACGCTCAGTATGACGGCATGAGTCTGCAATATCTCCTAAGCTACCTTTCTTCTGCCCTCCGAGGAGAAATGCGAACCGACCCTCCTCAATTCATGAACTTCATCGACCAAAGCATGATGCACATCGAAAGCTCAGATCATTTCTGGCAGTCAGTCTTACAAGATGCGCCGATGACACCGATCCCTGCACCCCAAGGATCGTCAACTTTTACACAGGGCGAAGCTATTCCCAAGGTATCTTGTACCAGGGATATATGCTTTTCTATTCCACACAGCGATATGACACTCGCCACGGCATTCACAGCCGCATGTGCGTGTGTGATTGCGGGAGTGACTGCGACGTCGGACGTTGTTTTCGGCCGACTCATTACTGGTCGCGCTGTCCTCGAAGAAGCTTTACAGGAAGTCTTAGGCCCGTGTGTCAATTTTGTGCCTGTGAGAGTCAACTTCCAAGAGGATGATATATCCCTCAAGTTTGCCCAACAAGTTGTGCATGAACAGTACGCGAGAAGTCTGCCATATCAGACAACAGGCCTCGGCAAAGCCGAGACAGACCCACGCATGACGCAATTTGCCTTCACTGTTCACTATCAGGCCGTCAACGATCGACCTACCATAAGTTTGAACGGAAGCCAAAGCCGGCTCGACTTCTTGGAGCTTCCGGAAGGCTATGATACGGGGGAAGTTGAAATCATAGCCAAACCATCAGGCGAGTCACTCAACGTCACCGTGACTGGGGGAGCGCATCGGGCCGAAATCATGAGAGACGTGCTGGACAGGCTTTGTACCCTATTGCATCCAATTGCTAATGGGCGAGCTAATCACGCGACGTAGATTGTGTGCTAACCATTCTGTCAAGGAGGGAAATGGGATTCATCAAAGACTTGGTTATAGAATGTTGTCTGCTCTTTTATAACTGATGTTCACTTCACAAACTTTTCCTGTCCTTCCAGATTTTGTATATATAGATAACTTATAAGGTGCTGCACATCTACAAGGTGTCTAAATAGTATTAAGAATCTTCTTCTTAAATATTTTATTAAAAGTTTAGATTTAGAAGTTAGGGTTATACCTAGGTAATATATAAAAAAGAATCTTATTGATTAATATATTAATAGTATTATTATATATAAATTATACTATTTTAAGAAGTTAAATCTAGTTTAATTATTTTTTGTTAATAAAATATCTAAGATAATCTTCTAAAATCTAATTAAGTCTTTTTATTTATCTATTAGTTTAGGAATATAATATAATAAAGAACTATAGTTCATTTTTAGAATAATAATAAAGTTATAATTAGAATCTATTTATAAAAATAAGTTTTTAATTAAAGATAATTCTCTTTAAGTTTCTATATTTAAATTTAATTTAATTAAAAAAGAGTTAAGTAAGATCTTTTATAGATATTATTATTAATATAGAAAAGAATTAAAAGAGTTTTATAAGTTAATAAATAATTATTAGAATTATATTATATTTTTTTTAAAGATTATAATTAGAAGTCTTATAATTGTCAGGGTGTGGCAGGTAGTTATATATTAGGAGTTAGTAGGCTGGCTTATACAGTAAGTAGGGGATCAGAAGTAGTTATATTATAAATAGGCTATAGGATAGAAGGTTGACCAAGACGTAGCTTAAAGAGCTATATCAAATAGGAATAGGAAGTTCTAATAGTCTTAGGGGTTATATAATAATAGGAATAGGGATCCTCTTATATAAGGATCTATACTATAATATTACCCTTCTCTTTAGAGCTAAGTTTTATAAGACTAAGATAGTACTTAGGTTAGACTAGGTTTTAATAAGTATCTTTAGTAGAAGTTATTTATAATCTCTCTAATATTCTCTAAATATTTAATAGGCTCTTTTGTAGGGTTATTGTAATCTAACTATTTTATAGTATACTTTAAGTAAGATTTTATATAATCTTATTGTTTTTATCTAGAGTCTAGAATATCTTTAATAACCTATTCTTTAAGACCTTTACTTCAATTAGAAATAGAGAAGATTATCTTTATATTAGGAGAGGATTATTTGAGATAGAATAAAGTAAGTTTATATTAAAAATAGAGTAGATCTTTATTCTAGGCGGAAGTTCTAGATAGTAGGTATATAAACCTATAGTCTTAAGAATCTTAAATAGACTAAGGTTCTTCTAATTAAGTTTCTTCTATAGGTAAAGAGTCTTAATATTTTAGATACTAAGCTAAACTAGTTGTTTAACTTAGTAATTCTAAATAGACTAATAGTATTAGTTTATAGATTCTTTATAATAGACTTAGATAGATATTATCTTATTCTATATAAACTTAGTAATATCTTTTATTTATATAGTAATCTTCTTAGTATCTAGGATAGTAATAAATAGATAAGGATCTAGTTATATAGACTTAAATCCTAGGGTTAGATAGAATCTAAAGTTAGTAAAGAATAGGGAAACTTTAGTAGTCTTAGATTTACTAGAGTTTAAAATAAATTTAACTAGTAGAAACTATTCTAATTAGTTATCTTATAGATATAAAATATATACTTATAGATATTATTCTAAGATTATATTTATTTATTTAGTTTAATTATTAGTCTTAGGGTAGTATATAGTTAATAGTAGGTTTATAATTTATAAATATTAGATTAAGTATCTCTAGAGTTTTAATATAAATTAGGGTCTATAATTAGATATAATTATATAAGATAAGCTATATAACTTCTAGATATATTAGGTATATAATCAGAAGACTTCCCTAATATTATAGGTTTTATAGTAGAATATAAAATATCTTATCTTTATAAGTTAGTCTACTACTACTAGGATAGTATTAAATCTATTACTTTCTAATAGATATATAATAAAGTCTATTAAGATATCTTACTAGGGTTATATAAGTATAGATAAGGAATAGAGAACTTCTTATTAGACTTCTTAGGATAGGGTAATCCTTTAATAGATATAATAGTTTTAGGTCTAGTAAGTAATATACTAGTAGATTCTAGGCTAGTAGTACTCTTAGAAGATTAGTTTATATATTTTTAAATATCTAGGGTATCTAGTAGTAGGGGTTTTATAGTAAAGTTATATAAGCTTATTTTTTAGGTTTTTATTATTAGAGATATAGAGTTAGTCTCTAAATAAGAGGTAATTTCTACTTTATATATATTTAGTAAGTATAATCTTTAGGTATTAGGGTTAATTTAGGTCTAGGGCTTCTAGGATTAATTAAAGCTCTCTATCTCTTTTATATATCTTATTAAAGACTTCCTTTAGAGCAATAGGTAGTTTATATATAATATTATTAATAAATCTTAAAGACTTTTAGGGTCTCTTAGAGATTAGTTTATACTCTAGTAGAGTTAGTTTAGATTTAATATTATACTCTAGTAAAGTTAATTTAGATTATTATATAATTATAGTATTAATATTTAGATTATCTTAAATCTAGTTATCTAAGTTCTTTCTTTTTAGGATTATATAGCTTTAGTATCGGAGTTATTTATCTTCTTTTTTAGGAAGATCTTCTAATCTTCTGGTTAGGGTATTAGGCTTAATACCTTATTATCTAAGGTAGTAGATAATCTTAAAATTAAACTAGGATAGAAACTTAGATTATTAGGCTTATTATTAGTTTAAAAGCTTTATTATTATAAAATACTTTAGGTTTTAGTAGTTAGTAATTATAGAGATTAGGAAGTTTGTTCTCTCTAATTCTAGATATTATTCTTTAAAATATTATATAATTATAAGTAGTTCTTTATTATAGATTTTATAATTATACTTTATTATAGAGTACTTCTTAGAGAAAAATATAATAGGGTAAAGAATATTCTAGTTATTATACTATAAGATTACTTTAGTAGAGATATAGTTAAAAATATTAGTTTTAAGTATTATATTCTTTATCTAATTAAAAGGGGTTAGGATAGGAGTAGATATAAAAGTAGACTTTAATATTTTAAATACTTTCTAGTAGGTAAGATTCTAGATAAAGATAATACTTTTCTTAGTTAGATAGACTAGTTATATAGTTAGTTTCGAAAAATCTTAGATAAACTATTAGTAGAAGTTTATAAATCCTAGGAAGGCTTATATATTAGTAAGGTAGGTTAGGGTTTTCTACTTAATAATTATATAAATCTTTTTTAGATCTATATAAAGGCTATCTTATCTAATAATAATTCCTAAGAATTTTATTTTATATATATAGAATTTATATTTAGATAGTTTTATAAATAGATTAGCTTTATAGAGTTATTATAGGACTTTTTATATATATTTAATATACTTAGCTTTTATATAACTATAGATTAGGATATTATCTAGGTATATAGTATAGAATAGGTTTAGGTAGTTATAGAGAGAGTTATTAATAAACCTTTAGAAGATTATAAAAGCTCTAATAAGTCTAAATAGTATTATAAGAGATTTAAAGAGTCTAAGTCTTATATAAAATACTATAAGATATTCCTACCTAATCTTTATATAGAGATTATTAAATACTAATATAATATTAACTTTTATAAAGAATTTTATTCTTTTTAGGTTATTTAGAGTCTCTTTTATTAGGGATAGTAAATAATGGTCTTTAACTATAATTATATTTAGGATATAGTAGTCTATATAGAATTATAGACTACTACTAGGTTTATAAATAAATAGTATAGATAAGGTAGTAAAAGATAAACTTAGATAAATAAACCCTTTCTTTAGGTTCTCTATAATCTAGTCCTTTAGGATAGTAAGCTCTATATAAGATATAGTATAGAAAGGTCTAAATAGTAGTATCTTATCTTCTACTAGTTATATATTATAGTTATATAAGTAGTATAGGGATAGTTTATTAGCTTCTTTTAGAGAGAATATATTAGTATAGTCTCGAAATTCAGTAAGTAGATAATTAGTAGGGTTCTCTTCTTTAGGTTTCTTATTTAGAGTAGTTTTAATATCTTTAATTATTATAGTAAAGAGTTAATAGCTCTTTTAGCTTTTAGTATATACTATATAGGTATTTAAGCTTATAGCTTTAATATCTTAGGACCTTAGGTAGATAGATTAGTCTAGTTAATTGTAAAGATAGGCTTTTAGAGGAATTTTATATATAGTATAGATCTTTAGGCTTTATATAGCAATATTATAGTTCTTCTAGTAATATATACTATTAAACTTAACTATATAAGTAGTAAACTAGACTTTTAGATTATAGATCTTAAGTTAAGATAGTCTAAGGATAATTAGGTAGTATATAAGTTAAATAACTAAGAACTTAGTTTTTTTTTAGTACTTATTAGTAGTTATCTTTATTTATATAAAGTAGATTATCTACCTACTTTTAGATTCTTAGCTATTAAAGCCTTCTAGTTAGATTAGATTCTTTAAGGATTCTTATATAAGACTATATTTTTTAGCCTAGTTAATATTAATAAAATACTCTTCTTCAGTATTACTATTAATCATTATATATATCAGGATTTCTTTCTTATTTTAGTTTAGGGTAATTAGTAATATAATTAGATTAGAGTATTAGATTTCTTTATTAATAGTAGTTCTTTAAGTAATAGTAGTAGATAGATAGATTATATAGATTATATTAGTCTAGTTATAGTTTAGACTAGGCTTACTTCTTTTAGTAGTTTATTATATAAGGAGCAGCTAGATAATAAGGATTAGAAGTATTATTCTAGTAAGATAGTATACTAATATTCTAGGGAAGTAGATCTTTCTATATAAGTAGAGTATATTTATATAAGATATTAATTAGGATATAGATAGTCTTATATAAAATAGTCTTTAGCTTTATAGTAGAAGTATTTACCATAATCTTAATAAATTAGATAGTTTAAAGTTAGATCTATAGGATTAGAAATAGATATAGATATTAAGGTAGGAGAACTATTCTTTACTATATAAAAGTCTAGATAATTATTCTAAGTAGGGAATAAGTTATAAACTTATATTTATATTAGTACTAGTTATATAGTAGGAGGTTAGATTACTCTATTATAGTATATATATTAGTTTTTAAGCTTTTAGAGGAAAGCTATAAACTAGTAGTATTTATAAGTTAGGAGCTTATTATAGAGAAATATTCTATAAAGTTCTTAGTTAATAGCTTATTCTAGTAGTATAAGTAGGGTTTTCTTAGATATTTCTTCTTTAAATATAAGATATTAGAATTTAGTAAAGAACTAATTAAATTCCTTATTAGTCTATCGGAATTAGAAGAGTTTATCTTAAGTATTACTTATATAATTAGGATTACTAAAAGTATTTTCGAGAATACTTAGGATTTCTCTATAGTTAGATAGAATATAACTTCTATTCTAGATATATAGTAAGATCTAGATATATAAGATTCCTTTAAGCTAACTTATTATATATAATATTTAGCTTATTAGGATTAGAAATTAATTAAGGTTTATAATTAACTTTTCTTAAATCTAGAATATAAATTAGTAGAGGTTCTTATAATCTTTATTAAATATATAAGGGTCTAGGAGATATTTAGAAAGGATAGAGAAGTAGGTAGTATAGGAATCAGATAGTAAAGATATTCCTAATACTAGAGTTAATAATCTTTTAGTAAATACTTTAGGAACTAGACTTATATAAGAAGTATTTATAGTAAGAGTAATAGTTATTAAGGCTTAATTATACTCTTAGTAGATAGATTCTAGTTTATAGATATATTCTAGGAGGTTTTCTTAAGCTTATACTAGTTTTCTTTCTTAGTACTTAAAAATATTATTTTTCCTAGATAGTTTATTATAAATTTATATAAGTTCTTCTTTAATCTAGGCGATTTCCTAGATTAGGTAGATGATCTCTTATTAAATAGTATAGTATTATTAATAGTATAGATAGATTAGTTTTCTAATCTTCTTAGGATACTTATATATTTATTTATAGTATATAAACTAGGCTTTAGGGTTTATATTATAGTATTTAGTATAGGTTTTAAGGTTTTTAGATAGAAACAATAGTAGGAGAGCCTCTATAGGCTCTAGTAGCTAGTCTATAGTTAATAGGTAGTCTAACTCCTAATATAGGGGTAGAAGCTATATAGTATTAGGATATAGTAGATAGTTATATATTAGGAGCTAGTAGACTGGCTTATATAGTAAGTAAGGGATTAGAAGTAGTTATATTATAGATAGGCTATAGGATAGAAGGTTAACCAAGACGTAGCTTAAAGAGCTACATCAAACAGGAATAGGAAGTTCTGATAGTCTTAGGGGTCACGTGATAATAGGAACAGGGATCCTCTCGTATGAGGATCCACACCGTGACAATAATAAAGTTTATACTTAATTTTATAAATAGTTTATAAGATATAGAAAAGGCCTGAAATTCTTTATAAGGATAATATCTAAATACTTTAACTTCTTAATATATTAAATATATTTTTATATATTTTTATATATTTTTTAATAAATATTCTTAATAGAATTTAAGATATTTTTACCTAATTCTCCCTATATATTTTATATATTACGATCTGTTACGTTTGTTTATATATAGTAACATCTATATCTATATCTATTGCTATCTATTACAGTCAGCTGATTATATATAATTAGGCCCTATCTATTTACTATGTTTATTTAACTAGTATATATATATTAACTATTATTTCCCCTAACTTAGTAATATATGCCCGTTCGCACCCTAAGATCTCAATAGTTAAAAGAGAAAAATTAAAATTATAATAGTTACTTAGTTATTAAGCTAAAGACCTATGACTAAATAAGAATATTAGATAGTAGAGATCAAATAGAATAGTTAATATATAGATTAATCCTTAAAGAATAAGAATTGTAACTATTATTTATATATTTTTATATTATTAGGGCTTAAGACTATTATATATAAGTAGGTATATTAAGATAGATTTATCTACAGAGTAGCTATAAATCGTACCTAAGTTGTACCTAAGGGGATTCAGGAATCCTGTGACGTTTTATGATTTAATTAATACTCTCTATAAGTTAGGAATACTATATATCTAGATAGAATATATAGTTCTAGTGCTATCTATTATAATATAATTAGTAATCTACTCTACAGTATCTTCTAGCTTATGTTATAGGACTGGGAGATATATTGACTACTAAAACTATTTTTAGTAAGAAACTTATACTACTAGTATCTATAAGAAAATATAGCTGAAGTCTATAAAAGCAAACTCCTCCCCTAATATATTTCTCTTTCTTTATATATTATAGTTACAATATACTATCTTAGACCTTTAGGCCAAAGGTTTCTGTAATAATAGCTATTATCAACTTAAGCCTAGTAATATAAGAATAGTATTTCGTAGGGGGATATTACATTACTAAGTAAACTCTACAAGAGAACACTATAATAATAATTAAGACCCGCAGGAGACTGCTATATTAATATGTTCTTTGTAGGAGACTACTATATTAATAAGTTCTCTATAGCCTAGGATCTATATTACTAAAGATCCTCGAAGGAGGGTGCTGTTGAGAACAAATACACCCTACAGCCTAGGACCTACGTCACCAAAGATCCTCGAAAGGGGGTATTACGTTACTAAATGAACTCCGCAGGGGGATATTGTAATAATAATTAAGACCTGTAGGAGGCCACTATATCAACAAGTTCTCTGCAGGAGACCGCTGTATTACCAAGTTCTCCGCAGAAGACCACTGTGTTAATAAGTTCTCCACAAGGAAAACTATATCACCAAGAGGATCCACAGGAGACAGCTGCGAAACCAAGCCCCTCTAGCAATGTGCAAGCACCTCTGCGTGGTGCTAGGGACCAGTTTTCATCTCCTATAGGAACTGAAGAAGCCAAGACTTGCGCAGTACGGCTGAGCGGACGGGAAGCCCTGTTCTCCACACCCTGTGGTCGTATATGTTAGTCTCTGCTATAAAGTGCATCATTCAGGAATTCAAAAACTTCGTCAGTGCATAGAAGGTTTCATATACCGGCGGCAAATATACAAACACTAAGTTTACAATATACTAGTCCAATATGACAAGGCCGATGATGCAGGTATCAACCCCCGAATGGCTCAGGGGCGAACCCATTGCATCAGCCTCACAAGATGAAGACAACTCGGCTAACTCGGGGACTGGCAATCAGTGTAGCCATTAGCCGACGGCAAGTCGGTACCTGAAAATCATAGAGAGAAGATTCATTTATCAGAACGTGCGCGCTGTGTTCATGTGCGATAGGATCTTGGGTCAGGGTCCCCCAGCCAAGTTCACTCACTGTTATTTGTGATCAGGGGGGGGGGGGGGGGGGTAATCAGTTGGTTGGATCAAATGCAAAGTCTAATTGATGAGCCACATCAGCCTTGTTCATGGAAATCAAAATGTTTCCAGAATGGAAAGCGAAACAGAGAGTGTTGAGTCCACAATTTCCACCAAAGATCCAGATATGGGCCTTCTCCAAATGCAATGCGGGGAGGCCAAGTGCCCCCGTACATTTATTTCAAATAAGGGCATTGGCGCGGGGAAAGGGGATAGCGCGCAACTAAGCAATTAGCCCTCGTATACATAATCTGCCATATTCGCATCGTTATGGCGTCTGGAGATAAGCCATTTAACGAAAGAATATGGAGGCGCCTTCACCGGGCTTGTAGCGAAATGCGGGGAGCAGACAAAGTGGAGAAGAGGATCAGCCTATGATTGGACAGAAACCCCAGTCACGTCTCCATGCGACCGATTGGACAAGAATTCGGGGCATCGCTGAATGCAACACAGAACAGCAAGAGACACAGAACCGAACACGATCGTTCCACGGATGTTCATCTCTGGCTCGAAGATCATTTCCCCCACAGGGACCAGTCAAGCACAACCCCCCCAATTTAGTCAACCAGTCAACCACCAAGCTAGGACTGGAAATCGATCTCAGGACGAGCGAGATGTGGTCCGCGCACGGTCACAAGTCTCATCTTCTCGGTAGTTCACAAATTCGAAGATTTGCCTCCCTGCAGGTACAAGCCACACACGAGGCAGAGATGCAAGCCCAGAAGTTCAACCTTAAACCCAACGCGGTGGACTTCGGTGACCCCAGTTTCTCCCGTTCCATCATTCGCGGAGAATTCCCCATCCAGGGTTCGTGGAGAGTTCAACGAGACTCCGTTGGAGACGCGTGGAGAAACTCTCCTATTATTTAAGTCGAGAGCCCAAAGGTGCTTTTCTTTCTCTCCATCCTCCTTTCCTATGGACAATCTGCTTTGGCATTTCACTCTTTTCTGGAAGGGAGTATGGCTCATTCAGGCGCAGAGGCGGCTTTGGCTAGTAATGGCAAAGGCCTGGTGATTTTGACAATCATTGAAGGCAGCGTTGCGCTCTTTCTCTTAATAGCCCGTGTCTATACGACTTGGCGGATTACTCGTCACATCCGGAGCGATCTATACCTCAGTCTCGTCACATTTGTATGTCATTCCCCTCCACGTTCTATCTCGCACGCATAAACTAACTCACAGTGCAGATCATTGGCTTGATCGGATCGGTATTCCTGGCTCTTGGTGTCAATTCCGGACTCGGCGCTCATAAAGCCGATCTCACGGATACTGAAATCACCTACGCGATCAAATACAATTGGATCAACCAGACCCTAGGGATCATCGCCACGGCGACCGGAAAACTGGCCATCGTCGCATTTCTACAACAGATTCACGGTCTTGAAAGTCGGAAGAAAGTCATCTTCTTATGGGGTGTTGGTCTTAGCAATCTGGTCGTCAATTTTATCACCATTGCCCTCATCTGGACACAATGCGACCCTAGCGCGAAGCTATGGAACGGAGAACTGCCAGGAAACTGTGATGGGAGAACCCGGAATCAACAGGTTGCATATTTCCAAGGCAGTGAGTATATACCTACCTACTCAGCATGATTTTGAGCAGCACTGATCAGATCCTTGTCTAGGTTATTCCGCAGTGTGCGATATGGTCCTCGCCCTATACCCAGTCATGTTCTTCTGGAATGTGCGACTCAATCGCAGAGTGAAAATTGGTCTTTGCGTCTTGATGGGTCTAGGAGTTGCAGCATGCGTCTGTGCGATCGTGAAAACCACAACTCTACGAGTGATCGCAGAAACAGAAGACGTAACCTGTAGGTGTCAACCCAAAAATTGTCGATATGTATGTCCACGGACACTAACAACTCTCAGATTACATGGCCCAACTCATCATCCTCAACGAAACCGAGAAATGGGTCGTCTTCATCGTCGGCTGCATCCCTCCTATCCGACCTCTCCTCATGATCGTCTTCCACCGTCTCTTGACCTCCGCCAAATCTACCCTTGGCCAAACCAATACAAACCAACATGGTCGATCTACGGAGTTACATTCCTACGCCTACTCCAAACCACAGGTACGAAATATGGCTCAGAACTTGGTGAGCGTTTTGGAAGGAAAAGATAGCGAGGAGAATCTTGGCGAGGAAGGTGGAATTATGAAGACGACGGAGGTGAGGTTGAGCTATGAAGCTGGTTCATCTTCGGGTACTGCATCAATGCATCTCGAACATACCCCGGAAGAAGCTCATCTACCCCATGACAGGGTTTAATATGTATATCACCGCCAGATAGAATTTCTTTTCCTGTATATAATTAGGGGGCTTACAAAATACTATAATTATCATCCTATCAGCCCACATACTACGATATCCATGGATATTGCAGAACGTTCTTGGTTCCAGGGAGCATTCAATTTGAGACATATCTAATGATACAGCAATAGTGAGCCAGCGACACGAAAGAACTTCCAATTCGCAAGGTCAACCGGAATTATATGTACAAAAGCTATTTACTGCTTCGCCTTGCCACGTGTGGACCGGCGCACAGGCTTCGCCTAGGGCTCTTCCTGTTTCTCTGTCACCTCCACCCTAACCGAACTCTCCGAGTCAATGCTCTGCTCTTCCTCGGTCGGCGGAGTCAAATCTCCAGCATTCTCAACCTCCTGCTGTTGTGGTTCCGCTTCAACACTGGGCCCCGTTCCCAAGATCCCTCTGCGACGGACCCATGACGCAAGCTTGATAGCATCTGAGTGGTCTCGCTTTCAACACCATTCTATGCTCCGCAGCTCCATAACGCCAGCGACCGAGTTCCTCTGGTTTCTTGGTGCCCGGTGGTGCTTGGCCGTTGACCAGTCGGCAGGACGAACAGGTCATAGCCATGCGGTTGCGCAGCTGCATTTCGTCGTCGCCTAGTAGCACATCCAATAGGCGATCGTACCAGTGTAGTTGTTCGATGTACTGGCCCGAGCTGGGGAATGCCTTGGGCGCAAAGCCCGGCTCGTCGACGGGTGTTTGTATACATCCATGCCTTGGGAGCTATCTCCTTGTGGCCCGTCAACTTGCCTGAGAAGGTAGATCGTTTATTCACAGATCCTACAGTACACTAGAACTAGGAGCGCATACAAGAACATAGCAAAGACTCGACTCTCCACTGGAGTAGGCTCATTACATATAGCCCTTTACCTAGGTCTCTCACTCAATGGCTTCGTAACATACACCTTATAAGATTAATATGATTAAAGATTCTTATATATATCATTGATACTTATAATATTAAATATCTTAGATTAGAAATAAGGATATTAATTAGTACTCTACTATTAATTTTATGAATATACTAGAGAAATTAAAAGAATTCTATCATTGATATCTTAATAAATTAGGACCTTTAGTATATCTACTAGTTTAGCTCAAAGCGGTAGAGGAGAATAAATTTATTGATAATAATAAGAGTAATAAGAATAGTTTCTTATATATGCTAAAGCCTAGAGGCTAAATTTTTTTAGAGGTGGAGATATTATAACAAACCGATATCGAGTTAATACTGATGTTGAGCTGATGTTGAGATTGTGGAATTAGTAAGTTAGCTGGTTAACTATATAACGGGACTATATAATCTACAACCTGTCCGTTCTCTTGTACGATAGCGTATAGGAGCCTTCCTCACTTCTTTCTTGTAGTATAACTACATGGAGGAGACCGGGACGGGTATGTTTGCAATGTCTGCACGTTTGTGCGGTTTGACCCACTCTCGGATCTAGACCAATCAGATGATTGGCCTGGAGAGTGGCATCCGCCTACATGTATGTAGCATAGCTCTCTCTCTTCTTTCCCTTTCCTAAAATGGTGGTCGATTCATTTCATGCTTGATCATTACAACCGTGGAAACGGCCTCAACGGCAGAGATGTGTTAGACAATCGATCACAATAAACTTGTCATACTGTAGTCAATTATCAAACGAGGAAATCGATGAGGTGAAACCCTATCCAGTTCAGCCAATAAGGCTCTATCTTGCTGTATTAGTGGGGAACGGGCCGATTACTTTCTCGCGGCATTTTTGGTTTTGTGTCCAAAGGGCGGTTAAACACGTAGTAACCTGGAGAGACGCTCTGGTATATATAATCCGACTGTGGCCCCCAGCAACCTTAGAAGTTTATTAACTGTCTCCTGTAAAGTCCTTTACTGTTCTTAAACAATATGATTCTTTTTATCTACGATCCCCTAACTCGGAATATAAGTGAAATAATTTATGGATATAGGTAGGAAACACATTCTTTTTATTTAAATGACTCGAAAATATTCAATTAATACCCCAGTGTTTGATTTAGTATATCAACTGTGTTGCACTGTCATATCTAGTAATATGAAGGCTGAAGATAAGGGCAGCTCTGTCCCTCCAAATCATGCTCCCAGACCCTAGGGTCTTTCATGGAGAGGATGTGCAGAGATATACGTGATTAACTTTTTGACTCTCCTGATCACCATCAATCTCAAAGACGTCTTCTTCAAGTCCGACAATTTTTTATTTTAGTGTGGGATCTATGCATTATTTCTTACGTAATTTAATTTTCTGTACCAGAAGTTCTAATCTCTCTAAGTGTAACGAACCGATGCCGAGTTGATGCTAATGTTAAGGTTGCGAGGTTGCGGGATTATATGACGGATTATATGATCCTATATCCGTCTGATTCTCCTATATAATAATGTATAGAAGCCTAACTCCCCTCTTTCCTTTTTCCTTATTTTTAATACTTTAGTTAAATTATACAAAAGTTCTTCTGTTTTCTGGTTCTTATATTGCATTAAAGATTATTTTATATTATTTAAAGCTGTATAGATCTATATCTATTTAGAAATATATTTTAGCTAATTAGATTATATCTTATCTATTTTATATTATATAAATAAATGAATTACTATAGTTTATAAAACCCCTACTATCGGTAAAATATTAATATATAGAACTAAATCTAAAGAATCTACTAATAGTAATAGTAGTTATAGATAATCTAATAATATAGAGAAGCTTAATCCTCTAAGCTTAAAGAAAAATTAGAGATTATTTATCTTTATCTATCTAGATCTTCTTAAACTAGATCTAGAGAATAGCTTTATTAAGTTTAGTTAACTTAAGGATCTATAGGAGTACCTATAGGAGGATCTATACTAATATAGATATTTATTTAATATTTAGGAAGATATAGTAGATAAACTAAATATAACTTATAAAAAGATTAATATCTATAAATAGAATTATATAGATATTATTTAGTTTTAAGATCTTTTAAAGTAATATCTCTAGTAGCTTTAAGAAGCTAAATAAGAGAGAGATAAACTTTAATAGGCTCTTAATAATATATATAATATTTCCTAACTAGAGGTACTAGTATCTAAAAGAACTAAAGTAAGGATCTATAAGTTTACTAACTCTCTATTATTTACTAATAGAAGTAGATCTAATATAAAGTTCTATAGTTAGTATATTACTATAGAATTAAAGCTATATATAAATATAGATTATTTCTTAATCCCTAATCTATATAAGACCTATATAATAAGTTGATTAACTAAAGTTGTATATAATTAGATTATATCTCTTCTAAATAATAATAATAATAATACTCTTAATAATAGTAATAATATCTTAGACTATCTAGAGTAGATCTATAGAGATCTAGTCTATTAGGATTATACTAAATTTAATTTTAAGAAGCTTTATATAAAGGAAATAAAGAAATTTATAGTCTTCCTTATTAAATTTACTTAATTGGCTAATAATACTATTATTCTCTATAAGAAATATATAAAACTTTTCTATTAGAAGTTAATCCCTAAGTTATAATATAAGCTTATTAGAAAGGTCTTAAAGATTAGTATTACCTTCCTAGACTATATAGAGAAGGCTTATTATATTATATTTATCCTAGAGATTATAGATATTAATATCTAGTAGATAAAGGTTATAAAGGCTATTATAGCTATAGCTACTATTATTAATATTACTAATAATATTAATAGGATATAGAATATATAGAATATAAAGCCTATTATAGATCTTTCTAACTAGTTCTCTTTAGCTATCTTATACTTAAAGTTAGATATAGCTAAACTCTAAAGATAGTAAAAGGAAGGATATTATTATAAGTATAATAAATAAGACTATTATAGTAAAGATTATCCTATTTATATAGTTTATCTTATAGCTAAGGCTATAATTAGAAAGACTCCTATTATAACTAAAGTAATAGAGCTAGAAGTAAATACTAAGATAGGAAAAGATTAGGCTTATTATTAGTCTTCTTAATAAGTAGAGAGATATTAATCTTTAAGTTAAATATAGAAAATATATCTATAAATAAGAAATTTATACTTAAGATAAAGATAGTCTTTAATAAATATTCTTATTTTATATTAGTATTAAATAATACTAGAACTACTAGATTTATATATATAGATATAGTATTTATTATATCTTTAGAAAAGTTTAGATTAAAAAACTATTATCTTTTGGTTCTAATAATCCTATAGGACTTTAATAAATATAAAAATAAGCCTATTATCTATAAAGTATAATTAAATTTAATAATAGATAAATAGAAGATAACTAGGCTGTCTTTCTTAATTATAGATCTAGGTTAATATTATATAATCTTAGATTAGAACTAGTTTATATAATACTATATCTTAATAAACTATTATAATAATAGGCTTATTTAGCTAAATAACCTTATTTCTATATCTAAAGAGTCTATATCTTAAGAAAAGTCTCTAGAGTTTTAATTAAAATATAGTTACTTAACTAAATAATAGTATAACTACTAAGAATTATAAATAAAGATAGATAAGGCTTTAACTAGTATCGAATTACTCTTAAAATAGTCTAAGAAGATATTATTCTATCTTTTTTCTCTCTAAGATTATAATAATAAGAGTAATAGGATTCTATTAATATATAAAGAAGGAAGATATAGAGATCTTTATAACTTTACTTTATAAGATTAATTATATTATTAAAAAGATATCTCTATAAGAAGAGGTTATAGAGATTAAGAAGAAGATACTAATAGTATACTATTACTTAGTATAAGTATTTTCTAAACTAGAGTTAAATAGTATACTACTATAGTAGGATAGTACTAATTATATTATTTAGATAGATAGTATCTTTAATCTAGGATACTACCCTCTCTATAAGTAATCTTTTAAAAAGCTAAAAGTCTATAAGAAGTATATTATTAAGAAGCTCTATCTTAGCTTTATTAAGCTAAGTTTTATATCCTTTATATTACCTATTCTAATAGTTAGGATACCTAATAGAAAGATATACTTCTATATTAATTACTAAAGACTAAATACTATTACTAAGAAAGATAAATATCCTATTCTATTAATTAATAAGCTATTATAATAAGTAGTAGATATAAAGATCTTTATAAAACTAAATATCTAATAAGGATTCTACTATATCTAGATATATATAGACTTAGAGGATTTAATAATCTTTTAGATATAATATAGAATATTTAAATATGAAGTAATATTATTTAGACTTATTAATACCCTTACTATATTTTAGTATTTTATTAATATAATATTAGTAGAATATCTTAATAACTTTTATATAATATATATAGATAATATCTTAATTTATAATAACTTACTAAAGGAATATATTAAATATATAAATAAAGTACTATAGTAATTAATTAATACTAGTTTATAAGTCTCTCTAAAGAAATATAAGTTCTATATAACTTATACTAAATTCTTAGGATTCTTTATTAATATAGAAAGTCTAGAAGTTAATCCCTAGAAAGTTAAAATTATATAGAATTAGTAATAATTAGGGATAATTAAAAATATATAATCCTTCTTAAGATTTAGTAATTTCTATTAAAGATTTATTAAGGATTATAACTATATTATATAGTCTTTATATCTCTTAATATAGAAAGATATTATCTTTTAATAGGATACTAGTTATTAAATAATATTTAAAGAGATTAAAAAAAGACTAATAGAAGTTTTAGTTCTTTAATATTATAAACTAGATCTAAAAATAAAGATTAAAACTAATATATTAGAAGGATATATAGATATAGTTCTTTCTTAATAAGTAAATAAAAATAATCTATAAAGGTCTATAGTCTTCTTCTTAAAATTAATAGACTTAGTAAAATAGAATTATAGTATTCTAGATTAAGAGTTATTTACTATTATATATATATTAAATAAATAGTATCCGGAATTAAAAGGATTATAATAGAATAATAGGTTTAATATTTATATATATTACTATATCTTATAATACTTTATAATAAAAAAGATACTTAGCTTTAGATAGATATACTAAAATAAACTCCTTTCTTAATTCTACTTTATCATTAGATATTAATCTAATAAAATAAATATTATTACTAATACTCTATCTTATAAGAAGAAGCTTAAGTAAAGAGATAAATAGTCCTTAATCTTCTTAACTAAAATAGTAGAGCTATATATTTTAATAGAGTTATCTCTTATACTAATAGATCTTAATATCTTACTAACTATAGTAGAATATACTTTCTTAGCTAATTAAGTATATATTTCTCTTAATAATTATAGGATAAAGATTTTAAATAAGAAAGAATCCTAATAGATAGTTAAGAATAATCTATTACTCTTTAAAGAATATCTAGTAATCCCTAATAATAGAGATCTATAAGTAAGGCTCTTAGATAAAATCTATTAGTAATTATATATAGTATATTCTAGATATAACTAGATACTAAGATTAGTTAAGAATTATTATTACTAGATTAGATATATAGCTAATATAAAATAATATATTAATAACTACTTAATATATAAATATATAAAGTATTAATAGAATAAAATCCCTAAACTATTATAACTATTTCTAATCTCTCTTTATTTAGATAAATACCTTTTAATAGATTTCTAATCTTTCCCTAAGAATAAATATAGATATAATATAGTTTTAGTATTTATTAATTATCTATTAAAATAATAAGTATTAATTCTATACTATAAAACTATTAATATAAAAGAGATAGTATATCTATTTATTTAAGAGATTCTCCCTTAGTTAGATATTCTAGATATAATTATATTAGATTAGAGATCTTAGTTTATATCTAAATTCTAGATAGAATTAATATATATTCTAGATATTAAAAGAAAGTTATTAATAGTTTACTATATTTAGATAGATAACTAAAATAAAATTATAAATAAATAAATAACTTAATAATTATAGATCTATATAAACTTCTATTAAGATAATTAGTTTAAATATCTTCTATTAATAGACTATATTACTACTATATTTCCCTAGGCTAGTATAGAATAATTATCTTTCTTTATAGAATATAGATTTAATCCTAGAATAATCTTTAATTAGGTATTAGATATCTTAGCTATCTTCTCTAGGGATATATAGTAGGTAAGAGATATTACTAATAATATAAAGAATATATAGGATAATACTTAGGAAACAATAGGAGTTATATAAGTAAGTTAGAAAAGATATATAGATATATAATACTATAAGGATAAATTTAGAGTCAGTTAGTTAGTCTTTATTTGTCACGGGATTCCTGAATCCCTTCGGGTACGATTCGGGTACGATTCATAGCCGCTCCGCAAGCGAATCTACCACGATACACCTGCTAATACATGACTGTCCTAAGCCCTAGCAAGCTCTAGCAATATTAAAACGCACGAACCATAGCTACGATTCTTGTCCTGCAAGAATCAGTTCTGTATATCAACTGTTCTATTTGATCTCTACCATCCGATATCCTTGCCTAGTCACAGGTCTCTAGCCTGACAACTTAGTAACCATTACATTATTACTATATATATTTAGAAGATAGGAAGATAAAGTAGGAAGTTATCTAATTAGTAATATAGACTATTTAAAATCATAAAAAAAGAAGGTAATTTGTAGTATTTAAAGCTATTAGACTCTATAAAGGTATACTTTATCTTCTTATTAGATAAACTATATCCTATAATATATATAGAGCCTTTTATTAGATAGATCCTAGATATAATACTACTAATTATTATTAATAAGAAGAAGACTTATAAGATTAATAAGATTAAAGATTCTTATATATATTATCGATATCTACAATATTAAGTATCTTAGATCAGAAATAAGGATACTAAATAGTACCCTATAGATAACTTTAAGAATATACTAGAGAAATTAAAAGAATTCTATATTTAATATCCTAATAAGCTAGGACCTTCTATATATCTATCTATATAGCTTAAGGTAGTAGAGGAGGATAAATTTATTAATAATAATAAAAGTAATAATATTCTAATAGCTAAAGCCTAAAGACTAGGCTTTTTTTAGAGGGAGGGGTAATATAACAAACCGATATTAAGTTAATACTAATATCGAGGTTGTAAGGTTACGGGGTCATATAATAGATTATATGATCCTATACCTGTCTGATTCTCCTATATAATAATATATAGAAGCCTAACTTCCCTCTTTCCTTTTTCCTCATCTTTGATACTTTAGTTAAATTGTATAAAAGTTCTTCTGTTTTCTGGTTCTTACACTAAGTATATAGATCGTCTTCGCGATTAAGTGAAACTGGGGTTAAGGATGAGACTTTACACCTAGTATACACTACTATGATTATACAAGGAATACATATTAAGCTCTGTGTACTGCATTATCAAATCTTCCCCGTGGGTAGCATGTAGTCTTGAATAATGGCCTTGGAATTAGCGATTGTTGCTTGATGAATGCATTATGGACTATAATGATGAAGAATAGCTGTGATTCTATGGTTAGAGAGGGTGTCTGCGTTCATCGCAAAATTTTCAACAGGTTAACATTATGTTAAGGATGCCATCTATGGGATGCCTCCCTACTTGTTATATACAAAAGTGTACATCTCCATGATACCAAGTCTCTAGGAACGTTTTTGCAAAACTAACAGTTTGATGGGCTTCGCAGGTAGTATACATTTTATAGGACCATGTATATACCAGCAAACTGTCACACATTCGTTGTGATACATTTCTCACCCTCATGGTCGGCCTTGCAGTTGTAGTCCCTTTGAGAGTTGAATCCAGTCATCTTGAATGCACTGTCGCTTCTTGCGGTGGCCTTTGTATCAGAGCCCTGGAACGACACAAAGAGACCGAGAAATTGAGGGCAATAGGCATTGACAGTGACACCAGTAAATGTTGTGCCAGAAGTCTGGATGAACGCAAAAATACTATTGCATATTCTTGTCTCTCGCCAACTGATATGGAATTCCTTTCATCATACAGAATGCAAAGAATTTTTCCATATTGTGAACATCTAAGTGAATAGGCCCAGGGATTTTTCCGGTCCATGAGAGATCCTTTTGGTAGATAGAAGAGAATATCTCCGGAACTTGCTGATGTTCACCTGACTCAATATTGGCGTCAGATGGTGTTTCTATTCCAAGCTCGTGGTCGTCATCGTTCGTTTCATAGTCAAAGGGTTTGGTCTGAATAAAGGGCTTTAGATTGACAAGAGGGATCTAAAACTTTCGACGAGAGATCAGTGAAGACTTGGACGCCCCATAACAGGTGCTCTTACCACTGGCTCCGCGCGAATGCGTTCAGGCACATTGGCGGAAAGAACATGAGCGCCTTAGGTTCGGCGGTAAGGTTGGTAATATCGCGAACTGGAGGCCAATAGCTCCCAAGCCTGTAATATCGCGCTGCTATTCCCATGCTTCAAAATACCTATATCGCAAATAATAGGCTGCCAGTTTGACAGATGAGATGCACACCTAATGGTCTATCTCATATGGACTTCATTTCCCGCTCTTTCAAACCCAACAGTAACTAGACCCTCGGTGGTCGTTATCTACTGAAAAAAAATTGGCGCTAATTTCTGCTTTCATTGCTATTCTTAGCCCTCAGTTCCTGCGGCTAAAAGCCAATGCTAATAGTGCCGACTAGAAACGACCATGATTAAAATAGACATCACGGCGAGTCGCTGATGCTCAAACACTAGGCATGTATCATATAGTCGCGCGCTTTTATAGATTAGTTTGACTGGGATTAATCTCAAAGGGGCGTTGGACGAAGGGTTGTGTTCAAGATATAAAGTGATGGCGTATGGGATGGATGAACTTGAACTTGAGATGTAAAAATACCTATTCCTTCCTTCAAGCAAATCATCATTCCAAGATTTAACATTCAACATTTCCGAATTTTATGGTCATGACTCGCACCCCTCCCACGGTTCTTCATGAGCACAAGCCTGGGTCTAGAGAATACACATATCTCACATACTCCTCGAGGCTTGTTATTGAATTCCTGAGTAAATCACATGGGCGTCAAGCTCTTGCAGCCCTTGGCTAGAGTACGACAAGGAAAAATTCCATTGCTCGTTACTCAGCACTTTATTGATCTTTTCCTTCGCAAGATCTCCCATAGATTCCCAGCCATTATTATTGACGAAATGATGGCAAAACCTGACGATCTGGGGAAACACGAAAGAAAAGAGTGGAGTGGCACCTACGAGCAATTTGACCCTCGTGAGCAGTTTCTTTTTCTCAATGCGTTTGTAAGTAAATCCGCTTAATCAGTCTCAACTAGGCCCAAGCAGTTAACATAATACCAGAAATTATACGACATGATCAACGCCGGTAGAGTCCACGAGACCGCTGCAGCCTTCTGGAGATTCCATTTTCTTATTGCCACCATTTTGGCTCATGAAGTTGGAGATCACCTACTCATCACGTTCCTTAACCATGGGAGAACGTTTACACCACCTGATATTGGTGTTTCAGCTTATTGTAAGGCTGGAGGAGGAATTGGAGAAGCAGGCCGGATGCTCGAGATATGCCTTTTTGGTGGAAATCTTGAATACTATCAGGCGCCAAATCAGAGTATGCATGATGTAAGAACACCTTTGACCTATCACTCAAGTATCCAATCTCTGACAAGATTCTAAACTACCAGACCGGAGTGACGCATATTCGCATATTGTTAATTCCTAAGGAAGAAAGTTCAGAATACACGACAGTGTGTTTCAAATCTTCCTCCACCGAAGTATGACCGACTCTTCATCCTTGAATATTAAAATACCACATAAGGAATTGGCTTCTAACGTACGCAGACTTCGAATTTCCTATATGGATTGCAAATGAAACTTCTGGGCAGACGAGAAGCATGGGCCATGGCATTCCACATGGCCAATCTGGCTCTTCAATATGATGGATGGTGAGTGCGGAAAGATCGGACAAACGTATGCAGCGCATTCTCGCCGGGTTCAATGTCCGCATCAAGGACATTTATACGTTACCAAGAAATACAAGGGCTTTGCTCACGGCTTTTTGATAAAAGCTATGAGTTCAAGTTTCTATGGAAATAGAATGCCGGATATATCCTTGGATATATAATACTACTAGTAGTCAGATTATGATACGTCACTAGTTCTCAAGATAACACACGTTGCTGCTTTCAAGTTATTCAAATTCCAGTTTTCTCTATCTGCCAAGGCATCAAACTTTTGAGTTTTTGACAGGAGTAGCGTCCTTACACTCGTAACCTACGCTCAGAATCCGATCCATCTTCTCGCCTGCAGAAATGTCAAGTCATTAAGAAATACGAGCTCGCCCAGGTGGGTCTATACGAGCCTGAGCCAGGTAGGCCGACGACAATGACTGGGTTGAGACTTTTGATAGGAGTCAGCCGAAGAAAAGCATGTTGATTCAAAAAGAAAGAAATTATTCTCCATTTAAGCTCTACTGTCCTTCCTTGTATGTGAGCTCGACTTTAAGATTTGGTGTCCGGTGACAGATCAGAATTATAAGGTTAGATGACCCGTACAGCACCGCGATGCGGGTTACCAGCGCAGAAACTGGCTGAATCTTCAATCTTCAACATTTAACAAAAGGATTACATGATTTTGAGAAATTTCGCACACCGCTGAAGTCATGGTTTGACCCAAATTTACAGCTACTATTCACAAACGCTGGGGTTTAGCTAATATTGAGGGATTGGCGTGTTTATGGGGTACTAGTAGATGTAACGCTACCCGATGCGATGTGTTTGATGCGGAGTATATGTATGTCTCACCTGCCACTCGTTCTGATTGGGCGCGGGATGGACCCCAAGGCGGTGGTCTGACAATCCAAGACATAGAATGGATACCATGTCTTAAATCCAGGGTCTGCTTGAGTACCCGTGGACCCTATGTGTGTTCATCGGTATATCATCGGTAGAAGTATGGGGTCTGAGCTGGGGGACTATATGAAGACCTCTAATTCCCTTTCTTGAAGAGAGAAAACAGGCAATCAAATATTCTATTGCAAACCCAAAATAAATAAACTCGACGATGAAGCTTTCTCTGCTTGCACTTGGTGCCTTCATTGGCCTGGCCTCGGCCCAGAATGCCGTTGTGCACAACCACTGTGCTTCCACCGTCTATGTGCAGTCGTTCCCTTACGACGGCAGCGCCCCTGGTCCTCTAACCACAGTCGCAAAGGGGGGAACTTTCTCTGAGAAGTTCAAGAAGTCTGGCTCGGTATGTTATGCTTTCCTAGATAGGTCTCTCAATGACACATGGCAAGCGAAACTGACTAGAGATGAACTGTATAGACTGTTAAGATTTCCAAGACAAAGACCCTGACTACACCTCTCTTCTTTGGCTATTCGTTCTCATCCAACCCCGACTACGCATACTGTAAGTGCATCAAATTTAGCCTTAAGCCAGAATCTCCCTATTAATTATACTCCTCTTACAGATGAATTGAGCACCGAGTGGGGCAACCCATTCGCCGCGAGCGCCAACTCGCTAAGCCCCGGCGAAGGCTGTGAGGTCTTTGACTGTGCCGCTGATGATCCCAGCTGCTACAGCACCCCAGCTCATAAGAAGGTCTATGGATGCCCTCAGCCTGTCACTCTCACCGCGGACCTGTGTCAGTAGCCATTTGACCTTCACCCCATAATCATGATGTAGTAAGGCTATGAGTTTATCTCGTTGTTTTCTTGTTCATGTCTGAACCCATTGCCAGTTGCTTCATGAACATCTGGTTTTTTGGTAATGGGACATAGATGCCGTGACACTAGTAACACGTTGAGGATTTGGAAAGAATAATTATCAATGAAAAGAAATATACACATCACACAACAACAAATCATTATTGGTATGCTAAAGTTCAGTGGCAATCATGGAGCGGAGAAGTGGGAGGAACCCTGCTTCCCGTGCAGTAATGGCGTCCCACATTTGGAAAAAAAAATAAGCAAAACCCCCACATGATCGTCTTTCAGTGGCAGCAAAGCCACCAACGAAGTATGCACCTGGTTAGTAGATATTAGCTAATGAGAAGTTTCCAATTTTGATCAATTACCATTGAACTGTCAAAAATCGTACCTGAAGTCACTTGTCTATCAAGGCTGTTGTTTGCAGAACATGCAGTGGTATCTGAAGTTCTTTGGCCTAAAAGAGCACTCATTAAGATGACCGGGACATGCCGTATAGGATGAGAAGGGAACAAGTTACCCCGCAGATGATCAAGTTACAAGGTGCGCTAAGGGCTTGGCATTGGGGCCAGATAAAATGAAATCATGATATGTTCACCAAACCGAGTTTGTAGAAGACTGCAGAGATAATTAATGCAATAATATCGCTCTTCAATACCACATACTCAACTTCCAAAAGATCCAGCGTCTTCCAGTATCTAATTGATTCAACCAATGAAAAGAGACCTGGTGGGGACTGTACATATGCAGCCAGCCATTGGGAAGCCTCAGGCTATCTGGTGGAGATGCGCAGGTGGAGTCAACACCCATTTTAAAAGGCCATTGAAGAGACAATAATTGATTCAGCTTGACTCATTTGACCGAAGGGTCAGGTGGTAATATAAGTAGAATCATGAGTGGTGATTTGAGCAACAATTGAACTCCACTCTCAGCACCACCACACTGACGTGGGGCAAAACCAGCTGGATGAGTTGACGGTCGGTTAGCGGGCATCGTTCTGGTTATTGTTCGCGGCGAACATTATAAACTTGGGGTACGAGCCATTGGGCTGCAAGAATTAGGCAATATAGGAATGGAAAAGCCGCAGTAGGTATTAGGTGTAACCAGAGAGTACACTGGTTAGGTTAGTTAGGGTATAGAACGCTACGTATATCAGATAGAGTAGAATGGCCCCATACTAGCTAAGGCTACCGATCGGAATTAGATACTGTTGGTACTGTGTATTTGTATGATCTCTGTACTGCCATTAGCTCGAGATACTAGCATTCGCCTGATTGGTATACCCAGTAGGCTATATATGCGCTTCATTCCGTCTAAGGGACATCCATAATATTAGCTAAAGACTGGTCTTCGCCACTGCATTTGTTGTCCAATTGCAGATCGGGCATTCTCTTGCGCTACTTAGAACTGCGATATCATGATATGTAGCCACATCACTAGGGGAGCGCCGTAATTGTATCGCCCCGGGCTTTAAGAGCTTCCTTGAATGCCCTAAGCTTTGGTCCTAGCTCGACCTCATGGCCCACGTTCCAGGTGGAACCAGTGGGAATGTTGGTCGGCAGATAGGGCACACCGGCCTTCAGTGACTGAAATACTTTGCCGTACTCTTGATACCCATGTCGCTGGCAGTCATGCAGATAGATCCAATATGGTATTGTGGATGGTGGTCTGTCGTTTTACCCATTGACATGGACAGCAGTTAAGAGCTCCACGCCTGCTCTCTGTATCAAGGTAGCCCTTGTGGCTCTATTGTATGATTGGTTAACATTGAGAAAGAAAAGATGAAGAAATGAAACGGCAAATTGGGTAGACCCCAGACATTTGCAACTCACCTAAGTGGTTGTGCCGCCCTTAGCCCGTTTGGAACATCACCGGCGCAAAGTTGGAGGCATATCGCTACTACCGCGGAATCTCCAACGGCTTGAACCGCACCTTGACCCAGAGTGGGTACCATTGGATGGGCAGCATCTCCAAGCATTATCATTCTCTATTTAGGAGATACCTATTCATCAATTGGATCTGAAACAAAGAGACAATATTTATAGGAGGTGCCCTCGGGTATTTTGCCAATTACTGTCCCGACTTTGTCGTACACTGGCCAATGGCTGATCTGACGTAGTGCCTCATCCATACCCGCAGGTTCATACTGTGCCGTTTACCGTGGGTCATTGCTCTGCAGAAATAAGTTAGCTGATGCGCAGAAAGTTAGACGAAGGCCAGGTAGTTATGTCTTTCCTTCAAGATACACCCCCAGTACACATCTCCGCCATTTCTCCCCGATCCAATCATAACCAACACATTCCTGCCGATAAATTCGAGGAGCTTGTCCTTTTCTTCAACACCTTCAAAGAGCCATTGAGTCGTAGGTTCATGTCGAAGGCTTCCACTTTCGAATCCATCCCGGAACGCCACATTTCCTGTATCTTGAAGGGTGACAGTATTTCCTTTAATTGCAGATCTTCCTCGGCTATGGACGCCGTCCGCAGCAATCACGCAATCAGCAGCTATGCGGCTGCCGTCCACAACGATACCAGCTTTGTTGTCATCCTCCCAGTATTCCTCTACCCGGACCCCGTAGCGCAGATCAAGTCCCAGGCTTTGCGCGTGGCATTCGATAGCTCGAGCAGCATGATAGCGCCACCTTAAGTAACCATAACCACCCCCGGGGCTAAAACCAGCAACTTCTGACTTGGCTACCAGGTCAACATTTTCATCGTATATGACCATCTCTTCCGCCACGCCACGGTCTCGGTCCAGCGCCTCGGCAACACTGCCCCCGCCCCATTGATCAAACACCAATGCTGCATTGGATCCTATCCCAAAGCTGTCACCTAGAATTCACTATTAGCCGTGATGACCACTTTGTGCTCTCGGCTTTTCGTTTTACTACGGCCGTCCTGCCTGCAGTTTTCTCAAATCCCATCACGGTAGGTCCTCTTTGGTGACACTCAACTGCCGCCGCAATACCTCCAATTCCAAGACAAACAATAACCACCTTCAATAACTATGACCTAGGAGGTGATATCCTATCATGTTCGAATTGAGTTTTGGTCATTTTGCGAAGAGAAGCCTGTTGCTAGACGCAAGAAAAGAACAGGAATGATGACGGCTGTAGTGAGCCTCGAATGAGAGATAGTGGGAGGTAAAATGATTTTATACGTGGAGGAGCCAATAGTAGGACCAGCAAGTAGTACTGGTATGGATATATGCGCATACAGCAGAAAAAGGGAGGGGGGTTCAACGCTATTCCTCATCTTGACCGGGCGTTAAGGTCCCCACTTATTCAGGCACCCGTGCATAAGTTCCAAAGCCGACTGTTGAATCTCATAAATTTCACCACCCAAATGAGTGCAGGCAGCAATCTTGGCATCAAAACGCCGAGTACAGGATTCGACTTGCTGAATTTATCAATTTACCGGGATAAATTCGCGGTAAATTCGCATAGATATGATAAGTGATTTCCATCTGAATGACCTTCAAGTTTCTGACTACTTCTGGATCGTTACATGCAATGCACATCTGTGCGATGAGTAGCCTGAGGCGATAAGCCAAGATTTTTATTTGCCTGAATTATGGACATTCGTCGAATATACACTCTGAAGTATGCCGAACACAGGACGATTTAGTATGCTCATCTCGCATAGAATAAATGATATGCGTCTTCTCCATGGCATGAACAGTTAGGAGGCCAACGGCGCATGTTTTCACTCGCACTTTTGTCGAGAAATCGATTCTTCAGTCTGTAAAGAACGTTCGGACTGCGCCTCATTTCGATCTCATACACAGAACCAGAAATTCTTCGAATCTTTACTCCAGGGCTCTTAATAGTAAACGACCCCGCGACTATGCTCATGCTCGTTTTGCTTATAAAGTCCAGTCGTCTTAGACCTCATCACGCCTAGAAAGAGTTGACAGGGGAGATTGCCTTTCCTGATGTGAAGACAGAGGTGACATTATTCATAGCTTCTTGGTATGCATTCCGCCAGGCAACGTCTGTCCAGGATCCCATATGAGGTTGAACTACGCATCGTGTGCTCTTACGAAAATAATCACTGTTCAAAGTGTGAGTTTGTGCTTCTCTGGAATTTGAAATGATGAGAGGTATACGTACTTCACCCTGGGTTCGCCGTCAAATACATCCAAGCCAGCTCTAGCGACTTTGCCGCTTTCCAAAGCTTGAATAAAAGCATTTTCATCAACAACAGCGCCTCGAGCTGTGTTGACGAGAACAACTCCGTCTTTCATCATTGCGAACTCTTCGGGTCCGATTAAGCCTCTTGTCTGCGGAGTCAGAGGGCAGTTGAGTGAAATGACGTCCGAAATTTGCAAAAGTTCTTCAATGCTCGAACTGTATTTGGCCGAAAGGCTTTGCTCCATCTCTGCTGATAACGGCTTTCTGTTATGATATTGCACATTCATACCGAATGCATTTGCCTTCCGTGCAACATGCTGAATTCATCTCGTCAGTATATTGGAGTATCAAGTGTGAAGGTGGAGTCTTACCCGCCCGATTTTGCCCATGCCTATGATTCCAAGCGTTTTGCCGTTTGGATCCAGAAGTGGCGCCTTTATATCACCTCTCCAGCCTCCACTCCGGATTTCCGACTCCAAACGAGATGTATCTCTGAGCGCGGCGAGCATGAGGAAAATAGCAATATCAGCGGTGGGCTCAGCCACTGCATCGATGGTCTTAGTTACAAATATCTTGTTCTCGTTGAACCAATCCAGATCAAATTCGCTATAGCCTGCGTTCACCGATCCCACGACCTTAAGCTCGGGAACTAATGGCCCTAAGAGCTCCTTATCGAATCTCTCATAGGCGCCATTTCCCATCAGGATTAAAACGGCATCAAATGGGCCATTTGATTTTCGAGCATCCGCGATCGCTTGAACAGTGCCATTTCGACCACTTGGTTGGAGAACCTATTATTGAGTTTAGTATGATCGGATATCTCCAGGTATATTCAAGGCACATACATGGATGTCACAGGTGTTATTGAAGTTTTGTAAGAAGGCCTCGCCTGCCCATGAAGGTGAGCCCAGCGATAAGACCTTTGGCTTTCCCATTGTCGCTGCTAGATTGTTAACCGAAGAGTTTGAGACTATGCAAGACAGTTCATTGCGTTTTTTTCTAATAAATTTTCTCGCAGGGGGGGGGTCTCTTATCCCTTCGTCCGTCATGTTGTGATTCAGCTGGTGAGCTGGGCACAGAATCGGCTGCGCCCGAGGGTTGAATCCGCCCCGCACTCTCCAGCGGGGCTCGCCCATATCAGTGCCTATCTGCGACCGCGTGAGAGCCCCGCGGTCCCGGTCCAGGCCGGCATTCCCTCCGTAGTGCACGCTCGGCTGGACCCGACTCGCGTGACCGGTATCTTTGCAGTCAAGTAACGACAGAACCCCCACCTTTAGATCTTTGGCGGGTCTCTTATAAACTCAAATACTTTCTTCGGGTCATTCGATTAATCGATTAATCGCGCCTCCTTAGCCGAAACTGACAAGGGCCTATATTACCACCCTCTCAGCACACAACATTTTGGCTTTGTACACAGTTTCACTTGTTGAACTAGATGCTATCACCAGCATGTCCTCTACAACTACCACCACGAGCGAGGCCGTTGTTTCAGCTGTAGCGAAGCCAATTACGGTTTCTCGCCCGGTGCAATCTAAGCCCAGCCAGTTTCCGGATCTCATCAGCAAGGTCCACAGCATCCCCACATTTACAGATCAAGAAGCCGAGCGCAAGTGGGCCAAAGAACATCTAGTGGGTGCTTTTCGCCTATTCGGCAAGTTCGGCTACAATGATGGTGCTGGTGGACACATCAGTCTTCGTGATCCAGTCCAACCTGATTGTTTCTGGATCAACCCCTACGCTGTGCACTTCAAACTCCTCAAAGTCAGTGACCTGATCCTGGTTAATGAGGATGGAGTACCTCTTACCGAGACGAAGCACAAGGTGAACACATCTGGATTTTTGATTCATGCCGCTCTTCACAAAGCCAGGCCAGATGTCAATGCGGCTGCGCATTGTCATTCGCCGTATGGCCGGGCTTGGTCTGCCTTTGGGCGACCTATTGAGATGTTGAATCAGGACTGTTGCATGTTCTACGATGATCTTTCTGTATATGAAGGATTTGGTGGAGTAGTCCTCGCAAAGGAGGAGGGGGAGAACATCGCTAGGGCCTTGGGCCCGAAGCACAAGAATGTAATTCTACAGAACCACGGGTAAGTATTCAAACATTCAACAGCTTGACTATCTATAAATTTCTGTTATTAACGCGCTCCTTAGCATCCTTACCTGTGGCAGTACTGTTGACGAGGCAGCAGCTTTTTTCATTGCCCTGGAACAAGCCTGTCAGGCTCAACTACTCGCCGAGGCCGCTGCTGCGAATGGGCTCCCAAAGAAGTTTGTGGGCGACGAGGAGGCCAAGTTTACAAAGGAAAGATCAGGCTCACCAGCAGTCATGTTCATGCAATTTAAACCGGAGTACGATCTGTTGCTGCATGAAACTGGTGGTGATTTCTTGAATTGAGACAACTCGAATTAGTGTTGATAGTACATTCTGCAAAATAACTAATATAAATGATCTATGGCATTCACCTACTAGCTCAGTAAACTATTCTCTACGTACAATTGACCACATCTATCTTTGCACTCATAAATTTCATAGATTTCAAATCTGAGTAAGTTCACTTACGGGGCACAATGGTGATCATCGGGAAAGAACCCCCGTTGGCCAGAGATAGAAAGCCAAGTGGAAAGACAACTAGAAATATCACCGGAAAGATGAATAGAGCCTGAGGAACGTCTTTTTTCAAATATTGTAGATTATGCTTGAAATTCAAACACTACTCAAGATCTAAAGCTTAGAAAGAAGCCCATTGCTGCCCAACACCGATAAATGATGACGCGAGATCTCCTTAAGTGAGGAGCAACCAGCCAGCGCCATAGTTGTTCTCAGTTCCTGTTCTAGAATATCGACCGCCAACTTGACACCCTCCTCTCCGTTATACTAAGATCTGTTAACTTCTGGCCACATATAATTAGAAGACGTGCTGTACATACAGCCAACCCCCAGATAGGAATGCGCCCGATGAAACAGCAATCCGCACCCAAAGCCAATGCTTTGAAAATATCGGTCCCCCGTCTAATTCCGCCATCGATACCGATCTTGATCCTCCCCTTAGCAGCAGCTGCACATTCAGGAAGAACATCAATTGTAGCTGCAGCGCCGTCCAACTGTCGGCCGCCGTGATTGGAAACGATCACTCCATCCAGTCCGTATTTAATTGCCAGTAACACATCCTCAGCGCAGTATACTGCCTCATGTAAGCTTATTTCTATTGTGTTGTATATCTTTAACCTTGAAAGCATAACTTACTACCCTTGAGCCAAATTTCAAGCTTTGTGTTAGCTTTGACCCATGGAATCGCCGATGCCCACGAATTACTGGCATCTCGACCGGGGTTATGATGAGAACGAACCCCTCCAAGATTGGGAAGATTCATGTTGCTTGGCAGCTGTACTTTATTTCTAAGCTCACCAAGACGGCGGCCGAGAACTGGTGCATCAACAGTAAGGACAAGGGCCTTGTACCCGGATTCTAGAAAAGGTTAGGGCCACTGCATGATCACATCTGACAGGATCGCTTACCTTCGGCTCGTTTGATCCAGCCCAATGGCAGTGAGCGATCTTTGGGGAGACTCAATTGAAAAACGTAAGGATTAGTTTTATCACCACGCTCCTTAATGACATCTTCTAAAGACGTCGTGGAATATGTCGAAAGGCCCATGGGGATATTTTTGGCGGCCGCTGCTCTCGATGTTCCTTTCTCCGCGTCGGGATGAGCCAACCCATGCATCGCGGCGGGGGCAAATGCGAGGGGCAAGGAAACCTTCGAGCCAAAGATGGTTGTCGTTGTGTCAACATCAGCGACATCTACAAGAATGCGTTGGCGAATTTTGAATTTGTCATATGCCTTCTCATTGTCTTGGAGTCTGCTTCCCGATCAGCAATGAAACGCACGAGCTCTTCATTCTGAGAACGTACGTCAACATGTCCATGGCTCCATTGTTGAAATATCCTAAGCATTGCGTGTCAGCGCTTTTCATTCAGTTTATTTGCTTTCGTGATCATGATGACGATCAGCTTTCATACCTCTCGCAACGGGGTCCAACTTGGCAGCAGCTGCTTCCTTCAGCTCTGCGATGGTGAGTATGTCTTCCGAATTTGTAGCTGGCATTTTGGCAACGGTAAAAGATGAGAATTGAAAGATGTGCAGATGAAGAGCCCAGATGATGCAAAATTGAACGTCTTAGAGGGCTACAACGTCGGAAGTTCGATCGACTGGAATAACAGGTATTTTATCGTAGTAAACGTGGAGAAATATACCGCGATGCCGATACATGATTTTGCTAGGTCGGTCAACATGCAGGTGCTACTCTGCCGACGTCGGAGACACTCCAGGGCTGGCCCGGTGCTTCGGGACTGAAAAAAAGACTCATAATGCGAGAACACGCTAGTTTCGCGACTCTGACCAAAGTCACGATCAAAAGGATCTCCAAGTGCAGTCGGCTCCACCCGACCTACTAAGACAGGTGCGACTGGCGCCGAGCCTTGGCAGTCTGGGTCGATCCGGTGGCCCTCTATTGGCTCATTTCTGTCAATACAACAACCTTGAAATGTTTTTTCCGTTTCTTTTGGATCACTGGCAGACTTTTGATACGAGGGAGCTACCCTAATGCCTGTTGAACTTCTTCGTAGGTTTCTCTTATCGTAACATCTTTGGAGTGGTCAGATGTCCACACATGCCAAGGGCTGCTCCGTATCCTACAACGGCATGCTCCGATGGTGTGTAAATTGAAGTGTTCTACTTCCATGTCTATATAATTTTGTGTGGTACTTTTATTCTGCGGTTATATCGTATTTCACAATTTTACTTCACAATTACATTTAGAAGATTCACTTCGTTGCCAGCTATGGAATCCACAGGCTGTCCAAAGTCATGGGAGGTCCCTGTAGACTATGCGCGGCCGATGAAGGTTATCTGCATCGGTGCTGGAATGTCCGGAATTCTGTGCGGAATTCGGTTTCGACAAAGAATTCCAAACCTTGATCTAGTGATATACGACAAGAACGAGGAAGTAGGCGGTGTTTGGCTCGAGAACCGGTAAGTGTGAAATATTACATGGATAGAGATGCAGTTACTAACAGTGCAACAGGTACCCCGGAGTGACTTGTGGTAGGAATGCGTCTAGCTTAAATGCGTTATGTGAATAAACTGACATATCAGCCCTTGCTAGATGTTCCATCTGTAAGTTCTACACGATTGAAATTCAATGATTATTCAAGGCTGATTGAGACATGTGAAGGTTTCATTTCAATACACATTCGAGAATAATCCGTATTGGTCACATTTCTTTTCCCCGGGACCAGAGATCGGTCGTTACTTCAAAAATGTTGCCGAGAAGTATGACATGAGATCTTTGGTCAAATTCCGACATGTTTTCAAGTCCGCCAGGTGGTTAGAGGATAGGGCCAAATGGGAGGTGACAATGTTGCGAATCGCCGATAACATGGTGAGCACACTAAAAGAGTAAATAGTCTAATCAAAGTACTAACCTCTGAACTAGGAGTTCAAAGATTATTGTGACGTATTTGTCAAGGCCACGGGCAACTTGAATAAATGGATGTGGCCGAAAGTTCCTGGCTTGCACGACTTCAAAGGTGACTTGATACACAGTGCCAACTGGGATGAGAATTTCGATCCCACAGGAAAACGAGTTGCTGTGCTTGGCTATGGAGCTACGGCCGTCCAGCTAGTACCTGCAATTCTTCCTAAGGTGAAATATATGGATCACTATGTTAGAGGACAGGCATGGATATCTCCAGCCGGTTATGTTGCCGCCGATCCTAGAAAGGGAAAATCTGATATCCATAACTGTAAGTTTCAACTGAAGCTGTCGTGAGTTACATCTCGAAATGTTTAGATACTGACCCTGGACATAGTTCCTCACTCACTGGAGGAACAGGAGGAATTCGCCCACGATCCAAAGGCACAATTGAGCTATCGTCACCAAGTTGAAGACTTTGTCAATAAGTTCCAGCTGGTTCACTGGGTAGGTTCAGATATGCATAAGTCTTTCTCCAAGGCTACTGAGGATTCTATGCTACGCAGACTTGCGAAGAAACCAGAAATATTTGAATCTCTGAAACCAGACTACCCCATACTTTGCCGTCGGGTGTCTCCTGGTCCGAAGTATCTCGAAGCATTGATGGAAGACAACCTCAACTTCATCCCGAAGGGTGTCCAGAAAGCCGACACCACTGGTCTTATCGACGACGACGGCGTACATAGAGAGGTGGATGCTATCATTTGCGCCACGGGGTTTGACACGTATGCATTTCACCCATTCTCCTTACATCCGAAACTGACCTTTGCAGATCATTGTCTCTCGATGATACCCCTATATATGGCAAGGATGGCATCTCGCTAGGCGAACAATGGCAGGACGAGCCTGGCGCTTATATGTCCCTTTGTCCGCCGAATATGCCTAATTGCTTCTTTTTTGTGGGGCCTAATGGGGCGCCGGGAGCGGGTTCCACAATTCAAATGAGCGAAGTAACTTGCGAGTATATGATCAAATGTATCCTCAAATTGCAACGCGAGAACCTGAAGTGGATGAAACCAAAGTTTGTTTCTGAAACCCAGATTTCCATTTATCCATTGACTGACAACTTCGACCAGAGATTCCGCCGTTGCAGCTTTCAAGAAACAGGTGGACAGATATTTTGAAAAGACCACTTTCGCTTTCACGGTAAGTAATATAATTATTTTACAGTGGACGCGACCGCTGACGATGTTGACCCAGTGTAATAACTGGGCGAAGCGGACATCAAATGGCAGGATGCTGGGCTATTGGCCGGGCTCCGCTGTTCATCAACGAGCAACACTAGCGCATCCCAGATTTGAGGATTTCGATTATGCGTCAAATGACACAGATAAAATCGATAGCTTGGCATGGATGGGTAACGGGATGATAATGGCTCAAGAGTTGAATATTTCCACGACGGGGTATTTGGACACTTTTGACAAACCCCCCGTTCGGGCCAATACTAGGCCAGGCGATAGCAAGATTCGAAAGACGCCGAAAAGGGGAAATTTTGGGGCGACCGTGCGCCTGTAAATGATGTCAAAGAGGGGGGTTGATTTAGCTTCAAAGCGAGATGACAACCCATAGATAGGAAATTCACATAACTTTCAATTTGACTCTGGATTTACCCAAATTATCAACGTATCGCTTGAATTTCCACTCAGATACATCTCGGAAACACTCCACGAGATTGTGGCGGGCAGTTGGGTTCCGGAAGATTACAGCCTTGTAGCAGTCGAGATTGCGTCCTTATCATAACTTCTCAACACTAATCGCAAGGCCCAGGCTTAATTGGTCTAGTGTATGGATTTGCGGTGCGGGGAAAGTGGATCTACACAGGAGGCACAATCGTTTATGCGTCAGTTTAAATAAGGAAGCTAAAACTAGGTTTTTGTGTCCCTCAATTTACCATATGGTCGTCAAAGGCAGCGCAAATTAACCCCGATCCTTGATACACCATAATTGATGCAAAATTACGATCTCGCCGTTTGAAATGTCTACATCTTTGCCACCACGGACTCACGCTAAGCGGGCCCGTGTTGCTTGCCTTGCTTGCCAGCAAAAGAAACAGAAAGTGAGCCGTAGATTTCTTACAGCGAATTAGGAAATAAGGCTAATATTTCTTTTGCAGTGTGATGGTAGAGCACCTTCTTGTGGGAATTGTGTCAAAGGATCAAGAAGTCAGTTATGCCCAAGCTAGATGTGAGAATCGCATTCGAGAAATACTGTATAGCTGAAAAATGATCTTCATAGCCTGCATAATCGAAGATCCATCGACAAAGCGACAGTATCCTCGTGGTTACGTCGAAGCACTGGAGCAGCGACTGGCACAACTGGAAAGTACTTTGGAGGCAGCCCCGACGAGAGAGAGGGACTTAGAGCCAATCAGTAGCACGCAGGATCCACCCGAAATCACGCATGAGATAACGGAGATGACCCCTGGCCAAGTGTCAGCTACTTCGGAGTATGTATTACGTGGTACACATGCCATCCCCGACCCTCAAGCTAAAAAGATGCAGATATAATGACACTCAAAATATGGGCAATGAGGTGATAAAGGAGGCTGAAGATGGACCCTCGCCCTTGGAGATGCTCTGCCTTCGAGCCGCTGGAGGCGAACCTCATTATTTTGGGTCTTCTTCGGCATACTCGTTTACTAAGCTCTTCTCCGCCCAGCTACGAGGAGCCCAGTTTCGCATGCCAGGTCTTGTAATGAGTGGAGTGACCCACCCTTATGTCTCGAACCGTCCTCGTCCAGTTCCCGCCCCCTTGCCTGACCGATCGGCTACAAGAATACTCACCAATTCGTATTTCGAGAATGTACACCCACCGTATCCATTTCTGCACTGGCCAACTTTTCTTAGGTACGAAGACGAAGTAATGACCGCGTGTGAAAACGGGCTTGCGCCGGATCCCGTACAATCTTATTTTGTGTATATGGTCGCTGCCGTGGGTGCTCTCACTGGGCCATTTGCGGGGGCTAGCTTACCTGAGGGCCTCTATGCCGCTGGGGAAGAGCTGTTTGAGCATGTCCTTCAACTGAACGATTTGGAAACCATTCAAGCCCTACTTTGTTGCGCCATGTACTCATTAAAATCGCCTATCGGGGTATCAATATGGTCGCTCTCCGGTATCGCCGTTCGACAATGCATCGAACTAGGTCTTCACAGAGACATTCCGTGGATGAAAATGGAGTCGAACCCACTGAAGACTCAGCTAAGACGACGGGTATTCTGGTGTGCATACAATCTCGACAGGGCATGTGCAGTCACTTTAGGCCGCCCGGTTGGTATCATGGACTCCGATATTGATGTTGACCTCTTCCTTGACTTGGACGATGAGAATATTACTTCCACTGGCATTCGTTGTCAGCCCCGATCCTCGAGCACAGAGTCACCAACTATCGTTTCAACAGCCCTACATACCATAAAGCTTCGCAGGATTTGGGCTCGAATGCAGAATCAGATCTACCCCCAGACACATGGCTCACCATCCTATGGAATCAACGGATTAACAGGAGGATTTAAGGTTGAGCTTCGAAGATGGATGGAAACTGCTCCAGATCAATTACAACAGGGCCGGGCCGTGAATAATGCATTCGCAAGCACAGAATGGTATAACTTGATGTATCACCATTCGGTTTTGCTCCTTCATCGCAGTCGCTTGGTTGTTAGTCAACGAAGCTCCAGACCTGAGTCACCTGTTAACGTATGCGACGACTTTTCCGTTCTTCTGGATTGTGCTTCATCCTCACAATCGATAATTGAACTCTACCGATCTCTATACGTGAGCCAACGACTCAATGATACATGGGGAGCTCTGCATGTACTTTTCCTCGCGGGAATTACTTATATTCACTGCTTGTGGAACAGTTCAGAGGCACGAAATGCTATACGACGTGACAAAGTATCTTCCACGTGTACATCCTGCGTGATGGTTCTGGCTATGATGGCTGAACGCTGGGCTGCGGTGGCTCCTTATCGTGACATCTTTGAAATGCTCTCTGATGCACTACAGTCAATGCTTGTGGACATGGAGAAGGGGCTAAATGGATCACCTAGAGGTGGTCCAGTATTGTCCTCATTGCAGGCTGATCAGGTTTCAGATTATTTTATGAGCTTAGCAGAAGTGGGGATGTGTTACTCTAGCGAACAGCTTCTTATGGATATGATTTGAACGATGTTTTCTGTTGAATTACTGTTTCGATACATCGCACTATATACTCTCTTTCCCTTCTTCTAGCGATGGAATCAAATGAATCCAGTGCATTCCATCTCAACATCGGTTCCCCGGGCCAGCGCCTTGACGCATATGCAGGCCCTTGCCGGTCTCGGCTCAGCGAAGAATTTGTTGTATGCTTCATTCATGAGTGGAACATCATCCATACTGGTCACATAAATCATGACCTTGAGGACCTTATCTGATCCTGAACCTGCAGCTTGTAAAACCTTGCTCAGGTTTGTAAGGGCTTGTGTCTAAGAAAGTCAGCATAGTAAAGATTCAAGAAAATTCACAGTTGTACTGACTGTACGTTCGGCGATTGTTCCTTCAGCAATAGTATTTGTGGCTGGATCCATTCCAATTGATCCTGAGCAGAAGACCAAACCGTTGTGAACCACAGCCTGGGAGAGGGCTGGGTAGGGGCCAGGTGCCTCCTTGGTCACTACTGCCTGACGCTCGGAGCTAGCCATTGGAGGATAAGAGTTCTGAAAGTATGTTAAATGATTGAATAATTTCTCTGTAGTTTTCAATGACGAAATCAAACTTTTTATGCTCAATTCAGTGTCGGAAGTCCGACCGTGGTATACTCGGGTCGAGCCGAACGTTGCCCCTATACTAGACCCTACTGCAAAACCGCACAACATGAGTCCGATAATACCTTCTTCTTTATCACAAATGGAGATACATCATTTGAACTACTTTCTTTTGAAATGAATTGAATTGAACTTCTTGTTGTTTTATTATTTTCTTTTTGGAAAGAAGAAAGAGGAAAAAAGCCATATAAGTTTTTACGGATTCAGTGCACTTGGAAAGACAACATCGAATTTACACACATACAACGTCCTTTGATACTATCTGTGTCTGAAATGGCTACTTTACATTTATCTCCATCCAGCTGTGAGGCCAAGGTGGAAGAGGCTATCCGACGTTTTCAAGCGCGCAATCCCAAGTCACTTGAGCACCATGAAGCCGCTATCGACAGCATGCCTGGCGGCAACACCAGAACCTTGCTGCATACTGCACCATTCCCCGTCGTCATGGTTTGTGGTGAAGGAACTAAGCTCTACGACCTAGACGGACACGAGTACCTTGATTTCGTGGGAGAATTGACAGCCGGTCTTTATGGACACTCAAGTCCTAAAATAAAGAAAGCCATGACAGGCGTCTTGTCTGACATTGGATTGAGCCTCGGGGCGACCAACATATACGAAAAGAAGTATGCAGATCTTCTTTGTTCCCGATTTGATCTGGATTCACTGCGCTTTGCGAACTCGGGCACGGAAGCAAACATACATGCTCTTGCCGCTGCCAGGGAATTTACTGGTAAGAGAAAAGTTGTGGTTTTCAGAGGTGGATACCATGGAAGTGTTTTGGCTTTTGGGCTCGGAATTGCACCGAATAATGTGGATCCGCACGATTGGATCTTGTCACAATACAATGACCCCGATGCACTGAACGAGGTTTTCAATACGCATGATGATATTGCTGCTGTCCTAGTCGAAGGCATGCAGGGATCAGGTGGAGGAATTCCTGCATCCAGAAAGTTCTTGCGAGCCATTCGGGAACAGACGCTCAAGGTCAGTCTAGCATCTTCTTCAAAGTGCGAGTATGCTCTGTGCTGACGAATTTTAGGCCGCTGCAGTGTTTATTCTTGATGAAGTCATGACTTCGCGGCTCCATCCAGGCGGCATGGCAGCTACTATAGAAGAGAAACCCGACTTGAAGACTCTAGGAAAGTACCTCGGTGGCGGCATGCCATTCGGTGCATTTGGAGGACGAAAAGATATTATGGCCGTTTACGATCCCCGAAAACAAGGATCGCTGTCTCACTCCGGAACTTTCCAGAACAATACTCTCATGCTGAATGCTGGCTATACTGGGTTGGCCGAAGTCTTCACCCCAGATGTCGCTATTCAATTCAACAAAAACGGCGATAACTTTAGAGCAGAGCTTCTGGACATTTTTGAGGGAACTAAATTTACGGTAACGGGGGTAGGCTCATTAATGTGTATTCATTGCACTAAGCCCGGCCTGACCTCGGCCCAAATCCGGGCAAAAGATGATTATGCTCCTCATGAAGATGTGGACCTCAAGAAGCTTTTCTGGCTGGAAATGATGGAGGCGGGATTTTGGATTCATCAGCGCGGAAGTATCGCTTTGAACCTAGCTATGGAGGCGAATGCAATGGAGGCTTTTGTACAGGCTGTTAAGGCATTCTGTTCTAGGCATCATAAACTAGTACATTTTCCCGGTCAAAACATTGAATAGACTCTAGCGGACTTGTTTCTAGTGAATTCATCTCAAGATTAAATTGACTAGTCATCTGCTTCGAATCAATTACATTCTTCAAACTTGAATCGGGAATAAATTCACAAAGTACTAGTAGTCCCTATGACCTCAGGCTCTCTGTGGTGTATTTTGATTGCTGACTGGTCAAAATCTCCAATAAAATTCTTCCAATTTGTTATCGCATTCACTTTTTCGGTTCTAGTTATCGATCCAGATGCCCTTAGCCCATTTTTAAACTTCAAGTTACCATTAACGTACTATAAACAGCTTAATACGTTCTGTCGCAGAACGGCTTGTCTCCCACAATGTCTTGCGGGGCCCGAGAGCGCATCCCCGCACTCCTTATCTTATGACCCATCGGGACGATCCATATGAGCCAGAAGCCTCTCCACCACTGGATTCCACCACTTGCTAAAAATGTAGTTGGGTTATTGGTTCAGCCATGTAGAACCGCAATCATTGCATCGCACTGCGACGGTGATGCTGTCATCGATTGAGATAATGCGAAGGTCCCAGTAAATACGAAATCATGTCTGATCCTACGAAGCTCCAATCGCCCTTTTGCCCAAATGCTGTTACCCCTTATCATTACTGTTCTTCATATTCGCCTCTTACATGCCCCGGGTCGGAGCTATCTGAGGCCCAAGGCCGCTTGTTGATAGCGCCAACTCGGATCCATCCGACCCACTGATAGCCGGCCAGATTAGCCCTAGAAGCTGGAGTCAAAGCATGTCTCTGCTCAGTAGACATACATCCACCTATATCATACAGATGTCCATATCCAAGAAAATTGACGCAACATCAAGCAGGTTACTCGTCATCTCACAAGGCCCAGCTCAGCCTACGCACTTGTCAGTTATTGAGATTTTCAAGGAAGAATGTCTGCGCCCGCCTTTCAAGACAAACTCGGAACAAAGGACAGCAAACATGGAATGCCTAGTTCTGATGTCGAAAGAGTCGACACGGAGACGGCCAGTCAGCAGGTTGGTCAGGTCATAAATGAAATCGATGCTACGGCTGTTGGGGTGTTCGGGGCCGCTGCCGCTGCTGGCGGCGAACAATTCCGTGTTCTTGGCAAATGGAAGGCCGCCATCGTCCTCATCCACACAGAAGTCGGCATTGGAATTCTCTCTCTGCCATCCGTCTTTCAGAAAATTGGACTCATCCCGGGATTTCTCGCCATTCTCGGTGTTGGCGCCCTATCAACATGGACTGCCTACGTTACGTTGCTTTACTGGCGCCGATACCCTCACATTGACAACCTTCCCGACGCCCTACGAGTTCTCAGTGGAAATTTCCTTGCTGCGATCGGCGGCGTCGGACTAATCATAAATCTGAGTCTTGCCTGCTCTTCAGCTACGCTGGGCATGAGTGTTGCCCTGAACACACTTACTGGACATAGCATGTGCACAGTAGCTTTCATCGGGTTCGCCTGTCTTGTATGCTACATCTTGTGCATTCCACGGACTATGAATTTCGTCGCGTATTTTTCATGTAAGATCTGCGCTATAGACTTCGCAAATTGATGTAGACTAATGAGTATACAGGGCCCGCAACGATTGGTATTGTTGTTCCAATATTCATCGTCATTATTTCCCTGGCTGTCGACAAGCCACAAACAGCACCTGTGGGTTGGAACAGAGAGATCAAACTCTGGGCGACTCCCTCATTTCAAGACGGCTTTACTGCATTTCTTAGCGTCTGTTATGCTTTCGGTGGACGGCAAGCCTTCCTCATGATCATGGCCGAGATGAAAGACCCCAACAGGGAATATGTGCCCTCACTCGTCATTCTTCAGGCATTCGCCATACCCATGTACCTCATCACTGGAGGCGCTATCTACGGTCTCGCAGGAGATTATGTTACCTCCCCAGCCATTGGAACCGCTCCTATCCTCTGCGCCAAGATCGCATATGGCATTCTCCTCTTGACCCTCTTCGCGACCGGTCTATTCTACGGCCATGCTGGAATCAAGTATCTCTTCACTGTTGTGATGTGCCATGTATTAAAGTGCCCAGACCAAATGACCATGAACAGCTTTAAGTCTTGGACATCTTGGATCGGACTAACTACTTTCTACTGGATACTTGTTTTTATCCTCGCCAACGCCATTCCCGTTTTCAATTCCATAATTGCGGTCTCCTCGGCGTTATTCGTCGCGTGGTTCTCTTTTGGATTTCCCGGGGCATTCTGGCTTCATCTTAATTGGAAGGAGCAATTCTCAAGCAAGAGAATGATCTTTCTAGCTTTTCTGAGTTGGGGCCTTGTTATAATGGGCGCTTTATTGAATACAGCGGGAATGTATGCGTCTATTGATTCACTTATTGATTTATTTAATAATCCTGATAGCGGCATTGACGGCCCTTTCACCTGTGCCGATAATAGCCTCTTCTAGATGGCTTTGGTCGAAATTTGACACACATGGAATCTGGGAGGTCTTTTGAATATTACGTTGCTCGCTTGCTCATTCGTACATAAATGCCCCTGAGCATGAGATCAAGAATAAATTACTTGCAAATCTACAATTTCCAAACTTCCTTCTCCATTAATAATGTGATTTATTCAATGATAGCCCTTTGGGGATTCAATTTTCCCAAGATTTACTGACGAGATATTTGTGTATTCTACTCATGCCTGGCCACAAGACTGAATTGAATCAATGAGTTATCACTTGTTGGAACGAATTAAAGTATCTAGTATGCACGCCGCATGGACAAGAGACTTCTTTTACGCTTCTAATCCCACAACCCTTGCAGTCCCTCTGACGAGTTTCCCAGAACTGGATCAGCGCTGGGCTTCGGAACGTTCCAAACTCGTTCATATGCGCCCGTATCCTCCCCTCCCCTCTGAGAGTTCCAACCTGCGTTTTCTATCGGGTACGCCCCAATCATGGTAAACCCGGAGAGTCTATTATCCGTCTCCTCTAACGCTTTTACCACATCACCCCCAGCAATATGATGTCCATCGCCGGGCGTTAAAAGGGTGAACGAGGCAGACGGCTGGGTGTTGTATGTCTTATGTGCCGTACCGGCGGGTAGTACAAAGACATCACCAGCCTTTGCCTCCAGCTCAATTCCACCTTGTTCCTTCTTATCCCCAAGCGTATTCTCATCCATGTCCTCTGAGGTATCTGCGACACCGAACCGGATAGTGGCGGTGCCTGAAAGCACGGCCATGCATTCATGTACGCCGGAATGATAGTGTGAACGCTGCGTCTGGCCGTATCGGAAGACCCATTGTGTTTCCCAGCCATTTTGAAGAAATGTTACGTGTGCATCTCGTGCGCTTCCGTTATCTTTGGTTTTGAAGTAGCCTGGATAATGAAGGAGTGGCCGAGGGGAGTTGGGAATCAGTGCCGTTGGTGGCAGGAAGTATTTGTTTACTTTTGTCATGGTGTTGGTTTGATGCACTGAGAGCCGATCTTGAGAGTATCAATGAACTTGAAGCTTAAAGGCGACGATTTTTTTCTTGGTGCGGCAGATTGGCTTTCTATCGCTAGAAATGAAGATTCGTTTGTGATCTAGCTATTGGTGCCCCGTTTTTGGGCAGGAGGTGTCGTTGTTATATCGCAAAAGACACCCACACGCCTTGCATTTTTCTGACCTAGTTCGATCATTTCAAGTCAGCAATCTAACCAATGTTCCATAAGTGGAGATTGACTTAGAGAGGTCGGGACTTTGTTTCATGTCGGCCCGGCCCGAGTTAAGCTGTGGTTCCCGTTTTTGAAAGTCATGGACTGCGGCTGTACCCGGGGCTTCACTGGCAACTCCCGGGACCACTACGGGGGACAATAGCGACCATCAGGAAATCCCCTTCTCCATAGATAGATAGTCTTTAACCTATATTAGACCACGACCTGTACTGTAAGCTCTACATAGATGGAAAACGAAGTAGAAAAACAGGTAGAAAAACAGGTGGAAAGACAGGTGGAAAGACAGGTGGAAAGACAAACGGATAAATGTCCTTTTCTCCAAGTACTTTAGATTAAACTAGTACGTTCATTTAGAAAGAGAAGACTATTACCTCCCAGTAGGATTCAAAGTTGACGCTCAGCTTCCTTGGAAACTTGTCGATATCCCAGGGATCTGAAAGGGTCCATTGTTAGTAGTATATCACAGCTATCGTTATTCAAATGTTCTGCCAGCCGTCAACAGCCAAGGACTTGGGGCAATGATGTTTTTTCCCCGGTTATTTCCAATACCCGTCTCATAACACCCACTGTGGTTTGTGTGTCAAGCTTCACTTGTAAAAAGCAGCAGAGAATACCATCTGTTTTGCAAAGAACCCCTACTGTAGTGCTATGGCCCCAGGCTCGATTCATCAAATAAGCGATATAGATATTGATAGACACATGCGTATGCAACGCATGGGAGAGAGGAAGAAAAACACCATGGCAAAGAACCTTGCAATTGGGTCTCTTATTTAGTAAGAGACTCGGTCTATGTGACATCACATGATTATAAGGGAACCTATATAATAGTCTCTCCTAGAAGATCAAACGTTTATGCAACAGGGCTAAAAGCCCAGAGTATATCCACCTCTGGCCCAATAGTCCTGCCTACCCTCCATCCTCCCGAGGGGAGGCACTTACATACCTGCGATCCCTCGGCCCGATGGCCTTTGTAGAACTTCTCTGGGTTACCAAGTTCCACTCCAAGATCTGCACCCGCTAAGGCAACGGCCTCTCGTTATCTCCTTTTCTCTATGCATGGCGTTCTTTGTTTTCTTCAGCCAGCCGGCTATCTCTTTCACTTCTCTTTATTACCTTCTGTCTCTCCAGGGCGAAAAGCCCACGCACTCCGATACATCGTGTCTTTCTATCTCCACGTAGTTTATCGATTCATAGGTTGGAAGCGACGCACTTATCAGGCTATTGCCACGCAATAGACCAAAAGCCATACCCATCTGAGGCTAGGTTGGTATTCCCTCTGTGTTGCTGTCTAAGTATCTACTTCAATTGTGCTCCTCTAAGTCTCTCTCTCTCTCTCTCTCTCTCTCTCTCTCTCTCTCTAGTTTATCTTCCTTCTGGCTTATCATTCCTCCTGATTAGTATCCCTCTCCTTACCATCGCAATCAACGTCGGGGCTATCTCAAGTTCGTGATGGAGGACGCCGAATTAAACCTACTTGTGTGCTCTATAGGTGTTATAGACTAGAACCGTCTATCAGAGAAGCCACAACGACTGATTTAAGTCCATGAAATATCGGATTTCCCTTTGCTGATATCTAATCTTCAGCTACAGCTCGAGCCGCACAAAGTGACTGTCTCTCCTCTTAGAGACCTCACAGAGTCCCTTAAAGTTGACCTTAGAAATATAAATCAAGTTCTAAAGATAAAACATGATGCTATAGTAGTATTAGTAGTATATTCCCTTTCAATCAATAAATAAATGTACTAATAGTATTGTCCCTCTAGGCCTTTGTGGACTATATCCGGCTTTCATATTCCTGCAAAGCCGCCTTGCGCTGCACCGTTCCCTTCGCTGTGCGAGGCATTGGACACTCAGTGAAAATAATCCGGCTTCGGTCAAATGAAATTATCAAAGGGGCATTTCGATCCAAATCCTCCATGGTCGGCCAAATTCTATCAAGCACTAAGTCACGCACTTTTTGAACAGCTTCCTCGCCACCATTCTGCTTTGCTATTTCAATCTTGTTACGAAGGGTAGCAGATGGCTCCACCAGTACAGCCACGTGTTTAAACTCAGATACAAAAATGAGAACCTGATCAAACAGATCACGATGATCTGTCATTATCCGTCGCTGTGCAGCCGCTGGATGCCACTTGCCGCCCGATCTAAAAACCAGCAGATCATCTTGCCGGCCATACCATGACCATACACTGTCTTTGCCTGATCCGGAAACATGGCGGAAGAGATCGCCTGCGTCGAACTCCGTTTCAGTGGGGAATAGAGCAAATACTGGCTGAACTCTCTCAGGATCCTTGTTCTTCACCCAGATGGCAGCATATAGGTCCTCCGTCACAGGCCGGAACTCTATACCATTATCGGGATGAAAGCACATGCCATTCCAGGGGTAAGAGCCCCAATATGCAGTACGGCGAATTGGATACCACATTCCTGTTTCGGTGCTACCGACACTTGTTTGGATGTTGAAGCCACGATTTATGACCGTGTCACCGGCATGTTGAGACAATGGAGCACCTCCCCAGTAGAGTGTGTGGACATTCCTCCCCGCAAGGGCATCTTGAAGCTCCATATTGGTCGCGAGCTCTTCTATGTTGGCTGGTATGAATGAGATACAGTCAACCGGGCGGTATTCCGTGACATGGACTGCTGCTTTCAGGCTTATGGGCATCAATGCTGGTGGGAAGACAATGACACTGCCAGTATAAAATGCACAGATCAAACTAGAAACCTGAAATCCTATATGAAATGCAGGCATTACACTGAGAATGCGACCTTTGATAAAAATATCTTCTCATGGGTATATACAATCGGCTTTGGACACCCCGAGGTGCCAGAGGTATGGAATAAAACCAAGGGCTCGTGCTTAACTTCTTCATAATTCTTGGTATAAGGGGATTCGTGAAGAACATCGAAGAAATCAGCAATACGCGGAAGTGTCCATGATGTCAAGCTTCCATATTCAGCGACAATCGCATCTCGCTTCTCAATATCTGCTAAAGGTGAGACCAAGAGATGTTTACAGCTCGTTGCTTGTATCAGCTTAGCTTGACCAATAGTTCCGTAGTTGGGTGCTACGAGCAAACAAGTATAGCCGGTCTTGATAGCTGCGATAGTCAGGACAATATGGCTCATGTCATTAGGTCCAATAAAAGCGACCGTCTCGGATTTTCGCCCTCGCCAAGAGTATCAACTAACCACTTCGCAGTACCATTAACAGCATTGGCAAGTCTGCGAAATGTGATTTTCCAAAACCCACATTCATATCCAGTGGGAGAGATTGGCAGCTCGCCATAGAGTCTTTCCGGGTCATTGGACGCCAGCTCGTCGAGAATCGTCGGGATCAGCTTGGTGAGACCTTGCTGCATTTCCAGATCAATCTCGTGACCCATGGTGTTCCACTCGAAGCAAGTTTTCAAAACGAATTTAATATTTATTAGCTCAGTCGATTGAGTTGAGAATACTAATCGACGACGGTCTTTTTTTCGTTAAAATCTCGCTAGATGAGCCACTGTTAAGTACCTGTCAGAATCCATGATGCCAGCGTAGCTTTTCCCCGGATGGCTCATGTCAGAATATCTCGCACTGGAATTAGTGGGATCGTATCAGGATTCGCGCGTCTATTCAGTACATCCTTGCTGATGGGGCCAAAATGAGCGTACCTAATACCAAGAAAGTATCGATTTGCCTGTATAGGGCTAGTCTATGTAATGACTACCGAGGTGGAGTGCGAGCGAATGAACTTATTGGACGCTTCCAAGATCAGTAACCAAGCCTTGTGGTTCAGCCCCGAAGCTTCTCCACTCCATAAAGAGTAACCGATGCGTGCCTAAATTAAAATAAAGTATGTAATGGCGGTGAGAACTCGTTACTTGAATTAACTAGCCAGATGCCAGGTGGATCATCTCAAGTGCGACAGCTGTAATCTACATATTCGTTCGCTTTACCTACTTGATTCTGCCCACGATCGCCCCCACTGACCCAGGTACTTGTAAGCAAATCCTTCCAAGGCTCCAAGGTTGTAGGTAACGTAAAACTTTAATACTTGGGGTGTAGTAAATATGAAAGGTGAAAACTTCGCGCAGGTCCCTTGCCAACCTTGAAAATGTCCACTAACCACCCTCCATATCATTATGATAACAATCGCACCAAAAGGATGTCACTGCTCGTACCCAAGTTTCTAGACCAACCAGCATTCCCGTTCGGAGCTTTCACATCACGCGTGGTCAGTAAATGTCTCCGAGATTTTCAATTTGCTTTCCTCGTTTGCCTTGTCTTCTGCTTCTTTTTTTTTCTTCTTTTTTTCTTATTTCTCTCCCTCCTCTTTTAGTAGCGACAAACTCCGTCTTCGCAATATATCCTCACGCCTCCTAGTAGCAATCCTTCCCATTCCTCCAAAGACCAAATTTGTCGCAATTCTAGTATTTCTCACAGAAATAGCAACACGACTGAACCACTGGTGATCCAAAACGTCTAGCCAGGCAGATTCCATATTGTGAATTAAGGGGCGGAATAAACTTGAAGAAAGATAGAGGCTTCTCCTCCAAGTCGTTGCGGTATAGCTTCTCAGATATTGTCCAAAAGATGGGGACTTAAGAATGGTTGGTAGATATGAATGTCTTTCAATTTGGAATGAAACAGTAGAAATCTCGTCGTTGAAAATTTCAAATCGACCTGCGGCCTTCTTGTGCATTTCATATTAGTTATATCCCGCAGTTGACATCATTATGAACCCTATACCTCGACATCTCACCACCTGCTAGTGGGTAGTGAGTGCATAACTTGAAAGCACACCGGATTCTCGCCATATCTCTTTCCGGTTGTCTTTTGGGTTATCTTTTGACTTGTCTTTCCACTTAGTCTTCTATCCACGTAGGGCTTATGGTACAGGTAGTTCAACTTAGCATGTAGTAACGGGTGTAATAGTAGTAGACGGTTAATACATTGTAGATAGGCAGTAGACTCGGAGGACATCTACCTAGAATATGTCATCGGCCTCGGCCAAGGGAGTTTTCCCCGATGATCACTACCTATTGTCCCCCGTACTTCAAGTTATAGTACTACATACTACATATAGAGCAAATAAACCAGCACATACTTACATTCAACTGTGACTAACTGACTCAAGGCACAAAAATGTCAAACGTGATGTGATAATCCTTTCTTCTTTCAACAAACTTCTCCCAGCAAGAACAGACTCACGACTCCTCTTCCTCTTCCATAGACTCATCCTCTTTCTCAGACTCAGTCAAATCCTGCTCCGTAATAGGCAGAAGTTCAATGAACTGATCCAGCCTACTCCCATCAGGCAGAATGACAGACCCATCCTCCATCCGATGCTGAACCGCATGATCCTGGTGTTTAAAGTATTCCTCCTCCAAAATAATAAACTCAACCATGTTCTCGAACGGAGCCCAGGTCCAGCCTTCCTTCCTCAGCGCATGAATAATTCGACGACGATAGATCTTCTCATTTAACCCATAGATAAAGGACTGGATAAAATGAGGAAGCAAGCGATTGGATTCGACCTGTTTACAGTGCGATATGTAAATTTTTCTCACTGCCTCAAAGTATTTCTCGAGGGAGTGGTCCCCTTGCTTCATGAGTGGGAAATACTCTGTGACTGGCTGTCCAGCTAATTCGGATGTGGATTCTGATTCAGACTTGACGGGGGTGTCTCGTTCACTGGATGTTAGAGTGATAGTAGGTTTAGGTGTCCACATGGATTCCGCGATAATTTCGTTGATTTCGGTATCTGTTGGCTCGGGGCTGCTTGGTCTTACATCGGGGTCATTGCAGAGACACTCGAGTTCAGCGACACATTGGCTGAGGGTTTTGCTTCTGTAGGCTGGTAAGGTGGCGTACGCTCTCAGTGATTCGAGTGCGCGTTTTGATAGACGTTTTAGGACAATTTGGTAGTCTTGAGAGGCAGGAGGGTTTGATGCTTGGTTGTTGAATGTGGTGATGGCTGATATTATGATGATACATTCTTGTAAAGATTTCGATAGGCAGTTCACTAACTCGACAGATTCATCGTAGGTGCCTTTGGCGTCAACGAGCGCGGTAGTAAGAGCTCTGTTGGTTCGCAGGCGCTCGTAACTCCATAGGAGTTGAGCAGGATTGGGGTTTGGGCGGGACGAAGTTGGCGATGAATGCTCCATGCTTGGGATTTAGGGGAATGAATAAATCAAGGTGAAGGATAAGCTCGAGTTTTCATATGTAGGGGGGAGCAGTGAGCAGGGTAAAGTGAAAGACGACGGTGAGGATAAATAACCCCGGGCCTCGACGTGTATGGGGGTAAGTGAGAGAACGTACCATAGCACGATCAGCACGACTAACAGCTGTGGAGCAAAGGAGTTAAAACTTGGAATCTTGATCTTTTTCAATTCGATTACTCGTGTCAAGTAGCATTACCAAGGACAAAGAAGAACACCGTGAGGAAACAAGTCACATTTTGGCCCGGATCTATGAGATTAAGTACGATAACGGCGGCATTCTTAACCAACACAGGGCGAGCTAGATACAAAGGAAACTAAGAGGGAAAAAATGCGAGTAAAAGAAAACCGTGACTGGAAAATAACGCACTAACATGTCACATCTCCGTAAGTGCAGGGGACATAGAAAACCATAGCAGAAGCCGGGTGATTGACCTCGGCCAAACCAACTAGCGACTGCGGAGCGGAGATGTCAAGGAGCAGAGGAAGCCAACTTTTTGCGCAGGTTCTGCAATCGTAATCCGCATCAAGACATCAAGGGGGGGAGGTGAAGGTTTTTAGATGAGGTCAGCAACGTTCATGGGCATCTCCTCAACCTGGGTGCTGTAGAACTGCTCGATCTCACGCAGCATGCGAACATCGTCGGCGGTGACGAAGTTGATGGCAACACCCTTACGACCGAAACGACCACCACGACCGATACGGTGAATGTAGTTCTCACGGTTGGCGGGGAGATCATAGTTGATGACCAGGGAAACCTGCTGGACATCGATACCACGGGCCAGAAGGTCGGTGGCGATCAGGACACGAGAAGAACCGGAACGGAACTCCTTCATGATAACATCACGCTGACCCTGCTCCATGTCACCGTGCATGGCGGAGACAGTGAAGTCACGGGCAGTGAGCTTGTCGGTGAGCCAGTCGACCTTTCGGCGGGTGTTGCAGAAGATGACGGCCTGGGTGATAGTGACGGTCTCGTAGAGATCGGAGAGGGTGTCGAGCTTCCACTCCTCCTTCTCGACGGCGATATAGAACTGCTTGATACCCTCAAGGGTAAGCTCCTGCTTCTTGACCAGGATACGGACGGGGTCACGCATGAACTTGGTGGTGACCTCGAGGACGTCCTGGGGCATGGTAGCGGACAGAAGAGTGACCTGGGTAGACTGGGGCAGAAGCTGGAAGATGTCGTAGATCTGCTCGGTGAAACCACGGGAAAGCATCTCATCGGCCTCGTCGAGGATGAAGAGCTTCATGGAATCAGTGCGCAGGACACGGCGCTGGATCATGTCCTGGACACGGCCGGGGGTACCGACAACGATGTGGGGACCCTCACGGAGAGCGGTCATGTCCTCACGGACGTTGGTACCACCGATACAGGCGTGGCACTCCAGCTGCATGAAGTCACCAATGGCAACAACGACCTTCTGGATCTGCTGAGCCAGCTCACGGGTGGGAGCAAGAATCAGAGCCTGGCAGGCCTTGACAGAGGTGTCGATCTTCTGGAGAGCGGAGATGGAGAAGGTAGCGGTCTTACCGGTACCGGACTGGGCCTGAGCGATAACATCGTTACCTGTATCATGAGATTGTCAGCGGGTCTGTAATATTGGGATCTCAACCGAAAATTGGAGAAATGCTTACCCTTGATGATGGGCATGATGGCGCGCTGCTGAATAGCAGAGGGACGCTCGAAACCGTAGGCGTAGACACCTGAATAGAAAGTCAGTAAATTTTCTGCATGGGCCCCACCCACTTGCACGAGGGTCTGGGGATCTGGAGAGGGGTTGATTTCACATACCGCGAAGCAGCTCAGCCTTCAGGTCCATGGAATCGAAGGAGTCGGTGATCTCATCGTAGTTGGACTCGATGGTTCCTATTGTGTAGATATCCAGGTCAGCCTTGGTTCATCTAGTCGAAATTTTTTTCCATCACACATCGCCACCCGCAGGGATTTTTTCTTTCTGCTCAACCGTTCACAATATCCCCTCAAGGGAGGAAAGAAACGCTGAGAGGGCGAAGTCGTATGGGAAATAGGAGTGGGAGTATCTCATACCCTCGGGGAGGTCCTCGAGACCCTTATCGTTCGACATATTGGCGGTTGGTAAGAGGGGTGATCACAAGCAACTGAACGCTGTGATCGGGGATAGTGGGGTGATGAGTTTTAAGCGAACGGCCCTGTGGGGTTGAGTTCGCAGAAGTCGAAACGAGTATCTAAGGCCCTTCAAATATAGAAGAGCGATGAGATACTATGAGTGAATGTGGTTGATATGAAAATCAGTGAATGGGGGGAGAAAGAGGGAAGAAAAAGAGAAGGAAGAAAAAAATCGACCGTCCCGAACACCCAATTTGCGACGCTATTTTTTTTTTTCACTGGTGGGTTGACCGCTTGCCTAATGTGGGTCCTCCCGCTATGGTTCAAGCGAGTTGAAACTTCAACTTCTTCATTGTTGCTATGATTGTTCTTGGCCCTGTTTACTCTTCTAGGCGGATTGTTCTTTATTCGTTCGTTTGATTTACCGTTTGTGGTTTGCCTAGTCTCACATCTTTTCATCATCCAATTTCGCTGTGGGGCACCTCGGGCAGAAAAAAAAAGCCTTTGAAGCCCTAATATATCCAGCATGCCTGACATCACCACGCTACCGAGTTACCCACTTGCCCTGGAGGAGGATCAAGACGTTGAGGCTATTCCAAGCCACCCTTTGGGCGTCAAACCAAGTGGCAATGCGCTGCTTGCTACTTCAAATCTTCGCTCCGCTATCGGAACATGGCAGCTTCTACCCGACGAGCTAATCCTATTAATATTTGAATACCTAAATGGACGCGATCTACTGGGTATTGGGCGAACATGCAAGGCATTTTATGCATTTACCCGTGCTGAGGATTTATGGAAGACTCTATTCGTTAGGTAAGAAGAGTACGTCCTTGTTTATTGCGGATGTAGCATAAATTGGCGTTTGTTGTTTGTTGTTCGGTGTTCGGGATGGTCGGGCTCAATAGTTCTATACATGTATCTTGAAGTCTCAATACATATCATGTTAGAACTTTGAACTTGAAACCTTTTTCTTCTTGACATGCACCGCCCATACTGTAAAAATATACTTATAACTATGGAACCTTGCTAATATTTATGAAGCTCACCACCGGAATCATTCACATGGCGAGGTACATGGCGGTCAACATATCTCAACCTACCACAAACAAAGGTGCCTCAAGTGGACTGTTCAAATCTCTACTCAGACGCACTTTACCGCCCATTCAACTGCGCACACATCAAATTGGAACCATACGTCTGTAATATTCCAACGCGCAACCAAATTCCTCGATTACCCGATCTCTCCCCCGAAGAGTTCCATGAAAAATGGGCTGACCGCCCCTTCATCCTCTCCGACCCAGTCAAAGAGTGGCCAGTCTACAAAAACTGGACAGTCGGAACCCTACTCTCAAAGTATGGACCTGAAGAATTCCGCGCTGAAGCTGTGAACTGGTCTCTACGCACTTATGGCGACTACATGGCCGACAATGCGGACGAAAGTCCGCTCTACTTATTTGACCGCAACTTTGTTTCAAAAATGGGACTTGCAGTTGGATCATCGACTGAGACACCCGATGCTGCATATTGGCCGCCAGCGTGCTTTGCAGAGGACTTCTTCTCAGTGCTCAGCGACAACAGACCCGATCATCAGTGGTTGATTGTTGGGCCAGAGCGGTCGGGGAGCAAGTTCCATAAAGATCCGAATGCCACGAGTGCATGGAATGCGGTGTTGAGGGGACCTAAATATTGGATTATGTTCCCATCTGGCGAGACAAGAGAACCACCGCCTGGAGTCTTTGTCTCGGATGACCAGAGCGAGGTTACCTCTCCACTTAGCATTGCGGAGTGGTTGCTTACATTCCATGCTGAGGCGCGACGGACCGCAGGCTGTATGGAGGGAATCTGCGAAGGGGGTGAAATTCTACATGTCCCATCTGGGTGGTGGCATCTGGTCGTCAACCTTGAACCATCTATTGCCATTACACAAAATTTCATTCCCCGGGCTCATCTCACCGCGGCGCTTGACTTCTTATCTAACAAGGCTGACCAAGTCTCTGGGTTCAAGAAGAATGTGGATGACCCATACCAGAGGTTTGTCGATGGAATGCAAAGCGCACACCCCGAGCTTTTGGAAGAAGCGCAAGAAGAACTACAGAAGCGAGCAGAGGGAAAGAAACGTAAATGGGACGATATTGTCCATGGAACAACTGGAGATTCCAAAGAGCAAGAAACCGGGGGATTCAGCTTTGGATTTGGAGATGATGGGAGTGATGTTGAAGTCCCATAAGTTACTACATACGACATATACGAAGAATCATAGCGGCCAGCAGGGAAAGCCCCGTTGAGCGAATATCTTAAGATAGTACATTTGAAGCTCAACTTCGTGATACCCGGAGCCCCAGGTGGCCGCTAATAATTGATGAAAGCAGCATCATAGCGACATAAAATAAAATTCACGTATTAAATGCTCAAATTCTGGAAAGACCTGTTGAACGCCATAATAACCGCAATCACCACATTAAGGCTTAGTGGCAAGCAACCGACTTGGTAGCAGGAGCCCCATCCGCGAAAGCGAGGTAACCTACGAAAGCACCAACAGCAACAGCGATCATAACCGTGCCGTTGTAAGTCATGAAGAGAAGCCTACAATGTAAGAGGCCATTAGTACCAATCAACGCCATATGTAGCATCTCAGGTGCGAAACTCACATGATAAAAAAGCTGTAAAAGACCTGAATGGCATACAAGGCAGCCATAGTAATCTTCCCTCGGCGAATAACAGCAGCCTGATTATCCCTTCCTACAAGTAATCGTGAGCTCTCGTCGTGATTGATAGGCAATCCAGCAGTCTCGGCGGTAACATTGGCGATGGATGGGTCGGTATCATCTGCAGAGCAAGACATCAACAAAAGCTCACTCAAGCAGTTGTATGAATGTATTTACTATCCACCAAACCCCCATACCAATGTAACTCATGAAACGGGACCAGTATAAGTGCGTAGCTCATGTTATAAGGTGGAACTTACCTCCAGTTGATGATCTTCCAGCGAAAGCATTGATGCGTCGTGTGTGTGCTGATTCGTATTTCCGGGTAATATTGCGAATACCCTCGTAACCCGCCGTGAGGAGAACGATAAGGATGAGCGAGAAGAAGAAGGAAAGCGGGCCTGTAATGCGCCACTGGCGGAAAATGATGCAAAGGTTCTCGGAGGACCAGGTAAAGATCATCTAGCAGAAGAGATGTTATTTCAATGAGCCGTTTCAAGATGTCTGGCAGTCGACGCTCACGTTCATGTTGCATTGACCTTCACCCATATCCATATCGCCATGGCCCATACCATGGCCCATATGCATCGAGTGATCCATACTGAAGCTAGAATTTTTCCAAGTGAATCAAAGAAGTAGACCAAGTTCAAACGAAAGTATCTTCTAAGTCAAAGAATTTGAAGAAAAGTACCGATACTAGTTCTCGGAAAGTAAACATGAAGCGGGATCGTGAGACGATATGAGCATCATTAACAAACAGTGCAAACAACCCCGATAAGATCTCGGCATGTCCAACCAGCTTCATCCGTCCAAACCAAGCAAGCCCGCATTCAATTCGCTGCACACTCGTCTTTCCAAGCCCAGCGTTCTCTCACGTGGTACACCAACTCAAATAAAACCACAGCGATCTTTACTTCCATTCTCTTCTGTTCCCACGATGGCGGAAACTGCCTCCGCCCCAACAACAGCGCCTACGACCGGTACGCCCGCGCCGCCAACAAGCGGCTCAACAGCAGGGGCTCCGAATGCGCCGAATGAGCAGAGCGCGGCCAATCGCGGTATACCGTATTATGAGAAGCTGCGACGAGAGCTTAGGGATACATTGGCTAAGAAGCGATTGATGGATAAGAGCATGGTATGTGACTTTGTCTGTGTCGCGGACGCGCCTTGAAGAAGTCAAAGAAAAGAATCGAGGAAGACCAGAGCGAGTTTTCGTCTTTTCACTTCTCAGCCCTTCTCAGCGAGATTATACAGCACCAAAATAGAAGCGATACTAACAGCCTTCTATTTGATAGGCCCAACTCGAAGAACAAATCTTTCGTTTCGAACAATCATACCTCGAAGAAACAACAGCAGGAAACATTATTAAAGGATTCGACAACTATATTAAGGGATCAGCAAATGCATCTACCCTCGGTGCATCAGGACTTAGTCTTGGATCCGGGGTAGCGCGCCGAAAAGCAAATGTCACGGATTCAGATCGAGTCTTCTCCCGAAGTTCTGCAAGTTACATGATGGTACGCTAGCCTTCACCTTGCGCTTCAAATGACGCATCATAATTTACCCTGCAAGTACAAGTGCAATTACTGATTACTATTACTACGGCTCTAGGATTCCCCCGGTCCCTCATCAGTTCAGTCTACCCCTTCACACGCCGCGACGCCAACATCTACGACTGGCGGAACTATTCCTCCCAAAATCAATGGAGAAGCATCAGCATCAGCTAAGAATTCATCGGGATCCTCTAAGAATAAGAAGAAGTCTAGTGGTGGGGGGTCGAAAAATACAAAGGGGAAGAATCAGACGGAAGAGGTTTCTGATGAGGATAAACCGTCTGCTGCTAAGCGGATGAAGATTAGTTATGGGCGGGACTAGGATTTGTCGCTGTCTATTGAGAGTTATTATATGGCGTCTTTAGGTATGGAGTTCTGGATGGAGATTATATCATGTTTACTGGAGTTGTGGGAAGCGGCGCATAAAATGGGTTCTCGATTTACTTGCGCATCATGTACATCACGAATCAAAGACGACGCCGCGTTGAATACCATGTATTAATTGGGAGCTTAGATGAAGGGAACTTGTTTTTACAAGCTCATAATATATTTCATAGTGGAGTACTAGGTACTGTAACTGCTAGCTATTGCACGGATATGTGACATAACATTATCACAGCTGCAATCGGAAAGTAGCAATCTCAAACGCCCTCAATTCAATGTCAACCACGATACCCCCGTCTGCCTTTGAGAACTCCAGTTCATCCTCGTCATCTTCGAGGACATTGCACTTCCAGACGCGCTTGACTGGCAGAGTACTTTGGATAGATGTCCGAGCCTTACCACCCAGGGACTCATAAGCGCGCAAAATAACACTCTTACCTTGACGGGCGGGAATACCACCAGTAGAAACATCTTCATCGTCCTCGCCACGCTTGACAACATCCAGAATAATAGAGGAGGTATCCTTGATAGAAACACTCTTAAAGGCCGCATGGGCTGCTGAAAGTTGTGAACTAGCTTGTTCAACAGCAAGTGGGTGGTTGAAGTTATATCCTGCGCGAACTGTCCGCTCATCAAGAGCACCGGAGTGGGGAAGGATAGCATATCGAATGCTATGGCGGCCCATATCCGCATGGGCGTCCGGAGCCTTAGGTGCACGGAGCAATGAAAGACGCATGAGATTGCCACATGTAGCGAAGCCATACTTGGAGTCGTTGAGGATCGAAACACCATAGCCATTCTCGGAGAGATCAGCCCATTTGTGGCAACAAACTTCAAACTTGGCCATATCCCAGCTGAAGAAGTTTTTATTAGTATCGCGGATGGCAAATGGTGTAGAATAGACATACCTTGTGTTATAGTGGGTTGGACGACGAACGATACCATACTGGGTTTCGTATGATGCCTCAGTGTTGGTAACATCCACTGGGAACTCCACCTTGAGGAACTTCATCGTCTCTTGCCATTCAACCTCGCTTTCGAATTCAACAAATGATGGCTCAGATGAAACAGAAGCAGCAAGGCTGATAGTAGTCTTAACCCAGCTCTTGTCACTGATCTTAGTTTCTGTCACCAGGCTCACTCGGTGAGGATCGTTTTCTGCAATAACGGTTTTGCCGCGAGGGAGTTCCTTGCGCGACTCGAGGTGGAAGACTTCAACATCCCAGGCTTGCCAGTAGAGAGGTTTATCATCGAAGATGACTAGTTGGCCAGCCTTCCCACCCTTTGCGAGCACTTCTCTCTTCGCCTCAACGTCGAAGAGCGAAGTGATGACACCGTCCTGGACATCGACTCGAAGCTTGCCATTGTTAAGACGGAAAACTCCAGGCTCTGTTTGACTAATAGTCACCGCGTTTGTGGTCTTGAAGTCGACTTGATTGCATGGAACAACTCCGGTTGGCCCATTGACCATGACATACTCTGACCCATTCGAGGTAATGATAGGCCCAGGAATCTTGACAACTTCGGAACGAGGCCAGGGAAGTGTGTTGAGGGCCACCAAATCTTGGTTGCCTGCACGGATATTTATTCCCAGTGCAGTAAGAGCATCCTGACGCACTTGTGAGCCAGTCTTAAAAATCTCCGCATAAAGCTTGTCGGAGTCATCGTAACACATCTCGATTGAGCTCCCGGGTAGACAGTCATGGAATTGACAAAGGAGTGTACCCTCCCACATTTCATCAATCTCCTTCTTGGGGTACTTGTAGCCTTTATCTGTTCCACGAACAGTAGCCAAGGTAGCCAATAGCTCGATTTCCCGGAGCAGGAATTCCGACTTTCGATTATTGCGTTTGTTGTTTGCCTGGGTAGTGTATGTACCACGGTGAAGCTCGAAGTATAGCTCGCCATACCAGGTTGCAAACTCCGTGCCGTTGGCTGCGTTGTTCTCTAACTTGTCAAAGAAGTCATCGACCGAATCACCCATTTTGACTCGTGGTAGGGTGCCAACTTTGTCCGAAAGACCACGGCAGCGACGGAGCTTTTCCAGGTGTTCGAAAGTAGGACCACCACCTCCATCACCCTTTCCAAAAACGAGCAGAGAGGATTTATCCGTATCCAAAGACTTGTGTTGTGTGACACTGCGCTTGAGATCCCCAAAATGGGCTTCTGCGGTATATGTCTCAGCAGGCGCCATGTGGCACAGCACTTGACTACCATCAAGGGCTACCCACTGGAAGGTCGTGTGGGGGAAGTTGTTAATGTTGTTCCAGCTCAGCTTTTGGGTAAAGAACCGACTCATTCCAGCAAGACGGCAGATCTGAGGGATTTGAGTCGAGTACCCGAATGTATCTGGCAGCCAGAATGTAGTGCAGCGACTTCCAAAATGGCTTTCAAAGAATCGTTGACCATAGAGGAACTGTCTCACTAGAGATTCGCCACTGGGCATGTTGGTGTCATGCTCAACCCAGCTACCACCGATCGGTTGGAAATGGCCCTTACGCACCCAACGCTTGACGCGGTCGAATACAGTCGGGTAGTATTGTTGCAGCCATTTGAATTGCTGGGCTTGGGAGCAAGTGAATCGATGCTCCGGGTACCGGTCCATCAGATCGCATTGGTTTGACCACGAACGTGCGACCTTCCGCTTCGTCTCTGCCCAAGGCCATAACCAGCAGGTATCAATGTGGCAATGGCCGATAGCATAAACATATGGATCGGTGTCTGCCTTATAGACGTCTGCAGAGTCAACTTTGTCTCCAAGATATTTTTGGCCGATCTTCCGAGCCTCGAGAATAGACTCCTGGCTTCCATTGCCCGCAATGAAAACATCGATCATGGAATTGCCGATAATATTGGCCTCATGTGCCTCCCACGAATCCCCAGGAAATTCACGAGCAGCATCTCCAATAATCCAGAAATCGTAATAGAGGGCTCGAGCCGCAAGATTGACGGCAGTAATTCGTGCTGTGTTGAGTTGATACGACTTGTCTGGTCTTGGTGGCTGGATAGAGTCGCCTCCGGGGGCGTTGCCAAACATGCCATTGCAGGCCATCTCTATATAGAATGTATGCTCTTTCCCATCGCGCCATTCATCGGGAATGATCCATTCAACTCTCTCGCCGCCACCAGTCAGACCCTGTAATGGCCGACCGTCCTCTGTCCACACCAATCCCTCATTGTTTGCATCCCAGTGAAATTCTAGTCGTTCCTTGTGGCGCATATCCTCCGGTACAGTGAGCTTGATACGGAACCAATGCGTCGACCAACTAGGTCCAAATGATTCGCCGATTCGAGTTGGCTTAAATTCATGCGACGTCGCTTCCTCGAAAGTCGGTCGCTGCTGGTCGGGGACGGAATACACGGAGAGCTTGACATGGTCCTCATCGGAGTTGACAGCTTCGAAATATTTGGAAACGAGGTTCTGGCCTTCATATTGGCCCTTTGCTGTGAACTGCTTCAATCGATCGGTGTAGATTTTCGTGATACGCTGGCCGACCGGTCGCTCCGCTAGTACAGGGAGGGTCTTCGTAGCTGGAGTGGGGACGATATGCGGGGCTTCTCCACCCATGGTGACGATGGTTCTCAAGGTGGATTCGAAACGTCAGTGGAAGAGATGAGTGTGTTAATGGAAGTGCGTAAAGTCAGACTGTAAGAATTCAAGTTTGAGAGTGAAATGGAATGAAACACAAGGAGCTCAGTTCCAAATGCGGAGTTGCGGAGCAACGAGGAATGTGGAGCTCAATAAGGCGGGGAAGGTGACACCAGCCCCAATCAAGGCAGTGACCAAGTTTGCCTGCTACATAAACTATTTACCATATCACTACCAAACAAGGGTGATATTATGATATGGAATCGACTTACAAAATCATTCGGAGCTATTTATTTCCAGCCATCATATAGATGGCCATTTCAGATTCATCCACGCACATTAACTAGTACCCAACTTCCATTGATAACAGCAGTACTATTCAAATTAAGACGAAAGAACCTTCTTTCCTGCTTCAAGATCATCAATCTCCTTCCCAAGTCGACGTCGCTTTTGTTGAGTTCCCGGGTCCTCCCCTGCTATTTCTGCCGGTTTCTCATTCGAAAGACTATTAACCCAGGATGCAGAGAGCAAATTCATAGGTGCCATCGGACCAGTCACCAAATGATAATCTGCTGCCTGCATACATATGGCGTCAACGAACCTTTTCCGGGCGACTTTGTAGTAGGAATGTAGAGTATCATGAATCTCAAGGGCCGCATGCTTTTCATTGCTCATGTGGTTTTGTTACGTCAGGTCACTCAGTCTAACTACCTTCACATTTGGGAGGGAACTGACAATCATCGGGGTAACTGTAGAGGTCACCCGTTTTTGTCGACTATTAGATAGTACAATTAGCTTCATAAACTTAAGAGGAAACAGAAAGAGACAGAAAGAAACAGGAAGACGACACGAAGACAATAAGGAAGACAACAAGAAGTCTAGGCCTCCAGAAGATAAACTCACCAGTTTTGAAGATTGTCATTGAGATAGTGATTGAAAGTCATCGGGGTACCATCGCGTTCGATTTTCAAAAGAAAATCAACATGTACAATAGACTCTCGATATCTGAACATTAGGTCATCCATCAGGTGGGCTTTTATGCCCAAAGCAATGCTTCTATCTTTGCAGACGGCTTCTAAAGCCTGTTGGATAAACCTATGAATCATACTGATCATGTCACTTATGTAGCCTTGTGCTATGGCTGGTCACTTAACGCTCTGCTCTTTCATCAGCGTGGGAAGTATTGAATAGTTGAAAGTGCCAATTTCGAATCCCCTTGAATCTTCATGAAGCCTTTCGATCCATTTGTGAATGTCATTTTTGAAGGTTTCATCCCAGCGTGGATGTTCCACATCAATGGGGCCATGAAGAATCTCCTCGATGTCACCATGCCCTTGGTCTTTTCGACTAGATATTTTACGAACAGGACTGCCACTACTCTCCTTGTCGGAGGCTGATTCGTCATCGGCATCCTTTGAGTCAACGTGGAATGAGTACTCATGTCCTCGGATAGCCATGTCTTCGGAGAATTTGGTGTTTCGAGTCGCAGCTATAGTTGCCAGTCTTAGGGTACGGTCTGTGAAAATATCGCTTGATCCATAAGTGTGTGATAAACAATCTTTGAAATATTTAGAAGGTTCTAAAAGACCCAATAGATTCGTTGCGAAGAAAAAAGAGAGATGAAGAGGGGTGGAGAGCTGGAGATGTACTAATTCCTTATATAGGGTTATGGGCGGAAACGCCCATTATGGGGACGGAGTTATTCTAAGAGATCAAAAAAGGATCAGTCTTTGTTTAAGACCACAAATTGAGTTTTAATGTTTTCTCATAGTGATTTTAAGGCAGAAATAGAAATTCAAATAATGTATTTGTCCACGTTGTCCAAACGCGGTTTCGGATGCCAGGCTCCGACCCCAAACGGGGCCTGGGGTGTAACTAATACGGTTAGACGCTTCATACGAAACGATATCTAGGAAGAAACAGCTATGGATAGAATACGGCTTTAATTATCGTTAATCCACCTGAAACTTTTCTAAGTTCCTATTCGCGGGCTGAATAGTTGTGTATGCATCAGTCCTTACATGCGGCTTCAAACCAAATGCAGTATGGCTTCCTCTCTAAACTTTCTGGCATCCTCAGCGGACTTAGTACTCTATTATTACGACCTATTTTAACTTATTGAAGATGGGTGTGTTAGAACCTAGTAGCCATTGAAGATTCCTTTTGAAGTATTGTTTGTGATATATAAATGAAGTTCTATCTAGAATATGCTCTTACGAGTCGAAAGGGTTATTTTACACGATCAACATAACATCAAATTATTCATATCATTTACTTTGACAAACAGACTGTTGGAGATGTTGTGCAATGACAGGATAATACAAAAGATAAACAGAGTGTATAAATGAATGAAAAGGAGTCGCTGCTAGGACATGTGAGAGGTAAGGAGTAAAAGAATGGTAAAGCCGATGTCCACAAGTTGAACAATCAAACCTGAACTTGATGTTTGATCGGTGGGCCTATCTACTATGGTGCTCATCTCTCACTAGATGTCTGTAACCGTGTCACGTGTCATCCTACTCCATCACCAGAACTTGAGAGAAGGAAACTCATCTTCAGCCTTATGGTTCGGAACAATGCCCAAAGCATTGTTACCCACATAGGATAACGACAAATCTGCCTCCTCCTCGCCCCTCTAGTAACAAGAAAGAAATTCCACTCAATCAGGCACTTCAAAGAAACCGCAATCGATTGCACCCGGATATCTCCGTGAGCTATAGGTATCTCCTGGGAGTCAGCATACAATCACTGACAAACAAGAGTGGGATCCTATCACTCATCCCCTCGTCCAACACTAACCATATTTCATGAATATGGTATAGAGCTCACCCTCGTCTCCTCAGGTTCCATAGACCTCCGAGTCTATATGAACCTTCAATTTCACCAGCGTAACAATTATGTCGACATTCGACACCATCACATTCGTCGCCACCTTACACATGGTCATTTCTGCTTCCCAAAAGCTGAGACAAATGAGCAAGCTGCGGATGATCTGGCGAAGCCTTTGGGCAAGTACAAACATGCGCAATTTCTTGAGTTATTGGCATGGCTCCGTTGCCGATGTTCTGAATAGATTCATTTTTTGTGTACAATACTTCTTAGCTACTTGGTTATGGCCTGATCCAGAGATAATTTCAACCCGCACAGTAAGCCATATGTACAGTTCCTGACATCATTTTCTTTGTCCGATGCGTTGACTTACGCCATGATCAAATAACGAAGTGAGACAAATTGAAAGTCTCAACACATGACACGACACAACTGTACACGCCGCATTAATGTCCGTGCATAGAAGACAAAAGTGAATCTGGCGTCCAACAATCATCTATTACTAAGATATTGTTGTTTCCAAGGCTGTTCAGAAGATTGAGGAGACACCTTTCGACACCCTGACGTGCTTGCAAACTCAATGTGCCTAGAACTTGCACCAGGTCCGTAACGTAATTCATTTTGGAGTCTCCATCCTCGAAAAGCGTGGCAAGGCTTTCAAATAGGACGATGCGCAAGTTGTAGACCGATCCCATCCACATGTGGTGTGAAGACCGTAGGCAGACCTCTAGTCCGTTCATCATGCTTGGTCCAGTGACTGTTGCTGACGCGCCATCGTATAAGTCAGATATCGAGTCTTGTATCAGCACGCTGAGAGAGAAGAGACAACTGAGCATATCCTCTTCCCACTCCATGACGTTCGTATCTGTAGACAAAGATGCCTCAGCGGATTCTTGAAAGTTTTGACGTAGAAGCTCAACTGCCGCATGTGCCGTAGGGTAACCAGAAAGCCCTGTGGAGTAAAACGATCCCATGAAAGTTCTCATGTCCTGGATAAATGATATCAGCCAAAGGCAGCGGATCTTCTGAATGTCGAGAGGATGTGTGTGCGGCGTAACTGGGGTTGATAAAGGCCGGTGCGAGATACGATCAAGATTATTTGTGGACTCGAGCCATGACGGTCGCGACATTAATGACACCCTACGAAGTCAGTATGGTAATCTCTATTCGGTTCAAATATGCACCCACAGGTAAACCACAAGCTCTAAACGCCAGTTGCCATGCAATGCCTCGACTCCACCTTTGGCATTGATCATCCTTTGTAAGCCATCACGATGGGTTTTCCAGTCTTTCACAGTACCCCAATATCGCTAAGACAAAGCTAATCAGTCGACTTCCAAATCAAGACTCGGACTAGAAACCCCTACCTCAAACGTGAGCAATCGAACAACAGCTGCAAAGGCATCGTCACACAGTTCTGTCTCCGGATCACTAAGCCAGAGCCGTAGTATCCTAAGAGCTTCAATCTTGTAACTCAGGGCATCAGAAGAATTCGTTCCTCGTCGGGGAAGAGTGCCACCGTACAAATGAGCCAAGTGCGCGGCTGAATGTGCCATGATGCAGTTGAAAGACGAAGCATTCGACAGGTCCAATGGGAACCAAACGTCTCTCATGGGATTAAATTCGGTGACGTTTAAGTCTTCGAACATCATAGCCGCATGCGTGCCTATCCCTGTATGAGGTGTAAAGTAAGCAAAAGCTCTTTGACAAATACACGTAGCCCATATTTTCAGCTTAAAAGAACGCCAAATACGCACAGTGATAGAGGAGTTTCTGATGCTGACTTGTCAAATGCACAGGACACGTCTGGAACGGGTCAGGCCGCGAGCTCGAAAGAGCATAGCTCATGCCGCACATCAGCTGGGCTGGGATACCAGCCCGTTGAGGTTTATCACCGACCACCTCCCTATCCGATCTCGCATCTCTATCGCTATCTCGGTGTAGCCCCAGCGACCTCCCCTCGTCTACGACATTCGTTACCTGTGGCAGTAAAGGTCGCGGCAAAGATGCTGCTTTCTGATGTGATGTTTTCGACTCCCGGTTCTGCCTATGTCTACCCTTCCAGTGCTGTCTCATCGCATGGCTCCGCGCTTCCGACTGATTGTTCTCTCCCACAAAAGTGAATTGGGATGTTCCTGACCTAGTTCCTCTTCCACTGGAGGGGCCGAAAGCCCGCGGAGACATGTCCAATTCTGGCTAAGGGACCCTAGTGGCTTCTTGAAGAAATGTGTAGTAGCAAAAAAGTACTGAGTGATGCCGAGATGCAGGTGAGATGCTCACCACATGTTAAAATGGCCAATCAAACCCGACCCGCCAACCTGTAAAAAAGCTAATGGTGAGCTCAACAGAGGCACGCCAAAGGGTACATTCGGCCCAGGGTGGGGCAAGCCCCGAGGTCTAGGCGACGTTTCGCCGGTTTTGATACGGAGGCCTATAACGCGATTATCGGACAAAGCAAGATTTGATTGGCGGATAAAATACTCTCGTAATTCAATGGTACTAGTACAATGGAATGTATTTTATTGCTCTATACTTGCAGCATTGGAGGATAGCAACCATAGCGGCAGATTATATTTGAGGGGGCGTTTGAATATCTATTATAATAAATTGGAGATATTATACTACATATTGGAATACACGTATTGTAACCTTGGAAGATAATCACTAAAATTGTCAATCCTATTATTTCTGTACGGCAGCCAGTTTCGGAGTCCGATGGACTATATGCAGATCCTTCTTCCTAATTCTGGACAGTCTTGATCACTGCTTCAGTACGCTCCTGCAACATGAACCCGAGATTATTATTGACACGTCCAAAGAGGCCTATAATCGAGGTTAGTCTCATTCTTCAATGGACAACGTCGCCGAAGGCGCAACGTTATGACTATTAATAAAACTTACTATAGACAGCCCTACGCAACTCAGGGTACTTGACACCCGTAAGACTACCGACAAGGTTTTCAATAACTCTATCTTGTTGACCAGAAACGCGCCCAAGGACCTCCCACAAGGCTGCAGGCTGAACAAAATCGTCGTCTGTGATCTCGCTTGTGTAAGCGGAGACCTCTCCCACCCACTTTTCATGATCGGTGTGTAGGGCCAGTGCAGAGGCTCTAATCCCCTTCGCGTCTTGGTAGAACTTGGTGGGCTTGATCCAGGAGCCAACATAGTTTGGGTCACCACCGTAATTATCGTCAAATCTCATGGCTCCGTCACGCTGAAAAGGACAGTAGACTTGCGCTTTCGCTGCGTTGGTTGGGAGTTGCTGGTAGTTGACGCCAAGGCGGTAGCGGGCTGCATCTGGATACGCGAATAGTCTTGCTTGCAGCACTTGGAAGAGTTAGCCTATTGGGATGATTTGTGAAGAGTGATTCTTTGGCTTTCCGACTTACCTGGATCGGCGGAGGCAGCGATGCCAGGCACCATCGTCGAGGGTGAGAATGCAGCCTGCTCGATGTCGGCGAAATAGTTTTGCGGCTGTTACAAGTCAATAACCGCAACCAAAAATTAGGGACTAATGAAGACTTACGTTGCGGTTCATGGTAAGACGGCCGATCTGCTGCAGAGGAAATTCCGTGTGCGACCAAACCTTGGTCATGTCGAAGATGTTCCACTTGTAATTCTCGGCTTCCTCGGGGCTCATCAGTTGGACATAGATATTCCATGTTGGATATTCACCTCTCTCAATTGCCTCAAACATGTCACGAATCATGAAATCAGGGTCCTCTCCGGCTATTCTGGTAGCTTCTTGAGAAGAGAGGTTCTCCACTCCTTGCTGTGTTTTCACGTGAATTTTAGCATATTTAAAAGAACCATCCTAAGTTACAAGTTAGTTGAATGCTTTGGTAAATGGTAGTGTTGGTTGCCTACTGGTTTGGTGAACTTATATGTATGTCCACTGTATGAATGCATATAGCGAACCGACTTTGGGGTGCCACGGTCACTGAACAGTATCAGAAGTTGATGGATACCCTCAGGGTTGCCGACATGGAAGCTATAGGATGATTAGTCTGGTAAACAATCGGAACTCGAGAATCTCACATACTCCCAGAACTGCAAAACTGATTAGTTTTGTATTTTCATGTATCAGGAAGAGAATCCAGGAAGACTTGCCATGTTTGCGTCGGGAAGATGCGTTTGAGGATGTCGCTTATGAGAGCGATTCAAAGAAGGAAACTTGAGTGGGTCGCGAATAAAGAAAACGGGCTAATTTAACAGATATTAGAGAAACATGAGAAGAACAAAAGAAAGAAACGACATACAGTATTGTTGAAAACAAAATCCTGGTTTCCCTCATCGGTGTAGAACTTCATGGCCCATCCGTGCACATCACGAGAAGTATCAGCAGATCCAGACTCGGGCCCAACAGTTGATACGCGCTGGAGTACTGGCGTCTTCTTTCCGACCTTGTTGAGAAAGCTGGCGCTGGTGAAGTCGGAACAGTCGCGGGTGGCTTCGAATTCCCCATAGGATCTACAAACATTTAACAAGATAATCCTCAAAAGGACGTTGTTGGCTTACCCGACAGCTTTGGCATGAACGACCCTTCGCAAACTTCAGCATCAGCACCCCGTAGCTACTTCAAAAAATATTATTGATCCGTCGGGTTATTTACCTCTCTGGGATTCTCTCGCGAGAGAAATGAGCCAAGGTCTCGATAAGCTGAGTATCCTGAAGCAAGCCGAGCCCACTTCCTTGTTTTCCACGCATCAGGACAGCCGATGCATTGTTTGCGAAAGGGCAACCTAACAATTATCAGCCTGGGGATGCAGAGAGAATATCGAGAAAGTCTTATACCCTCTGCCAAAGTATAATACTTATCGTCTGCCATGATTCGAAAGTTTTGACAATGATTATAAGGCAATCGAAATATACCGAAGTGAATATTTACAGCTGTTATCTTGACTTCGCGTGGGCGACCAACTCTTTATAGCCTCCATTCTGAAAACCTAGTATGCCGTACTGTGGTGAGATAGCGATATCTTGACTTGATTCTTAGTATTACACTTACACTTATCGGAGCTTGAGACAGACAGCTATACATCTAACTCCACATGAGGTGAGACATCAGAATCCACTGGTTCAATTGCGAAGTACCGGAAGAAACTGTCTCAAACGGTAGTACTAACTAATTCGGAATCGAATGATTACCGCTTCGTGAAAGGTATCGGATCGGCCAATTACCACTATCAAATTTTGAGAGCACAGAAATCGCAATTTCCGGAGATTGGAAATACCATCATATTGGGCTATAATTGGACTCTGGTACATGAAACTAATGTACGTTGGTCAAAATTTGGGAGGCAGAGGGGTAAAACGGTATTGCTGATTCAGGCTAATTCCTTCAAGGAACCGCTGCGGTCTAGACCAATCAGCTAATTTTGCAACTCTTATTTTAAATCTACCGCTGGCAGTGATAACTCATATTACACTCGATGCCAGCTTCAAAGAATCACTGTGGATTTATCTCGGGCTCCCCAGACCAGCCCTTCAATATGGGCCTAGATTGGCTACGCGGTTATGAGAGGTGCTAGAGTAGCGACGAGAACCAGTCCTTCAAAATCAAACTGATCTGAACGCGCAATAAAGAGATATTGCGATAATCAGAAGAAACAAATAGCATCAACGGTTGGGACTGCAGACCACGCCATGGATATGTGATATGATTGGCCAGATACTATTACCAAATTCGGCTTTATTGGTGGGGAATCCTGGAAGCTTAGAAGGGGCCCCACAAGCGATAGAGTCCTATCAAAATTGCCCTATCAAATGCATTAATGTCAGATAAAACATTTTTTTAAGAGAGAGGCAACTAGCGCACTTTCGCTTTCTCTCGCCGAGGTGACCGAGGGCGAATTGTGCTAATCATTATAAATCATGAGCATTGTTTGGTCCCATCACGGTAGTATGCCCTTGCTCGGGTTTAGTGACCTAAACAAAACATGATATGAGATGAAGTGTCTTTAAGACTGAAAGGGAAATACTATTAGACCAATGGTAGCGCATTGTATCAAGACGCGATATGAGACCAGCATAATGGAGCCGTGATCATCGGACTCTGTATCATATTGAATTTTTGGATTTGCTTGAAAGTACAGGTCAGCACGCTCGTAAAGTGGGACACAAGGGCATCATTAATCGCTCTAGGTTCCACAATGTGAGCGAGCAGTGTCACTATAAAAAGCTCGTTTGATCTTGACCTTCCTAAATTATCTGAGTTCAACTTCAATTTGAAATCGCATTTCGAAAGGCCTCCTTCGCAATCATGTCTGTTCAAGACGGTGCCCTCTTTGACTTTATTGTGGTCGGCGGTGGTACGGCAGGCAACATCGTCGCTTCTCGCCTTGCAGAAAACCCCAATGTCAGAATTCTCGTCGTCGAAGCTGGTATCGGAACCTCCAAGGATAATGAGGAAATTCGGACCCCCGCTCATGCGATGGATCTGCGTGGCAGCAAGTACGATTGGGCCTACAAAACTACCATAGTCAAGCGCGAAGACTACGAGCGCATTGAGAAGCCTAACACGCGTGGAAAGGCTCTTGGTGGTAGCTCATCCTTGAATTACTTCTCTTGGGTGCCTGGTTCAAAGGGTACCTTTGATATGTGGGAAGAATACGGTGGGAAAGAGTGGACTTGGGATCCACTCGTTCCCTATCTGCGAAAAAGTGTAACTTATCACGATGACGCGGGTCTTTATCCTCCAGAGCTTAAGAAGATTGGCGCCGGTGGCCCAATTCCAATCGCCCATGCCGACCTTATCCCGGAGATGAAGGGCTTTCGTGATCTCCTCACTAAAGCATGGCTATCTACCGGTGAGCCTCTCACGGAAAACATATACGATGGAGAGATGCGGGGCCTAGCTCATAGTGTCAACACTATTTATAAGGGCCGTCGCTCGGGGAGCTTCCTAGCAGTTGTGGATAAGCCAAATATTACTATACTTGCTGAGGTTCACTCGAAACAGCTTATTATCAATGATGCTGATACCACTCCCATTGCGAAGGGTGTTACTGTGATTGCCGCCTCTGGGCAGGAGCTGAATTTCTATGCTTCTCGTGAAGTTATCGTCTCTGAAGGTGTCTTCGAAACCCCTAAGCTTTTGATGCTCAGCGGTATCGGGCCGGCGCCAGAGTTGGACAAGCATAATATCCCGGTGATTGTTGATTCACCCCATGTTGGACAGCATCTGTTAGATCACCCTGGTGTTCCATTTGCTCTTCGTCTGAAAGACGATTTCTCAATGGACAGCCAAGTCTTGAGAAAGGGTCCACTACAGACCAAGGTTCTGGAAGCCTATTCTAAGGGAAATCGTCATCAAGGCCCAATGGGGTCATCTTTCCTCGAACTGATTGGTTTTCCTCGTATCGATAAATACCTAGAAAAGTCTCCTGAGTATCTTGAGGCAAAGGCTGCCAATGGTGGGCTTGATCCGTTCTGTCCATATGGCCAGCCCCATTTCGAGCTTGACTTCCTCCCTATCTTTGGCAGTGCCTTCCAGTGGCATTTCCCGCATCCAAACAAAGGTAGTTATATGACGGTCATGGTGGATCTTGTTCGACCTGTCTCCGAGGGCGGAGAAGTCACCCTCAACAGTACAAACCCTCTGCAGCAAGCTAATATCAACTTGAACTATTTCGAGAACGATCTTGATATTATTGCCATCCGTGAGGGTATCAGGTTTGCATATGATGTTCTCAGGAATGGTGAAGGGTTTAAGGACATCATTGTGGATGATTATCCATGGGATATGCCTCTTGACGACGACGAAGCCATGAAAAGAACAGTGCTAGATCGCTCCCAAACATCTTTCCACCCTTGTGGTACTGCCAGGCTCTCCAAGGATATCCAGCAAGGTGTGGTAGATGCGGGTCTAAAGGTCCACGGAATAAAGGGCCTGCGTGTTATTGATGCCTCCGTTATCCCTGTTATTCCTGACTGTCGCATTCAGAACTCAGTCTATATGGTGGCAGAGAAGGGTGCCGATGCTATCAAGGGTGACCATGGAGACCTCTACCACTAGACTGGCATTCTTTCCAGCCCTTTCAAGTCGGTCGCCCTTTTTTTCTTTCTTTTTCTAGACTGGGAAATCTTCGGGCTAGCAATGAAAGACATCAAGGAAAACTGAACGAGGGGTTGTATATATGATTCCACTCAGCTATTTCCACAATGGACTGGTAGTTAGTAATTTACATGATGCATGACTTGAATGTGCAGATAACCCACAAGTTTTTCAAAATAAATACTCTAGCCATGAAGACTCATAAACTAATTAATCGCGTGCAAGTTTTTATTCGGCAACAAATGATTTCCTCTTCATATCTAGTCTCTTGATGGAACTTTTAGTCCGGAACCGGAAATGCTAAATTTCATATGGAGCTTAAGAAAAAGTCACGCCAGTAAAGGTCTTCACATCTGGTGCGAATTTCATCCATCTAAATAGCAGTTAACTAAATAATGTACCTAACCAAATTGAACTCATTTGGTCTATTCCTATAGTCGCAATTGAATTGGCTCTCACAATTGCAATGATAGCAACGACGATGCCCCAGTACTTGACAACCGTTTAAACAAGAACTATGAAATCCAAGCATTCACCTCTCGCAAAAACTCCTATTTTCAGCATCCAATATACTAACTAATCACAATACCCATTCCAATCAATCTCAGGGTGCGCAAATACCTACCCCGCCCATAATCAGGCCTTCCACCCCACTAATCTCGCGGCAGGCTAGGCTAGCGCAGCCCACCGCCACTGGCCCCCAACCATTCACACCAAAAAGCCCGGAGTTTCTTCGGCGGCAAATGAATCAATCCCCAAGAATCCCCCACGTGGAGAGATTTTTCATAACCTTTAATAGTTTAGCGCGTTATTAGTACGAGTTCCCAAATAGGAAAGCTTTAAAAATTGCCGCCCCACAAGCTAACTGTAAATGTAGCTTTCAAGCTACCCTGTCCACATGGCTAAGCACATGATTTGAGATACATGTCTTAGCATGAACTTGGGAATAGATGAAACGTGAAGAATTTTTCATCAGCCCTGAATAATGTCTTGGTATCTACCAAATGACGCAGGAGGCTGGATATAAACCTCACCAACAGAAGAGCATGACTGTGTCTGATATTCAAATGCGAACTTGCATTGGAAAGTAAGAGATTCGGCGTGTACAGGAGTGTAGATATCGATGTAGCATATAAGTCACGATGTTCTATTTGCGGCTCAACCAATATGACAATCAATCTCGAATTCAAATCCATGGACCCAGTATTTTGAACGGAGATCCCCCTCGCACTCGAGCTCGACTCCACTACAAAAGTCTGAAAGCTGAAAGCTCAGACGATCATTAACGTCTCGATCGACGATTCAACGACAGTGGCCAACTGTCAATCGGCTAAATCCATCAATGAAGGTGGAGCATGGAAGTCTTTAGAAAATTCGTTTCAAAAACTCAAAACATAATGAAGAATGGATGGACCAACATCCACTATTCCCTGCGTACCCACTCGACTAACCTTATAGGGGATTATTTTAACCCCTGCCCTGTTGATCATTGATCCTATGTACCTGTACATCGGGGCCAAGCTCATCGAAACCAAGATGTACATGTACATCGGTGGCAATGTCAGAACACAAATTTAGTCAATTCTTCGATGTACAATGTAGATCGAGGCACGTGGAGCTCATTCTCAGACGTCGAAAGCACTACCGGAGTTGGATGTACTCCGGAGGTCTGGAAGAGTTTACACAGGGCGGAATTCTCCGACTGGTGATTGAGTTTCGTTGCTTGACATATGTACTGCATGTAGTGCAGTCGGTTTAAAGCTTGGCGTGCGTCAATTTTGGCATATGATGTAGGTAATTTTTGAATATTGTATATCCTGTATGTATGTAGCTTTTAAGGCCTCTGAGAATGTCTCTGTTTTTGGTGTTGTATATTGTTCTGTTGTTAGCCTATATGTGAGAGTGGTTGTGATTGTGTACTTTCTTGTGGGCTTGAGACCCTCCTTCATCCTTCATAGCTGCAGTACCATTGCCACTGAACCCGAAGGATCCTCATATGTGACGTTTGCCACTTTTATGGAGTCGCCGAGCCTAGTCTGTAGGTGGAATTCAGTGCGGGAATTTTGATATGGGGCGTAGCGCAGGTAGCCTAGGTAAGGGTATGATCGGAGAAAGCTGGGGGGAACTGTGTGTGTAAGTGCAGGTGGGTATGGAATTGGGCCGGCCTGGATGCAAGTCGGGTGTATTCATTCGAAGGGCTACATGGTTGTGGTTGTGGATGTTTTCTTGGAGTGTCCAGGTCAATAGCAGATAGATTGTCAACAGTGATAGAATTTGGCTTTGGTTTAATAGTACAGGCACAAGTATCACGATCAGAAATGATAACAGATATGTTTGTGTATTGAAAATACGACTATACATTCTTTTCAATGGTGGTTCTACCGAGTCCGGCTCAGTCAGAACAGAAAAGGCACAGCAGGCTAGAACGAAAAGTCGCTTAAGCGGAATAGGAATGAGAAGAATGAACAAAAGAAAGACATTGTATATAGTAATGAGTCAGTAGGCAAGGTATAGAACATGAGACGTGTAGAGCTGTCTGGGGAGTATCATAAACGAAGAAAATTCAAATCATGTAAACATCAATAAAGGTGATAGGGGAATCAATAAATCAAAAAATTAAAAAGGAGAAGGTCCGTTGGTATGAGGTGACCAGGGATCCTTCTGCGGCTTGCAAAGGTGTGGGTTGACGGAGCCAATAAGTTTAATTCGTGATCGAATCTCTTCACGGCGACGCTCAGCGGCATCTTCGGAGCTGAGCTTCTTCTTCGCAGTGAACGCGGAGAGGGTTGATCGCTTGCTTGCAAGAGGTGTTTTAGACTGTTGGCCCTGGGCCTGGGGTCTAGGAGTCTTGGAATAGACAGGTCGGGAGCTAGGCACCATAGACTGAGATCCTCTGTTCGATCTGAATGAGGGCAATGGGGGAGGCTCAGAGTTGCGCAGCTTACTCTTCGCAGGAAGCTGCCAGCTAACGGTGTTGCTTCTGCGAGTATCAGGCATTGGTGCTGTAGATTGCCTCACGGGCGGGGGAGGCTGGGATTGCCTCATTGCCGAAGGGAGCGAAGACTTCTTCATTGCTGATCGGGGCTGGGCAGATAGCGCGGGCGGGGGTTGCGAACTGCGCATTTTGTTCTTCGCAGGCAATTGCCAAGAGACGGAACCGTGCTTGCGAGAGGTCGACGAGGGGAATGCTGACTTCCTGTCGCGAGGGGTCTGAGGCGACTCACGTGGCTTTTCGTATGAGGAAATAGAGCTAGAAGTGGAGGTAGCCTTCAATTGAGCGTGGAACTCATCAAGTTCCTGTGTTTCCTCCTCATCCTCGGGAATTAAATCGGTAGGGTGTGCATTTAGAGGGCCCAAGGGACTGGTAAACCGGCGAGCGTGTACTCGAGGAACATCGATCGGCTGTGGTTGTGGCTGGAGCTGGAGCTTCTCGTTTTCCTCCTCTTTCTCCTTCTCCTCTTTGCTGTTATGCGAAAGTTTTTGCATATAGTTCATGAACGAGTCGCGGACACCAGATTGTTTCTTGGAAGGCTGAATGGAGTACCACTTCGATTGTTTACCACTGACATTCAGGCGAGCTCCCTTTCCTTTCTTGCTAGAAGTTGGGCTGCTGCGGCCACTGTCCTGTGGTGTTGCCAACTCAGGGAAGTAATCCCATTTCTTTTCCCGGAAGTAATGACTAGCGTGTGCGGAATCCACTCGGTTATCGGACCATTGTAGAGGACGTCCGTAGTGAGCCGATGTACCGAGGATGATTGAGGAAGCATCACAATCCTCCTCGATCGGGCTTGAGGCCGTTGAGTCGTGGGTTCTCTCATAGTCAGATGTAGGAGAGGACGCGGTGGGGCTCGATGCGCCCGAGTTATACCCACTATACATTGTTGAATGGTGGAACTCATCCACCTCGAAATTCAAATCCTCGTATTCTTCATCGTCATCAGAAGTTTTAAGAGGATTAGCAGCTCCTTTTCTTGGAGCCGCAGTGCCGAAAATACTAGTCGAAAGATCGAGGTTGAACGGGCTTGGTGGTGGCTTCAGAGGCTCCTCCGAGCGGCCGGTGATAGATAATGGGTGGATGAAGGGAAGTGGAGAACTTGGCGGGCTACCCTTTAGGTGATCTTCAGTGGCGGGTAGGTCGATCAAGCCTGTAAAGTCATCAGAGCCCGTTCGGACCAAGATGGGATAACTCCTAGTATCGGGATCATTCGGTGTACCAAAGCTGCTGTCATCGCCAGTACTTGCTGTCTCGCTCGAGTCGCTGTACATGACGGAATATTCGCTCGGTGTGTTGAGGGTGTCAGCGCCCATAGAAGATTTATTGTGGAGAGTGGGTTTGTGGAAGATTTCGGAGCGATGGGCTGTAAAAGACATCATCCGTGGTGGGACGACCTTTTCCAGGCCTTCGAGGGAAGCAGAGTGTCGAGGAGGAGGAGCTGTTCGTCGATTCAGAGTGGACGACGACATTGCATTCAAAGAACAAAGATAATATATGGTGATTGGGTATAGGAAGTAAGCCTCTTGTCACTCTTCTTCTTCGCTTCTTTTTTCCTTCGGATAGATAGATCACATCCAGGGTAACATGAGGAAGGATTTGAAGTCTTTCGTCTTCTTTTTTATCTTAGCTGAGAGAAGAGGGGGGAAGAAGCCATGAATTAAAAGAGGAGTTAGGCCCGATTATCTATTGCAGCGATCGGCAGGTTGAGCGTCATTCGTGCACGGACGGCTGCAACGCGAGGGGCCGCAAGGGATATTTTTGGTCTCGCTGATGTCCATGAGGTGGAGTGGGGATGTTACCGGTGGAAAGGGAAAAAATAATAATGATTCTAAAACAAATTCAAGAGAAGGATTCGCCAAGGGGGCCAGTTATCACTAAATGTGGTTATGGTAGTGTCATATTCATAGAGTCATGGACAAGGTATACTGGGGGCAAAGAACGACGACCCCATCTCACCCATTTCCCAAGCCAATCCATAATAATCATCTAGATCTATAATACTGATTCGTAGAGATACTCAAACAGTAAAACATGACTCCCATAAGCCCTCTAACCTCCCCTCAAGCCCAAAAAACAGATCGTTGGCAATCCAACCGAGATGATCCACTAAGCCTGATGACGGCAACGCAAGGTTTTCGGCCCCAATGACTACACCACACTATGGTGGATGCAAGAGTGGAGGTTTGCATAAGACCTAAGCTTAATCGAGTAATATTTCATATGTACAGGTACATGTGCAGTGTACTTGCAACGAAAAACTAACTAAGTTTGGATGCCTTCTCCATCGTCTCCCTAGTTAATTGATCTGAGGTTCGTCGATTCTCACTCAGTCGGCCTAGACGCCGTAGATTGGCGATCAATCTCTCGTCCCCAAAATGGCTATTATGCTCGAACTCTGGTTCCTCTTGATATGCTAATCTTGCGGCGTCGACAATGATTCGCGCTGTCATCCCGAACACCCGATACCGTTGGACCTGTCCGGTCTCTTCTTGCGCCACAAGTTGATCCACCGCTTCTTGTTGTTCTGGCTTGCCACGGGGCGAAGGCTTCACGACCCGGTTATTGGCGCGGACAAAAAATTGATGCACTAGTTTCGATCAACATGCGTTAGCGGGGCGAGCTCGGGGGGAAAGATCAAAAAAAGAACAGTAAAAGTAAAAAATAAAAATAAAATAAAAATAAACCAGGTAGATCAAACCCACAAGCAAAGACATGGTTCGTCCCCGTGTGACCTGTGAGTTGACCCACTATGAAGGGGTAAAAACATGGCCTAGTGTGACATGTTCTGTCTCCTTTCTAGACTGGTATCAACCCATTGGCCCAAATATGGCATCAAAGATGGGGGGGGGGGGCAGTATAGTGGATCCTTGCTCGGTACCGGTAGCCTGACGGCAACTCTACGCTACTTCCATGCCATGTGGCTATTGTTCATCACGAGAATGACATCCTGCCGACGGAAAGGGGGCATTCCGTGAAGAAAGGGGGCGCAGAAACAAGCGCAGGGATGGAAGAAAGACAACAATCAAACATCGAGCCAAAAGAGAAAGGAAAAAAGAGAGACATACTACGCCAATTAGTATTGTGCCACGAACTCCACGAACCACGATACCACTCCGACTCATGGCTATGATTGTGATCTGTCGTAGCCGACCTTGAAGTCGAACCTGATTCTGGTTCCAGATTCTTCTCCTCGTCTCTCATAGACAAGAAATTATGGAACGGCGCCGTAAATACGGCAGCCACTTCCCTCGCATCCAGCTTCGGAATGAGCGAAACTTCGGGATCCGCATTCTCGCCAGTCTCCGGATTAAATGCATGCAGCAAAGCCACGCAGGGTCTTACCACTAGCTCGGTCCTGGCAAGACTTGCCGGTAACTCGCAGAGATGCTCGACTGTGAATGGACGAGGGAGTAATTGATCGATGCCGGGGAGTCCGATCTCTTCCCATGCTTCGCGACGTGCCGTCTGGAACGGCGTCTCTGATAATGCGTCTGCTCGGCCTGGGAATCGCAATCAAACATTTCCGTTAGCAGGGCTCACTTCATAGTATCGGATATTATATGGTCGGGGATGGGAGTGGGTCCAGTCAGAACTCAACCGTTGCATAGTGCACTGCAGTTTGTTTTGTTCTTTGCTTTTTTTCCTTCTTTTTCTTTCTCTGATTCTTCCCCGGAGCCACTGAGACAAGTCACCACAACTAGGCAGGGGTGTCTAATGGTGAAATATTTCTTGCCGATCCCTTCTTCTGACTTTGTTTCTCTGGACATTCATTTTGCTGCATCTTTTCTGCAAGTCTTTCCAAGTCGCCATCACCCACGATGAAAAAAAAAAAAAAAAAAAAAAAAAAAACTCACCACCAGGCAAAGCCGCATCACCCGCAACTAAACAAACATCAGCTGAATCAAACACATCAAAGCAAAGCCGACCCATTCGGAGCCAACCTCCAAAAAGAAAGAGATACATACACGAACTCAATGTCTTTGCCCGAATCGTAATAACAATCCTCAGATCCCCTTTCGAGTCGGCATAAAGCAGCAACAAAACTGCCGCTCGTCTAGAAAGCGGTAGATCCCCGTATGCAGTTGGTGGAGGAACATAGTTTCGGAGTCGCTCGATAGCTTCCTATAATAATAGATATCAGTACTTTTTTTTCTTCTCGCTTCCGCTCTTATTCTTATTGTGTCGCGTGTCATGTCACGCCATGTCTTTGTTTATGTTTATGTCTCATTCGTCTGCCACGCGGTAGAAAGTGTGTTTCAGCCTGTTTTATTTCGGGGGATGTCCATCCGGATTGGGTCTTGAATTTGGCTTTGGGTTTGCACATGGCAAAATCATCATAACACACCACACCGATGATCATGATCACGATATTGGTGCCCAGGTGTATGCGGGGACAGGACGGACACCCGCTACAAGATGCATGAGACAGAAAGTCAAATTCTCATAGCACCGGTATGGATGAACCATTGAAGATGAGAAAAGCCAGTCAAGCCAATTGGTCATCGACAGACTAGCGGCTTGATTCTGCACGTCTTGCATAGTGCCGGGTACTCGCAGACAAGCTCAGTACTCCATCCAGGATGGAAATGAATACCTATCCTAACAAACACACAAACTTGACTCCTGAAGCACAAAATCACAAATCACAAGTATATCACAGTATAGTATAGTTCACATACCAATGAAGTCTTATTGAGTGGAGCCATAGTAGAAGAAGCGCGGACTCTTTCAAATCTCCCACTTCTCTCTTCCCTGTGAGGTCCAGAACGAGAACGAGAAATCGAAGCTAAGCAGCGATTGGCGCTGAGGCTGAACCGGTGGCAAATCGAAATGGAAGGAACCGTCAATGCACGTCTCCACATAATAATACCTGAGCCCCAGGTATAGGTAGTAAGTGCGACTAGCAGAGTGAACTTTGAATGGATGTATACAAAAGAAAAGGATGTTCTAGAACGAGGTTGGGTATGTATCGAGACAGAAACCAATCAGAAGTAAGAAGGGATTACTGTAGGTGAGACGGGAGGAATGCAGAGTTCCTAGAGAGGTAACGCCCCTTATGACTGGGATATACTTGTGGATTGATTGCGGGGGCAGGAAGGGCATGGTTGTTTCGGATCTTGGGGGTTTGATGTTGCCGAGGTTGGGGGCGGCACCCGCCGCGGTCGCGGTGACTAATGATAGGTATGGATGTACAATCGATCACGGGGAACTTGGACAAGTTGGATTGGGGCGATCGGTCGGGGCTTGTTCGATGTTGAAATGTGTATTCCATACACTAGGTACAAGCGGTCGATCATGATCGATTTTCAGGGTCTAATTCTTATGTTTAGTGTAAGATGCTATTGATAGTATCCTTGGTAGTAATTAGGTTTGAGGATATTTAATTTTGGAAACAGGAAAGGATCAGAATACATCATTGGATTTGATTTGATTTGGATTTGTCTATCAATACATGGCTTTTTTCTGTTCGAACGCCACGTCAAGCTGGATTTTCCAGTATTTTCCAACATCAGTCGGTCCTGCGAGGGAGTTTGCAAAGGCTTTACATGCCAGACAGATAACAGAAGAAAAGAGGGTATGACCCAGGGGATAAACAGCGAGAGACGTAGAGATCGGACAAATAAGCAAGGGGTAGGAGATGGAGAATGAGAATGAGAATGAGAGAGAAGGATGAGAGGGAGAGGTAGAGAAAGAGAAGGAGGGAGATCTATGTAACATAACGCGGAGGTAAGACAGGGAAGAACCGAAGAGAATATGAAAGGTGATACAAAAAGAATCTATATGTTATTAAACAATCCCAGAATCAAACGCAGTGCAAACGAATCGAATCAGTCATTCATGAAGATGAAAATGAGACCTACGAGCTTTCGCTCTTCTTCTCGGCCTTCTCAACAGACTGCTCAGCCTTGGCGCCCTCGCTAGCAGCCTCAGTAGCTTCAGCAGATTGCTTCTCAGCACCATTGCCCTTAGAAGAAGCCTCGGCACGAGCCTCCTCCTTCTCGTCAATGTCTTCAATATCCTTAGGAGCAGGAGCAACACCCTCGTTTCCATTGTTCTGCTCGCTCTCCTCCTCGATAAGCTCTTCCTGCTCCTTAATAACCTCCAGACGCTGCTTGTTGGTAGCAGCGCCCTCGGCGTTGTGGACCTCGAGCTCGATCTCGTGGAACAGCTCCTCGGGGATACTAGAGAGAACAGACTTCAGAGCATCAATCTGAGAAGCCATGTCGGACTCCTTGCCACCCTGGGTGTACATGTAGGCATTGCTGAGAACCAAGAGAGTAGAGGGGACGCCGTTCTGAAGACGCAGATCAAGCCACATGGTGATATCCTCACGGAGACGAGCAGGGGAAACGCCATGTGTGCGAATACCACGGGAGGCACTAGCCATCTGAAGCTCTGGAACGGATAGAGAGTCAACGCCCTCGTAGAAGATAGCGCGATCATCACGCTTGATCTGGCGCATGCGGTGACGGATGTTGTAACGGAGCATGGCGTCAGTGCCGAATGAGTTAAGGTTCATGTAGCGACAGATAGCGACGAGTTGAGGACGCGACAAGTTATCGAGGGTAAGGTCGTCCTTGAAGATCTTGCAGACCTTGATGACATCCTCGGTAGAGGGGGCTTCGCCCGTAGTACGGATCTTGCGGAAGAAGTCGGTGAACTCGTCGTTCTTAACAGTAGCAGCTGTCAAGGGCAAGCCGGTCTCGCGCAATGTGTTTCGCAGGAAGCTGGAAACCTCCTTGCGGGTGGAGCTCAGGTTCAAAGCCTTGGTCTCACGGGCCTTCTGGCCTTCGTAGGTGCTGGGCAAAAGGTTGGGGAAGATCTTAAGAGCGATGGGGAGGAGCAATTCGGCGAATGGAACGATAAGGAAAACGGAGAAAGGGACCAAGCGACCCAAGTCCTTGGTTGTACGTTGGAGCTATTATATCAAAGATTCAAAATTAGTTTCAATGCGCTTATCCAAAAAAATTCAGTTTCTTTCAAACTTACCTGGCGGTGCTCACGACGACTGAGCTCGTAGCCTCCGGCCATCTTGACAGCCAATCGGGTACTAATTTTAACCTCTGTAGCCAAAAGCTTGGTACCATCCCAGTAGTGCTGGACCTCCTTCTTGATCTTTTGACCAATTGTAAGCTTCTTCGCATCCTTCTTCTCCTCAGCTAGACCCTTCTGAGAATCAGCAGCAACGGCCTTGTTAGCCGCCTTTGTCTTGGAGGGCTCAACGGTCTCGGGTTTCGCAGCCTTGGCGACTGTTTGCGACGATTGCGCCTGGTCTTGGGGAAGGGACTTCTTCGCTTGCTCGGCATTGAAGCCAGGGGGAGGGTATGACTGAGAGGAGTTGTTGGTAGATTGCTCAGTGGCATAGCCACGCTGAGGAATCAAGATCGCAAGAGCAGTAACATGGGAAGGGAGGCCGCGTCCATTTCGGAGAAGGCTGTTCGCCGTAGCGATAGAAGCTGGGCCAAGGGCACTGGCACGGGTACGAGCTATTCAACGCAAAAGAAGATCAATATATGTTTCCATATGAGATTTGAATATTGCGATATATCTTACCCGCTAATGTTGGTCGCAGTGCGGAGGTATTGCGGATCAGTTGAGCAGATCTCATTGTGGCGGACATTTGCGGAAATGTTGGGGCGTAAAAAGGGAAAAGGCCCGATCTATCGAGCAGGGAGTTGCGGAGGGCGCAACGACAAGGAGAGAAAATCGACTCGAGTCAAGACAATATTGAGATTGATAACCAGATGAACAGACACAAAATATTGATGATATTGATTTGTGTAGGTTGGCAAGAATCATGATGGCGACGCTGCCGGCCATCACGTTTATTCACGTGACCGAAAGCGGCTTCGGAGGTCTAGACGGAGATAAAAATGATGTGAGACTGATTGGCCCACAGTAGTCCCTCTCAGCCTTCGTCGGCAGTGTTGAGACCCCGTATGGATTCTTTGTGTTTCTTTAGTTTTCCGACCACAGACGGATTTTAACAATTGAATATCTTGTTTATGTATAGTGTGTACATTGGTCTCATTATTCCTTCAAACATAAAATATTTAACGCTGGGTAGTTCGGAAAAATCAAGCAGATCTCAAAACACGGTGGCGAAAAAGAAGGATAGATCGGAACGCTGTGGCTATGGACAGAACACAAAACGGGTGTGCACATGACAAAAACAACAGAAAAATAAAACTAGGTACGCGCCAGGGGTATCATGAATAATTAAAGAAAGTATAAAGCCCTAGCATCTAGTTTCTCTCGCGGATCTCAGACTGGTTGTCTCGAGAGGAATCATTGTAAGCAGTGGAAGCGGCGCTGCTGGGATCTAAAAGAGGGATCCGATCAACACTGTTTCGCTTCTCAAGAGAAGCTAGGCTCTTTGAACCATCGGCAGCGACCGTGGCAGGCGTATCCGGAAACATAAAGGGACTAGTTGCACCCTCGGGAGAGCTTTGCCACCGCGCAACATCCTTCTTCAGTTGCTCCAGTTCTTTCTGGAACCGTTTGCCGAAGACATCAATATAGTAGGTCGCACCATTATGAATACTCCAGACGAATAGAGCGGAGATGTAAATGGCACTGGCCCATCGGTACCAGAACCAGAGAGGGCACGGAATCATAGTTGAAAGCGCAAAGCTGTACTGGATCAACATAAATGCTGGTTCCTGCAAGACCTCTGGGAGGCTGAGAACTATTTTACCAATCCAGGCCTTGGCGTATGACTTGCGAAGCCAGGTAAAGCTGGTCGGACGTCCTGCGGCAATCTGTTCCGCGCGACGTACGGTGATCATGAAGTGGTAACAAAGCTGCCAGGCTATATATGGGACAGTAGACCAAATAATCATAGCCCACAGTGAATAGTGCTCAGGATCACCCGGTTGACTGAATTTGATGGCATGAACCGCAGGAAACCTTTCCTTGAGCATGTCGACTGGAGTCATGTGAACAATACAGTGCAAAGTGACAGGCGGCATAATATGGATAAAAAGACTAGAAACGAGAATCAGTTGGCTATACGATGAGTGACTCGGGTCCTTGAATGCACATACCTGACTACCTTGTCCATACTGTGGAAGACCAACGAGTTTCGCCACATGGCAATCGCTGCCGCGTTATTGCCAAAGGTCAAACAGAACGTTCCCAGGAACAAACGCTTCGAACCTGGGAAGACCCACAAGCTCAACATACACAGCAGGTTGACAAAGTAACAGAGATCGGCCAAGAAGTAGTGATAACCCTTGGCATGGTAGGTATACCACCGAATAGGCATGAAGTATACCAGCTGAGCAGTGAACCAGAGATAGAAGTACTGGGGGACGGCACCGATCAGGTAGCCGCTGATAAAGATATTGAGGACACCAGCGATGAAAGATGCCTTCTCGCGAAGAGTCACAGTAGCCGTCTTGTTCCACTGTTTACCCAACCTCTCAACACCTGTCTTCATGCGCTGACGGTATTTGATGAGCTGCTCGTCGGCTGTTGGGACTCGGCGTTTGAGCTCTCCCACGACACGCTCCCTGGCATTCAGACCCCTTGACTTCAGCTTCTCACGCTGCAGGCGGACCTTTTCCTTCTGCATATTGATGGTTTGTTGCCATTTCTCCAAACGCTGCGTGAGCTGGATATTATCAAGAAGATCAAAGATAGTCAACTTGTCCAGAGGCGGAAATGTCTCCCAGTCCTCTTGATACGAGCTGCTATTGGAGAAAGACCCGTTCCGTGACAGCTTGCCCGGTGAACCAGAAGGCGAGTAGAAGTCATCGCCATCAGCGAACTCCTCCAAGAACGGGTTATCCAACTCATCAGGACCCGGGGTCGATGCCAGAGATTCCGGCGCGATCACCGAGTCTGATCCTCGGTGGTGGGTGGCGCTCGACTCCTCCATCAGAAACTGTTGTTGGAAGGAGAATATAGTAGGACCGTCCCGAAAGGAAGGGTAAGGCCGTCTAAGGAAACGGGCAAATGTTAGCATACCCATAGTAGCTCAAAAGAGAACAGTATATTTGCAAACTTCGAGCCACCCCCTCACGAGCGAGGGAGCGACCCTTTCTTATCGGGTCCCCCAAAAAAAGAACGAGATGCGCGCGACTTGCCTTATCGGAGAGGAGAATCACGACCACGGTTCACGTGGAGAGAAGCGGGGACGGAAGCAGGGATATGGTTGGCAAGTTTGGATACTGAATGCGGGCAGATCAAGCACAGTCAAAGCCTGAAGTTCTTGTCGCTGACCACGTCTCGACCGAAGAACCAGCAGGAAGTTGATGTTGGGAGGTGTGCGGATGTGTTGACCGCTGGTTGGTTTGAGCTTGTTTTCCCCCAATGACCCAATGACGAAGCTTAACTGGATCACGCCGATCCCGCTTTGTTTACTAGCTGTTTGTGCTGTTTGTTTGTTTCGCCTAAAACGGTCATCTTTTCCACTCTACTCTTGGCTACGTGCAACTCTCCTCCCTCCTTCCTCTGCAGCTCCCGAATTCTCGTTAATGCTACGAGGCTTGGTAGTTAAATACCCGTTTTTATTCTATTCTTACTGGGCCGGTAACAAAGCTGCGGGTCTAATCATGCCTTCAAATATTGCTTCAAGGGTGTATATAATATCCAATTGCCATCCAGTTCACCGATACAATCTGTAAATTTCTATGCACATCAATGATACTACATGGATACCAGTCCAACCCACAACCATAGCTACGCATTGTACAAGGCTAGCACAACTCTTTGATTCAACAAACAAACCCTCAAACTAAGCTAGGCATTGCTACCGGCGCAGTAAATTGATTTAGAATCAAACTACTTAGTACCATTCAAGGGGAATAACGAAGCCGAGCAGGGGGTCGGAGAGGGAGAGGGAGCAAGGTGGTGAAGTAATGTCAACCATCCCGCTGCCTCAGGATTCTCACTCCCATATCCAGATACGATGCACAGCATCGATAAGTTGAACAATCAGCGCCAACACCTCCGAGTCGCACCTGCGAGTCCTTTATAAGTATATTTCATATATCATTCTCTGAGATCCAGGGACTCAAGTGAAAGCTTCATGATTATCTTCGTATACGTTGATCATTCCAGACAGCTTTCTTAGAATTAGACTAGACAATGACTCTCCTACTAGCAACTTGAAGAATCTTGAAGGCTGTGAGCTATACTAGTACTAGATACTCTAGTATATAGATATCAAGGGCCCAGGAGGATAGATATTGCGTCCCGAGGTCATCGAGGTGAGCCGACTTGCTTCTCTCACTTCACGTTCTTTCCCTTTTAATATCTCACTGGCAGTACACCCGGTGTCACATTCTCCTCTCTATCGCACATTCTATTCTCAGTCGACGGGAATATCATACTTCTATTTCCGATTTCTGCTTCCAAGGACAACAAGTTCCTAATATCGAATAATATGAATGAAGTGACGCAATAACCGGGACCCGATCCCCGCGCACTGGCGCTTAATCGATTCAACAAGCGTCATTTTTACATGGAGACTAAAATTGTCATATTCGATTTATGGGACAAAGTTCGTTTTCAAAAGATCATGGAAAATCATTTGTTAAGGTCAAACCAATCTCAACCCATGAGATTGTTGAAGCTGTCAAGTCCCTAGTAGCGAAACTTCTCAATCAACGACATAGCAAGAGCCATCCGTTCCCTTATCAGCCTAGTGAAATTTCTATCTCAGCATTCTCCTATACCGAGGAGCGACTGTACAGAGATTCAATGACCAAGCTACATGCACAACACCCGTACTTAAGGGCTGACAAGGTTAAAGTCTCTATGGTAGACTATGGTAAGAAACTAGGACCGGATATCACAATCCTGGATCTGATCGTCACTGGAGAATATAATACTGGAGAACGAAACTGTGGACCGCTCCGTTCAAGACATATCAATTGTCTCCACTCAGCTTTTCCTAGTGCTAAGAACTTGAAGGGTCTATACGCTATCTCGTCACGAGACTCAACCTTCAAGCTTTTTGAGAAAAACCGACAAAGTTCCGTCCTTTGAAGAAGGTTTTCGATGACTAGGAGGCAAATAGACTATTTCGTAGCTCTTTGTTTCTTTGAAACTTTCTGGAAGATTTCGAATGTGTGAGTGACCAGAGGAGTCGGACTTTGTCTGGGACTGATCATGTACAAGATGACAATTCTGACGTTGATATGGAGGATGGAGGATGCATGTTGCCACGATGACCCGACATGCCTAGTGTTTAATGCGGAACATGTACGATTATGAATAGAATACTGGAACTCAAGTTAGTTTAATGAAAGATGCTTGAAGTTTGTGGCTGTTGTGTCATTTGGTTCCTCCAAGCGACAATAACCATAGCCACAACATAATACCTAGTGGAAATATCCATAAAAAGCATCATTCCATGTCATCAAACTCCAAGCCTTTCCTACGAACAATATCTAAATCCAGTACTTTTTTGTGTACTTGAAAATTTTCCCATCTATACCTTAAGCGAACCTTCTTCATGGAAATCTGAATATACGAGCACAATTCTTCGAATTATTTACGACCTCACGAAACCTAATTCATCATTTCTCCACAAAAGCACGGAAGAAAAACCGGCCAAACGCATTGATAACACTCGCTGATTTGCCGAGCAAATCATCCTAAAAGACCCACATCCACATCAAGATCAACACATCACCAATTAAACCGGCGGCACTCTCCGATATGATAACAAGTCGGATGCTTTACAATAGATTAAGTGGGGCGGAGTATGCTTGAGCCGCTCGAATACGTACATTAAAGCATGGACATCTTCTTTTATTTCAAGTACATCCTTCACCAATTGCGCATACTGTATTCTTTTCTTCTTATACTTTGCGCTTAATAAAGCACCATAGAGCCAACTATAGCTTCGACCAGCTTCAGTTTCACAATGACAGAAAAAAAGCGACCAAATTTCCTCTTCATCCTAGCCGATGACCTAGTTCGTCCCCCACTTTATTTACCACCCATCTCAAATCATACGTCCATCCATCTAACAGAAGGGAAAAAACAGGGTTTCTCCGACATAGGCTGCTTCGGCGGCGAGATCGAAACACCAAACATAGACAAGCTCTCATCAGAAGGAATCCGAATGCTAAACCACCACACCGCAGCAGCATGTTCACCCACCCGCGCGATGTTAATGAGCGGCACAGATGCGCATCTTGGCGGATTAGGATGTCTAATTGAGAGTCGGGCAAGTGAGAAGGGTGGAAAGCGATGGAATGGGAAGGCAGGGTATGAGGGATATCTGAACAGTGATGTTGCGACTTTACCTGAGATACTTGGAGATAATGGGTATTTTACGGCTATTTCTGGGAAGGTGAGATTTTTACCGGGGGCTGACGATTTGAGCGAGGGATTGAAGAGAAGATGAAGATGAAGGCTAATATGTACTGGTGGGGTGTGGTGTCAATAGTGGCATTTAGGACTTCGTGCTAGTCAAGGTCCTTCAGAGAGAGGATTTCAAAAGGCCTTCGCTATGCTTCCGGGTTGTTGCAATCATTATGCATGGGAGCCTGTGCAGGAGAGATTTCCTATGGGTGGATCACCGATTCATACAGAGGGGGGAGTTAAAGTTGATGTGTGAGTTCTAATCTGCTTCCAAGCTACTGCGGCATTGTACTGCGGCGTTGCATATGAGATCATGATACTAGTGAAAATGATACTGACGTGCCTACTAGGACTCCGAATAAGAATGAAGACCCGGAAGGCTTCTATTCAACCGATTATTATACCAATCAATTGATTGGATATCTTAACGGGCGCTCTTCAACGGAGAAGGATAAGCCTTTCTTTGCTTTTCTGCCTTATACTGCGCCTCATTGGCCGTTGCAATGCTCTAAGGATAAGCGTGATAAGTATGGCTACTATACTTGAATATTGAATATTGAATATTCAATATCAGTTCTGCTGAGTTGAGCTAATATTTCCCAGGTACAAGGGTATCTACGACGACGGACCATATGCTCTTCGCGAGCGCAGACTAAGACAGCTCGTTAATCTTGGTATTATTGACGAATCTGTTGTTCCGCATCAGATGGAAACCACAACACAGGACGTGGGTGAATGGGATGAGTTCACGGCTGAAGAGCGAAGGTGCTCGAGTCGTGCTATGGAGACTTATGCTGGGATGATTGATACGATGGATTTCAATGTTGGGAAGATTATCAGCCATTTGAAAGAGACGGGGGAGTATGATAATACTTTCATTGTCTTTATGAGTGATAATGGGGCTGAGGGAGCAGCGTGAGTTTATCCAAATCAGGCCAAGCCAAACTTGAAGCTGAGAATCCAAAATTGGGGTATCGATCTAACAAGTTCTTTCTTATAGATTGGAAGCTAGACGTGAGTTGTGTTGCTAATGATTAAGTTTATTAATGTATTGTGCAAGACTAATTATTCGCAGCTGTGATGGGTGATAATATCAAACGGGCCATCCATGAACACTACGACAATTCATATGAGAATATCGGGTCCTATAACTCATTCACCTGGTACGTGTACATATTACATCCACCCCATAAGATGGATTGATAGACGGATGATGAATCTAACAGTGAACCATCTCAGGCTCGGACCACTATGGGCTCAAGCCTCAACAGCGCCATCCCGACTCTTCAAGGGATTCCCATCTCAAGGCGGAATCCTCGTTCCCTGCGTGGTGAAACCACCAAAAGACACATTCCACCGATCATTCACACCAGGTTCATTCAATCGCTCCTTCAGCACAGTAATGGACTATCTCCCCACATTCCTGGATCTAGCAAATATCTCCCTCCCACTAGTATTCGAACAAGAGAATACCCGAGCTCTGGAGAAGAGTCCCGTGGTCCAGAAAATGACCACTTTCCGCGGAAGAAACGTCCACGCAATCCGCGGTAAATCATGGGTTCCATTCTTCTGTAAGGAAGAAAAAGCAGAAGACGTTAACGGCACCGGTGAACTCTGGAACATCCATTCCTCCTCCGAACCCATTGGATGGGAACTATTTGCCCGTGCGGCCATGCGGAAAGGAGATTGGAAAATCGTTCACATTGCCAAGGCTAATGGGGGAGTCGGGGAAGTTAATGGTGAAGGCTGGGAACTGTTTAATGTTGTTGAGGACCCGGGGGAGAATGTGAATTTGGCGGGTGAGGAGCCTGAAAAGCTGAAGGAGCTTATTGGGTGTTGGGAGGAATATGTGAATGAGTGTGGGGTTGTTTGGGGGGAGAATGCATTTGATCCTGGATTGGGAATTGAGGATGCTCCTGAGTTGTGGGAGGATGAGGTTGAGTTGCAGAAGTCATGGCTTGGAGCGAGGGCTGGTGAATGTGTGGTGTAGATGGATATGGCGTGATGAAATGAAATGCCTAGGTCTGTGGTTGAATGCTGCTGGTGTCTGTGTCTGGGTCTGGGTCCTCGTATTCCAGGCAGTAGGATAATATAAGCTTTACGGAAGATGCTTGAGTCCATGATCTTCCAATAATGTCGTTGCCTTCAACTGTTTCAGGCTCCCGAATTCCCGAATTCCCCGTCGGTCGCAGAGGTAAAATAACCATAATATCAAACGGTATCAATACCTGATATCAAGCTCAAGGTATTGAGGTCTCATAAATAAGTCCTCACATCTTGACACCCCGCCAACCTCAACATCGTCGTCGCAACAAACAAACACAGACCAAGCAGGTAACACACAAGGCCAATGTGAAACACCACCCGTTGCGCCTTATTGAACTTCGCATACCGATGAAGTCCAATTCCAAAGTACACCAGGCCTGCGAAAACAACGCCCATGACCGGGGCCATTTCAGAGTAAATCGCAGCGGCAGCGGCAGCCATAGTGTATACTGTAGCTGATCAGTGTCTGTTCTCTGAGAGGAATCTGATTGGGACGTACAGTGATCAAGTGGGGCGGTCGGGGACGGGTAGTCAGTACAGTACAGTACAGCTGTTTACTGCTGATCGGCGCAATTTGTGAGAAGTTCAAAGTTGTGGTGAACGAGGGTGAATGAGTGAATGGGTGAGTGAGGAGGATGATTCTTTTTTAAATTTTTGCATCTGGGTCAGGGGGTCAGTCCCGTATTAAAGCGCAATTTCTCGCGTAAAAAGGCGAGATCAATTGATGGATGGTACGAAGTGACCGCGTAGTCCAGTGGAGCTTTCCACGTGTACGGGAGAAGCGATGTCACTCGTCAGGAACTTGAACAGTTTAAGATTCAACGTTATCAATGTATGGACGCATCCAGTTATATTAGCATGATATTTATTACTAACAGCACCATATCGTATATATCTAAATGTTCAAGTTCACCGTGTTCGCTCCAAATTGCATGCAATTCCAATTGCGATCCAGGTAAATTGTGTCGGCAAAAATAAGAAAATGACCAGAAGAAAAAAGAACTAGAAAGAAAAAGGGTCCAGGGGCCAACGTTAAAATTAAATATCAATACCCAAATTGATTCATCCCATGAGTCACTGGCATCTCACCCCAATACCCCGTATTCTTCTCAGCCGCACTAAACGGCGCATAATACCCACCACCGTGACCAGGAACAGTAGGAACGGGAAGAGGCACAGAGACAGGCACAGGCTTTGAATCAATCGGAGATTCATGCGGAATCATACTAGCCATCATACCCATGTGATGACCCCCGAATCCAGTAGTTGTCGGACTATGTGGTCCGCTTGACTCGCTGGTTGCGGGTGACAAGGGTAAACCGTGATGATGACTGGAGAATGATACTAACTGCTCATTCTCATCGAGTAGTGATCCGTGTGGTCCTGATCCGTGGCTATCGCCGAGATCCTGATCATCAAGATCTTCTTCGTCGATTTTCATGACAGGGGCCGAATGTATGCCCGCGGGAGTGAGCTCTTCGTCGTGGAAATTTGCTTCGGGGAGATGAGTATGAACCACTTGGATTACTGTGCTCCCATCTGTTTGGAATTATAGTTAGATATATACCCTTGTGAAAAGTTAAAGTTATGGGTAATGGGTAAGTGGTAAATGGTACATACCAATCTCTCCATCAAGATACCGTTCCTCCATCTGTCGCACGAAATAAATCTCATCAAGAACCTGTAACCGGTTCGCAGGACTAATCTGCCTTCTCACATCCTGTCCAGCTTCACGAAGCTTATCCGCACTAACCCCATTACTCTCTCTCAGTTCACACAAAATATGAACCAGCAGACGCAACCGATCTATAGCCAACCACATTTAGTCAATCAAACCAACAAAAACAACTCGATTAGATAATCCTACTCACCACGCTTCAACAAATGATCCGGCTCCCGATGCAAAACCCCATCAGGCCACCAACCCGGCTTCGTAAGTTCAGGATCCACACGCTGCGAAACACCCGCAATGACCTTCCGCCCATTATACGGAAAATGAACCTGCTTCCTCGGCTCCACAAGTTTAATCCACGACTTCGCAATAACCCTACAATTCAACTGCTGAAAGTCCTCGAATGCTTTCTCGATATATCTTCGCACTGCAGCACTGTCGCCAATTTTAAATGCGCTTCGGCCTGGTGGAGGCGTTGGAGGGGGTGAGGATGATTTTGGACGTGGGTGGGACATGCCAGCTCCCATGCCAGTGCCGAGACGTTTCATGTCGCGGCGTTTTCGGCGCGTTTGGTGCGATTGAAATTCGCATGGTATTAATTCGGGGGCGGGTCGCGTTTGGCCGTAGCGTGGCCAGGTGTGTGGGTTTGGATGTGGTGGGGTTTGGTTTGCATTTGGATTTGGATGCATGCCCCATGGTGAGGGGGGTGGATCTGTAGAGGTAAGTATTACTGTTCAAGTGTGTAGTATGTATTGGATGTAGGTAGGAGTACTTACTATGGAATTGCATTGGTTGGGGATTTGGCACTGCCATCTCCATGAATCTATCTGTCACGTCCGGCGTGAAGATAGCACCACCGCACCCCGCGATAGAGGGTGAAGCTTCCACTTGAAGTTTCCCATTGTAGTCGAGGTAGATGACTGCAAAGTGTGGATGGGGGAAGTCCAAGTTTCCTACTTGGTTGTTGGATGTGACAGCCTGTGAAAGATGTGAGTATATAATCATCATTGTCCACTGGTAGTGAAGTGCAAGGGTGAATATTGATCAGTACTTACCATATGTGACTGCGGCAACGACGTATCAGAATGTCTGCGCTCAAGGGATTCCCCCGCGCGTAAATGGGGACTATTCAAGTCCATCGCGCAACTTATGATAATGATAATGCAAAGTCCCTCACTTGAAACTCGTGGTCGGTGAATTGAAATGTGTTCCGAAAATAAAATCCAGGTCAAGTAGTTCAGTTCAGTTACGTGCAGGAAAGGGCGAGATTATTTCGTATACACTGCACAGGACAGACGGGTGGAATAGCTCGAACTAAAATGAGCAGGAAAGACCTGCTTTCTTTCTTTCCAAGAGCAATAGTGATAGTAAAATCAAATCAGACTGAAGGTAAAATTGAACGGGAAAACGGCTATCTGCGACGGGTATAGAATCCGGAGGCACTAGGAGGGCGTCCGAGTAATTATTATAATTGCCATCAATATGGAGAGACCTGGATCGTACTTTGGTAAAAAAGGCGAAGTATCTAGCAGACACCGATATTCCCTGGAGTTTGGACTTTGGGTCTGGCGCCAGCTAATGCAAGGAAAAAAGGAATATCTGCGGAGCCCAAAGCATCCGCAGCTTTGTTGGTGGCAATACGGCGTCTCCATCGATCTCTGGTCCTGCATCTCACGATCGGATCGTCATCATACAGATACAATGCCCCTCAGATTGATCGTGTGGGTTCCAGGCCGAGCGCACTGACAGCAGTATATTTAGTAGGATAAAAATTAATTATTTTTGTTTCGACGTTTATTGGTCGCATGTGAGAGCCGAGAATCCATGGTTTGCAACGGGGGATCCGGAATCCTCAAACTTAGTTTCGACTGTTGTCGATCCTGCCCTAAGTACGATACTAGCCACAGACGATGTGACATGCTAAGTTTTGGATGTGTGTGTGTGTGGCACATAATACACCTAAGTGATTTAGTTGGGGTTCTGACTCGAGAAAAGTTCTGAATAAAATAATGGGATTTGGGATGATGGGACGGTACTACCAACAAGTGGATCATCCATGTCAAGTTGAAGATTTCAAATGGCTATTTAATCTTGGAAATATCTCCCGTAGCTTAACAGAAGCAATGATTCTGTAGCCCATCGGTGATAACCCAATAGTTTTATCGGGGAAGCCTTTATCTCACCAATCATGGGGAGTAATCAGTGATCGATCCAGCTAGACTGGGTCCAAAAAATGAACATCGATTATCAAACGGCCGATCCATACCTGATTGGTGCGTTAACTCGTAGGGCTTCAGCCACGACCCGGGTGCTCGTGAATTCATCCGCTGCAAGCCATGCAACCCAGGGGAAAGTGTCTACCTCAAAGACTTTCCTTAAAAGATAAGCGATCATCTCCTGTTCAGGTACGCTGGCAGAGGACTCAGGCTGAACCGCGCATGGTCTGGGACTAAGACTAAACTAAGACTAAGTACGGAGGCTAGTCTATACCCACAAGCTAGGCTAACAGCAACACTAATACTAAGTCTCAATTTTAGACTAGGTCAATGCAATACGATCATCCGTGCACGGATCTCGAAGATTCAGCCAACCGAGCAGTCAAAACGCGACAGTGCGTTTCGACAGTCAGCCCCGGCAATTCAAAGGCCCAAGCGGCTCTAGACTCCCAAAGTCATTGGCAGATAATTTTTGTCTTCAAAGTTGATGAAAGCAACCATCGAATCTTGAGCTTATTTCGAGCCGCGGAACTACGGGTCAAGTGGGTGGTGGGTTGGGTTCCAAGAAGCCCAAATAGGATACTGCATACTAAGTACACTAATTACTCATGAAGCCCACTTCGTACAGAATAGTGGAGTATCTAATGAGTAATGAAATGGATGCTGTGTTTGTCCCTCATCACCAAGACCCGCATGATGGTGAGAATAACGAATTGCATCCTCGAACGATTCTATTTTTCTTCTGATTTCATTTTTTTTTCCTGTCATGGTTAAAGGATTCAAAATGACAAATATCTACATAATAACCCGTTCATTGGCATATTTCTTCTTCCTATCGACCGGCACTAGGCACATGAATATGTACATGTACAGGGGAAAAAACCGAACTATGCCCGAAAAACTAACGGCGTTGAGTTGAACATGAGCGATAAAGAAAGAACAGGGGAACTGAGCATCGAGCTTACCCATTAGGATCAATTCCCTTTTTCCCGGATCGACACTGAACTTCCAGTAGGTGGGGAAGCTGCACATCGCGAATTCGAATTGTCGAGTCGATGCGAATTATAATAATATTACTGGGATCGGAAATAAAGTGCATCATGGTACTACATTCATTCTCCCCAGCATATCTGCTTTCTCGTTGTTTTTCCTATCTATCCACTCGTCCGCTTGGGATTAAGCGACTATTTAGAACCGGACTGTCTTTGTGCAACAACGGAAAATATACCCATGGCCTATTATTTGCTTTTCCCCCATGCGCTCGTCATAGCAAGAACGAGTGTTCTAGGCCATAAATAGCTGGATGCAAAGGAACAAAGGGACATATTGAAATTGAATATCAGGAATTCTTCCAAGTGCACATAAAGGAACATTGAAACGAAGAATAAAAGTAGATACTTAATAGACTTTCGGGAGTTCCTCAGTTCCCCCAAGTAGTACAAACTGATAGATTCAAGTTGATCATGAATAACCCATCCAGCCTCACCTTGGCAAGAGGTCAAAACGGTACCCGGATCCAAATCCTTCCATCTTCTATCCGCACCGATCCATGCCAGAAAAAAAGGTTGGTCTTCTGATCCCACCCGCATTGACCCTCCAATCCGTGTATGCTTCCACCTCAATTTTCCCACACTTACGAAAGTGGCGTAAAGAAGCCCCTTGCGTATGGGTCGAAGAACGGAAAGCAAAAAGCAAAAAAAAAAATTAAGAAAAAAAATATTTCGCGATCGCATTTCGTATGTACAGTAGGTACCACAGCTGAATGCACCTAGCGGAACCCTGGTGCCTTGGAACTGGGACCGGAAGACCCTTCCTTGTCCCCCACAGGCATCTAAAGGGAATGCCAAAAGTACGAGTTTAAATGCACCTAAGGATCATGTGTTACCCTCCCGAGCTTCGTGCAGAACACTGGATCCGGGTACAGGGTACATGACCGGGTAATCGGTGCTGGGGATGATCGTCCGTTCTGTTCTTAGACTAGACTGGGCGCAACTGAGGGATATTATCACAGTAGTTCACTGTTTTGTTGTTCGGGTGTGGGGGCCTCGATGCTAAGCCTACAGTAGTGTGTTTTCGGGGGTTCCGTTTTAGCAGCTTTGTCCAGTTTATCCGATTTTTTTGGAATATATTTGCGGTGAAGGTGCAGTGTTGTGGCGTGTACAGACAGCTAGGGGTTGTACGTGGGGTTTGGGATCGGGATTGGGCCGGGATTTGATGAGGTTGATTATGATGCGGAATGGGCGTTCCGTGATTCGTGATGCATTTAGGAGATGGTATCCGTGCTGTAGGAAGGCGAAAGATCTTTGGTGATCACTTTCTTTTCTTCAGGGATCTTGTCGGTCCCCGAGATCAGCACGGCTTGTTAGTGGTTTCTTAGTAACATCACGATGCTAAAGTTAGCACTACATACTCCGTAAATAGCATCCAATTTCGAGCTCAGATAACTTAATTCAATCTACTACTAATTTGGATATCTTAACTCCGGCAAAGATCATAAAGTACTTCTTTCTCAAAATACATGCAAAAGTAGATCCTAGTCCCAAATTGGTACTTGAACTACACGTTCAAGATAACACCGCTCGAGTAAGGAACTTTGAGCTCCACCACCCCCTTCGAGTCCACAGATACACTCTCTCCAATAGTAACATTACCCAATCGAACGGGTTCACCACCCTTCAATTCGTAATTATATGACCAGCCATCCCAAGAGATACCCGTAATTGCATCACTCCCGTTAGCCATCAGTCGCTGCACCGATAACGTTTTCTCCTTAGTCCCGGGCAAAAGGAACGAATATTTCGCCACAGGACGAGTCTCCTCAGTCTCTGCCCCTGTGTAATTATACTCCACCATATTTACCACGGCAATCCGGCTTAAGTTTCCGTCCACATACGCAGCGTACGCGGCATCTGTCTCCTCGGCCATTGGAAGGTTCACGACCTGTACATCTGCGTTTCTGTTGCTGTCATCCCCACCGAGCATTGCAGCGACCATAACATTTCCGTAGTAGGGGGCTTTGGTGCCGACGGTGGTTTTGTTTGTTTGGATAGGCTGCCAGGATGCATATCTGTAATCTGTTCCTTGGTGCATGTGGGTTCGGCGGATATTCTGCGATGCGCAGTACAGATTGAAGTCGACGCCCCAGAGCGCGGCGCCGAAGGAGTTCGATAACCCGGGTTTGCCTTGGTGGTAGAGTGAATTGGTTTCTCCTAGGATGTAGGGGATATTCTTGGTGAGGCCTTTTTCGTTGAGGACACTTGATAGATTCACATGTTGCTGGACACTGGCGACAGTAGATGTATGGTTCATCAGTGTCTTGGCAAGAGTAACACCCGGCTGATCAGCACCACCGATATAGCTTTAATAAGAGATTGTCAGAACATTGAAGATGAAAGAAGGGGGACACGTCAAAGTCAGACTCACTTATGCATCGAATTCAGTTCGATATCATGATGCTCGTCAAGTCCATCTTCCCAAGTCGTCACCGCGTCCAGATCGTTAGAGATTCCAGCAAATGAAGGAGCGATGAACTTGATTCCCTCATCCTTCGCCAATTCAGGGCACGCTTTGGCAATTTGACGCTTAACAAGTTGAGACTTAGACAACCATTCAGTCACATAATCACTTTCTGTCCAGTTATCTGGCCGTTTGTCACCAGTGAACAAATCTGGCTCGTTTCCCATCTCCCAATAGGCCAGCTTCCCATTTGCAAGAGCCTTGCATGCGAGAGGAGCAGTACCAAGTAGCGTATTCATGGCCTTGGTACCGTTTTGGCCCATGTCAAATCCGAAACTGAATTTGGTGTCTGGCCATGTTGCATATGATTCAAAGAATGAAGGGCCAATGGAAATGATTGATGGGTAATCCTCCGATACACTTGGGACGACGGTGCCGTTGATTCCAGTTTTCAAGTGGGGGTCATATAATGCAAAGTCCCTATTATCGTGTTAGTAGGGCATTGGGATTTTTATTCTGCATTGTGTCACTTACTGTGTATTTCCGCCAACTCGAATGTAAGGCTTAACACCTTGGAGGTTGGCAAGGTTGTCTAAGAGCTGATTTGAGAACGTATTTGGTTGAGATGAGTTGCCTGTGAGAAAGATTGGTTACTTCATGGTCTAAGAGGTCCTGGCGACACAGTATACTAACCTGCAAAATCTGGGAAGGAGGAGAACTCAATCGAAAATGATACAAACGGGCGCAAAACTGCGGCAGCTGCGTCCTTCGGCACAATTTCACTGACAGAAACAGCTGAGCTAGAGCTGTCTCTAGTAGTGACCGTTGGGCCAGCGGCCACTAAGGTAGGCCCGAGAAGCAAAGAAAGAAGCATGGCGGATGAGCAGTTCTAATAAAACTACAATCGCTCAGTATTTCTTGGTTTTGTTCTTGCTATTCTGTCTCTACATACTGAAAACTCGTGTATATTGACCCTATTTATGTTATTGGAGTTGCCGACGTCGCGTGAAGTAGGTAATTGAACGTCAAAGTGGCACGGATCATCAAAAGCCGCCCATGACGGGAGTTTGCCTGCACAACGTAGTTTTGAGTGACGCGGTCAATTCCAGTCAAATCATCGGCAGATTTTTTAGATTACTTACATCTCCCAATAATGCGGGGGTTACATCCTCGGCTGTGGGGTGACGATCGTTGCTGTACTTTATCAAATATCGGCTATTGTCGAAGACGTCAATAACCTAATTAACTGAAATCAACAAAAGTGAAATCAGGCTAGCTCCTTTTCTCTACGGAGTAAGCATGGGTCTATTTAGTAGGGGATCTACATTATGCATTCATTATGTCTTCATAAGAAGTGCCGATATACACTTTGATACTTATTGAAATGCATTGAGCCAGCAGTCTTGAAGTATTCCAGAGTTATTTCATTAGTATATCCATAATGTATACATACTTCCTTATTGATTCTAGATGTCATTTGATCTGTCTTTATCCCGCATTTTGTTGCTTCATCATGAACTGTCACACAGAACAAAGATCAATAATTTAACCTTGAAAGTCATGAAATATTTACTTCTCAGATAGCTGGAAAATACTTATCGACTTTCCAAAAATGGAGCTATCAGAAACGTACACCCGATAACCATTCAGTCACATAATCACTTTCCGTCCAGTTGTCTGGCCTTTGGGGTCAATAATCTGCTCTGTCGCTTTTACCTCAGTAAGTTGGCCTCATATAACAGACATACAAACAAACACTAACTCTGAGCAGTCTTTGCGATCATTAATTGGTGCTTTTCTCCCATAGTATTCCTTCTTTACCCCGAAACAACAAGACGTACACTAAAACTAGATCTTTATTCGAAATTCCCCCTGGGTTGTCTGTGGGAAACAATACTTTAACGCAGCTGGAACGTCCTCAAGACTTTCGTTCAGGCGGAAAGAGAGCGAATTGACAGCGCAGGGACTGGACGAAAATACCTCAACTTAGGGAGTAATTACTACACACCATGAGCATTTATAACACGATACTATTGTACCAGTCTGTATCATTCATAGGCAGGTCCGAGGGGGCTAATGCGACACGCGGTCATAGATTGGAATGGTCATCATGTTAAGAAAAGAAAGCAGAAGCGTCGCTTGTTAACCGCGCATAAAAACATGGTATCTATTAACAGCAGCGACAATCGCCCATAAGCAGGTAAACACCCTAATCGGCTATCCACATAATCATAGCAAGCCGGCGCTGTTAAGAATAATCTACACAGAACAAAGAAAGATAAAAATAACCAGACCATCGTAAATCCGTCTCAAATCTCTGGTAAGAGATTAAGTATATTTGCGGAGCTAAATGGGCACCAGATTAGTTTATGATCATCTTGTAGGTAGGACGTGTAGGTAGGAAGGTGAACTCACATCAAGAGTAAGAGATTTACTACTGTTTTCGACTTGATCTCTGTAGATTCCAACTAATGCTTCACTGTTCTGGAACAGTCCTGTCTTCAAACTGATAACGATGAATTGCATGCCAGGGGCCGCGTGATCATGTATGTAGTTCGCAATGCGGGCAACATTGGTGTTGTCGAGAGCCGCGTCAACCTCGTCCAGCACGAAGAATGGGGACGGTTGATATGAGTGGATGGCAAATAGGAGAGCAAGCGCTGCCATAGTCTTCTCACCACCGGACAAATGCTCCATGTCGCGGAAACGTTTGAGCGGGGGCATGGCATGATATTTGATACCATCGAGGTATGGCTCGTCCGAATCCTCGATGTCAAGGTATCTGCAGGAAGAATGTTAGGACTAACCACCGTTAATGGAGATACTATCAGAACTTACGCCTGTCCACCCAGTGGGTAGTTGGTACTTCGTGTCAATTCTCGGTAGATCGGGCCAATTTGCTCTGAAATATGCGTGAAAGCCTTGTTGAATAGATCTGAGCGCTTCTTCATGATACCCTCAAAGCCATCCTTTGCCCTCCTTGCTTGCTTTCGTGCATCTTCAAAGTCTTGTTCGGTACTGCGAAGCTTGTTTTCAACACTCTCAAGGCGCTCCAAGGCCTTCGTATTAGGTGCCATTTTCTCGAGCTCTGCAGAAATAAGGCGAATCTTTTCTGACAATTCTTCTTCAAGCTTATCGTCGGACTCCTAAGGATAAAGTTAGTATTTCTAGTTTGCGGGAATTCCATACATATGCATACCTCTTTCAGTGTCTCTCCAAGTGAGTCAAAGTCAACCTCGATGCCGTAATCTTGAACAACAGGGGTATCATCAAGCTCCTCGGCCTCGTCCACATCCATAGCATCTGGATCAGCACCCTGTACCAAATCGTCGATGGGGAGTTTGTCGAGCGACTTAGAGGAATTGGTCAACGGAATGTCGATATCTTCCAGTTTGCAGCGTCGGAGAAGAGTGTAACGGCTAGAAGAGTTCCGCTGTATCTCAGCTTCAAGAGCAGTGACGTTCTTCAGTTCCACCTCAACGTGCTTGCTGCGTTTCTGGAGCTCCCTACGCTGCTCAGCCAGGTTTTCTGCAGACTGTCCATAGATCTCCTTCTGTTTTTCAAGATTCTCGCGCAGAAGCTCGAGTTCGGCAGCAAGCTCGTCTAACTTGTTTCGGATTTCATCCTGTTGACCCTTCAGCTCTTCAATCAGAGCCATGTCACGCTCGTATTGCGCCTCAAGACCGCTGACACGGTCGACCGATGATTGAATTCGCTGCTTTTCAAAGCTTAACTGGTTCTCGATACGGCTCTTCTGGGTTGTGAACTCAAGCTTCTTCTGTGCAGCTTCCTCTTGTAAAGATCCTTGCTGTGCCTCGTATTCACGAATGTCCTCGTATCCAAGTCGTTTGCAGAATTGACGATAGATCTCATCTTCAACTTCGCTGACTGATGATTGGGAGGTCTCGATGGTCTCATCCAGCTCGTCGAGGTTTTCCTTTCGTTCAGTGTATTTAGGTCGCAGGTCTTCCAATTGACGCTTGACAAAGTCCAGTTCGCTATGCTTGCTCTTAAGGTTTCTTTCAAGCGCTTTCAACTCTTCCTTGAAATATTTCAGGCGCTGCTCAAGACCAACAAGCTCACCCTGCAATGTCTCTTCTTCCGAGCCACGGCGATGGCTCTTCGGAAGGTTCGCAAGGCCATTCATGAGCTTCTCCTTAAGTTTGTAGAGATTCTCGACTTCAGAATCGTCCCATCGCTTGGAGGCGTTTTGCTGGGGACCTTTACCACCAGTCATAAGACCACCCTTGTGAATCACAGTACCATCAAGGGTAACAGCCTTCGCATCAACGTTTCGCTCATAGCAAAGATGTTTGGCAGTAGCTAAATCATCACACACAATGGAATTCCCGCAGGCATAGCTAATAGCACGCGATACTGACTCATCATAATCAACAGTCTCGATAGCAGGGCGCATATTTCGGTGCATACCCTTGAGGTGTGAATTGAAGGCCTTCACCTGGATAGTTTCCAAGGGGATGAAGGTTGCTTGGCCAGCGCGCTGGTCACGAAGATGCTGAATACACTCCTTGGCAGTCTTCTCATTATCCACAACAATAGCGTCAAAATGGCGACCCAGGACGGTGCTGACCGCTTCAGCATACTTCCGCTGCTTGGGGCGGCACAAATCGCTCACGCGGCCCTTGACACCAGGAAAGATTCGCTTGAGAGTTGAGATAAGTTCTTTAGCACGAATTTCGCGCTCATTCTGCTTCTTGCCATCATCGGCTTCAAGCAGCTTTCTAAGAACAACCTGAAGCTTCTCTTCGAGTTCTGTCCTCATCTGCGAAACTTTCAAGCGCTCTGACTGCAAACTGTTCAGCTCCTTCTTCTTTCGATCAATATCCTTAGATGTGACCTTGATCGAATCATTTAATGTAGTATTGCGTTCATTCATGTTCTGGGCTTCAGACTCATGGTTGTTAAGCTGCCATTCAGTGTTTTCAAATTTGCCCTTAAGGCTGTTTACAGCTTCAGCCTCTGTCTTCCTCTGCCTTCGCAGATTATCCAGGTTCAACTGATCTGCAGAAGAGCGCTTGCTAACTTCTTCTCTTAATTTGTGGTACTCTTGCTGGTCAGCCTCGCTGAGTTGCGTGCCTTGCTTGCTCATAGTCTTCTGCCACTCGGCCTCCCATTGCGATTGAGCCTTCTCAACAAGCTTCAGATCTTTCTCGAGCTTTTTGGCGCCATTCGTATAAGCCTCACGCTCTTTTCCAATTTCATCGATTTTGGATGCATAGCGTTCAACCTTCTTTTCGGTGATTTCCACTTTCTCGTTGACGGGAACCAATGAGTTATTCAATTCTTCAATATCCTTCTCTTTCTTGGTGATGTTCTTTTCGGCCTTGCCAACGTCCCTACCGACACGAGCATGGTCTTTCTTGGCGTCCTCGACATTTTGCTCATATTTCTCAACACCACGACGGTATTCCTTGAGCTCATCCTGATGTTTTTGAATGTCGGCGCTAGACTCATCAATAAGGCGCTGGAAGTGGAAAAGCTTCCACAAAATGTGAGTGATGACAGCCTGATCGCGCTCCTCGGCCTTCTTTGCATAGTTCTCAGCTTCACGCTTCTGCTCCTGGTACTGCTTAACTTCGGAGTTGATACCTCGTCGACGATTGAGCTGAACAGTTTGCTGCTCGGCAGCTTCCTCCGCCTCTGCTTTCAACTTCTCGTAGTCGGCCTTGTATTCCAATGAGCCAGAGATTTGTTCGATCAGACGGGTGAGGTCTCTCGGTGACTGAGATGCAATAGCCTCGACGTCTCCTTGGAAGACAAGAAAGTTGCGCGCACGAATCAGAATATTCTCCTCCTCCAGAGCTTCATTGTATTGTTGAGCAGTCACGATCTTGTTGTTGATTCGATACTCGCTAACGCCCTGGCTGGTGATGGAACGACGCCATTGCTGTTCCTCGCCTGCGTCATCTTCGTAGACAGCCATGACCCAGGCGCTCTTTGGGTCATGCAGTTCATTGGCATCCTGAGACGCATCCACATTGTCGGCGTCGTTATCTTCTTCGCCGTTCTCTCCATTGGCGGGGGGCTCCCCATCAACTTTCGACGTTCGCAGGACTCGGCCACGGTAAACAAGATCTTTGAGGTTTGTCGATCGAAGGTGGGATGATTTAATTCCTAATACGAACGAGATCGCATCCATCCTAGTGCAGGTTAGTATTGACATCTATAAGATTGGTATAAGGCGTGGGTTCTCTTACGAGTTTGACTTGCCAGACCCATTGGGGCCAATGATTGAAGTGAAGTAGGCATCTCCAAAAAGGAGCGTGTGGTGTCCCTTGTAGGACTTGAAATCTACGAGCGAGGTTAACAGATCTGCGCAGCACGGTATGGTACGGGGCAGTACATACTGAAAAGTTCGAGGCGAATGAGTTTGCCCATGGTGCAAAGCAGCCGCTTCCTGGGGAAGCCACACGCTCAGATACTGAGACTGAACGCGTTGTGGTTTAATGGCCAAGCTGAATGATTGACTGGTGACAAAAGATTGGGAGGGGCGCGATATGGGGAATCGCGCGTCAACCCCGACGCGCCAGGTAGCCGGGTCAATCACGTGGCCCATCACTAAACTTACGATAAATTGTGAACTTGAGATGTAAGATTTTTGGACTAAATAGATAATATAAAAGTAGAATTTTCTGGAATTGGTCTTCTAAGCATAGTTGGGCTGATCAGGGCGTGTGTTAGATCATATCTGCGCAATGTCCAGGTGAGCATCAAGCTGTATGTCTATAAAGTTGAAGTATATATTCCGCTGGGTATGTGTGGAAATTTAGAAATGAAAAAGGCATTTATCTCACCTGCGAATTACTCCAATTCAAAGAAAAACATATTAAAATGACCAGGCCAGTGTTCCATTCATATATATCAGTAAATCTACCTATTTAAGCATGTTTCGCTTGTTTAGTCGTGCCTCTGAAGCATGAATTTAAGCCTATGACTGAAAATGTTCCTTGCGGCCCCAGCGCAGTTGACTGAAAACATTAACCTTGGAAGCCTCGAATAAATCAGTTCCAATTATCAATTGAACCATTTTCAAGCAAATGAACGCAGGAATTGATGCTCCTAGAGCTGAGTATAAATCCTAGTATTGAAGAAAACAAAGTATGCTCATTGGTTTTACAGTGTGTATATATACAGTATAGAAACATTTGAAAGTCCCAGAAATAATCCTGGCAGACCATCGGAGGAAAAGTACAGTATTTTAAGACGAGCTACCCTCATTGCCCAAAGCACGCACATTCTTCACAGGATTCCCAAGGGCCAAAAAGTCCTCAGAGAGAGACCCATTAGAATCCACACGAACAACCCTAAGCTTGGGAGTCTTAATACCCAACAAAATAGTGTCTTCTTGAGTAAAAACCTGTCGCATACACATAAACAATCTCCAAATACCCTGGCTCATAGCTCTAGCCGGCGCCATCATAGAAAACGGCTGCGGCGACGATGCTTCATCCACAGAACCAAGCTTCAACCGATCACTCTCGAATCGCGCCCTCGATTGCTCCGAAACAACCAATCGGCGATGGATATATATATCAGACGGCAAAGCCTCAAACTGCATGGGCTTCATAAAGGGAACTGCATGTCGGACATTCAACCGGATCTTAGTCTGATTACTGCTGGACTTGATAGCCGTAATGGTATTGACTAGGTTTCCTGTTCGAGCCAGAATAACTGTTCCCATAGCACTCATCATGACACAGATACCGCCAAACATGGCCTTTTGCCAGACAGGACGATCGAATTTGGAATCGCCAAGCACATCGTACCCGTTGAAGGCGGCGTATGCGAAACAGAATGCTGATAGACCGTATGCGCTTATGATGAATGCGCGATGAGAACGTGATTGGTAGAGGACGACGTCGCCTTCCTTCGCGACCTTGAGCGCTAATCTACCAATTGATCCGGCTGGGATTCTTGGTTGCGCGGCGGAGGACTTCGGAGGAGTCCGAGGAGAGGGCTTCGCTGGACCCCGGGCTGTACGCGGGGCGCTCGTAACGAAAGTGCGCCATGAGGAGGCCGGAATAGTCTGATAGGTATTTCGCGCTGAGGGTCCGGCGCAAGACTGCCAAAGTGTCCGGAAAGAATGTGTTCTGGTGGCCATTATGTAGATGTTGGTTTTGGTTCGGTTTCGGTTTCTGTTGATAGCAGGGTCAGTCCACATTTATCTCTAAGACTGTAACACCATTATGTTCGCAGAAGCTAGTAATACGAATAGAACCAGACTCCAAACCAAACATATAACCACAAAAAGCACAAGTCAAAGCAATTGAAAATAATGCACTCAAGGAAAGAACTCACCCTATTCACCAACCGTACCTAGCTAACACAGTAGCGTTGTTCTCCTCGGAAAACCACCAAAGCGAAAACAGCTATAGCGGCAGAAAAATGTTCCCGACCCGGGAGCCGGTGAAGGGTCCCAACGCCCTCAACATCGAAGCACCGTCAACTTTCAATCTCACAACCTCCAAACAAATCAATTAAACTATTTATCACCGGATCTAGCGCGGCTCGACGCGGTGGTGGGCTCTTGGTTGATCGTGTCCATCTCTGCCGACATTCCAGCTACTCCGGCCACTTGCGATATACTCCAACTACGTCTCCGCTACGTAAACTAGCGTGAATATCTCACGAGCTTCACCCGAGAATTCATACCAACAGGTTGCATAATTAAAATGGCTGCCCGAATTCCAATTACCCAGGTGCCGGCGATGTTCGCCCGTCGTCAGCCTCGCGTTATTCACCTCTGCAAGCGTGAGTTGTTCCGCCGGAAGTAAAGCGCAGCGATCAAGCTTCATGTCTTCGGAATTGAATCGCCGCGCTTCTGAAGGCTCCGCAACCAGAAATGAAAGACTGGCTAACATTGTTATTTTACAGGCATGCAATCTTCTTCCGCCCCTCAAACTCAGAACCCCGCCTACCCTCTCTACCCCTCCGTTGCCCAGCTGCTTCACACGACCAACATCTCCGAATCGGAAGTCTCCAAGATCCCTGCCTCAGGACCCAAGGGCCGTCTCCTGAAAGGCGATGTCCTAGCCTACCTAGGCAAAATCGCAACCGAGTACCCAGCAACTCAAGCCGCACAGCTCGCGAGGCTAACAACCTTGGACCTAAGCAACATCAAGATCGCCGCCCCAGCACCAGCCGCACCAGTCGAGGCACCCGCCCCCATCAATGAAGAAATCCTCGCTAAGCCAATCCCCACAACCTCAGTGGCAATTTCAATCTCCCTGGCCGCTGTTCTTTCTGCTCAGCGGAAACTGCAAAAGAACATGGGTGTTACGGTTCCCGTATCTAAGTTCTTGGCTGTGGCTACTGATCTTGCGAATGATGCTTTGCCGCGGTCGAAGAACGAGAAGGCTTCCGTTGATGAACTCTTTGACGAGATTCTCGGCGGGGAGCCGGTGACGTTCTCTCGAGGAGATTATATTCCTGAGTTGAATGCCTTTGAGGAGGCGGCTCAGGCTTCGGTTTCTTCTCGTCGTGAGGCGGTTGAGGACATTATTGATGTCCTGAGCGCGAAGCCTGGTAAGAAGGTTGCGAGTGCTGGTGTTGCTTTTGAGGATTTTGAGGAGGATGTTGGTGGTGCGTCGAATGTGTTCAGTTTGACTGTTCCTGTTGATGAGAAGGTGCGCGCGAAGGCGTTCCTGGAGCGCATTAAGACCCTTTTGCAGGTTGAGCCTGCACGCTTGGTGCTCTAAACTTTTGCGTTTTTCTATTTTGATAAATTCTCCCCTCGTGGACCCTTTTCCTATATGTTTCCCGTGTTAAAGGGTTTTGTATCTAGTGTAGCATAGATAATTTGATACCGCCTTGGTCGGCGCTTTTCATTTGCATACTGTGTTGATTCCCATACATTCCTACCTGGCTCAAGTCATACTCAATCTATATTTATGTATTTAATATTGGAAGACGATGAGAATGTTATGTTTCAGATTCAGTTCTAGATACCCTTGGTTTCATCCTAGCATGGTGCAATCGCCGCGCCGGACCGATTGTATGAGAAGATTAGATCAAACCGCAAGTAAGAAAGCGCAAATAATGAAGTAGGTGAAGAAGGGGAACAGAGAAGGGTCATATCATCATCAATGTGCACGCAAGTTGCAAAGAAAAAAAGACCATCCACGCCGACGCAAAGCCGAATATCGGCGACCCAGTTGAAACACCATGAGCGCCACGCTTGGACTCGAGGAAAGAGGAAGGTGCGCCAGATAGAAGAAGCATAAAAGTAAAAGAGGAAAAAAAGGACGAAAAAAGAAGAAGAAAAAAAACAGTCAGCTTCATACTGAGAAGGAAAATAGGGGAAAGGAATAGAAAGATGGGCAGTGCCTGGGTATCTTCCTATATCCACTGATGTAGAAACCGAAAATCTGGGTTGAAAATGAGGATGAAATGTCGTGGATGCCGATGCATAAGTTTTAAGACAACTTGAAATTCCCTGACACCATGCAATGATAATTTCGACCCCCAAGGATCAACACCTAAGACCAAGAACTCCGTGTGGTATGCAGATGAAAAATGCAGGGCAAAAGCGAGATGAAGAACAAGGACAGGTAAGAGTAGTCGACAGATTTAGCGAATGGTGCCCCATTCTGACAATTTGCTGCCTTCTCGTCGTGACTCTCTTGTAGCTCGTTTGTCGAAGATCTTCCAGAATCGGAGCGTCTCATCACCGGCACCCGTCACAACCGTTTGACCATCGGGACTCATTGCGAGGTACAATACACGGAACGTGTGGCCTGTAAGTGAGACAATCTGCTCCATACGAGGATACTTCCAGATGACAATCTGATTCTGGCTGTATCCGTGGGTACTAATAATCTCATCTGAAGTTTTGGACCATGAAAGGTTGCAGACCTGACTTCCAGTGTCCACTTCTTTGATCATCGATCCAGTTGATGTATTCCAGAACTTGATTGTACGATCTGCGGTACCCCCACCTGATGCAAGCAGATGATGTTGGTGAGGCGACCATGCAATGGCTTTCACAGCGGCACAATGATCCGAAAAGCGATACAAGGGAGTCTCATTCAGCTTGTCCCAAACCATCAACTTGTTGTCGTTGCCACCAGATGCTAACTGTCCATCCTCAGTGTTCCATTTCAAACCGCAGACCTCCTGCTTGTGGCCAGATAACTTCCGGATGTATTGATCCGGAGAACGGACATCACGATGGTAAATGAGGCGATCGCGAGATCCTGAGGTGAGAATGTGGTCATTCCATGCTAGAGCACCAACACGATTCGTATGGCCGATCATTGTGCGTAACCGGCGACAGTGTTCGGCATCCCAGATCTGTACTAATCCCTTGCCTGTTCCGATGGCAAGATGAGTACCTCTTTGTATCCAATTGACACTGGTTACTGTATCATCCTTGAGCTCACAAAGCTTGGTGACTCGTCCAGATTGAGAGTTCCACATGTAGACTGAATTGGCTAAACCCACGCCCAAAACATTACTGCTGCCCCAATCCACAAGGTTGAGGTAGAAGTCATCCTGGAGATCTGGAGCATCAAGGACCTTGTAAGGCACCTTGTTCACGTATCGGGGTTGCTTGCGTGGAGTTTCAAGGATTCGCGCACTATCGTATCGAATAGGTGACAAACTGTAAAGTTCAGAACGGACATCGAGATTCGGACCATGGGCACTTCGGGGAGTTTTCGAAGGTGTCGGATGATTAGATCCGGGCCGACTTGGGCCATAATTGAAAAGGTTCTTGTGTGGGGTTGAAGGGGTGATACTGGCGGGCGGAAGGTTGGCGGAAAGAAGGGAAGGTGGTGTATGTGATCTTGTTTTGTCGTTGATGCCACTCAATCCAATTAAAGGGTCGGATATTGTTGAAAGGAGATCGGGCTGAGGAACTGTATTCCCAAACAGCTCGCTTCGCAACACACGCGAGAATGTTCGATTTGCCTCCTCAGCTACACAGGGCAGGTCAGTAAAAATGTTCCTTATGCGATCACTTGACTGGGGTACGAACTCTTCTGGAAATGAAGCTCTGAGTGAGGGGCTCGTCTCTTTGTCTTTGATGGTGTGGACGGACATCCATCCTCATGAAGCAAACTATACGTTGCTTGAAGATCTTGTCCATCACGATTTGGAATGAAACTAGGAGACAAATCAGTTTCAGGTTCTCTGTCCATTTCAAATATAGGAAATATAGGCTTTATCACCATCACGGATCGCATTTCCGTGAGGGCCAAGTGGGCCTTTGAACTTACCGATCGCCATAGACCCGTTGTCTCTTTCGACACGGACTTGTTCCTGGTGTGATTTCCCTCTGTCGTCCAGCACCCTCGAAATCCTTTAGCGCCTTGGTCAGCGCGACCGAATCTACCGGCTCCGACCCCTCCAATTCACGAGGCTGATTGCCCGTATTATCCGGATATAAGATTGTTCTCTTGCTCGGCATACTCGGTGGTGTTTTGGATCCGGGGGGCGAAACAAAATTCGCAGCTTGTGACCGAGTGGTTGCTTTTCCTGTTGCTGATCGCCCGCTCTTCACACCTGCGTCGGTGTCCTGAGGTCGGTCCCCCATGTTGGCGGCTGATCCTCAGGGCCCAGATGCAGATTGCACTGTATATGATGAAAAATAATGGTTGGCATGCGATAAGATTGCGATAATGGTGAATCGTGGGTGAGAGGGTGTTATTTGAGGTGCGATTGTGCTTTGTTGATTTGGGGATACAGTGGTTTCAAAGACTCCGATCCAGATCTTGTCGAACAAGTCGGGAATAAGACAAAGTCAGTTTCAGTCTTTGACAACCACCCAGGTCGCCACAAATTTAGAATGAAAGGGCATTCAAGACAAAGGGAGAATTCGAATAAAGGAACTAAGAGGAAGCCAGAGATGATTCTCCCGTATCCAAGGGCGACTTGAGTTCATCCCTCTCTGGGTCACGCGTCGGGTACGCTATACCGGATTGGGACGGGGCAATCATGTTGTTTCTGAATTCAAGACATGAACAACTTCCCTACTAGCTATGCTCAATATTAATGATCCACTATGATCGTCGGCTCTTCTCTTCCGTTATAGATCTACTCTATTTAATTCCATCCCGTCATTTCCAAGATTAACAATTTCAGTTCGGTCGGGAATCCATCCTGACAGACTAGGAGGGAGGGGCGGGGATGTACCTGAACTCCCCCATGTGCTTTTTGTGATGATAGTTCCCCTCCCTCTTGTTTTGCTGCACAGTCTACGCGTGTCACAGATGGTTCATTGGAATATGTCATAGGCTGAGAGTGGGGATCTGAGGGAAACAGACGCGAACCCAAGGCTGAAACCTATGCCAGCTGCGCGCGTTCACGCGCTCTGGACGCGCACAGAGAGAGCTTGGACCATACCGTGATGGATACGCATATCTTTGTTCCTTTCTCTACCAATCAATTCAGCCTAGCTCGGAGAATTATGCGTATTTGTTGCCTCTGATCAACTCGAAACTAGCAAGTGTAACTTCCCCCTCATTAGTCCCTGTTATCCGTATCTATGCGCGAACTGTCACCGCCAACGGGAAAACCTTGCCCGCACTTGACACATCCCCACAACATCGACTCTACTATGCGCTCTTCTGTTCTCTCTATCTTGGGTCGTAGTCTTCATCCTCGTTCAATTTCAACCATGGCTCAAGCCTCTAAAGTCCCTGCCCAGGAATTCCTGGATTACGTGAACGCTTCCCCTACTCGTATGCTACATTTCTAATTCTGATGATGGAATGATCAAAGGAAACTGACAGGGTCTAGCCTTTCATGCCGTCCAATCTTCGAAGGACCTTCTTGCCAAGGCTGGATTCCAGGAAATCAAGGTACTTACGATTCCCCACAACCCCAATCGATGTATGAAAAGCTTGTTTGGAATAGACCCAAGCTCACCCCGTGTGTAGGAAAAAGAATCTTGGGCCTCCACCTGCAAGCCTGGTGGTCGCTATTATTTGACTCGCAACACCACTACCCTGATCGCTTTCGCGATTGGTCAAAAATGGAAGGTAAGCATCTATATCTGAAGAATATAACAGAACACAGACCACTAGAGATACAGTGGCTGACGGGATTCACTGCAGCCGGGTAACTCCATCGCCATGATTGGTGCCCACACCGACTCTCCGGTCTTGCGGGTGAAGCCTGTCAGCAAGAAACAGGGTGAAGGTTTTATCCAGGTCGGTGTTGAGGCTTACGGTGGTGGCATTTGGCACACCTGTATGTATACCTTTTTTACTTGGACAAGAAAATCACCAACTAACAAGTACAGGGTTCGATCGTGATCTCGGTGTCGCCGGCCGCGTGATGACTCGTGCTAGCGATGGGTCTATTGTCCAAAAGCTGGTCAAGGTTGACCGTCCCAGTACGTTTTATTATTACAACTCAAAGATTTGAAATCAACTGACCTTTCGCAGTTCTCCGTATTCCCACTCTGGCTATCCACTTGGACCGCCAGGAGAACTTCTCCTTCAACAAGGAGACTCAGCTGTTCCCCATTGCTGGTCTGATTGCCGACCAACTCAACCAGACTAACGAGGCTCCCGAGGATGAATACGCTCCTTTGAAATCCGTTACTCAGCGCCACCACTCCAACTTCGTTGAGCTTATCGCTGCCGAGGCTAAGGTCAAGCCCGAGGATATCTTGGACTTTGAACTTATCCTCTTCGACACCCAGAAGTCCTGCCTTGGTGGACTGAGCGAGGAGTTCATCTTCTCCCCTCGTCTGGACAACTTGAACAGCTCTTACTGTGCCACTGCTGCTCTCACCGAGTCAGCCCCCACAGAGCAGTCCCTTCAGAATGAGGAAGCCATCCGTCTCATCGCCTTGTTCGACCACGAAGAGATTGGTAGCCGCACAGCCCAGGGTGCCGACTCAAACATCCTCCCTTCCATCATTCGCCGCTTGTCCGTGCTTCCATCATCCGCCTCCTCATCTGAGGACGTCTCTACAGCCTACGAGCAGACCCTCTCCACCTCCTTCCTGGTCTCTGCCGATATGGCTCACTCCGTCAACCCTAACTACTCTGCCAAGTACGAGCCTGACCACAAACCATTCATGAACAAGGGATGTGTGATCAAGATTAACGCCAATGCCCGTTACGCCACCAACTCCCCCGGTATCGTCCTCCTCCAGGAGATTGCCCGCAAGAAGGGCGAGCAGGAAAGCCGCCCCGTCCCTCTGCAGCTATTCGTCGTCCGTAACGACTCAAGCTGCGGCAGCACCATTGGCCCCATGCTGTCCGCTGCTCTGGGTACCCGTACCTTGGATCTGGGTAACCCCCAGCTGAGCATGCACAGTATTCGTGAGACCGGCGGTACTTATGATGTTGACCACGCCATCCGTCTCTTTACTGGGTTCTTCGAGCACTACTCCGAACTCGCTCCCAAGATCTTTGTGGACTAAGCAGCTTATCCACGTATATGTATTCAGCATAAAGACCTATAAGAGCATCCACATAGATAATAAAGAGATGCATTTAAAATAGAGCTTATTCTCTCTGATAAATTAACCGAGTTTATGTAAACTAATCGTACTTATGTCGAAGTAACCCCGTAACCCCGTAACCCGCACGTGGTCGGCCCGAGATAGATCCGCGCCTCCTTTACAATGACGGAACTCCACACTTCTCTTATCAACGACAGCCCTGGACACCCGATTGCAGAACACCGTCCATGCCCCATGACCCTCTATGAGCGACGTCGATGCTTTCCGCGATGCAGAGCACATCGCCGATGTATCCGGTCTATCCTTCAACGACGATGAGGACAGCGATGCGTCTATCGGCGCGGGCCCGCTCAGCGCCCAGGATCGCACCCGCGTAAGGAAAGCCCAGTCTACAGCGAAGATAGCTTCCATCGACCGATTACTTCGCGATCTCGATATTCTGATATACTGTGAACTATCTGCATTATATTATATGGAGTAAGTTTCTTATTGTGGTTGCCTCGCTTCTTCTTATCCCATCCGGCGAATGCGCCGTCAGCAATCAGCAATAGCCTAGCTAGACACAACCACCACAAGCTTGCATAGCAATCGGTTAACACGTGGTAATCATCTAGCTGCTCTGTTATGCTATTCGCCCTACGCGCCATAGTAGAATTGATATTCTTCACGCCGAAAGCGCCCCCCTTCGATCCAACACGCAATCAACCCTTCGTGTCCGCCATCATTGCCAGTAACCTATTCTGCATGTTCGTCCATGCATTCATTATTCAGCCCGAGGGAACAGAAGCCACGCGCGGCTATTTACATGGTGGTTTATTTATCGATTTCATCGGACAACTACCCGTCTCTACCTTTCGACTTCTAGCATTCGACATCTTAATCTTCCTCGTCGATTTCATAATGCTAGGACTAATCATCGAGCGTGTAAAAACTGCCGCGATAATCTCTCCTCCAACCCCTCCAACTACAACTCCAAGCACAAACGCAAATACCGATTCAACGAATACAGATCCAAATCCAAATACAAATACCAATGGAGAAACGACTCAAACGGACACAAACACGAACACAAATAACGAGGGACAAGACCACGACGCAGAAGAACGAGGCATAGTCCGCGGAACAGAAGAGCCCGAGACATCAAACTCACCAACCTCCACAACACCACCCGTCATATCAATAGACGACGACGACATAAATGATGAACGAGTTTCTCTCCTCGCCGACCCCGGCGACAGCACATCCGGCAGAGACAATCACCCCCTCGACTCTTTTGCATCAGGACTTGCTGTTATCATGGACATGGGGATTTTCAGCACTATACGCGATCAATGGGCGTACTCTACTACACCGCAACGACCGACGGGGTACTCGCCCTCGCCGGAGACAGCTACGTTTCTGCGACAGCGTTTCGGGTTACAGGTTGGGGCGAATGGGCGTTTTGTACGGGTCAATCAATAGGATTGGATGTACTTTAGTTGCATGTGATGACATCGTCATGCTAGCTCGGTGCTGGTTACCGAACTGGATGAATACATTAGATACATAAGACTATACATGATCCGATCTGGTCTACAGGTACATGTAATGTGAAAGTAGTAGTATGGGTGAAATCATGATATCTGCGGATATGATCCCTAATACAAAACCGGGTATCAACCATCAACAACTGCAAACAGCTCTCTGGTAGCTCAACTCTAGATCTACATTCATAGGGACCCAAATCAAGTCAAACCGACTCAAACCTTAGAATCCGCATCCTTCGTCCTCCTCGTAAGAATCTCATCAATAATCCCCATCTCCTTCGCCTCATCAGCCCCCATAAAATAATCCCTCTCCATCAACTTCTCAATATCATCCAAACTCATCTTCTTCGGCCCATTCAAATGATCCATATAAATCTTATTAAGCTGGCTCCGGATCCGAAGAATCTCCTTCGCATGAATCGCAATATCAGTTGCTTGTCCATGATATCCACCCGAAGGCTGATGGATCATGATAGATGAGTGTGGGAGGGAGAAGCGTTTTCCAGGTGCACCGGCTGCAAGGAGGAGAGAGCCCATTGATGCTGCTTGGCCGATGCAGATTGTGCTTACGGGGGCGGAGATATAGGTCATTGTGTCGTAGATTGCTAGGCCTGTTGAATGTATAGTTAGTTGGATTGAACCTATAGCTTATAGCTTCCAAGTGTTTGCTGGGGGTTGAAGGATGGGTGTAATGTGAGCAAATAAGTACATACCAGCTGTGACGGAGCCGCCGGGGGAATTGATGTAGAGGTGGATTGGTTTTTTGGGGTTGTCGGCTTCGAGGAAGAGGAGTTGGGCGACGATTGAGGAAGACATCATTTGGTCTACTTCACCGTTTAGGCAGACGATGCGTTCTTTGAGGAGTTTGGAGAATATGTCGTCTATTTTAAACAGTTAGTAAGCGGATTGGTTTGGATTGATTTGATTTGGCTCGAGTTTAGATTGGAGTTGGAGAATGGGGGTTTCGATGCAATGGCGACGTACAAGTGTGCCAACCTCCAGCCTAAGAGTATGTTAGAACCGATTCAGATCATAATAGTTTAGAATGAAACATACCACAGTCTCGGTTATGAACGGCATTGGACTTGCTCCGCGCGGGGGAGTGAAGTGCATGTCAGGCTGGGTAGTTGAGAATACCCGGGCGCCATTATTGTACGAGACAGTCGGTAAAACAGAGCGAAATGTCAAGCGACCAAACCGCTGGGTGAGAGGTGCTCCGCGCATCATCATATTGTCGATAGTAGAAATGTGAATGCTGAAGTGAAGCAAGCTTGAAAGCTATGAGGTGATGCGGAAGAATGGAGCTGGCAGATAGAGTCAGACGCTAAGATAAGATATAAGATGGCTGGAGCTGGCTCTAACTCCGCAAATCCCGAGTTCTGATTGGTGCAGTGTCCCATTACGGGGAAACATTAATCTGAACGACAAAATCAACTTCTCCCTTTCAAACAATCAATTACCATCATGCAATGCGCCAATCACCAAATCCCATATGGGACATGGCGCCTGCGTGTATTCCAACAGGTCCTGAATCCATCCCAAGCCATACAACCGACCCGCCGCAGCTTTTCCAGCTCAACCTACAAAAACCAGAACGAAGACAAAACCACAAGCTCCCCATCACAACAACTCCCACAATCACCCTTCGTCACACATCCCCGCCGACAAACAGGCCGAAAAACCGACATAAAACTCGATCCGAAACTTGAAGGTCCAGAACCCCTTTCCAAAAACCCCTGGGCCCAAGCTCTAGCCTCGCCAATCCGATCATGCGCGCTCACAAGCGCACGAATACCACGCTCTCTAATGGGAGAATGGGGACTAGTCCGAAAACCAAATACCGAAGAACTCTTCATACTACCGGTAAATTACCTGAAAGACTTTTTGAAAAAAGCACCCTCAACGAGCGAAGCTCAGGCTCCGACTCCAAACGCAGCGCCACATCCTGTATCGGGATCAGTCATGAAAACAAAATCCAACCGCAACCTTGTATACCATATGACGAATCTTATTTCATCTCTACGAGCTTTGGTAGAACCACTGGGTACGCAGCGCGGCAGACGACCACCTGTTTTTCGACTCGTGCCTTTCCGATGGAAACATCCGCAGGGACCTGTGACGAAGCGCGAAGAAGGGCATATGAACTGGTTAGATGATATGCCGCAGTATGTGCTCCGACGTATGAGACGTGATCTGAGTACTCGGCTTGTGAGCGCTTGTCAAAAATCGAATGTGCTTGGTGCTGCTAATGGTGTTTGGAGTGTTATTGGGCTGGAAGAGTATTCACACTCTGGTCTTTTGGAGGGACTGGGGAGGCTAGCGCCAATTGATGGCATGGAATGCGGTGCTGTTATTCTTCTTGGCTTGTCACAAAATGGAATCAATCAGGGGAAGGATGCGAAGTTTCCGGACTCGGTCGACTTGCCTCAGATTGAAAGAGGTGTACCGGTATTTGATTTATCGGTGCTTTTATCGGAGTCGGAATTGGTGGAGCTAAGAGAGACGGTCCCGCACTTTCAGGAGACAGCGCTGTTTTTCAGACCTAATAATAAGGCTGTTATGGATTTGATGATGTCTTTGTGGAAATTGAAACGGTATAGCACAGAAGATAGGGAGATGGAGCGTTTGATGAAGATAAAGCGCTAAGAATCTAAGCTAAGAATCTATATTGGAACAATGCAAATAACTCTTTATCAGACATTATACCCCACGCTTTCAAAAATCAATGTGCATTATGTTAAAATCTCTCAAAATTATTGGGAAAACGCATAAATGGGGGAATGTCGCATCGAGACAACATGCAAGTAATATCATAAAAAAGAAAAGGAATTTATACCTGCTCTGCTTTGATAAATCTTTTAAAAGATGAATGGAGAAGTAAAAGAGCTCAATCTGCGCCAGACTCGACCGAGCAATAACTGCAGCGCATATTTTTACAACTGACGCATTCGCTGTACAGGATTCCATTGAATGGCCCAAACAAACATGCACAACAGTACCAAACTTGAATAAGCTGACTCTGGGAGCTTCTACTTCGACCACCATATGGCTTTTGGCGCGGAGGCTGATAAGGAACTTCCTTAAAGGGAACATTCACCGGAGGCTCCAATGAAAAGAAAATATTATGGATGGATCGCTATATATTACATGATGATTAAACTAGAACATAAACTGGTTATCAAAGATAAATCTTATAATTAGATAAAGGGAATTGAAATATCTTAGTAACTTTAGTAAAAGAAATCAAACGAGATTATTATTTCTCATTGCAGGATTGCGTATTTTGAACGCAAGCCGATATAATCTATCGATTATCGAGACGATATTGTTCGAGAGTACCTGCCCGAGAGGCTCCACTTGACATGAAGCTAGATCATCCTCTGAATCATCTTCGTCGGATGAAGTAGGGTCGTATGCCTAATTTTGAAGACCTGAAGTGTTATCTATATTTTTGTGTCCTTTTATCTCTTCTTTGAGCAAAGCTTCAACTTGATAAATTGAAATATGTTAGGTAGAGCAAAGGGAAGTTTGATTGGAGGAATACTAACATCGTTGAAGTATCTTGTTGAGATCACGGAGAAGCCCTAGAGCATAATTGAATAGCAGAGGAGAATTCCTGAAGCGATAGTCAAGGGAGCTGTGACCACGATGATACAGGCCGAGGTTCTGTCCCCAAAGCTGGAATCGTTGTTGCTCATTTTGGATCGCGGTTGTGGATGACTCTGTGGGACCTACGATGGCACTGAATGTATGGTTTATACCCCTACCTAGTTCCTCCAAAGTCATATTTATGGAGCTTTCCTGACCTTAGTACACTGAGCTGAGCTTGAAGCATGAAATTAAAGAACCACGAGGAGAGCATCTTGTCAGAAGTGGGATGCATCAGCCTAAACCGCAAAAGGGAGCTGCGGGGAGAAATCATCTGCGGGGCTGAACATTCAACCAACGCTGATATCGTTATTATTCGAGACACTCCGAAATTTGATGAGTTATCATGAGCGGCTTCGATGTTGTAGGTGTTGAACTAGGTGCAATACCTCTGATCATATCGGCTCTTAAGAAATACAAAAATACTAGCCGTCGACTGAGATACGCGAGACAAAAGGAGGAGCTCGTCAATGAGCTAACTCGCAGCCTTAACGAGCAGCATTGTTTCGTCAAAGGAGATCTGTATTTGATATTAAAAGGGGCTTTTCTCGAAGATGACAAGATTGATAGGTTTCTCAACCAGCCAGACTCTTCATTGAATGAGCTTTTCAACAACCAGGCGCTTGTACAAGAAGTCGAAGAATGCCTAGGAGACTGGTATACACCCTATATCACCGCACTGGGTCGGTGCACAACTATGCTGATGGCCATCGCGAAGAGTCTCACTGGATTATATTCGGACAGTCAGGTACGTATGACTTGAACCGTTGACTAGGGCCTACTACACATTTGGGCCTTCCTATCTTCAAAATGTTGATTATGGTATATCTTTCCAAATATAATTGAGATCAGTCAACTGACATATTCATTATTTTACCTACTTCCAATAGGCAGGGCTTTCAACACTTATCAAAGCGAATCCTCCAAAAAACGGGTTATACGAATTTGGAAGACGGATCAATTCAGTCTGGCAAAAGATGACCTGGAGTTTCAAATCAATGAACTGAATACTGAGACAATTCACTTCGGACGAATACGTCGCCATATAGACTCGCATAATGAGGTGGCCCTTCCGTCGGTATCCAGAACTGTCACAGAGATTACGAATGCTTTCGATAAAGTCTCCCAACACGCAAATCACCTGCACGCTGCAATATGTATGGGATATGCGGGGAACTGTCATGCTGAGCACGAAGGTCATATTTTTCTTCAACACAGGTCGGAGTTGACTAAAAGAAATATTTTGACCAAAAATGACGGTTTGGCCTTTACACTCGTTTTCGGCCCGGCATTGCCAGCATCATAACTCGCAACAGAGATTAAAATCATAGAAGAAAAAGCTACGTTGTGTATGAACAGGTAAGCTTATATATACAATACAACTTAGCTATTTTAGAAGGAGAATACTTACACTTCCATAAATCTAAAGCAATTATGAGAATCATTCATCTGAACTGATGTCTCGGAAAGAATCCCCACCGTGATTTCTACAGCTGCCGAGGCCAGGAAGAAGAAAGACAAAGCAGGAGTTGCCTTTCAGCTTCCGGAAAATCTCACAATGAATGAAACCGAGCCAAAAAGAGTGTCGAATCTTTGCCAGGAGGGACTACGCTCGAGCCGGCAATTATGTCTCTCTAGGGGATATCTATGCTACCCTTCCACATCAATGGTCAGCCATACGCCTGGACCTACATCAGATCTATCCAGCTTATCCTCAATTGGTAGAATTCTCAAGACGCAGAAAACGCCCTTGATGCAAAGATCGTCACTAGCCTTAACTGTAGTATCATCTGTGATGCAATTCGAGCTACCCAATGGCCGGCCCAACCATTAACGAGCGAGAAGCTTTTTGTTGCACCGGAAAGCTCAAAACTACAGATATTAAAGGCATTCTTTACTCAAAAATTTGGCACCAATATCATCGACTCTACATGTTGTCCCGTCAGGCGAACTATGTTAGAGCTTGGGATACTTTTGTTGGAACTTTGGCAAGGGCAAACTATAGAATCTTTCGCTACGGAGGCTCAGATTCCACTCTATGACAGCTTAGGGTCTCGATATGATGTGGTATCCAAATGGGCTGATCTAAGTACTGATCATCTTATGCCCGATTATTAGGACGTTGTAAAGAGATGCGTGGAATGCAACTTTGCCACGAGTCCCGGGGGCGCGGCAGGCTATGATTGGAATGATGATGTATTGCGCAAATCGATATGTGGCTATGTTCTAAAGCCGCTCATAGATGGATGTCGACTATAGAATGCGAAATCATATTTATATTTCAAAAAGGGATCTTCTTATCTGGAGTTTGAGACGCTGCTCAGACTATGTCGATTGGCATTAAAATATAAGCATCAACGAAAGAACATAAATAAATCTCTTATGAGTTTACTTTCATGACCGACTCCAGTTCTTCATCACTCCACCCAGCCTTCCGTAGTACCTTACAAAGAACCACCGTCTTCCCGGTAGTATATTGGTCGATATCTTCAAAGTCAGTATCCGCCAGCTTCGTCTTCACCAATGCGTACTCCTCGCGCAGATCATGATCCTCCAGTAGTATTCTTTTGATATCAAGATGGTTTCTCAGCGATTCACATCCTTCAATGACAACATAGGTGTTGTAGCGAAATTCGCCATCTCTTCCCGCACCATGAGCCGCATCGAACCTTCCATACCCCGGCTGACGAAATACAAAGCGTTCGGGGATACCCAACTCTCCAATGTCTCCATAACCCGCTTTTGTGAGCGCGTCTCGTGCAGTCTGCAGCGAGGAGCCGGGTATTATGATGTCGATGTCAATCACAGGTTTGGCTGGAAGTGATGGGATAGATGTACTCCCCACATGCTCTATTGAAACGATCGGTACGCCCTTGAGAATCTGCAGTAGGTGGTCTTTTCTTTCGACGAATTTCTTTGGCCACTCGGGGTCATAGGGTTGAATGGAAACCTTCATATCTGAGGAGAGCTGATTGGACCTGATTTGACCTGATTGAAGTAAGAGGAGGCGAGCTCTAGGTAAGCAAAGGGCTGTGAACTGACGGATCTTTGTATAGATACCTCAATGACGTAGTGTTAGAGCGAGTGTATCTCTTTGACGAACTATAGTTACTAACGCGTTCAAAATGGCGAACATTATCGTTTCTCCCTTTGCGATGACTCAGAATATGATCGCTGACGAACCCCGCAGATTAGGCGGCCTATTGCTTAAATGGGAAGAGGAAAGGTGCTACTTTAAAATAATACTGGAAAAATTAAAAAGGTAATTACATGTACTGGTATGGAGCTTTGTCAGGATAAATGGTAAAAATAAATATTCCAGCTAATTGCAATGAAACTGTACGCGTATCGTCAGATCCTTGAAACCTCTTCTTTCCCTGCATTGCTCAAAAGGTTATTTCCTCTTGTCGCCTTCTCACATCAATTTCAATATTGGGATGGGGCGCGATATGATGCCCAAACATAATATTCCGACCTTCTTTGGGCACCGTGATTTTGAACTCATATTTGAGTAAGATATTCACCATAATGACCTTTATTTGGCATTCCGCAAAGAAACGTCCAGGGCAGGCTTGCTTTCCATGCCCAAATCCCATATGCTTCGAGCTGGTCTGAGTATATAGATAAGATGCCTCTTTACTATTTTGTCGGAGTTTGAGAAAACGATATCCGTCAAAGTTCTCACCATCAGGCCAGACGGATGGACTTCTCATGTGCGTGGCTCCGACCATGAGATAAGTTCCTTTAGGTATAATCAACCCGTCAGGAAGCACAATCTTCTCCAAGGCTTTCCGCTGCATACTAACTGTGGAGGCTGTTAGCTAGAGTGAGACAATTAGGCTTTATATGGATTCACGTACTGTAGCTGACTGGTGTCATTCTCTGAGACTCTTTCAATACGCTGTCCATGAGTTCGAGCTTTTGTAATGATGGCTTGGTCAGCCCTTCCTTCCCGATAACTTCTATGATTTCACTTCGCAGTGCCTGGATGAGATCTGGACGAGTGGAAAGATCGCAAAGCACATTAGAAATCGCCATAGCCATGGCATCAAGGGAAGGAACTGTGATCGCGATTTGTGCCGCCCCGATACCACTTGGAGAACCGTTGAGCGCATCAAAAAACCATTCGACTGTACTAAATTCTCGTCGAGCTCCATCAGGTTTCTTCTCTTGTGATAACATGGTACCTCTAGCCTGGGCTCTATCAAGAAGTGGTTTGAGAATTTCATTGACTTTTTGAAGTTTAGCTTGAAGGCTGTGAAACGACGGTAAAAACCATGATATTTTACTCCTTAGAAAGGCCGGCCAAGGGCGGAGGTGTCGAGCAGCGAGAGGCATAGCGACTGATATTTCTTCAACAATGTTCAGCCAAGCTGGATCGCGACAAAGGTCGTCATTGAGCAAAATCCTGGACTCCACTTGGGCAACAATACGGCAGAGGCTGCTACCAAGAGGCGGTTGATGCCAGTCTGTAACACAGTAAGCATGGATCATAAGAAACTGATGTCTTTTGATAACATTGTACCTGAAGAGTTGGTCCAATTTCTTTCAAGGGCATGTTCTGCCTCTGAGACGAGCGGCTTGATGAGATTTCCTGGATTATGACGATGAGCAACGAAAATAAAGAAGCCGCAGATCCAAAGACAGGTAAACCTACCCAATGAACGTGTCATCATTTTGACAGCTTTCGGAACGATCTTATCGTCCGCAGCTGTTAAGGCCATAGGCCCAAAGCCGGGTACATCTGCCATAAAATCCTATCGTTTTGTTAATATATAGACCACTGCTAACCTTCAAATGCTCGGCTAAGCCTGGCTGTTTACCTCTCCGAGAGCTTTGCCTAGGTGAAGGCGGTCATCGTTACGTAGAACATCGCTATAGCTCGGTGATAAAACGAGCTGAAATCCAAGATCTGTAAACAGATAGAACGCTCTTTGATACTGTTCGAAATAACTAAGTATCAATGCCATGATCTAGATAATCATTACTCACCTTCTCCAGCCCAGATTGGACCAAGCCTCCCGGATCTGCTGTAAATCGCTCGAACGCCTTGCCAGTTCCAATTTCGTACCATTTTCGGCCGTTCTCATACGGAATTCGAGATGGGTTCTTGTGTCTCTTGTAAATCTCATTCACAATCAGCAGAAAGATAACAGAACCAATCAAAAGCCTGCCCCGGGGTATTTCGACATCGTACTCAAATCCGAGCGCCATTTTTACTTAATCTTAGGAAAGAATCAAGCGACAGAAAATAGTTCGTCTTACGATTTGCAGAATCTCAACAAATAATATAGTGTGACTTTGGCCCAAAGCTTGTAGTGGCGTCAGCTTGGCGCACAAGGGATAGGCCCACTTTTATGAACCTGCAAGACGCTTTCTACAGAAAGAAGCAAATCTAGTATTGGATCGATCGTCCCAGTGTAAAAAATAAGAACGAAAAAACAAAAACAAAACAGTGTTTACTGTTATACAGAGCTGTCGGTCAGATACATACACACGGTGATAGTGGTATTCCATCTTCTCGGGTATATGATGCCAGGGACAATGATACATTGCATTTCTCTATACATATTCCATCAAAGTAGATATATTGCATATGCGATGCAAAGAAAATCCACAATTCAGACAGCCATTGTCTCAGGGTCTTGTACAAGTGTGCAAGGGTAATAATGCAAGGATAATGCGTACTGACTGCAGAGCATACAAGTAAAATACGTGTATAGTAAGGGTCTATATCCAAAACACAAGACCTTAAAATCCAAGAAATATCTCACAAATTCCAAATAATCGGCTTTGGTAAATAATCACTAGCGTCGGTGTTTATGTTCAGAGTTCCACTACATGAGCGTAACTTCTCAGCTCTGCGGTACGAAGACCCACATGTAAAGTGTCTTGTGAATGTGTATCTGAGTTGGAAAATGTGTTTATACTAGGGCTAAAAATAAGCTAGGAATTTGAAGTGAGAGAAACTGGGAGGGTATTCGAGCTCTTGTCGTAAGTGTACTTTTTTCCTGGGTTTAGAAATGCTCCGTGACCAAGGTATCTACTTCGTGGTTAGTTATGATTACTAGTGATATTTGCCTATTTAAACCCCAGGGGCAGGCGTTATGAGTATCAATAGTTCATTATTATACTATTGCGTTGATGAAATATCTGTAAGATTCCACTGTTAACATTTGTCACGTCTTCTCTTGGAAGCATCTCATGATGATTCTCATAATCGACTATTGCGAGGGAGACCTTGTAGCCAGGCAATCAAAGGATCTTTCATAAAAATATTCATATCCACAGTATTCAACGTGATCAAAAGCTGCACTTGTCCTTCCCCGACCTTTTGACTGAAATCCGGTCGCTTTGCTTGAACGTAAACACTGCCATCACTGTCCGATTTGTAGTCCTTGAAATCCCTGACTCTACCAAGCTTCCCCCCAAAGTCAAGGGAATGGAGAGGTAAATGCCGAACGGAGCTAAAGGTCATACCCCAAGTCTCGAAAAAGACCTGGCGATTAGCTATGGTCTCTCTTAAGTATGAAACCAGGGAGCTAACATGTGCTCTATTAATCGCGGAGAGCTTGTGCCGTACTTGCGATGCTAAGTACGTTATCAGAGAGAAGTCCGTCATTTCAATGCCATTCCCAAGTTGATGTCGATTTCGTCCCGAGTCTTTTTGTGTCGGTGGTAGATCTGCATGAACTGCAATGGTGACAAAAGTATTTCCTAGGTATTGTTGCCCATCACCAGTTGATATGCCCAGATGCTTACGGACATCAACAGACATCCCAAAATCAACAGTTGTTAATACTTGAGGTGCCTGGGTTCCTTTGTTCCGGGATCTTGTAACGCAAAGTGCTACTGCGGATGTCAAGATGTCATTCGTGGTGAGGGATGGAGGACTTTTTTCCTGATTTAAAGAACTCCATTGGCGAAGAAATGTGTCGCAGGACTCCCTGAGAAGGTAAAGGCGTGCCGATGACAAAGGGAATGAATGATTGACGAGACTTCTCTCCGGATCTAAGTTCTCCTCTTCTTCTTCGCCACTCGTCAACAGGTCAGAAAAATCTCTTAGGCAATCTTGTGATGGGCGATGTAGATTAGAGATCATCTTGCGTAGTTTAACTTCAATGGTGTGGCTCGTTTTTGAGTGAGAAACATTTCCCTGGCAAATATCTGCAAGCATCTCCACAAGCAGCGACGCACCATTGCCGTCAAAAACTCCGTGACTCCAGGTCAAACAAAAAACAATCCCATTTTTCATGACATTCAAAACGACCCGGGAAACAGCTTGCGCTTCTGAGGACCTGAGAGACGCGACCAGTCGTCCCTCCGCCTCACGACTGTCTATGTCTGCTAGCTTGAGCGGTTGATATCGTATCTCGACCAACTCATCGACTGTTGGAGGACAATTCGCGGGAACAATAAATCTCCTTTCCTTTTTTTGCCCCTCCACTGATTGATTCGCAACATTTCCTGCCAGTAGAGGAAGACGATGAACCAACTGTTCCCATCCAGATCGGGCAACTTGTAATGCACTGTTGATGTCTTCAGGCTGGAAAAAAAGTAGAAAGCTGACGGTGGTAGTAGAAGGCAGTGTTTGATCAAGGGGTGTAAGAGGGACTGGGTCGAATGAACACATTATTATCTTCCCAATATTATGATCGATGAAAATTGTTGGGTGGCGTTTCTAATTTGTTTGGCCTGCACGTTGATGCAGCGCTGGGCGGATTCCTTAATTTATCACTTTTAAAAGACACGAGAGCATGATCCCTGGAGTACAAGTCCAAAATGAGTGGTAAAAAGATTGCAGCCTTGCTTTTGTTTTCATTCCATTGATTTAGGCTATTTGACATTAATCAATTCCTTGTACACAAGATAGGATACTATCTCGATCTATGGAATTAAAATACGATCTTACATGCAGCCGAAAATAATGAAAGACACCAGAACTAATAGTGTGGGAGGGGATGAAAACCGGAGAAGTCAGTCGAACGAAAATAAGTAAGGGTTAATCGGACCTAATTAGCTGAAACAAATGGAATGAATCTACTGTATGGGCGTCAAGTGGATCTCATCGGGTGTACAGATCTTCTACCTTGCATGATCAGCGAATAGATCGCCAAAAGCCGAACAATACATCGAGCGAGGACCCACTAGACATTTATTTTTGTGAAACCTCAGCCGCACGAAGCCCAACATGAACTCAGAAACTCATTCACATATTGACGCACGCGTCATTCTTTCTTTTTCCGTCCTCTATAATCCCACGAAGGCGGTAAGAACCCATTTATCCCATACACTGGCCACCACCTGTGAATCCTTCCAGCAGCCGGGATCCTTTTTCAACTCAATCTAACACATTTCATCGGGGTTCCATACAGCTTGTAGCAACGCTTTTATATTTTTTTTTATCACAATCTCAAAATCCTTGCTATGGATGAGGAGCGACCCCTGCTAAGGCAGGAAACAAACGACGAGCAAAATGCTCTTACGGATTGCCAAACAAAAACCTCAAACACAGAGGGGAGAATGGACACGATCACATTTCTAGCACTTGTGATTGGTGTTTTCATATCGATGACCTGCGAGTCATTCGTTACATCAACCCATGAGCATATCGCCTCTACATTCAATGCATTGCCGCTTGGGTCTTGGCTTCTCACATCATATGCTATGGGATATAGCATGATTTTACCGCTGGTATGTGCTCGATGACGTTTTTAACACTTTGAAGACTTGTGGACTAATGTTTCGCTTACTGGCCAAAGTATGGAAATCTTATTGACATGTATGGATGCAAAAACATGCTCATATTTGCATATTGCACCTTTGCTGTCGGTTGCATCATTACGTGCGTACCCGAGGCCCGAATATTACTGGACACTATTCAACTAATTAAACTAGGGGGTGCGGACCTACAATCCAAGTAGTCCTTGTAGGGAGGTTCATTACAAGCTTGGGCGGGGCTGGAATGGTCGATACTGTTTCAATTCTCCTGAACAGTACGTTTATTATACTATCCGACTTGAAATATACACTCTGGAACTGCAGTAGCTCACGCAATCACAACACCACAGATACTACCACCATCTCGCAAGTTGTAATTTTTCGGAACTATCTAAATATTGGAATGACGCTTGGTGTGAGCTGTGGTGCTCCACTAGGCGGCTTTTTAACAGACATCATTGGGTGGCGTTGGTATTTGCCCTTCTACCTTCCAACCTCGCAAGCCGAAGGTCTTATATTAACCCCGTGCTCATAAAATGATATAGGTCATTCTTCATCCAATCTCCACTCGCGCTCTTATGCATGTTGACCGCAGCAATCAGACTTCAATCCGACTCTCCAAGGGATATGTCCAATCCAGACCAGACTTGGTTCGCGGCACTGTCAAATATCGACTATCTGGGATATATACTTCAATTAAGCAGCATATGCTGCGGGGTCTATGGCTTATATCTGCTTCAGAGCCCTAGTAATGAGCAGCTACCTCTAAAGATTGCAACTGGGGTGGGATTCATCGCCCTACTAGTTTTGCTAGTAGTTGCTGAGCTTTTCACAAACAAGCCGCCAGTCTTTCCCGTTAGGAATATGGTCAAAGATGGGGTTGGTCTGATTTGTCTCGGGCAGATTCTGACGAACATTTGCCAGTTTACTGTATGCTCCATCCTATCTATCGTTTGACGTCCACTGAAAGTTAATCGTTCTCTTTGCTACATACCAGATTGCCTCCAATATCAGTGGCTTTTTCATCTATACCGAGAATGCCACAAACGCTGCAGCGAGTCTTCCTCTCGTTATTTGCGCTATAGGAGGATTGTCGGGGTCTTTCGGAGCTGCATTCTTCGTCCAACGGTATGCCATGCTGAGCTGATTTGTCAAGCTTTCGCCAGATGAAATGCTCGAGCGATATTCTCTAACGACTTGTGTTATTACAGGTTCAAGAAATGCAAAATCCCCTCTCTGGTTTCCGCCTTCGTCGCCCTCACTGGCTCCGTCCTTATCTTCTTCCGTTGGCGTTACGTCTACTTGCGTTGGGAGGTTATTTATACCTTACTGCTTTGTATCGGACTTGGTGGTACTTCCTCATCTCAATATATTGCTCTAGCAAGCCGAAGCGCAGGAAAATCGGCCAGTATCATCACCTCATACCATGTATGTCAGCAAATCGGTACCATCATTGGTAATGCATATCCGGCAGGCCTACTCCTCAAGCTATTCCGCGGTCATCTCTTGGAATCATTCGGAGACGGCCCTCAAGCACAAAAAGTGAGTCATTTTGCCCCCGAAGGCTTGTAATCTTCTCTAAACTGTTTGCTGCAGGCAATTCAAAGGTTGCTTGAGAACAGTAGGTTTGCAGCTACACTTCCAGCCGCAATGCAAGGCATCGTTCGATCCGCATTCCTGAAGAGTTTTCCAGTCGTCCCTGGTAAGCACATCATCATCAAACTTTCTTTCCTGGAGTACAGCGCACTGACTATCTAATCAGCATTATGTTCAATGAGTCTGGGTCTTTTCATCCTTTTTGAAGGGCGACGAGAAGATATGTCTATTGAGTAAGATGGAAATGAGATACAGCTGTTTTGGTGGTTTTTTGTTGCTAGATTCAGTTCGCCTCTCTCATTTATAACATTCTTGTCATAACTGGGCCTCATTTCTATGTTTCATATTTGCGATTGTCAGCGGACGAGGCACTTACTTCTGTTCCAATATTAATCTGGTATCAGAACCGACTAACGTTCGAAAGAAACGGTTGGAAAATACTACCCTTAAGATCTTTCTTTGTGTAATGGGCCATGCGTCTTCGCCTGATCTCTAATGTTCAAATCTGCTTTTCTTACACGAGCTGCACTATGTATCTTTTTCCACGGTCAAACTTTGAAGTTATCCTTAGCACTTCCGCATCTTTGGTAGTACATACTAGCATACTGATTGGACTGTAGCTATAAATCCAGTAACTATCTAGAACCGCCAACTAGGTAGGCTTTTGATGCCATAGGAGGCTGATGCAGTCATGCGCGGCGGTGCTGCCGGCGGTGCATTCTGCCCGCCATCCGCCTAGTTTAGATAGCCGTAGGGTCCACCACCACACGCAGTGAGAATACAGTGTCTTCTTCCCTCGTTTCTGTTCCCTGCGCACTAGGTAGTGCTTGTGTGGCAGTGCCATAAGCTTTTTAGTCGAATGTTATATCCAACATGGACTATGCCATTTTAACCCACCATATGTAATCCGGATTAGGCCATTGCTATCTATCAGGGGCTTTGAAGTAAGGTGATTTTGCCTTGCAGCGAAGAAGAATTATGCAAGAGTAGGTCAATCTTCAGTTGCCAATGGCACTTTACGTAGTGGATCATGGTCTCGTTCATGGCTAGTCCTTCAGAACTCTATAGAGAATGCATATATGAGATCATTCGGCCTGAATGCGCTGATCCCGCGGCCTATTCTTCCGGACGCTTAAAAGGTCCGGTTTGTGGCGGTCTACACAGAAATGGCAAATGTGATCTATCAATACTACAATGTATCTCGAAGGAGAATTGCCACAGAGCTAGTGGTGATAAAATTTCCAATATTGCATATTTTCCCATAAGAGAACTTCGTACCATTCCTTATTTACCTGGCCATGTCTAGATAGCTTGCAGCTCTGCGTATGTCTCATCACATATTGATCGATAACCTAAATCAACATAGGACTTATCTCAGCATGATTATCGGTCAATATGGCAAATTATGGTAGAGAGAGAAATTCATCGTAGGAAATTTTCTTTCCATGAAGAATTGAGCTTACATGCTCCCCTGAACGTCTGATCATGAACCAACGGGTGCTCTCTTAATGAATAGTAATTTTCTGCTACCACATTTGTCATCGTTCTCTTCGACCTGAAGTCTACAAGTTGTAGTAGACTTGAAGGACTCCAGTTAGCGATGTTCCATGGTCGTTTATCTAGTGCCCAGTGAGAACCTTGAGAAGGTACATGGTCTTCATACATAACGTGACATATTTCATATGTAGTCGTCATCTAATAATGTCACATGAACTGCGTCTCCTAGTTTCTGACGCTTATCTAAAATGCACTGCGTTGGGTAGCTATGCTCAATAATTCTCCAAGAGCCACTTCCGACGACATTTAAGCTCCATTCCTAACACATGGTTATTCCATTCCTCAGCCACCGAGGCATAGGTGTTAACATATTCACACCCTAAGACTTCAGAGAGCGCTTTGTCATTTTTGAGAAATTCGAGACTTTCATTCAAGCTTCGTGGGATCATAGCGACAATACCCAACTTTTCACGCTCTTCCAATGTCATCTCAGATGGAACTTCTTGGCAGTCTCCTGCAGTCAAAGTCATTCCCCTTTGAAGGCCATCAAGTCCAGCTGCCAAAAGCCCTGCCATGGATACATACGGGTTCGCCATCCCACAATGCAATTTCAGCTCGAACCGGTTTTGCGCGATGCGCCGTAATGGGGTTTCTCTGTTCTGCCACCCCCACGAAACAAATTCCCCACCACTCCAAATTCCCGAGGCAACGCGAGCATAGCTTTCATCGAGTGGCAGACAAAATGCCATTAAAGAACAGAAGTGATTGATGATGCCGGCAAAGAATGGGTCGATTTTGCAGGTTTGCATAGATTGATCTTTTTCATCCAAGTCCCTGGATTGAACTGAGTTGACTGACAGATGAACATGAGCCCCTGTCCCCGCCTGGTCGGTATATGGTCGAGGATGTAGAGTTGCACGGAAGCCGTGTTGCTCAGCAATCAATCCGATGGCCTCTCGTGCTCGAATCAATGTATCTACTGCCTCAAGTGGCGGTCGAGGGGGAAGAACAAACTCCCATTGACCCGGTGTGGCTTCAGCGTGGTATTGTTGAACTGAAATTTCGCATCGATGTAGTGCTCTTACAACATCCTCCACCAAGGGCAGCACTGATCGGACGTCTGAACTGACTGCCGACCAACAATGGTTGGAGATTGGGGCTTTTGCATCAGAGCTGCTGGTGATCGCTTCGGGTTTCAAAAAAATCACCTCAATTTCGTATCCCACAAGAATGTACACGCCATATTGATCGTGAAGGGTGCGAGTAAGGGTCGTGATCTTGTCGCGGGGACACTCGGGAATTGGACTCCCGTCCTCTCTAGCAAACCGGGCAAAGATCTCGAGCCGATGGGAGTCTGCACGCCGCGGGGAACGAGATGCGGTCGCGATATCAGGAACAAGGTGAATTGCGCTTGTTGCTCTTGCGCCCTTTGCGATATGATCGTTTCGTAGAGCGTGTGTTGTAACTCCTGCGATGCTGATTGTCTGCCCATTCTCAACCATTCTGGCAAATTCCGAGATCGGAATCATTCTCACTCGCATTGCGCCATGAAATGGGATGAACTGCATCCACACAAACTCCACATCCTTACTGAGAGCCTTAATTTCTTTCCAGGTTTCATTCATCTTGAATATTGCGCTGCACGTATGGGCTACATGAGGCTCAGCTTGAGAAGTACCAATGGAGCCCATGATGAATCACTCAAGAGGCAGAGTTCAAAAATGGCGAGGTTGGCACCTAGGAGTAAATTGACTGACAATTTGCGGGCTGATTCTCCTTTACTTACACATAATTCATTTGTACATATTATTGTATTGAGAGTTTTGACGATACAATTTGAAATCGTCATTGACATGTATAATCAATCACAAAATACTGATATGCATGCACCTATTCGTGAAGATACCGAATATACGGTAGCTGGTCAGTTTAATTTTGCCCATTTTTTTTTCCTTTTCATTCTTTCATTTTTTCTTTGCGATGTATCAGATCCAAACTATCGATTGAACAAATAGTCGATCTGTCGGGAAGCCAGATCTTGCAAAACAGAGCTCAGCCGCACAAACAAACTTCATTCAACATTTGCTCGAGGCAAGATGCTATGTACTACGTGATCGTACAGCTTGTATGCATATGCTGTGCAATGTTACACTGCATATGAAATATAGGTACTGTATTACCTGCGTCCACCGAGCGAATCAATTTGGAGAGAAACTTCAAAATTAATTACCTAACGGAAGGCCCAAGTCCCTTGCTCAATCATGCAACAAAAATACTAGTAATTTTAATTCCCCGTGGGTCATGAAACACTGTTTTAATGTGTATCAAAATACAAAGATCGTAATCTTCAGCTAGGAAGCAAATGTGGCTAGCGGAAAGTTTATGTTGTACTTGGATCTACAGAGCCAACGCTGGGAATCTTCTGAACAACGCAAGTACTTTCGCCGCTTTTTCAAACATTCAAATTTTCATTAGTCTTCACAAGAATTGAGAATTGAGAATTGCGAATTGAGAAGTATGGATCGTGAAAGCATCATTCCAAGTTCGAAAGAGACTCTATCCTTCTTTCGTGGCCCCTCGGAGCCAGCGCTCCAGTCATCAACTATCGGATATATACTCCAGCGCCAGGCCATCCAATTTCCAAACGACAATGCACTTATAGTGCCTAATTCAGCATATCGGGCTACTTATCAGGAGTTGAATGAGCGCACTCAACTATTAAGTAGAGCTCTTATTGCTTCGGGAATTCATGTTGGTGACAGAATTGGCCTCTTTGCGGGCAATGTCGCAGAGTATGTTGAAGTATTCTTGGCGGCAACGCGCATCGGAGCCATCGCAGTCCTCTTGAATACTTCCTATACTGTAGATGAGATCAAGAGTGCTTTGTCCTCTACGGGTACGCTGTAGCTTGCCTTTCAAAAATTAGTATGGCCCCGAAGCTGACCAGAGTTTTTTAGGTTCTTCTATGTTGTTCATAAGCGAATCCCTCGGCAAGCACAGCCAGTCCTCCAATATTGCACACTTGCAGAGCATCATTGGATGTGACGGAGCTGGCGAGCTGCCCGAGTTACGACAATTAGTCGTTATTCTGAGCTCCACTTCTGCTAAATCCCCCTATAAGACGTACGAGACTTTCCTCCATGAAGGGCTTGAAGTTCCGATGGAAAAAGTCAATTCTATAGAGGTCGAGGTTACTGCAGACAAAACATGCAACTTTCAGTTTACCAGTGGAACCACCGGTACCCCAAAAATAGCAATGCTCTCCCATTCGTGCGTTCCCATCAAACATACCTTGAATTCAGGAGAACTGAGCTAATTTACACATGTAGTAACGTGATCAACAATGGATTTTTGATTGGAGATCGGATTGGGCTTGTCCAGAAAGATATCATCTGCTGTCCAGTTCCACTTTTTCATGCAGCTGGGTTAGTCCTGGGTCTGATAGGATGCTTGACTCATGGATCCACGCTTGTATTGCCCTGCCCTATGTTCGAGGCCAAGGCAACGGCCGATATCCTTCTATCCGAAAATTGTACTGGAGTTCACACTGTCCCGACAATATTTGCGGCGATACTAGAGTCATATGAGCAGCGTGATATCAAGCCACCACCCTTGAGAACCGGGACCCTTGGAGGGGCACCAGTATCTCCAACACTTCTGAGAAAGCTTCAGCAGGAATTTGGGATCAAAGACTTGGGAATTGGTTATGGTAAACAGAAGCCTTGACTTCAACTCACTTCCAATTTTGCTAATAGCGTTACAACAGGTATGACCGAAACCTCACCTCTCAGCTATGTAGGCACGGGCCCTCAGGTAGATCCCACCGGAACGTGGCTGCAAATACTACCCCATACCATCGCCAAAATTCAAGGGCATGATAGGCAGACTGTCCCAATTGGCACGCCGGGTGAATTATGCATTGGCGGTTATCTTCTCCAACAGGGTTATTACCGAAATCCCGAAAAGACGAACGAGGCTATGCAATTCGACCCCCGTGATAATATTGTTTGGATGCACACTGGTGATGAAGCCATAATGGACGAGAATGGGCAATGCCGCATCACTGGTCGTATAAAGGATATCATCATTCGAGGAGGGGAAAACATATATCCTGCTGAAATCGAAGAGCGACTCAACTCACACCCAGCAATCTCAATGGCTGCCGTTGTGGGAGTCAAGGACGCAAAATATGGGCAGGCAGTGGCTGCATTCCTGCAGCCATCTAATGGTGAACAGCATTTGTCGACGAAGGAAGTCCAAGAATGGGTGAGGCAGACACTTGGACGACATAAGGTGCCCACATGGATCTTCTACATGGGATTTGGGGGTGTACCAGATGACTTCCCGAAGACTGGAAGTGGGAAGATAAGAAAGGTTGATCTAATGGCTATCGGCACTCGAATGTTGCGGAATTCAAAATTGTGAAGCAAACTTTCGTTTTTTAATCTGCTAGAGCAAAATTCTTTTAGTGAAAACCCCAATGTATTTTTCGGTAATTCAACTTTCAAGGTTTTGACAGTCTGGTCTATTTATCTGCCTAGTAGTAACAGCGGCACTAGAACAAGTCTTAAATTAGATGAATATACCTGTGTCGTGATTACAGTATTGATAATAAGAGGATGAGGGTCATAACTATTAATTTGAGATTATATTCTGATGAGAAGGCACCAGTTAATCTACACGTGAAATTTCCTGAGAAGATGTGAGAGAAAACAGAGGAAATGCAAAAGTTCCACAGGTTAAAAGTAAAGTAAAAAATTGAACATCATAGGATCGAGCAGTTTAAATCCGAGAATAGCTACTACACCTCCCCTCACCAAATGGTAAATATGAACATAAACGGTCTAAGCTTCTTTTGACGGTGGGATACCTTTGACGATATTCAAGAAAGTGGATAAAACTTTTGGAGCATCCTGTGCGTCCATCATCACTTCAACTAGAGCGAACCCTCTCCCAGCGACAAGTTGTGGTGCTGTCAAAGTTTCACTGAGCTCTCCCCAGTTGAATACCTGCTTTGAGAAAACAGGATAGTCAGGGTCGTTCTCTGGAGCTCCGAAAAACTTGGCAGCTTGGGTGTAATTCCATGACTGAACATCATTATATTCCGCGTGTTTCCCATGAATAAGTCGTTCAATGGTATACCCCGCGTTGTTGATGACAAAGATTGTAACATCCAATTTGTTTTTGATAATATCGCTGATTGCTTGAGCGGTGACTTGGAGACTACCATCACCTTCAAACAGAATGACACGACCTTGGTCTTGCTTGCCTTCCTGTATCAACTCCTTTTGTGCATGCGCAGCGCCAACGCAAGCGCCCAGTGCATAGCCGATAGAAAACCATATTCCTGATTTGATAACAGTAATATCAGATGGAAGAGTCATTGACCCTGTACCACTCCATGATGTGCCAATGTCGGCGATCAAGATATCGCTCGGTCGGAGAAAATCCGACATAAAAGGCCAAAAACGAGCTTGATCAATCGATTCACAGTCAGAAACTGACAATCGTGAGGGCCTTTTTACCAGATGCTGTAGGCACCCAAGGCATCCTTTGGGCGGTAGACGAGATGGTACCACTGAGCGGAGAAGTGATTCAAGAACAGACTTCAAATTGAGGTCAAAATACTTCGCCCCAAACACCGATATAGCTTTTTCGTCCAACTCAATGGTTATTTCTGTTGGCGTCAAAGATTTGTAGGAACATGTGTTCGAGTCGGACTTCAAAGGAGCAACGTGTATGACGAGATCACACTTTTCGAACCAATCCATGAGTTCCTTGGAGCCTGCGGGGCCAGTAAAAACACCACAATAGTGAGCATAACTCTCTTTGATGATTCCCTGTCCAAAAGGCGGAGATACAGCAAAGATACCGGTGGCTTCTAGAAATTGATTGACCACTTCTACGATGCCATATCTCCCCGCAAAGCCATCCACGATAATAACGGGCTGTCGAGATTCATAGATTCTTCGCAAAATGTCATTTACAAGAAGATTTTCCAGCTTAGGATCATTCATAGGCTTGGTGTTTCTCATCAAAGGCTGACTCAACTCCGATGCGGATACAGGCTCGTCGACCTTATCGAATGGAAGCTCAATGTAAACCGGGCGACTCTCCTCAACGCATCTCCGCAATGCCATGTCAATGAGCATTGGGCTCGTTTTTGCGTCCCGGAGATTGACTTGGGCGCAAGTGAAGTTTTTGTAGATCTCTGCATAGACACGATGATTTCCATCTCCTAGAGAATGATGCATGATGAGGTGGTTGTCCTGCGCTTTTGTGGGGGTTGTTCCAACAATGTGAACAACGGGGACCTTTTCGGCGTAAGATCCAGCAACAGCATTGATGGCCGATAATTCTCCCACGCCAAACACTGTCATGAGAGCACCTATTCCCTTGATCCGTGCATACCCATCTGCGGCGTAGCCCGCGTGTAGCTCGGCTGAGTTGCCTGCCCATTGTAGTCCCGCGGTCCGGATATAGTCCAAAGATGTAAGACTGAAGTCGCCAGGTACTCCATGGACAGCGCGAATTCCCATTTGACGAAGCCTCGTAAATAGATAGGTGGTCAAGGGTACCGTGTTTGCTGAGCATGGACTGCCCCAGCCGTCATCACTTGATAACTGTGTGTCGGTGTCCCCATGGCGACTAGACGTAGATGCAGTTGATGGAGACACATCACCAACGGATATATTAAGGCTTTGGGGCTTTGAAAATATGGAATCCATCCTAAATAATGAGTTGAGATGGCTTTCACCGTGTCAAGTGTACAGACAAGATACTCGGTCTTCACGGATCGTACTTAAGATAGGACTAGTCTTCTCTCCGAATCTTAATTTATACAGGATCATTTCCGCGCCACATAATGACATCGTTTCCAATGTATATTGCGTGTATCAGTACCATACTCTTACTAGGTTGATCGTTGCACAGCAAAGTTTGGAAAAATCCGTAGTCCTTGATACATGCATGAATGCATCGGTTTACCAAATACCGATCGATTTTATTTTCTATGGTGTTATTATTCATCCTTTTACTTATGCAATAATATGCAGGTCAACTTGAATCGTGTCACGTATGCATGCACGATGCAGCTCCGCCGGTTCCACTTTCCAGCCGAGCTCCTTGGTTAGGGCGATGCCTGCTCCGTCTGGGATAACTGGCGGTGAGTTAACTGCAAAAGCCCATGCAGATTCCCAAACTCAAAGGGTTCGAATACCTGTTCGCTTTCTCCAGCCCACTAAATTTCTCAGACAGTCGTTGATTATTTCCCAGATTCTTCTTGAAGTGGTGGCTGAGCTGAACATGTGTCTAGAGAAATTATTGATTCCCGTTCTGCATTTCTGCAAGGTGCGCGACCTTGCGATTCACCGCCGAAACAGCAATCTATTTCATTCTGCACATGCTTTTTTGTCAGGTTGCTATTTTCACTCCAGCCCCCTAAATCTCGCAGTTCACTCTGAATATGCTAGGCTTGGGGTGATGTATCACAACGGAGGACAAGGGTCCACATGCTATGCCACCATCGAAGAGGGACACATTCCTATAAAATGACCGTAATCTATATGATCAAGTGGTAGTTGAGCACAACTTAGCTGCCCATAACTATATTCAACGACGATGGGTCTCCCTCGCGCATTCGAAGAAGGCCTTCACAATGCTTTGATCAGGCGTCAGCAAACGGGTCAAACATTCTCATTGGCGCCCGCAGTTGACAAAAAAGAGGTGATTGACTTCGCCAGCAATGACACTCTCTCAATGGTCTCTTCTGGGGCTTTACGCGAAGAGCTCTTCCGCGAACTCGCAAGAAATCCAGACTTTGAGATAGGAGCCTGTGGTAGTCGTGTTAATGAGGGGACTCCATATCTTGCTGAAGTTGAAAAACATCTTTGTCAAGTCCATAAAGCTCCAGATGGTCTCTTCTTTACCACCGGATACACTGCAAACTGTGCTATCTTTGGAACACTTCCACGCGATGGTGATGCCATCATTTATGACGCGTTGGTTCATGCCAGTATCCATGATGGTATCAAGGCAACGCGGGCCTCGATTCTTAAACCGTTTGTCCACAATAGTGTCTTGTCTCTCCAACAAGTCGTTGAGAAGGTGAAAAAGGACTCACCTGATATCAACTCGGGTAACCGAACGGTGTTCGTCGCCATTGAGTCGATTTATGGCATGGATGGCGATATTGCTCCCGCACAGGAGATCGTCGATGTGGTTAAGAAGTGTCTGCCACTTGGAAACTATGTCTTGATCGTTGATGAGGCTCATTCGAATGGACTTTTGGGCCCGAATGGCGCCGGCCTTATCAACGAGTTGGGACTAGAAAATGAATATGCTGTTCGACTTCAGGTGGTCGGGAAGGCACATGGCGCCTCTGGAGGTCAGGCAATTCTTGCGGCTATCTCAAAGCAAATTCAAGTTGCTAATAACTATGACCAATTTTAGCCATTGTTTTATGTGATCCACTGATCAAAAGGATGCTGGTGAATTTTGCACGCATGTTTATCTTTACAGCGGCTCCTGGGTTTCTCCTAGCGGCCACAGTTAAATCGGCGTACAATGTTGTCACTGGCACTGATGGAGATTTTGTGAGTTAGGAATAATCTAAGTTTGATGTTCTCTGTGCTAATGATTGTTATTTGCTGCAAAGCGACGACGAAGCCTCCAGGAAAATGTCCGATACTTTTATGGCCTCTTAGAGGAATCCCCGGAATGGCCCCAAATAAAAGACAAAGGTTGTCTCAAACTTACTTCAAGCAAAGATTGGAAGAGTTCTTCATTTCTCGCGCCCATTGTTCCTTTGGTCACACGAGAGAGAAGGTGCGTTGACCTTCGTAACAAACTATTCCAAAATGGCTTCCTGGTGCATTCGGCAAGGTTTCCTGCAGTTCCCAGGGATGCTGAAAGAGTCCGAGTCGTGATTCATGTCGATAATACCAAGGCCCAAATAACGAGTCTAGTGAAGACTATCATTGAATGGGCATCCAATGAGTTGGAAGAAAATTCGTCATCATACGAGACCCGGGCGCGTCTATGATTTGTTCACCATCATGCACTTGAAAAACCTTAGTGATGTTCTTCCACACGAGGCATCTAGTTTTTGTATATTTCAATTACTTCTACATTCAAATATTTCTCAAGAGTGCTAGTTTAATCGCATAGTCCCAAGGTCTATCTCAGTATTCATTCTCTCCTTCTCGTTCATAACCAAGAAATTAACATGAATACAGAATAATTTTACAAAAAGGATGGAGAGCTTAAGCTAGCTATCAATTATATTTTCTTGGTATATTTCCTGGTAGTCAATTGGGCGCTATTGTCTCAACGTACCCCACACGGGAATCCTTGCGGCTCGTAGATATCCGGGTCCACTTTTTTGACTTGTTCGGGATTCCCGTCTTGCCGCCCTACTCTTCAATTCATTTCCCTTCATCTGATCGTCCTAACACGGCTATTTTGCACCCGTGGATATGGACATCCGGTAACTCCTGGTTTGCTGAGTTTGCCTGTTCTCCCTTGGTGGATTCTTCACGAGAGGCATTGTTGCGATCACTATGGTCTGCTCTGGGCTACAGTACTTTTTTGCCTCCGGCACAATAAAGTTTCCAGAGATTGCCGGTTTGCGAATGCCCGCTGTTTGGCAAGCTTTTTTAGGTAAACATGCGTATTCAATCTGATTTGAAACAATCGACCGACTATGTAGTAATCATTGAAAAGATGGATCGATAGGCTCAAGTTGTTCCATCGCTACCTACACACCCTCGATGTGTGCGGCCTCTGCTTTATCAACTTGATTCCCAGTATAAGCATCATCTAGCTCTTTACCAAGAGCACTTCTTTGACCAATTTCCTTCAAACTAAGACCTTCCGCTCGCAAACGCTCTAAGAGCAAAGCCGCGTCAGCCTCTTCGTCCCGCTCCTCTTGAGACATTTGCGGCCCCAAGAGAAGGAAGATAAAGATAAAAGCCCACACTGCACCCATAAATATCGCAATGACCTTCCCATAATCAAACCGCTTCTCGCCATCTGCACTTGCAGGTAGTGGATACCGCTCGCCGATGATCGATTGAATAGTTGCCGAAGCAGACGATCCAAGATTACCGAGCTGGTAGGTCAGTCCAACCACGAAAGAGCGTAATGTGACAGGCGAAAGCTCGAGTAGATGGATGGGTATTGGTCCCCAGACCCCTCCTACGAAGAACTGTTGGAAGAAAGCACTGGCGGCTAAGGACATGGAGCGCGGCAGGATATAAGCGGGGATGATAGCGCCGCCAAATAGACAGCATACCAGCATGGTTAGTCGGCGCCCAAAGAATGTACTAATATACCCGAGAATGCACCCTCCAAAGAGTGCACCGATTTGACCGACAATTATGATGACCGTCGTGTCTGTCGCGTCGACATCTGCCTGATCTTTTAAGAAAGTCGCGTAAAAGTCTTGACTACCATGCGAGCAAGAATTGAAGCCAACCATCAAGACAACAAGGTATACGAAGAGTACCCAGTTTTCCCGGAGATCGCGAATTAAATCTCGGACAAAGATACGAAAGCTACTTCCACCTGCAGAGCCATCATTGCCTACAGCGTTGGCTCGGGCCTCGCGTTCTGCTTTCATGACTTGAAAGTGGTTCGTTTCTGGTAGATACCACCGGAATATGATTATGAGTACTGGTGGAGCTGCCCCAAACCAGAAAAGACTTCTCCATCCGTGAGAGGTAGTGGGGACAAGGGCACGATAAAAAGCGGCAGCGAGTAAATATCCTGTCGCGTAGCCCATTTCAAATAGACCAGATAAAATACCCCGGGCTTCGTATGGGAGATCTTCGAGGGCAGTAGCAGCAGCAGGGCCGAAAAGTCCTATTTGTCATAACTAACGGTTATCGATTTGCTTTTGGAAGCTATATGCTCATGCTTACCTCCCATGGCTATTCCGTATAGGGCTCGTACGCCCAGGAATTGCGGTAACGTATTGCAAAATCCCGAACAAAGTTCCAGAACGATAAAAAGGCCCAAGTTGATGATCATGGGCCATTTGCGCCCATACCGATCAGCAAAAATTCCGAAAACAATGGCGCCCGCTGATCTCAGCATGAGTGTAACAGTCATACCCTAGCGGAAATGTTAGCTATCGAGAGGAGGCTTCCAGCTTAGTTCATTATACGGGTGTTATCTTACCCAAGAGACATCCGAATAAGACACATCAAAGGCCTCCGAAATCTCAGTGATCGTCATAGACACCGAAAAAAAGTCAAAGGAATCCCAGGTCCAACCGAGAAACCCAGCAGCGAACATGAGCCATTGATGAGATGTAAGCTCCCGCAGAACGGCATAAGGATTTCTGAGCTTGTTCTGTATATCCAATATTAGCAACGTGTCATCGGATGCGTCACTATACCAACCTTGGGTGGCTTGAGACTCGTAATACGCGTTGAAAGATATCGAGAAATCTGACTAGGCGAGTAAAACCAGCCAGCTGCCATACGATTTCTCATAATGAAGGCGGTAATTTTTAATTTTCTGGTGGCGACAAAGACTGTACTATCTAGAAATGGTTGCTGGGGTAAACAATCTAGCTTTATACCTCGAGGGTATCAAGGGTCACACATCTCATTTGAAAATTTCTGAGGGCTCTTGTCAGCACAGACTACATAAATCCTTGGACGTGCGACTGCCAAGGGCTTTGCATTGAGGATCTTGCCATTTTGATGCCTTTTCCCCCGCGTTTCCCCGCGTTCCCCACCCATTCATGACGCCCACGGGTTGAAGACCTCAATCCTGAAGCTTAAAAATAAGATAGTAAGACCTTTATTTCCTGATTCTGATGGGTTATTGGAGGAGATAGAAGGAAAATGCTTCAACACCAAGTCATTAAAAATGCTTCCATCGCTTCAATACTAGGTATTCTCACTGGTGATGATCAACATGGATTAGTTAACAAAGTATTCTGATTCGAAGCCCCTGTAGGTATCGAATCTTAATATGTTCCAGTGCCGTATATTGGATGAAAAAGGCAAGTAATATCTATCTACGCTCGTATTATTAGCCAAGACTGAGGAGCGGACTATAATCCGCATCGCGAGGCCAATGTGTGCATATCGGTGTATCTCCGTCTCGGTCGCTTCCTGGATGATTTGAGTAAGAAACGACTTCATATCTATTAAAACCCCCCTAACCAGTGCAAAATGTTCAATATTCAATGTTCAAAATTTTGGTAGCACACAAGTGCATGTGCAAGACTATGCCACAATTTTCTCTGAATACCTTTATTGTTCATTGTTTACATCTCCTTTTGCTACGCGTCGTCATCAATTTATGACCCAACAATTAAACTAGAGTTAATTAATACATGGACGTAGGACTATTCAACGCTGAAGCGACGTCATTTAATAATGACACGCGATATAGGAGTGTGCAACGCAAATACCGAATTCGCGACGTAGGAGCGTATAGCATAAATTCATAATGGATTTAACGCGGAGCTACGCCACTACCGTGACATGGCTGGGGGTGTGGGGGTGCCCAGCGACCCTCCTATGAGTAGCTAAGGAATTACGGGCGGATTTTTATCGAGCAGAGGGGATGGCAGGGCGATACCTTGTAGACCAAGCAGATTTTCCAAGAGATGACGTGCGGCCACTTATCCGCCGTTTTTATTGGCGAAAGAGATATCCGTTGGTAAAATAAACAGCATCATTACGCAGGAAGCTGTTGATCCCAACGGATATGGATACCAACATATTCCAACATCATCGCAGGGCAGAGATTGGGCGTTAGTTTCTAGATCCGGAGCTCCTCTGGCCTATACATGGCTGTATTTGCAACCCGCAGGCTCGATAATTTGACTGTACCTTGGTTTTTTCTACCAATTGAAGCCAATGGTCTACTGCTGTATCCGGAATTGGGTGTAAAAAATTCATTCATATGATAGTTGCATAGACCAGACCTCTAACGCCCAATCTCACAAATAGTAAACAAATACACTTACAACTTGAAGATCTTGCGATGCTCAATTTATATAAGTTTATAATAAAGTTCTGATGCGGAGCCACGCTGTATCGACCTTTCTCAACCTGTATCTTAGGTTGAAGGTCACGTCATATTATCCTATACTCGTATTTTCAGCCAAGACTGAGGAGAGGAGTATAATCCGTATCAAAAGGCCAAAGGCCAATGTGTGTACGTATATCGGCGTATCTCCGTCTTGGCCAGCTCCTGCGTTGCGTGAAATTGGATGAAATACAATGCTCGCGCTCAAAACACTTATTCTCGGAATTTTGAATTGAAACTGCCTACTATCCTAACTAGGACACATCCGATCCATGGTAAATTCTTCTAATTCCAGTCCTCTTGCACCTCCCAGATACACACTCCGACGCAACATGATAGAATTCGCAAGTAAACTTGTTTTTACAGCTATCGCCAGGACATTCTACCTGATCTTCAGTCGAGATATGGCCGTTAGTATTAGCTACCGAGAGGGACTGATCAACGACCTGACATCGAACACTCCGCACAAGGCCACCAGCATAAGACTTCTCTCGATCTGAGCTTTCTGCTTGAAATAACCCTTCATGCGTGTGATCGAAGGCAACTATCTCCTCTCGGCAGTTTATCCCACTGTTTTATTGCTTAGCAAGATTCAATTATCTTTGCGCCATTATTCATACCTGTAAAGTGTACACATATTTTTCTTACCCGAGGGTGCTTTGCAGGGGATATGGATCGAGCCAACGCTACGGCAACTCCAGAGAGGGTCAACATTTTAAATTGAGTCTCAAAATGGCGAAAACGGGTAGCTGACTCATTATATGTCCCTTGATTCAAAATTTGTACAACCCCCATTTAATGAAAGATCCATTCCGTATCATTCGATAGGCCTCTCGGAGGTGAAAACGCGAGGGACCGTGGGAAATACCTCTTCATACTGCGCGGTGGTCTGTAGAACTAGGAATAATAGAGATAACACTACAAGTTGTAGTTTCAACATGATGAACACGACTAGGTAGATTCAAGGTTGTCCCGTAATGAGACTTGGCTGTTGGGGAAGATGACAGAAACTTGAAGGCGTCACGGTATCGCTGGATGGGAGGAGATCACACTAGCGTCCTTAAACTTATTTATACTTTGCCCACACTCAACCTTGGAAGTTTTCGGTGTTTGGAGTAAATGTTGGGATCGCGGATCTCTAGAGCCTAGCTCTACTACTATGTTACAAATAAATGATCATAAAATTCCGACGGCTTCCAAGCTTCCAAGGTTGAGGTATGGTAGCTATTATTTCAAGTGTTACCAATGAACCGGGTGTATGCTTGTGATGATACGTAGGCAAACATGATTTTCTACCTTGTTTCCGAATGGTAAACAAGCCTGCTTCTCATCTTGGGGAACGCCAGATGTCATGTATTGATGGAATGGTTGTCTGCATAGTTCGCATTTCCAATCGCGTATATGTGTGTAAGCTTTATATACTCGAAGAAACTGTAATCCTCCAATTAACTAAACGTTCGATATGCAGTATATGAATTCTTGATCAAATCCGAAGCCCTCTCCGCCACCGCGTACAGGGTACTAGTCAGATGGCCACACAGTTGAAACGGCACGATCGAAGCATCAATCACGCGAACATTCTTTGTCCCATAGACCTTGAGCTGGGCGTTTACCACACCACCTTTATCCCTGGGCATCATACTCGCAGTGCCAACAGGATGAAAATTTGACCGATCTGTAAGGAAGTCATCAGTATTGTTTGAATCCAAATAATTAGACCGGTAAGTAGATCAGGATTACATACAGCTTGACTTGACCCAGTCTTTCCACGCAGATTCAGTCGCATTGTCAGTTAAGAGGTCTAGACCGGGCTCATTTTCGTCGGTGACAACATCACTCAGAGGCGCCGTGTGGAAGATTTTTCGAATGAATTGAGCGACATCAGCCTGGGAGGTGAGGTCCTGTTCGAACATGAAGTAATTAGGGTTGATAAAAGCTGGTTTGGTAGGATTCGACGACTGGATATGGATGTTTCCTCTTGAAAACGGGAGAAGAGTCCAGTATTCTGATAAGAATGTTTTTGGGATAGGCACGAAAACAATCTCTGCGAACGGGATGTCGGATTTGAACATCAAATCCCATTGAATCTGGAGTGCAGATAGAACATTGCTCTCTTTGACGGCGCCGTTTGAGAAATTAGCGACTGCCTTCGCGTAATCTGCAAGGGTTGAATTTATAGCGGACGCAACGTCAGATACTTTGTCTCCGTATAACTGTTGAGCTGATGGGAGTGCAGAGAAGGTAGCTGTGCCGGTGTAGAACTCCCGTCCTTGATATGATAACCCGTTGTTTGTTTGGTCTTGCAAGTTTTCGCCGACGGCGGTATTGTTGACCTTCACCGGGATGTCGTACTTGCTGAGAATATCGGGGTTTCCGATGCCAGATAACTCCAGAATGATGGGGGACTTGAGCGATCCCGCTGACAGAATCACTTCTTTCGAAGCATATATCGTTTCGGTTCCATTGACGCTTGTGACCTCCACTCCAGTTGCAACGGCGTCTCCGTGCTTGTCGTCAGACCAAAGTATCTTGTTTGCGTAAGTGTTTGTGATGATCTTTAGATTTGGTCTAGCTTCGTAAGGCCAATAATATGCTCTCGCGGCATCTTCACGAATATTCGCCTCTCTATCGATGGTATCAGGGTGAACTGTGAATCCGACCATTTGCCCTCCGTTGACATCGCGGTTATAAGATACGTCTAGTTGTCGCATTGTTTGGTCGATGGCGGGTACCAGACTGCTATTCGTCATGAGATATGGCCAGCCGACTTTAAGGGGTCCAGATGTTCCATGATAGGAACTGTAATAGTCGGCGCCATGATCGACCTGTTCCGCCGTGGGGATTTGAAAGTGCTCCGATTTCTTATAGTATGGAAACAAGGTGTTCCAGTTCCAGCCTTTGTTCCCAACTGCCTCCCAAACATCAATCTGTACATCTTGGGCGCGAGTATATGACATTCCTATTTGGATTAGTGGGAGACATAACCCTGTATACGAGGGAAAAGCATCTTACCGTTAATAGTACTTGTACCACCGATAGCCTTTCCAGCTCGCATCGTCTGCTTTCTGCCATCAGCATAAGTCTGATTCACAGTCTGGTAGGCCCAGTCAATATCCGAGTCGAAGGCTAATCCGTATCCCGTTACTGTCGTCACATTTGGGTTATTGAAAACCGAATCTCCAGCTTCGATGACCGCGACGGTGATATCTGGTTTCTCTGACAATCTGTTAGCAACAACTAACCCACTCGTTCCTCCGCCCACAATAACAAAGTCATATCGCGCGGGTGCCTCATGTTTCTTCGCTGCAACTGCCCCAAGCCAGATGATCCCCAGCGTAATCGATTTGACGATCATTTCTGTTAATGGGGGGTGGATATGGTGAGGAAGGAAGAATTCAGGACCCGACACGAGAGAGACCCTTTTGTACAACAGTTGGGAGGGGTTAGGCAGGAAATACTTACCATGTCCCATGAGGCTCCCGCTAGGGCGTTGCTGGGGGAGGACAATCGGAATGTCGCCGTTCCCCTGGATTACGTTCGGCATGCCATGTGAGTAGCCAGGTGCAGGGAAGCGACGGTACGAGATAGGTTGCCGGAAATTCCACATGGATAAATAACATGTCCAATGTTAGGGTATCGTAATCATCTTCATTCAAATCAATTGTACTTCAAGTAGATACAAAACGCCTCGGCCAGCAGCACAAATGCAATCCAACGCCTTTCTTACTCAGCTTTTTAGAAGATAACAAGGAACTAGGCACCGCGTAGGATTCCAGCTATACGCAGCGTCAGATCAAGGACAGAAAGGTGCTCGTCAGCTCCATCAACAAGTCGCTTGTCCATTTCCGAAAATGCAAGCACGATCTTGTTCTTCTGCTGATCCGGGATAGTTTCACTGAAAACAACACGACGATATAGCTAGGATCCAGTTAGCGAATTTTCACCAAATCAAATATAAGAACAACAACAGGAGAAAACAAAACATACCTGACCAATAACCTGTGTAGCACTCCACCCATCAGCTACAAGGTTCGTGATGACCTTAGAAACACCCGCATACGCCGACGAGTTATTCGGCTGCATAGCCTCAACAATCTCATCAACAATACTTTCTGGTACAACTCCAGCAATCTCCTTAATACTCTTAACCGTAATAGCACCAGACCCCGCAGCCCCAACATCCAACATATCCTCATCCCCATCACCAGCTCCAGCTCCAGCGCCCTTCCCATTCTGCGCCCCAACCAATCTCGCCGCACTCTGCAAATAAGTAATAGCACGACGCAAATCACCCTCCGCACACTTAATAAGCGTATCAATGACTCCATCCTCCAATTTCAAATCCTCCGCCGACGCAATACCCTCCAATCTCGCCCCAGCCGCCGAATTATCAAGCGACTTGAAACGAAACTTGCTGCACCGACTAGCCAACGGCTCAATAATGCGAGTAACATAGTTACACACGAGACAGAATCGGGTGATACGACTGTATGTTTCCATTGTACGGCGCAGGGCAGACTGCGCGTCTTGTGTCATACTATCTGCCTCATCAAGGATAATGATCTTGAATGGGGGACAGGGGTATTGTTTTCGGTACTCTGCATCTAGACCTGTTGGTTGGGAGAGTTGTGCACGGGCGAAGTTTTTGACTTTGTCACGGACGATTCCGATGCCTCGCTCGTCGGAGGCGTTCAGTTCAAGGATACGGGAACGGTAGAGCGCGGGGCCGAAGAGGGATTTGGCGAGGGCGAGAATTGTAGATGTTTTACCTGTTCCTGGGGGGCCGTAGTAGAGCATGTGGGGGAGCTTTGAATTGTATTAGAATGAATGTTGGGGATTTCTTTGAAGAGATGCAGTGACGTACGTTGGAAGCATTGAGAGTGCGTTGGAGAACTTTAGTGGTGTGGTCTTGGGCAGCGACATCGTCCAGGGTCTTGGGTCGACTGTTTCCAATTAGATTTGAGTAGAGAGATATTGTGCTGTTGGAATTAAGGCATACTATTTCTCAACCCAGGGTTGCAATCGCGTATTTTCTTCTTTCTTGTCGCCAGCCTTAGCTTTGGAGCTGCTCGCTGTAGCTGCGGCCGCGGCGCGAGCTTTGTTATTGAAAAATGTAGAAGCCATAATTATGTATTCGCTTATTTATAAAGCGAAACGGCTTTGGAGGTCCTGGAAATAATTGGTTTGGAAGACGGAATTGTAGGAAGATGCGGCCGCCATGCGCGGTGGATGGAACGCGTCTCCACGTGATGCGAATGGCACTTAAGAGCACCAGCCAATAATAGGGCGTAAATATACTCTAAGCTGTTGAGCCCGACTGTTGTGGCTATAGATGAGCTCGCTTTGTTAGTGAAGAGTCAATTGGCCTAAATGCCCGTCTTTGTACAGTATCTATTATGACTGACATGTGTATCATTACTATAATTTGCTAGTATATGCTTGGGAATCTAAAGTTCCTCCCGCATAACATCTCGCTCTCCCTCCATCATACGCTTCTTAGGATTTCGAGGAGCTTTTTCCTCCTTCTGCTTCTCCTCAGCCAATATCTCATCGAGAGTTCTATCTTCCTGCTCTTCTCCCTCTTCAACCATCTTCCCAATTTTATCGATGAGTCGATCTTCCTCCTCTTCTGAGACCTGATCACTGTGAACAGGCACACCTGCCGCTGTCGTGGTTGGCACCGCGTTCTCCAGAATAGCAGTTGAAACATCCGCAGCAATGGCACTAAACGAAGACTGCACCGCTTTACTGCCCGAAATACCAACAATACCCGTAGCCGCAAAAAGAACACGGAAAGCAAATTGGAACGGCAGCCAGACCATCCACCAAAGCGGTCCGTAGAGAATTCGCCTAAATACTAACCACGCAATCGTCACGAGAAGGATATAAAACGCAGTCTCGAGATACCACGTATCGGACTTTTGGGAGCGAAGAAGAGAGTTGGCTAGGGTGCGTGATGAAGCGAGGAGAGTATCGAGGCTGGTATATGATTCGGAGAGAGAAGATATGGCGGCAGTTGATTGTTCTGTCCGAATTTATCAGTATGTGAAATAAGGGGAAATCATATAGTTATAACATAACATACGGAGAGTTTCTTGTGCAAACTGGCTTCGAGACAACTCAGTCTGCATCAAGTGATGTGTTCTGCGCAAAGCAGCCGTCACATCATTCGACGCATTGAGAACCAAATCATCCTGTGTAAGCTTCTCAGAAGGTCGCCCCTGACGCTCAGATGGCTGAGATCTCGAAAGCAGTAATTCTCGCTCCTTCCGTCTAGTAAGCTCACTCTGTCGCTTAGCATTTAATTGTGCATTTCGAAAATCTCCCCGAGCCCTAAAATTACTTATAAGTAAACGATTTTCCCACTCAGAAACATAGGAACATTGTTACTCACTTTTTAATATCATTCGCTAGTCGTCCGGTCATCATCACAACACGCTCTTTCTCTGCATCTTTCTCCCCGCTCGCTATAGAGTGTTTCCTCCTATTATCCGAGCCAGAGTCAAGAGCCTCAACTTCAATCCGTAATAGCTCCAGTTCATCCTCGGTATCTTTCAGGCCTGCATGGATCTCCGCGCCGAGCTCGACACGCTCCTCATCGCCCTTCTCGGCGGGTGTGAAGTTGCGGAGTTTATCAATTGAGGGCCGGATCTGGCCTAGTGTAGTTGATAGCTCCTTCAGTCGAGCCTGAAGGGTAGCTATGGTGGACATGTTTGGTATGGGGTGAATGGATGGGTTGGATGTGTTCGCAAGACAGCCCAACGTAAGTTGTGGCGATAATTTGTTGTAAGATGTCGCTAATATATAGCAGTAGAAAGTCTCTTGCAGTTTCTCGTAGGATACAAGTCAGTTTGTGACTGATACCAAGGTGTGAGGTTGAGTTGGTCGCGAGGTGGCCGATACGTCGCTATTGATGTGTTTGCTTAGAATGCAAACAGAGGACTTTCCTCAACTCCCTCCTCCATATCAATCCGCTAGGACTTTAAGCCAACGCTCCCAATTGCCTGTCTACGCTCAAGAGAATCTGGTAAATCCAGCTTTCTCAATTTCCCGCTTCGCTCCTCTACATCGGAATACTGCCTTCTACACGCAACGCTTGAACCAAAAGCGCACCGCGGCGAGAGAAAAAAAAAACTTCGGGATCAACCCCAGATCGAATCCAATCAGGTATGTTCCGGATTAAGCACAATTTAATCTATCGCGACTATTGATCTAACACTTTGAATAGTGAAAATTTATAAATACATTTTTTCCGATCCCGAACCTCCATTGAATCCCTCAAACCACACCCAATCTTCAACCGCAACCATGCCTATCCCAATCAGCACAATCACCACCTTCCGCACAACCTTCAATCCCTTCTCCCACGCCTCTAGACCATGCCGTCTATTCCTTTCTCTACTGCGCACTCCCAACACCGCCGCCGGTAGCCCAACTCACATCGATATCAAGGTTAAGCAACTGCCCCGCGCCTCCACAGAGCAACCCGTCATGACCGTCGGCTTCAAGGGTGGAAAGGAATTGACTCTAGAGGTTGGAAAACGTGGAATGAAGATTGGTGATGTAGTTGAGGAGATCTCACGAGTTGGTCGACAACTGGAGCGCGAGGCTAGTCTGAAGAGCTAGGCATAGCATCTGGTATATCTTCGTGTTTGCTAGAGACACTATTTCATGTATTATAGCATTTGGGTTGTTTTACTATTGGCGCTGTGATGGGAGAGTTTTGTATCTTCCTAATGTCCATTTCCGAGATTATTCTCTGTGTACTTGGTGTTGGTTATCTACCATTCTAGAAACCTTGCATATTATACCTCTACAGATATATACCTATTGAGAATCGCTCAACAATCAACCAGGACCGTCTAGGTTCCCTTTTCCTTTCAGCTAGGTGGATTAAGATTATATCCAGCAAAAGTCCGTCTCTACAGAAGCAAAGTAGAGAAGAAAACAATGGTGAAACGGGACAGAACAGATGGAGAGGGTGGGTGAAGGGGATGATAGGTAACAACAATGGGAGACAGGGAGAGAGATAGAAGAGCATTCAATGCTTCGAATATATCCGCCGCCGCATCAACGGCACGTAGTCATGTTTAATTTTAATCGTTTTTTAGCATCGTAAGACGACTGGTTTAAACAGCAGCGCCGGAGATGAAGAACCACTTGTCAATGGTACCATCGATAGGAGCAGGAGCAATCTCCTGGTTGGCAGGGATCTTAGCAAGCTGAGCCTGGTCGGCACGGTTGGCAGTACCCTCGGGAGCCTCGACGTTAGCCAGGCTGATCTCGCCGGGGGCAGTCTTGCCGGTAATAAGCTTCTCCCAGGCATCGGAGCACTCGTGGATGACCTCCTCGGCGTACTTCTTGTTCTTGCACTCGCCGGAGAAAGCAAACTGGTTCTCGGGCTTTCCGTCGGGGATCTTGTAAATACGGAACCACTCGTTGGTGGCGCGCAAAAGACCAGGGAGGTGACGCTCAACGTCCTCAATGTCGTGAAGCTTATCGGCCAGAGGGTCTTTAACGTCAATGACGATGATCTTCCAGTCGGTCTCCTCCTCGTCAATCAGGGCCATGACACCCAGAACCTTGACCTGCTTGACCTGACCGGGGTAGCCGACAAGCTCACCGATCTCGCAAACGTCAAGAGGGTCGTCGTCACCCTTGGCCTTGGTCTCGACGTGAACGCTGTTAGGGTCCTCCCAGGTCTATAGGGAAGTATATATGTTAGTTACAACGTTCTTTCGTTCATTTCTGTTTTCTTGTTTACCCCACCATGGAGGGTGGAGGGGTAATGCAGATACAGATATATAGATATACACGTAGGATTCCCAACTTACGCGGGGGAAGGCACCGTAGTTCCAGAGGTAACCCTTGTGGGGGAAGCAGTTGCGAACGAAGCGGAGCTTGCCCTTCTTGGTGTCCTGCTTAATGGGGTTGAGGAACTCATCCTTGGAGATCTAGAAATCAATTGGAAATCGCAATCAGTATTTTGTTGACAATTGATGATGCTTATTCTGAATAGAAGCGGGTATAGGCGCAATTCGTACCTCCTGCTTGGCATTGGTCCAGCGAGGGATCTCAACGACCATGTTCAGGATAGTCTCCTCCTTGTTGGCATAGAGGGGGATGTCGTGGAAAGGCGAGACGGGCACGCCATCCTTCTCGACGTAGACACGGTGCTCGAGCGTGTAAGGCTGAGCGATCTTGCGGACGGTATAAGACATGGTGGGAGATGATGAGGAGAAATGCCTAGAGATGAGAGCGGCTCGAGAAAGAGGAGGGGAAGAAAAGGAGGGAGGGGCTTTGTAAGTGGGGGGAGCCAGTGTCGCTGATGTGCGCCAGACACGACGGCAGGCGGTGGAGGCACAGAATCCTAGTCGGGCCAAGGGAGGACGGGCCAGTGCCATTGGGCAACTTGAGAATGGGAATTATTAAATTATAAAACGTAGAAATTCAGAAATAAAACAAGGAAACCCAATATTATGGGCAATGATCAGCTCTTCCGGGGCGAGTTGGCCTCGTTCACTTCAGGTTCCGTGGTGGTTTGCGTGGCCTGGATGGCATCCCAGGGGTCAAAATGGGTCTCGGATTGAGTTGATGTGTTGGTCGGTTTTGCCCTTTTTTTTTCTTCTTTTTTTCCAATAATTTTTATTTTCTTTTTCCTTGCGTAGACAATCCTGCCGATCTTTGGTCTGTCTCTTCGGCAATCGACCGGGTCCAACTCCGAAAAATTAGAATCCTGACGGGTTATATAGAGTATTGTACAATATACGCAAACATAGATATTTACATGTATGAAGTAATTCGATATCTTGACTATGATCAAATGTATGATTCTAGCTATTGTGGAGAGTCTCGTGCCTCATACCCCTTACACACCATGTACATGCAGCTGTACACTGTACCCCGAACTCAACGACAGCTGCCAGGGCTAACTGGGATAGGATAGTTCAGAAAATTAAAGTTGACATATTGCCATGACCTCAACATGGAATTGACCATCATCAAGGTTTCTGCCGTGTGAAAATTCTTCCCTTAATCCCAGAGCAAGTGGCAAATCGCATAGAAACCTTGGCAGGAACCAGCCACGTTTGTTTATTGGTGTTTGATGTTGGGAATGGGTGGAGACAGGGGAGAATCATCCGTAGACAGAAAGACAATGGCAATCACGTAATAGTTAGTTAACTAACATAACAGACACCTAGGTATTCAGGCATGAAGACGAATAATTTTTTCTAACTATTTCTTGATAAAGTTAGGTAAACTATAATAACTAGTTAGTGGCTTAACTAGTTAGTTGCTGCAAATATATCAAGGTGCATTTTCCCGCTGATTTGTTCCTGGAGACGAATTATTGATGCAGGACACTGGAAGGCCCATTGTATACCTGGTTTACCGGTACTTCTGGATTGGAGAAGTTTGTCTCGAGTAATAAAAGTGTGGATGTTGTTTGCTGTGATTTGAGTGAGATCTTCTGTTTGGCCGGCGCAGATATGGCCTTTTATCAAATCCACCTCGTAGGTAGAGTTGAATTGCGCCGACAAATGTAGTTGCTGACGACAGTGCCATACTAATTCCTTCCAGTGACCTGAGAACCAGATTTCGATGATATCCAGAGTTTCAATGAACTCTTTAGGAACTTGAATGGTTAGCAGGCATGTATCACTTTGAGGGCAGCGTAAAGCTGTCCATTGCCGGTATTTTTCAGCTATTTCTTTGTCCGGTGTCCAGTACTGAGCATTCCCCATGGAGTTAAAGTCTCCACCAGGAGGGGAGTATAGCGATGAAAGATTGATAGTTCCATCGGATGAAATCAGCTGGCGTGAGCTCCGCATTTCTCCGTGTGCCTTGCCTTTATACAAGGCAATGTGATCGGGTAGAAGGGGAATGTCACCGTCAACGATGGTAGTGCAAGTAGGCGGGAGGTGGAAATCCTCAGAGGTCATGTTTATTGTTGCGACTGGTTGGTGTATCTGTTCAGTGCTTTCCTCTTCTGTAGAGAAGGAGCCCTGTACACGACGCCGTTTTCGCTTGTTTTTATGGGCAATAAGCCTGCCTGCATGACGTTTGATTAGGCCGTGCTGGTTGCGGAGACTGGCAAGGTTTGTATCTAGAGTATCTTTCACCCAGAAATGTAGATCTCGTGTCCATAGTATATCACTAAACATGGGGTCCGCAATCGCAGATTGGATCTGTGTGTTGATCCCTACCCGTGCTAATGCTTCATGGGAAGTTTCCCCTTTCAAATCTGAAATTTGCCCATGCACATAACTTAAAAGATCGTCAGGGCAATCATCAGGCTCGGGGCGACTGGTGTAACGCTGAAAAATATCGAGAGCTGTAGCTGGCTCAAAGCCAATGTATTCCAGAACTTCGATACTTTCTTTGTCAGTCGGGATATTTGTAGAGATGGTTGAAGGGTTGAAATTCCAAGTTCGGACTGATGTAGTGCTTGCTGAAGATGAGATTGATGTATTTGAACTTGGAGTTGAAGCTATCAGAGTAGCGGAGATCTTTCGTTTTCCCTGTGATCTATGAGGATCAGGAGGAAAAATGGCATTTTCTTCAAGGCATTGTATCTCTTCCTCGGTAAAGCATCCCGGCAAATAGCCCGCCATACTGAGATTCGATGCTGCCATTTACAGACTCTCCAGTGTATACAGGCCTAGGGTAGTTCAGGTTGATGATGATGTTGAAAGCTCCGACCCCATGAAAGTGTTGCAAGTCTGAGAATGACGCAATTATTTCCATTGATCCAAAGTGGGCCGCGGCCCATGCTGACTAAGTGGACACCATCTTCAAATGTTACCTAGTCAGTTAGCGGTAGCGGTCTAGTGTCCCTGGCACGGATAATCAGTTAGTTAACTAAGTTATCATTTTCCAGTCGCTTATCTAATCGTTTATCTCCACGTGATATCCAAGAAACATGGATCAAGGCAAATCGGAGTTGCCCGATGACAAAAAAACCCAGAAAAAAATAATAATAACGACCCTCCAACAACCCCGCCTCGATATGCCATAGTATGACCAGATTTCTTCGAAGTCTCCGATCAACCATCATGTCCGCCCTCAATACCCCTACCATCCCACCAATCCAGAGGCAAACATCTGTTTCCCGCGTCCCCATCCCCCCAAATGGCGTCGACTACCGCAACAAAATTGTACTCGCCCCAATGGTGCGCTCCGGCGAGCTACCATCTCGACTCCTAGCCCTTCGATACGGCGCAGATCTCGTCTGGGGTCCCGAAACAATCGATCGCTCCTTAATCGGCTGTAACAGACGCATAAACCCCCGCAACGGCACTATCGAATTCACCCGAACCCCCTCAAACGGCGGGCGCCCAGACCCCGAAACAAAAGAATCAGTCCTATACCGCATCGACCCGGTCCGCGAAAAGGGCCGCCTCATTTTCCAAATGGGTACCGCTGATCCTAAACTCGCCGTTGAAGCCGCCCGCATGGTAGCAGCTGATGTCTCCGGCATCGACGTGAACTCCGGCTGCCCAAAACCATTCAGTACAAGTGGTGGAATGGGCGCAGCACTTCTCCGCACACCAGACAAACTCGTCTCAATTCTCGAAGCACTAGTTAAAGAAGTGGGCAAGCCTTTCCAAATCGGTATCTCGGTTAAAATTCGCATTCTGGCCAAACCGGAGGAAACACATGCTCTTGTTTCTCGACTTGTGCGGACTGGTATCACCGGCTTAACAGTTCATTGTCGTACAACTCCTATGCGACCCCGTGAGCGTGCGATAAGAGACCAGCTCCGTATGGTCGCGGAGTTATGTCATGAGGCTGGAATCCCATGCGTCATGAACGGAGACGTAACCAGTCGCGACCAGGGACTCGAGCTGATGAAGGAATTCGGCGTAGACGGCGCCATGATAGCTACGTCTGCCGAGGCCAATTCGTCCTGTTTCCGCTCTGAAGCGGAAGGTGGTCTTTTGCCGTGGCGGGATGTTGTGTATGAGTACATGAAGTATTGTATTGAGGGCGAGAACCGCTTTGGAAATACCAAGTACTTGCTTAACATGCTTATTCCAGGAAAGAACAAGGAGTTCAAGACTGCGAAGATGGCCAAGACGTACGTTGATACGTGTCGGGCGTTGAAATTTGATGATCTCATTCCTTCGGCTGTGTCTGTTGACGAGGTCCTTGGATTGTCGGCGAAGTGGGAGGAGACTCCGGCGCAGGACGAAAGGGTTCGTTCTCCGGCGGTTCAGAACGCGATGGAGAATAATGAGACTGCTCGTGCGGCTGGTGGTGCTGGTGCTAGATCGAAGTCTATCTCTACACCGCGCGCTGGTGGTCCGATTCGCACCCTTGGTATCCCAGAGCCATCTAAGATGAACCTCGGCTCCGGTGAGGATATTGTCGATGCCTCTCTTCCTGCGACAGAGGTTGCTCAGAAGACGGAAGTAGCGGCATGATTCGGCTCATGGGATATTCGTATGTGGTCATCTGACTCGTGCTGAGTTTCCTCTTATTTTCGTTTTGTTTTTGCATAGCCTGGTTTCCTGGATTCGATCGAATCCTGTCATTCTGCATTTTGAGGGGTCGCGACTCCTCTCCTGTTCATAGATTCCCACAAGGATATACTTGTGATTGTCACAAAGATTATAATTTGTTTTTTAATAGCTCACCTGTCTTCAAAACGACCTAGATCAGAACTGTGGAAACTGTGACTTGTCTTCAACTTGAAGTTTGTGCATTTTCTTCCAAATACTACTACGTGAAAGTCTGATATTGGCCAAAGCCTAGGCACATCCATGGATATCTAAAATAAAATTCAACTAAAGTTATATGCAAATATACCTACTTACCATATATTAAATGAACTTTTGAGGGTACAGTACTACTGTACTAGGTAAGCGCCAACTTGAAGTTGGTACTATAGTAACTTGGAGATATATACTATTCGATATGCCCATGAACATGCATCCAAAAAGACGGTTAAAACCTTGGAACCGTTCAACAGCACCTGGGCAAAACCAAATGCCCAGGTGTTATCATAAAGAGTAAAAGTTTAAGTACCGAAGACTTTGAATCACCTTAAATGATGCTGTAGGGAGAACTCTCGCCTCCAAAGGAATACAGTAGCAACTAATCGTTGGATGTAGCAGCCATACGCGCTGTGAGTTTATTAGTAATAGTATGGGGAGTCACGTGAAAGATCTGAACCACTCCGCCAAAGTGTCCATTTGATGACGCAAGAAGCAAGTTGGAGACCAAGTCGACTTGAAGTTTTCAACGTTTTGGGAAATTAGTAAGAAATCTTGCAGGCGGGAGGCCGACAACAGCTCTCCGCGATCCGGCCTTAGTCCACGGGCTTCTCCACATTATAGCTTAGTCACTCTAACAAAACACAACCTTAACAAGTCTACAGCCCCATTGGATATCCTAAGGCTTTCAAACATAACAGGGCCCTGGAACCAGTTCCATCAGCTTCTTAAATCAACCCTAATTCTACAACAATGTCTGCCCGTCGACCCCACCAGAGCTACGCCGATGCTGCGGCCAAGTTACCACAGGAGCCAACCGACTCCGACGTGACGCCAGTCGTCCCAGCGTATGTACTTAACTTTTCAACTGAATTGACTATCCATCGTGCTAACATGTTTATCTACAGCGATGTCATCTACAAGCTCCTGGGTTTCACAGTAGCTATGCTGTTTGCCCCAATTGGCATGTACTTTCTGACAGTGAACTTGGTTTTTGGAGGTAAGATGAAAACACGAAACAAATTATTGCCAATGAAATATTTGAGTATATCTAACTCGATACATAGGAAATGCGACTTGGGCCGGAATCACAGCAGCCATTACGGCTAACGTGGTCTTATTCGCCTATATCTACGTTGCTTGGAAAGAAGACCAATCAGACCGGATAGAGGCTGAGAAGTCCAAGTCCAAGAAAGCGCAATAACTGCTTACGATTTCATTGATCAGCTACTTGACTTGTACTCGTGCGAAATTTGTTTTCATCTCAGGCGTTGCAGGAGCTACGATCAATTCATGAACCGAAATCAGATTCTTTCCCCCATCTACCAGATATTTATTTAACTGGACTGGACTGCCTAGAGGATCCCACGCAAAAAGTACAAGGCTTCTGATTGTCATTTGGATATCATAAGAAACATAAAATCTTCACAGCCCGGGTCTAGCCATCAACCGACTGAGTCAATCTCTAGACCTCCACTCGACAAATGTTAAAAATGCCCTTGTCATGTTGAAGGGGCTTTCACTACCACAGCAAGTAGAAAAAGTACTATTTAATGCCCAAAATTATTCACTAGGGACGCCAGTATGCTTCACAAGCGCTCGAGGATTGAACTATCCCAAGCTAAACCGACTCGCCACACAAACACCGAAAGAAAAAATCAGATCAAGGTCGTCGCTTGACGAATTCCTCCAGATCCCCCTTCGTAGCTACACCAAGCACGAATTTACGTCCTGCATCTGTAACAACGGCAAATGCGTGCTTCTCGCGCGGATCGCCGTTGGGACCGGTCTCGCTGTGGAAAAACTGCTCCAGCTCTTCTAGGGGTGTTTCCATGGTGATGACCTTGTAAATGCCGCGTTTGCGGTTAAAGCGTTGCATGGCTGTAGAGACGGGATCGGATTCCTTAACAGTGCCGTTGTGAATCAGTTCCTTGAGTCTGGGAATGCTGAGGTAGCCGAGTAGGGATCGCTGGGCAGAAATAACGGTGAGGTGGGTGTAGTCACGCTCGTAGGCGGCCATGAGAGCGGCGGAGACGGGGGAATTGGGGGAAACGGAGAGGGCTGGGGGAGGGTCAAGGTCCTCGATGGTGGCCTGTAGATATCATGGAGGTATTTAGCGTGGTTCTTTTATTTGTTGAAGGGTGTGAACTGAGGGGTAGTAGACTCACCCCGCGGTATTTGTCTGCCCATACTGAGGGGGCTGTGGAGGATGGTTGTTGGGCTTCGCGGGCAAAAGCCTCGCTGCCTGTCATGTAGGATGTCATTTTTGGTTGTATATGGTTGAGAGGCTCGAAGGTTGAAGGTTGAGTGTCGGATTTCGGGCCTGGGTTTTCCGGTAATGTTTCAGTGAAGAGAGTGGGGAAGGGAGCAGCGGTTCGTGACAGCAGCACAAAATGAGCAATTGAGGAATTGAGAACAATAAAGCTGCAAAGTAGATCCTGATGATCTTTTCTGATGTGTATATCTGACTGGATCAAAATAATGGAGTCGCAACACTTCGAATAAGACCGTGAACCATGACAACCCGAGCTTTTTGATCAAAATCGGCGCTTTTCCTCTTAATCCCGTGCCAAGACCCTCAATTCCTACTTCCTACGTCATCTTTCTGACATCCATTCCTTCGCCTTAAACCTATTCTTGCCATCGTGATCCTACGATCAATCCTGTTCCACCTTGTGAGTCACCTCAGATTTCATTTAATAGAACAGTTTTCGTTCTCTATTTCTTTCCATCATCTTCTCAATCGGTACGTTTATAACAGCCCTCTACAAAAGTGGACCCGCCATTCTCGATTCAGCAAGATCGCTGCATTCGGACAGCCATGGCTCCACTCTTCTTACCCACATCCGTATATTGATCGTGATCACAGTAAACAGTGCATGATGAATCCCTCGGACTCAATTGTCAATGTTTTGGCTGCCCGTCACCCACTGGGTAGACTGGGGATCCAAGAGCAGTTCGGCGGAGAGCAGCCTATGAGCTCCAGCCGCCGTGAACCTTTTTCGGCCTGGAGTGCCATTGATGAAGTGAAAAAGACTGCGGGTAATGAGTTTGAAGCTGCTAGCCAGAAAGCTCAGCAGAAGGCTGGCCATATCGAACCTTGGAGTGCCAAGTACTATGCTGCCTGTATCGCTGGAGGCACGCTCGCTTGTGTTAGTATCCTTCCAATAATATCCGCACCTGGTTTTGTCTTGTAACGTTATTTACTAACCTGATCATCTATAGGGTCTGACTCACACTGCCGTCACCCCATTGGATCTAATCAAATGTCGCCGCCAAGTCGATTCGAAGCTCTACACCAGTAACTTGCAGGCATACAGTAAGATTCGTGTTGGCGAAGGCCTCCGTGGTGTCTTCACCGGTTGGGGACCTACCTTCTTCGGATACAGCGTAAGCAGTCGCTACTAACTAATTCAGGAACTCACCAAACATCATCTGATATTTTCTCCAGGCCCAAGGTGCATTCAAGTATGGTGGATATGAGTTCTTCAAGAAATTCTACGCCGATCTGGCTGGGCAAGAACGCGCCACCAAGTACAAGACCTCCCTTTACCTGGTTGCCAGTGCTTCCGCGGAGTTGATCGCCGATTTGGCACTTTGCCCATTCGAGTCGATCAAGGTTCGAATGCAAACTACTATTCCACCTGATATCAAGGGAACCTTTAGTGGTATCTCTGGTGTTGTGGCGAAGGAAGGGTTTGCCGGGTAAGCTTCCGGGAAGATTATTTCCCTTCCAATTCTACACAAAAAGCAATTAACCATTGACTGTATTATCAGTCTGTACAAGGGTCTCTACCCACTTTGGGGCCGTCAGATCCCCTACACAATGATGAAGTTCGCCTCATTCGAGACAATTGTGGAAATGATCTACCATAATCTCCCCGGTCAGAAGTCCGACTACGGCAAGGGTGCCCAGACTGCCGTTGCTTTCTCTGGTGGTTATCTGGCTGGTATCCTCTGTGCTGCCGTGTCTCATCCTGCCGACGTTATGGTGAGTAAATTGAACGCTAACCGCCTGGCTGGCGAGGCATTCGGTACCGCAATGAGCCGTATCTATGGTGATATTGGCTTCCGTGGGTTGTGGAATGGTCTGCCTGTCCGTATCGTTATGGTTGGAACTTTGGTACGTTTTCAGTATATCCGAATTCATTGATGAAGAATGAGTACTAACTATTCTGTAGACTGGTCTCCAATGGATGATGTATGCGCTCCTATGTGTTTGCCTTTTGTCTGCGACTCCAAACTAACCAAGTTTTAGCTACGATTCGTTCAAGATCTTCATGGGTCTGCCTACTACTGGTGGAGGTGGCGAAGAAAAGAAGAAGGCCCAGTAGATTAAGTCAAGATTACTTGGCTATTTTTTCGCTTCTATACTACATGTTTGAGGTTTGTTATTTGAGATAAGTTTTTCCGTAGGTGTGAATATTCAATTCGAGATTACATCGTTCCACCGCTTTATTCATGCCGATTGTCTCGCTGATTGCCGACTGCCAATGATCTTCTACCTAGTCTTGTTCCTAATTAAGACCAATAGTAACGTGTTTTACAATCCTATTCTCACCATCGGGTTATGTGAACAACGCGGAACTGCTACCGTGATAGCAATTCGATACAGTATGGCGTTAAATACAAAAATGGAGCTAATATACTAATGGGAATCAACCGAACGAACGAGATGAAACGAAATAGTTCATTCAAAGAAGACCAAAAGAGCGAACGAACGATGCCAGGAACATTTGAACTATCCTTGCTCAAATAGATAGAGTAGGACCTCATGAAAAGCCCCAACGCCCGAAGATAGACCACAGAAGTGAAAGTCATTCAACAGAAAGTGGCATAGCCTGGTTTTAAATGGCGTCCAGTATAGACAGATGCAGATAACTTCAAGAACAATTCAACTCATTGAAAGGATCCAAGAGCGGTGTTGAGTTATTATTAAAATCAAGCAGAAACGAAGCAGCCACATTCGTATCAGTACAGTTGATCTCATTAGCCGAGTTCCAAAATATCTTATGAATCCATTCAGTCTCCTGCCCCCAAGCATATATATCTTGCATGGACTTAGTTGTATGGTCCCAGGGAATAGGATTCGGACAAGCTCCTGTATATTGACCCGGAGCAATTTCAGTAATCCACAAAGGCTTGTCGTTCCACTTCTGATGGAAATCGTTGATTCGAATCTTGGCTTCCTCGACAGTCTTATTATAGATATGGACATTATATGCCGAGAAGTCGTCTTGGCAACTGCAATTTCCATAGAACTCAGGAAGCCAGTTGAGGTTATCGAAAGCCGGCACGGGTGCGATGAACTTTGTATGGTTTCCTCGCTTCTTCAACAATGGTGCAATAAGATTGGCGGCTTCCTCAGGATGCAATATGGCTTTTCTCGGGCTCGAGCCATACTTATTGTCGGGTTCGTTGAACGTGAGCATGAAATCTGGTGGATTTGGGCCGTTGACCACATCAATAGCGTGCTGAACAGACGTATTGGTGTTGCCTAGCATTGGAATTTGTTTGTCTCCAAGCCCGAAATCGAACGTGAGCCAGTTGGAAGCGGAGTGGATCTGTTTCCATCGCTGTTCAGTATAGCCACCGTGACCGGTGTTGAAGACAACGTTCACAAGGCCATCTGAGCACTTCGCTGCTGCGCCTTGAAGGGTCGATATTCCGAGTATCGCCATGGGGATCACGAGAGACATTAGAGTAGTCAAATGCATCTTGGATAAACTTTGAAATGGTTTCTGATGACGCTTTCCCTTGGTTATTGATAGTTTATAAGGAATTCAAGTTACTCGATGGACAAAACAGAATTTATACATGATTCAATGGAAGCGCCAGCCACTTCAGGCCAGCCGAGTGAATCACCATAATGGTAATTCCGCGGTATTTTTCGAGTCTAACATCTCTCTTTCAGAGCCCACTTCATAGGTGATCAACATTCCTAATCATTGAGCCCATTCCAGGGTCGCATTTGCTTCATTCGGGGCGCCTAAGGCCCACTATACTCCAATTCACCGTAGGGCTGTGACTATTGGACATATAGACTGGAGCAGGTCACCGCATCCAGTAAATTGAGTCATGTAATGAAATCAAGCTTGCAGGTTACCCATGAGGGGCAAATATGAATACTTGAGCCATCCAATGATACCACTGAATTGCCGATCAGGCGTTCCTCCTCTGCAGCTCCTATCCCTTTTATTGCCTCGGATTTGCTCCCTTTCCCCTCGTAACTGCAGCTGTTTTTATTGTAGTCCCTTGGGCCTTCTATTATGACCACTTCATTGACTGGGACTCTTTACGAGAGTCAGCCTTCGCAGTCATGACTGGCGAGCGGCGACGAGACTGCGCTACATGCGGGATGAATGAGAAGCAAGAGACAAACCGTGTCTGACGGGAGTGCAAGACTGTTAGGCTATCTAGCAAGATTTCGGTGCAATCGTGACAAATGCGGTCAGTAGTCGGTGTTGCAGCTCCGAAGCGATGGTGAGGCCGATGACGGGACCATGGTAGTTTTGATGTATCATGCCTGGGCGGATAAAGTATTTGACGTTGAAAAGTTGACAAACACCACTTTGATTTGAATGGATTTGAATTTGAATTTGTAAATTCATCGCCGTGGAGATTGAAAGATACGCTTAGGAAGCCAGTGGGGAATCTATTTGGATGCTTATCTGCGGGGGCGACGCGAATTGCGGGCACACTAAGACTCGGATACATATGCTGTTTGATTGAATCAAAACTTTTGTTCCTTTCTTCGTAAGTCATTGCAACTGTCAGTGTTCTTCAAGTATATAATCTGAAGTCAGATTTCTACTCTCTTTCGGAAACCACCACCAGGGCAAACGAAGCAATGGTTGGCGTAAAACTGAAGATTCTAATGATTCACGGTATTTTATAAATTTGAAATCAAATAAGTCACTTACTCATCGTAATCTGAAACAAAACAGGGTACACCGAGACCGGGGAATCATTTCGTGCCGATATATCAGGCCTAGAAAAAGCTCTCCAAGAAGCCTTTCCTGCTGCGCCTGCCCCCAACCACCACCCACTATACCCAGGAGGCCTAGAGCTCTTCTTCCCAACAGGCACCTGGAGGCTCAGACCTACAGACTGGGCACGCTACATCCCAGGGACTGACCCCGGTTATGGCTGGTTTTACAAAGTCCCCGACGACGAAGAGTTTCCGGGACTAGATCAGGGCCTAACACGACTTGGCGATTTGATGAAGGCAGAAGGGCCATTCGCGGGTGTGATAGGATATTCTCAAGGTGGATTCCTAACTGGATTGATTTCAAGCATGCTTGAGCCAGGCAGGAGAGTGAGGTTCGAGGAGGTTGAAAAGGAGAGCGGGGGAATACCTTTCCCCGCAGCTTTTGAGGATGTTCACCCTATTAAGTTCTCGATTAGCTGCTGTGGATTTGCGGGACTGAGTCCACGATACAAGGCATATTATTCTCCACCTATAACTTCGTTGCTGCACGTTAATGGGAGATTGGATGATATTGTTTATGATAAAAGGAGTCGCACGCTTATTGATGCTAGTTTGGGGAATGAAGAGGAGAAAGTTTTGATTCACCCGGGTGGCCATACCGTGCCGACTACGCAGGTGTATACGGATGCGATAATCATGTATATCAAGAGGAAGATTGCCGCATAGATGGATTAAATGACACAATTTAATTTCTCTCCTTTTATTTATGTCAAATTTCTGCAATGTGTTATAAAGTACGATGATATGCATAAATCAACTCAGAAACAAAATTTTATACCGAAAATCTGAAGACCTATGAAGCTAACCCCGAAGACAGTCCGTTAGACTTGAGAATCGATATAAAGCTGAGCTGAAAGCTTTATACTAGTTCTGCCTCAATAATCGATGGCTCATCGCCATCAGGGTGGAAATCGTGTTAACGGTCAGGCCCACCGATTCAAGGATCCCGATCCATCTCTACTTCGTGCGGAGAGTACCAGGGGCAAAGACCATCAAAATGAGATCCACCATTGAATTGAACAAGCCCGCATTCTCATCTGAGAGAATGTACTTCCCAATGAGAATTTTGGAGTGGCCCTTCTCCATAGCTGGAATAGTGTTTTTTTTCTCGATGCAATTCTGATCGGAGAATTCGTGTAAGACAAATTTAAGGAAATAAGTACGAGCTCCTGTTATCATGTGTTAGAAGTTTTACCTCTCAAGTTGGATTGATTGATACAGGGAATCTAGGCTCGTCAACAAACTTACCTTTGATCGGCTGAGGAGAGAAGACATCGTATCCAATCTTCTCAAGCCTAGGTCATGGTAATGGACATCATCAAACACGGATGGAAGGCCTTGTATAATAACCCTTCCAGCTGCGTCGGGGAACTTCTTGCTGAAGGCCAACATATCGCGCCCGCTTCCGGCACCAATATCCATAACAAGTGGGTGACTTGATTCACCGGCAGAGCCGTCCAGAATTCTGCTCTGGACAGGATACCAGTCAACCCAAAAAGGCCGGTTCTCTCGAACATGTTCCACAAATGCATGGAAGCGCTCGTGTACAGCAACAACAGAAGCTAGCCATTCAAATGTTGTTAGCTTTGTGTTATACGTATACTGCATTGGCCCAGCAAAATGATCCTCGGGAATCAGATAGCTCGTTTTTCTGAGGAATTCCGGTGGTTTTAGAACGGCCGGAGCTAAACCACGAACCTAGATCGGCAATATCAGTGATAAATTCAACATACGTAACACGGCTTTCCAGAGTATGTAGCTTATACGGTTCACTGGATACTAGTATGGCTCTTACTAACTTCATAGCCACTCAATCCTTTTATCAGTACTACCACACGGTTGATAAGGAGCGAGTTAGGGGGTTCGATAGCGCAATGGAAAGATATTTCCATCGGTCAGCGCAGACTCCAATTGAAGATTTCTTTAACTTCGGCAAATTACCTCATGACGCTATTGTAGTCGACGTGGGAGGGAGTAGGGGCCACCACTCTATTCGACTCGCAGGTCAATATCCAGATATTTTTTTTCTTCAATCAAGACCTTGGTAAAATGGAGCCTACATTGAAAGAAGTTACAAACAAATATAAGTTATTGAAGGTGGTATGGCAGGAACATGATTTCTTCAAAGAGCAACCGATCTAAGGAGCTAGCCTCGCCAAGGCCGAGCCCAAGAAATGGCAATGAAGTCAATCTACAGGCATTACTTTGAAATCTTCCCCCAGGACCCCCAAAATGGCCATACAAACCCAATAAATTGAGTACTGAATCCAAGCAGCAACAGACGCGAGAAAAGGAAAAATGAGAGATAGAAAACACGCCCCAAATTGCTCAATCGCGTCTCTAACCAGCGCTTACGGGACCGCGTTAAGGGTAGAAAATCCCTATTTGAGCAGAAGTAAGCGTAAACAAGCACAGACTAAGCGCCTCGATCCTAGCCACTCTTGGAACATTGAAAAGCATTGGCAGTCGAATCAAACCCACTGAGAATGCATGGCATATCTCATAAAACATAAAGGCGATCAGGCAATCGAACCCCACCGATTTCGACCCCAAAAAACCAATGAGCCAGATTTCACTCCAAATTCTTGATCACTTCATACCTCACATCTCATCTCCGCACCACACCCACATCCACATACACATCCAAAATGCGCTCTTTACTTGACCTTCCCCCAGAACTTCTTTTGCATATTATACATTACACGATCCCCGTTGGCTTCGAGGCCACCGCCCTGTCATGCAAGACGACCTTTGCAGCCAGCGCCCGTTTCCAATCGCAGTATAATCTTCGACGCAAAAGGTTTCGCAACTTTCACTTCTCGCGCAAGTTGGAAAAACCGCCTGGAAGCACAACTCAATCCGAATCGGGTGAATCATGGGATGAAATTACCCAGCAAACAGGAATCTGCATCACTACCACGCGGGCGCTATTGGAACACATCGCACAAGATCCTTCTGTACCAGATTACATCCAATCCATTGATTTGACCGGCCACGGAGACCATAAAGACGAAGATGTACATAACTTGCTTAGACTAGAGATCCCTGAGACGCTCAAGGACTTGGTTCGCGCCTCTCCCATCATCCATGATGTTGGTTGCAACCCGGATGATTGGATGGGAGGAATCCAATTTTCTCTAATCGACGCCGACATTTTTCTCCTAACTTTATTATCGCAAGTGCAAAGTTTGGCCTTACGTCCATCGTGGGATGATCTGAACCCTACTTATGACTCTTTTTATCGCTCCGTTATTCCAGACCACTCGAACCACTCATGGTCTGTTCTCAAGAGAATCACCCACTGGGCGAATCGTCCCAAGCAATTTCCCCATGCACCGCTTTCAAAACTGTCTACTATACAACCATGTTTTGACAGTGGCTACGAGGAGAAGTGTTCGATGACCGTGTATGCTCCGTTCCTGGCGATTGAGTCCGTCTCAGAAGTCTTCTTAACCAGTATGATATTTTTCGATGACGGATACACCGGAATTGCCTTCGAGCCAATAGTGAATTGTTATAGCACAAATCTACGAAAACTCGTCTTCAAGACATCCGTAGCTGGATGTAAGGAGCTAGAGAAGCTCCTATCGCGAATTCCAAACTTGGAGATCTTCGAGTTCTCCCATGAGACCAAATGGCACGGCTGTGGGTTTGATTGGAACCCGGCCGCATTTTTGGATACAGTGCAGGATGTTTGCGCAAATAATCTCAAGGAGTTATCTGTTGTGGTAGACGATCCCTCGCAATGGCCAGAAGGGCCGGAAGTCGTGCTTACGGATATGACGCGGTTTGAGAAATTGGCGGTGCTGGAAATGGATGTGGACATGCTGTGCGGTACACAGTATGACAAGAGTATGCAATATACGGATTATCTTGATGAATTTGATTATACTGGTGAGGCGGTTTTTCCAAAGCTGGTCGAGATATTACCCGCATCCATTGAAGAGGTCAAATTGCGTCTCAACGCGTTTGAGGATGAGGATCTGGAATGCATCTCGCATTTGGTGGAGGATCTTGCAGGTTCCCGAGACATAAAGCTGCCCAATTTAAAGAAGCTGAGTCTCTTTGTGTGTGTGGAGGGCGTCCTAACGCTTCCGAAGAAGGCACGCAATAGACTGGGTGCTGCGAAGCGTTGTGGCTTTTTAATTTTGAAGCCTGGATCATTGGTCCCTCTTCTATGAGTTTTGTCTTCTCGATTTATTATCGTCGGTCAAAGGCGGCAAGAGATGAGCCCGATACGGAAAGAGCGCGCCAAGACATCTAGAGTACATAGACTCATCCATACTACCTAATTACTGGTAACTACGATCAGATCAGATCAATATTGAGCACACCCTATAATTAATAGTCTTCAATCACTCTATTTATTAATCAATCACGAAATCCAACCGATCGTACCGCTACCTACTATACACAAACTAGTGCGTAGATGTAGAGATGAATCCTTATCAGTAACAGAATTAGTCACACAATCAACCAATAACCACCACTTATCTTATCGCACGTCACCAACCAACTACGAGTAACACTAACACTAACATTAAGTCGGTGGAAGATAGAAAACTAAGCACCTTGGCACAGCACAACACTTGGTGCGATCCCGATCCAGTGCTCTAACATACTTAACCATTCTAAGTCGAGTCTGAGCCTCGATCCCGATAACTCGTATATAACCGATAAGCCCCGATAAACGACATTCTTTCTTTCAGTATCTCATCTCCCACCTACACTCCAACTGAACTCCTAACTTACTCAGTCCAGTTCAGTCCAGTTCGGTCTTTATTTCAATCTCATAAGTACAAATTCAGTATCCAGTCTTATCGATTTAGCGGGTACCTGCATCTTATCGTGAGCTCTTGAATCTCGATAAGAATAAAGACTCCATCGCATGTTCGAACTAACATCATGATCCAAGTACAGAAAATGCCCGAGGAAGCACCCGTCGTCTCGCATGGTCGCGGAGGTACAGATCCATCACTCAAACTACTAGATGCTTCGCTATATACTAATTCTACATCCAGGCCAAGGTAATATCGGACACGACCCAACGCAGTACGTCAAGCTCATATATTTCATATGTACCTAGGCTGCTTGTTACTTATCACTGACTAAATTAGGTACATTGATGGTGAAATTGTCCGCGAAGGAAACTACGGCGACCAAGGCGATGGCGCATACTCTGCTGGTGTACGGCCTACCCTACCACCCATAAAAGAAAGAAGAAAAAAAGGGAAATTCAAACTAATCAGACTACTCATTCTACAGCGCGGCGGCGCAGGAAATATCGGTTCCCCAATGGTTCGTCCAACTTCGAAAGTCCCGCACGATGCGGAGATGATTCCCGAACTTGCAGTTCGGGATTCAACTGATGAGAATTATCATGTTGGGGTAAGATTGCCATTTGCAATTTACAATTTACAACCAGAACCATGAGCCGAGTGGTGTGTGAAGGAATTAATAAATAAAATAATACTGACTTTGTGTTTTGTGTTGTTAGCGTGGTGGACAGGGAAATGTGCATCTTGATGCGGCTAGTAAGGAGAAAAAGGTTGCGCATGAGGGGTTGGCCGATCGATTGAAGAATAAGTTGTTTGGGAAGAAATAATCTATTCCTTCCAAACAAGGTTCAAGGAAGGGATCGGATTGATTAATAGATCAGTGGGTGTATGTGGATCGAGCTGTGGATCTGAGTGGAGTGGAGATGGTGATGGTGGAGGAAGTGATATTGTTATCTGATATTTTTATGTTATGTTATTGATTCCCTTTTGTTTTTGTTAATATCATCGTTATTGCTACTGGATTTGCTTTTGTTGGTCCTATTATTATCCTACGGATGAAAATTCTTGAATAGGATTGGTATAAATCATATTTTGACAGATAGATTTCCTGTACAATCCTATAGTATTGATTTAGTGTACTGTATCGAATCAATCGAATCCATGCCAGAATACATGGTACAAAGGGCTTGAAGTCGGTATCTTCGCCATAATGACAGTCAAAAGTAACGTATGTACGTAAGGTGAAGTAAAGTAGAGCAGAGCAGGAGAAGCTAGCATGTACGCAGAATGAATAATGGGGACTTGAACTGAAATGGGAATGTGAATAGTAAACGAAGAAACAAATAAATGAAGACGAACACCGCAGAGGAAATCCAGCCCCTTACCCTCGTGGTCCATGTATCATAACGGGCATTAAACCATGCATAAGTAGAAGCGAGCAAGCGACAGGAAGGAAAGGAAAGGAAAGAAATGGCCACATATCACATCAAATGTGCATAAGAACAGAAACACAAACACAAACAGACAAAGGCAGGAAAAGAAAACACAACGCCAAGGGATGGTGATACACGTCCATAATTGCAGATTGCAGTCGATCAACGAAAGGCAAATGATTTCAAAGAATAGTCAGAAACAGGTAGCAGGATCTAGGATCTAGGATCTAATCCTTGCTGAACCGTCGCTTAAGCCAACTCTTCCGCTTCTCATTATTCACCGGCTTGCGAATCGCATTCGCTTTACCTTGCTGCGGCTGCGACTGTCCATAACTCGAACCCGCAGCTGGCACCGGAGCTACCGGCATCCCGCTCGCATTGAAGTTGGGACCACCTCCAAAACCCTGGAATCCGTATTCTGCCTGCGCACGCTCGTCAAGACGCTGTTGATGCAGAGCCTGCTGCTGCAACTGGTCCATTGAGCTATTCATTGAGCTGGGATCGGTCGATTGGCCATACGGATCTGTAGATGCGGCCGATCCAGAGTTGGCGGTAACGTTATCGTTGGAGCGGTGGTAGTTCTGTTGTTGAGTGGAAGTGTTCTGTGCATTGCTATTGCCGCCGCTACCGTAGAAGGCTTGGTCGTTTGAGGCACGGGCAGCGTGTCGCGGTCGGCGCTGACCTCCTCCGCTCTGGTTGTAGGGGTAATGGCTATCGGGTGTCTGTGGCTGTGCTTGGCTTGAGCTTGCGCCGTAGTCGATAACGCTGTCTGGACGAGATTGGGTACCGCGACCGTAGTTGGCGCTCTGTTCACTGTATCCGCGGTTCATGTTTGCCTGTGGGCCTAAAGGGATAGAGACGAGAATTAGTAACTGCTTTTCATTGTTGTTTTCTTGTTTGGACAAAAGGGAGGTGAAAACTCACCGTAATAACTTGTTCGTCGACTGAAGTCTCCCATTTGTGAAGCTGCACCCATTTGTGACGCTGCATCCTCTGTTGAAAAAAAAAGTCAAAATCAAAATCAGCCTGGGTCCCCTGGGTCGGGTTGACCGGGGTCGTCAGGAATGAGCGCAACGAACCTGTTCGGGCATATGAATTCGGGCGTTGAGACTTATATGTACCGTAAATCGCTGCCTCGAATGATCGAATGGTATCTAGGGGGCGTTCGAAACGTGCACGAGTGGGGTTTGACCAGTCGGGATCAACTATAGACAAGCAAGGGTTAGCAAGAGCCGAATTCCATTGCTGACAGGCGTCAAAAACGTGGTTGAATTGTTTCGAAAGAGAAAGGGAGGAAAGAAAAACGAACCGATCGGGTTTCCAAACTGGTCCTTATGTTGTATATCTCTCAATGAGCCTAGATTGGACGCTTCCAGCGCGACGGCCACTAGATGAACGAATGAATTAGTTACTATGAACAGGAAGGAGAACTGTTTCAATGCGACCGCAACTGTAACCACAATCGCAATCGTGACCGCGACCGCAATGTGCCAGCCACAGGTGTGGAGAAGGAGCAATAAGAAAGAAGCGGAGACCGAAATTGAGAATTGAAAGCGAACAAAAAAAAACATACTGGGTTGTAACTCGTTCATAGCGACTGTCGGATCGGCCTTGGTATGTAAATTGCGACGAGCCTTCTCTTCCGAAGACTCAGAATGATGACTCTTATGACCGGAAGTACTGGTACGACGAGAGTTGTCTGATTTCACGCTGAATCCACGATTCCGGCGAGGAGTCTCAGCCGGTTGTTGGGGGGCAGCCATCTTATTTAAGGGCGGGTCGACCGTTTCTTTCTTAGCGGCCGAGAGAGATCAAGGCAACTGGGGGCAAATCTGAAACGGGGTGTGATCTGCTCGAGCTTTGGTGGGTGTTGTGGATCGGTTGAATATCAAGTGTGGGCACTGCCAAGACAGATTTCAGGCCTCTTAAAGGGCCGGTGCGAGTTCGATTAGTGCAAGATGAGACGCTAAAACCGGTTGTCTAGACGCTAGTTTTTGAATTTGGTGATTGAGAACAAGCTAGGATTGATGCCGGGTTGATGGTGGATGAAAATGGGAGTGACAGGTGGAGAAAAGAGGAGAGAGAATACCACGAAAAACAAAAAAAAAAAAAGACTAGTCTAAGCGTGTCTGTGTTGTGCTTTATTTCTTTTTTTTTAACCCTTGTGGTGAGGACGGCGAGGAAGAGAGAAGGTGTATGGGAGGAGCGAGAGAGACAGAGAGTGGAGTTGCACACCGTTTTATCACGGGAGACACAACGTCTTATATACAAGTGCACAAAAAAGTCAAAATGAGGACCAGAGAGTTTTTTCCTCTTCTTTTTACCCTCGGTCTGTGGTTGACGACGAACGCCACGCAATAGGAATTATTCTTAGGCCTTGAGGACCTTCAGTTAGGCAGTGGCGGTATCTGGGGCTCTGGGTAGTTCTAGTAGTGGTTTGTCGAGGCCGCGCAAGCTTCTTTTTTTCGTGCAAAGTGGGTCACATATCGTGTTCAGCGCTTTGAACACTGCAGATTGTACTACTTCGTAGATCCTAGATTTATTCCGCTTCTGCTTTTTCTTTTTCCCTCTCCATTCTCCATTTCGCTTGGGCACACAGTGCCTGGTGTCCCAGGGAACACAGCCCGGATGTTGCGTGGACGCGATTGGTGATGTTCTTCCTTAGTGTCCACCTAGTCTCGATCCAAAGGACAAAGACGCCTCCAGGGACCAAGTTACATGAGAACCGGGAATTCTGGGGTTCTGCCTGCATTGAATTAAATTAAACTGTGACGATAACTCAATTAGAATGCTCAGAGTAGATCATTTATACGCCAGTATGTACATTCTATCATCCCATAGAATTCAATCTTACAGTGCTTCCTCTTCCTCCTCCCATTAACTTCTGAGACATTTCCCTCGTGATCCCTCAGATCCTCCCACTCCAACCCAGAAAAAAACCAGAAGAAAAAGAAGAAAAAAGAAGAAAAACCTAACCAGAGCGTGTGATGCATGGCCACCCGCTCTCTTCCAATTGGGTGGATTCGCGGATAGAGCAGACTGGAGACCGGAGATGCGGTCCCACTTTGCATGTATTTTTAGCCCGAGTCATGCTTAGCGATAAGATACGCGCACTGCATAATTCCATTATACTCTCGCAGAAGACTCACAACATCCACAGGACTACTAGAAACACTTTAGCACACCCAGAAACCGAACAGGGCATTCGAGCCCTCGATATAAGGATCCTGAGGCTCTCACGTCCTGCTCAAGTCGTGGTATCGATTCCCACAAAAATTGGGACCAACCAGATTTCATCATAACCTCTGAAGATCATTTCAATCCAAAAATGAGGCCTACTATGACACATCATCCAGATACCAATCAATCCTCTTGCATATCCAAAATTTGTATATTCGAACCCCCCTGCATTATAGCTCGGCGGCTAGAGAGCCAAATGTTGACAACATTTATTATCATTGGCCCCCTCTTCATTAACACACTCTATTAACATTGAAGTATTGTCACGTAAAGTCTGACCATCATCATGATATTATTGTCAGATGAAGCCCCGCACATCCACCGATGTCAAAACTGGATGTATTACCAAAAGTTCTGCACTAGAAAACCAATATTCGCTGAAATCAATTTCTTCAGCTCATTGATACAGTAATAATCATCATCCAATTGGAGTACCTAGATATTCCTATTGACCAGCTTCAAACAGCGTCTGCTTCTAGAATTTACAAAGGCATTCGCTCTTTGGAGACAGGACTGGACTGAAGAGCCCTGGATGAAGAAGTTGAGAGTTGAATGCCAGACGATCGCAAAAAGGAAAAATACAGAAAACAAGATCAACAGCAGATGGGAGCGTACATACCTCAAAGAGCAATTGGCAGAGCTTCTTATATCGCTAGATACCCACTTCGAAGAATACTTCTTCCAAAAGCCTCAGAACATCGAGGCTAACACTCGACTACGCAAACTCAAACTTGTGAATTCGAATATCACCTGGCTATGCTGCGATATTGTATGGATTCTTGAGGAAATAAGTCCCGACGAAGCCGTCAATCTGGAAATTCCACAAGAGTTATTGCGCAAGCTCAAAATATGGTGTCGCAAGGCGTGGCCGGAGGAGCCATTTGGAATTATCACGTTCTAAGTTTTTTCTTCTTGAGTATTAACTTGAAATGCGTAATCATCAACCAAGGTGCCTCTGACTTCAACACCTGAACTTGAACTTGAAGCTTCGGGTATCAAAACTGATAAAGCACTCCACTCTTGGCGTTGTGGTGGCCTATTTATCCCGATTTTGATAATCAGTCCTAGATCAACCAAAATAAATTGGATAAGTATTCTATATTAGCCCGAGATATATATTCTTATTCTTCGTTTGATTCACGTTACTTTAATATTAATTAAAACATTTAAAGAGTTATTCTCGTTCCAGACTGTGAGATTCACGTGCGGAGATCTTCAATATATATTGCCAATCTGCGAGAAATAAGACCTCAAACACCCAATTTTTTCTTTTCTCGAAAACCTTGGAAGAAAAGAAACATTAAACCTATTGCACTATTGAGTCGTCTCAAATCTTTACTACAAATTGAATTCTGATCAATTGGGATGTTCCATAATCGAGTGGTTGGCTCTATATCGCCGAGTGATTAAAATAATTGCAATGAGATTAGATAACTACTAGCTTGGTCGAACTGAGTATGTTCTCAAGGCTGAGTAGTTTCTTTTTTTCATATTTCACAGAGCCTGACTGGAACAGGTTTGGATTGCTGGTGGCTAGATGAATGGTTGCGAGGTTCCTCTCACTCCAGGGCTACTTGATGTAGATCTATTTATCGATTGCCGGATGGGTCGAGGAACCCCAAAGGAAAAATGATCTCAAGCAATAGATGTAGCCCAAACAAGACGAGACATACAAGCATCAGGCGAAAAGCACATACACAACAAGTGTAGATGTAAGAATGCCCAACCATGTGGCTGGTATAATGTCCTAGTTGGGCGGCTACAGATTCCAGACAGTTCAAAAACTACAACGGAAGATCTACAAGGACAATTAAACTTTTAAGTATCCGCAGATAAGTCGCAATGGGTGGATATATTTTTTCTTCCAAAACAAAGACATGCCATGGTGGAGTAGCCAAAGCAAAGGGAAAATGCAATTCTTCTAGCTCCAAACAGGGGGCCCAGTAGAAAAAGATATCGATCGATTAACCAATCTGCTGATGGTATGGAATTTGTTTGGTGTGTAGGTCGAATACACGGGAGAAGAGGACGACGCAAGAAGGTATCATGCATGCGCCAGTGCCAGTATACCAATAGAAGAAATAAGGAGAATGTGATGCCCCAAAACGGAGGACCTGATCTGATCTCATTCGTCCAGGAAACCGACACAAAAGTGAAACGTTGTAAAAATAGTTATTTTTTGATTCGTAGGGCTTGGATATGGGCCCTGCCTTCTCCCACGAATATCGTTATCAAACCGCCAACTCCCATCACCTCAAATCAACATCGGCTCGTTCCGTCGACACTTTTCCTTGCCTGACCGACCGTTTTGTCTGCGCGAAGAAAAGGGAATCGCCCACTAGATACACATATGCCGTTTAGATGGAAGAGGGGTAGAGCATGACGCGGACGGTGGCACCGAAGGACTTGGGGGGAAGGTTGTTGCGGAACTTGGCGCGCACAACACCGGAGTTGCCTAGGAGATGTTAGATTTGATCATTTGGATGAGTCTCCGGAAAAGGGAATTTCTTGTCGACTCGTAGAGATGGAGATGAACATACCGTGAGGGCGGGTGACCTTGCCCCAGATCACCCGGATGTTGGAGCCACGGACCTCACGCTTAGCCCGGTAGACGAAAGCGACCTTCTTGCCCAGGTAGAACTGAGCAGCCTTGGGGTCCTCAACGCCCTCAATCTTGACCAAGCTGTATCATAAAATCAATTTCCATTCACTCATTTCGATATCTTGATCGCGCGGAGAGGGATAAGTACCTGGTGTTGGGGTTTGTGGCGTGCTTAGAGCGCTGGTAGCTCAGGTGGCGACCCCTAAAAAATTCCGTATTAATATATATTTCTCGGCTGATATCGTATGCGTTGTGTGTGTATGAAGGGTTGTGTGGTTGTAGACGTGGATAGTGTTGTGCGATCGTGGTATCCCATTTCCATCAAATTTCCATATTCCTTGCTGATCGAACCACATTCGGATTTTGTGTGCATGCATGTCTAACGCGACGGCGGAGAGGTGATTTGAAAACTTACTTAACATAGACTAGAGAGAAGAAGATATGTTAGTATTTTCAAATTCCAAGTTCTGGTGGTTGATTCCCATCCTGATGCGCCCCGATCGGTCTCTATGAACGGATTCGAGGTGAACAGATAACGGGTGTTCCTGGCTGAGGGCGCACTCACGGCGGTGACCTTGTTCCGAAGGCATGTTGACGGCGTTTCTCTGAGCAGCGGGCAAGGAAGAGAAGTCGAAGAAATGACCCGCAAGAGATCAGAAGTCGTTGCCGGTTGTCGTGGTTGTCGTCGCTTCGATAGAGTCGAGCGCACAATCAATTTGCAAGGTGTGGTGGCTGACTTTCGCCCTAGTCCCGATTAGGATCTTAGCGACAGGGTAAGCGAGATCCCGTGATACCACACACTAGGCCGATTTGGGGATTCTGGATCCATCCATCTGATTCACCGCACTATCTGTTTCTCCGGACCCGAGGAACCCTTTGCTGAGTCATTTTTTGAAGCTCGGTCACATGACTCTCGCGGGAATTTGTTAGTGACCTGATTATCCAGGTGTCAACGATAGGTGTCTATGCCCAGGTGTCGATGCCCACCGCTTTCCCAGCCTCCAAGGTTACAAGGACATCTGAAGCTTGACTTGATACTGCCAGGTCCCAGCCGGCGCCAGCTCGGGCTACAGTAGTCCGGCTCGGCTTGTCCAGTTCGGGCCTGGATGCATATCGCTGACAAACTTCACCATGACGACACTGTACCTTAACCTAGTTTTCTTCTAGTAGAAGTCCTGAAATTTAGTACTGAAGGCAGTTAAGATGAACGGTTATAATGTTGATCGGCTATTGAAAACCTTTCCCACCATGTGCATACTTTACAGGTCACGCTGGCGTATCAAACCAGGATTTGGGTGTTCCACATCCCTTCCATGCATATATACCATGACGGATATCACTACTCCGGCGTGCCACAGACCGAGCGTACTGATTGGGAAACCTATCCATCATTCAATTTCTGCCCCACCATCCCGTCTGTTGGCTTGACTCTGCAAGAATCAGGACCAGGACCTCGGGGCGATTTTGTTAAGCCTTTCGTACGAGTCGATCATAAATGTTACGATAGATTACAGGAGTTTCATAATAAAAGCGGGCTATGTGCTATCAATTGATGTCATCTATAATCTACAGTGTAGAATCTACTGGAAGTATGTACATAGTACCCCGGCCCTGGAGCATAAATACTTTAAATTCCCCCAATATGAAATTCTATGCTATGCCCATGTAATATCTGTGCCTAGGATCAAGGTACCGTATCATCACCACGGTTAATATCGTCCGAATGCGGCACTCACTGGACCGAGCGCTTAGATCGGGCCAATGCCCCGGAGTTACTGCGACTCCCGGGAAAATAGAATCCGTCTGGTATGAGAGATGACAAATGTGTCGATCAGTCTGCTCCACGATTTCGGTCACCGGGGAGGCTTTCTTATCAAGGCAGAGAATACCATACCAGTTCATGAAACACGAATTACAACGAGTCAACTTAAGGCTAAAATAATTGTACGCAGTACAGCACAATGAATGGAACAAGCAGGGGAAAGGACAAAATTATACATCCAAATATAATGTAGTATTAGTACATAGCTGGAATGTATCTGATCAAAGATTCTGCGAGTAATAAACTCAAGTGGAGTTGTGACACCTCTGCAACCCATGTTCCACCGGTCTGATAGGGTAATCTTGACTATGCCAACCCTGATGTCGCAATCGCAAGAAACAAAAAATTCGGTATTCCTTGCATCGCTGACCGCACAATATTTTAGGTAACGGTGGTTTCAGTCTGGATTATTCAGTTTGTATTGTATGATGACGGTCTCCCGTACTCCACACTGCCATTCAGGCTGTTTGCCAGACCTCCGATGTCCGGGCAGGTGATCATGTAGTAATTTAATTAGTCACTGATGTATATAGAGGGGGCTTACATAGTATCAGATGACCCTTTGCTTCTCGTAACACTGTTTGAGATGTGTAATTTTTTTTTCTTTTTTTTGTCAGCTTCGGCTTGAATAATCCTGGGGTTGAGTTGGTCTGATTCATACTGTACTGTGCATACATAGCTTGTTGAGGGGGGAAAACGCCCCCAGTAAGCTCAAGTGTTGGCGTGGCCCAGGGCTTATCGGTGAGGGGAAAAGAAGAAGAAGAAATAGAAAATTAAATCAATAAAATCAAATAAAATACATATAGACAAATCAATAACTATAAATGTTCAAGGTTATTCGCATATATATTGTAAAATAAGAAAAAGAAACAAAAATCCTTGAGAATGCGGAGTTAAGAGAGGCCCGGTACTATAGATAACTGTATAGAACCCCAGCTGAGTAGGCACAGATCGAATCTCCCACGAGGTATGCTGTGATACTTATATAGGAAATTGAAGAAATACTACAAATAGGAAATGGCTACAGGATCGTCATGGCCCCGAAACCCGCATCTCCCACTGTAATAGCCCATGTAATAAAATACTAAACCAGCCAAAAACCGCCCCACTATGGAAGCTCATCCATTAAAAAGTACCTGCTCCGCCGGAACACCTGGGTTCTCGATTTCCTCCCAACATCTCATCTTTTTTCTTTTCTTTTCTCCTTATCCCTCATAATCTTTGCTTTTTTTTTCTTCGTGTTTCCGTTATATACAATTATACCCAGTTGCGTGTGGAAAGATGGCCAGCTTGATCTCCCAGACCGATGAGCGCCAGTCTGCTGGGTAAGTTACTTAGCCCGCCTTCACTGTCTCTGACATCACACTCCCCCTCCTCTCTCTCACTCCGGCTGCGCTACCGGCAACACCTCAATATCGACCGCATCGAACAATTGTCATTTGAAGCGCCAGTTCTGGTCTTCTTTTCGAGCTTCGAG